TCAAATTTCTTCAGCGTTGTAGCAACTGACGCAGCATCTTGTTTCAGGCAGCAAATTAGTAACCAAATGGTGGGATTTTTCCATTTTTGGGACCATCAAGTCAAGTGCCCAGAAAAATTGCCCCAGTTGTTTTCACCAGACGACCCCCAACATTTCCGCCACAGAAGTGGAACATTCATCAGGCTGTGCTCAATGATCTTGGCGCAACTAACAATTTCAGTGAAGCTTGGAATCGCTATTTCAATGGCCTGGTTGGACAGAAAAATCCCACCATTTGGTTACTAATTCGCTGCATCAGTTGCTACAACGCTGAAGAAATTTGATGAAGATGGTGTCATTCCACACCAAATCAAAAGCAAGTGTCGACTTTTGAGAGAGATCGCCAGAAAAAACTGCGTCAATGGTGCAAAGATTATCAAAGCCGACTTATTGAATGTTTGGATTTCTTGGAAAATATTTCAAAGACCCTTAATTTTTTGTAAATAAAAACTTTTTCCGTTTTTTGCTTGTCTTGAATTTTTTGTAATCTTTTGTTAGTTGTTTTGTTTCAATTTGTTATTGTTGAAAAAAAATCATTGTTTTTTGTTAAGAGCTCATGTACTTCCCTCAATCAGTAGCAAAGTAATGAGGTTTAACCAGCGGCGACTACCAAACTGACTACCGAAGACTACCAGTCCTGAAAAAAAGTTCGGGGCTTTCGTTACAGCTGTGCGCGGGTATGGCGGGGATTTCGTGTCAGGGCTATTGTCGCGCGGGGCTTTCGTGTCCCGGGCTTTCGTCGCGCGGGGATAGTGAAGGTTTCCCCGTTGAGACGCCCTTCAATATGTCCGCCACCTTCGGCAACCGCCAATTTATTTTGAAAACAAAGTCTTTCTTAATGATAATAAGATTGAAAGCGCCATTCGCCAAAATTATTGGCAGCTCAAATATGCTCCTTTCAATTAATTTTGTTTTTGACAGCCTGCTACCAAGATTCACGCTTTTGTGGGAGGTCGTCAAATAAATAAAAATATTAAATTAAGTATAAACACAAGGTTAGCATGATTTCTTGCTTGGGAACATCAGCGTGATATAATTTACGCATTCCAGGGTCATTTTGATTGTTTTCTTGATGAATAACAATTGCCTTATTTCCTAACATACTTGTTTTTCATATGATTTTAGCCATTTTTCCGTTAAACTGTGTCAAACCTCGCAAGCAAATGCTGTCTTGGTTTGACCGTAACTTCACTTTCTCTGGCGTTATTGTTTTTCCAATGTCGGGCATCTGTCGTCTTCAGCTTAAAAATTAGCGAACGAAACGTTGCATATTTAGGCGATACCTTGGCACTGAAACTTAGAATAGATTCTGGCTATTCGAGGATTATAACTATAAAATACGAGATGTTGAAGCATGTGAATTATCGGCAACTCTCCTGACTCCGGATTTTGTGAGGCGTGACGCACTGTATAAATCTGCAGAAGAGGGAAACCGGTCTGATGACGACCTTGCAGAAGAATCAAGTTTCGACGATCGGGCTCCCCAAGTTACAGATAACCATGTGCCTTCAGCGGATTTTTCCACGACATATCCATCTACTCCAAGATGCAAAATTGAAGATGAAGGATCATGTTCGGAGATTCTCGCGAATGAGAACCAAGTAACCCATGAACTTGAAGAAATTAACGAAAAGAAGATTGAACGGTCCTGGCCACGACCACTGAAGAGTCCTAGTCTAGTCAGTGATGATTCACTTGAGCCCTTCGACAGGTGGCCGGAAAGCCCGGATGTAGCGGAAAATCTCGATTCAAGCGATGATTGCGAAATCATTTCAGAGAATATTATTGAAAAATGTTCGCAGTACAAGTCTCCGCCTCGGAAGGCCACCAGAAGAAAAAGGATCCGAATTCCGCGCATCAAATTTATTGAATTCAAAACCCAGGCTCAGAAACTTGAATCGCCTCAATTTGATGCGCAAGTGCGTGTTCCGGAAAATTTATCGCAGAACCTTAAACCAGATGGTGGCGAAATTTTCGTGGGGGTCATGTAAGTTTTTCGAATTGTCATGAATCAACTTTTCATCGCATTTTTTTTAATGATGAAACGAATTTTTTCTCGTATTGTATATTTTTGGCTAGTTGGTGTGAATTTTATGCCGATTGCATTCTTGATGCATATTTGGGACGGCAGTTTTTGTATGACTGCAAGGATTGCATTCCTTTGTTTTCTTAAATGTTTTACTTATTTTTTGCAGGAGAGAGGCTGAGGAAAGCATCTTGAACTGCGGATCTGCAAACAGCGATGCTTCTGACCAATTGCTCAAGGTTGTCAAGCAGCCCGTCAAATTTAGGTGTGGAAGATGCGATCACAGATTTGAAAACGAGGACGAGTGCCGAGCACATTTGTTGAGCTATCAAGAAAAAGTTTTCCTGGCACAAATTGAATACTTGAATACGAGAAAAGCTGCTTTGCGACCTTCTAGTCCGTTATGTTCCTCGACTAGTGCGAGCAGTGCTTTTAGTTCCCCCAAAAGTTGCGCTTTAGAGTCCCCGAAAGGTCCGGTTCCCGAGGAAGAGCTGGATATTTTTGCCGAATTTGAAGCTGGAACTGAAACGTTGGACGGAATTTCATCGAAGGAAACTGATGAAAAATCTCCAGATGGTTTTCCCGATACTCATCTCATAGAAGAGGATCACTTCGCTCCTGCGCCTATTTTGAAAGAGGAGAGGGCTTCTGGAAAGTTGAACGAGGTGTCAGAAGTTCTTCGACTGAACAAGGAAGATTTTGTGGAACAGCAGATTTTGATGGAAGCTATGTCGAATCACGTCGAGGATAAAGAGGCTGTTTCCGAAAAGTGGGTAGATTTTTCTGAAATGGGCTCTGTTCAATCTGCAGAAACTACGTCTGAATTGTGGATTTTCCATTATCTCCTAGTAATCTTCTGATCAAATGAGACCGCAAGAATAAAATAGATTAATCAATTCTCTCTCATGTTGCATGAAACATGTTTTTTTGTCAAATTGACCAGATTCGGTTTCATATTCAATTGTATGTATTTTTCCGAGAAGATGAAAGTTATCAGGAAGTGTAGCCGGTCTCCTTTTTTGTTGCGCGCTTTCTGAATTGCTGAGCTAAACCCTTCTTCGGAACAACGTTTTACGTGAAATGGGTAGTCCAAGAATTTTTTTAATCTTCAATGAGACGAGATTAGAAGTGCAGGAGAAAATACGCAGCTTTTCAGTAATGTACAGTAGTATATCGTTACAGCGTATCTTATTACTGTATAGCGAATAATCGCTTACCAAGAAGTCGTTATTTGGGTTCCCGCTTGATGGACTCAACGTCACTAATTCCATAAGTTCATAAGTCACTTTCTTATGAATTTTTTATTACAACAAATTTGTTTTACTGGTCCGAATATCTTTGTTGTGATGAGCTTTTAATGTGTGTGGAAAGTTATCTTTGTTCTTCGATAAACAGAAAGAAGAAGAAAAATATTTCACCATAGCCAAGGTCGCTGCATAAAAGAAATCGGATTAAAACGTAACACTAACATGCGTGAGGATCCTAGTGTATTTTGGATTAAAATAACAATAGCTGTTCAAAAGACAAAGGTTAAATAATTGAACAGCCACCAAAAGTAAGCTTGTTCAATTCTTCCAATAATCCATACCTGTACCCTGGGGATCTGGATTAAAACTCAAGACTCAGATCAATAAATGCATTCGCTTTTAGCTAAGTAACTCTTCTTCGAGCAATGAAGAAAAGAACACCTCCGCCATTCTTACTTTAAAGTTTAGAAAAAAAATAATTTAATTTCAAGTATCACTCAGTTTTTTGGATTTAGAAGAATTTCGGTATTTGTTGTCAAGCCTTTGGAATCCTTCCTTCTTTTCTTTCAGCGAACCGTGGGATGTACACTTATCTGTGACCTGCGTCAATTCCAGCACTGTTGAAGATGTGGTGGATGGTTCAGATGATGAAACGTCAAGTTTTGCTTTTCCTGATTTTCTGTATGACGTTGTTGCTAGTGAAGAGGTGATCGTCGATCTTGGCCCTAGTGATTTCAGCCCTTCCGCCAATGAAGACGTGATCTGCGAAAACAAGGATGAAAGCTCAATTCACGACTCTGATGGTGATTGAATTTTCTTTGTGCTCAGTATGAAACTTTTTGATTTATCCTTTAATCGCCTACTTCGGAATTGGGATTTTTCACCACCGCTTGAGGAGATAATTTTCTCAACGAATCGTTGAAGCGCTCTGGAAAATTTTTTTGAAGACTTTTTTTTCATCTATTCGTGGATATTTTAAGAGCACTCTGAAATAAAAGGTGTTTATTTTATTATTGGTGCCTAACCTCAACCTTGCCTGTATTTTTTTTTAATAGAAGCGTGCGATCCTTCGACAATTGCCTCCCCGTGTGAAGATAAAACCCCGCCAATGTCACGCGGCTTCGTCTGCTGTTTTTGTGGTTCTGACGCTGAGACGGAGCCTATGGTTCAGGTAAATTAGCAGAACTGTCGCATTTAAAAAAGATGTTACCTAAGATTGGCTGGGAATTTTTAAATCTTGTTCCAAGATGAGGATCGTTCCACGCTTCATGACGTGGCAAGAAAAATTCAATCATTTCATCCATTTTCTATAAGTTTTTGCAGTTATCTCTTTAATGCGTTAATTACAATATTAACATAAAATCTTCAATGTTGAATATTGATATAATATTTAATAAGAATTCGATATAATATTTAATAAGAATTTGATATACCGGTAATATTTAATAAGAATTTGATATACCGGTAATATTTAATAAGAATTTGATATACCGGTAATATTTAATAAGAATTTGATATAATATTTAATAAGAATTTGATATAATATTTAATAAGAATTTGACATAATATTTAATAAGAATTTCATATCAATATTAAATTTGTATATTAAATGTAAATATTTTGAGAAAATGAGAAGCTGAACGTCGAAACCGTTTCTAGAAAACTTCCGTTTACGCTTCCTTTTGTTTGAAATTTCCTGTTCCTTCGGTGTTGATAAGAGATGAGTTTTTAAACCTGTGTGTTTGATATTTGTAGTGCCGGACCTGTTTCATGAAGCAGCATGTGAAATGCGAGGGTTACTCGGATCTCGAATCTGTACCTGAATCACACATTTGCACGTTTTGCAGAAATCCCCACAAATTGAGACCTAAGGTTAATTTTGGTGCGGAAGATGATCTCCTGTCTCAAATAGACTTCGCCCCCAGGTTGGTTCAGTTTTTTCATGTTAATATCTGCGAAGGTTTTGTGTTCTTTCCACATTTGGTTTTCGTTTTATTTGTATAGGTGCCTCTGGAAATTGTTTTAAACTCAACTTTTCATTTTGCGATGTTTAGTCATGCGCGTACTTTAAATTTAATTCAACACCTCTGGCAGAATGTTTATGTACTTCCGTGAATGAACTTCTTTGATAATGTTAAGCTTTTTTTTGTGTTGATTTCCATTCGAAACTTGGACCTGATACGGTATTTTAAATTTGTTCTTGGAATTTTTCAAGATTTCTGGAAAAATCGCTGTCCACCGAAGTTGCCGAGCAGCACAGAGGAGCGACAAATGATCTTAAAGTGTCTGTTGCCACAGCAAACATGCTCCATTATGATTTGGACAAACGCATTAGAAGCATCGACCGGAAAATCCAAATCCTTGAGTACGCTTTTAGCTATTTTTTTTTCTTACTCGTATCAAACATTTGTGTTCTGTTGGAGTTCTCAGGAATTGCTCCTATTTCCATGGAATTTCCTGTGAAACCGTATCATTTTATGTCGTTTCTTGCGGAATTCAGTCCTAAAAATCTTCCACATAGCTTCTTCATACTTTTTTTTTTCCTTTTCCTTAAGTTTTTTCTTCCTTCAGACGTACTGTATAATTTATTCGCTTTTATTTTTATTGTGCTAATGCTTGTTGGTCGCTTCCATGAGTTACCATTCAATTCTGATGAACATTTATTTTTAGGGGAGGCGATGAAAATGTGTTGTCCAACTGGGCCAATCTCAGAGTTCCGTTGCACAACATCAAAGACCCTCAGTTGCTGCAATTGATGCAATTGGATAGTCATGAAGTTTTGATGAATTCGTCTCAAGGTTTTCCCAACGGAACGACCGACTCATTCGATCTCAAAGCTAAAATTGGCAAAGGTACTGTCTCTCATTTTCAGGCGTCGTCTGAAGTATTTTTTACATTTTGTGAAGTTTAATTTGTATAGGATGCCGAGTTTTGTATGTAGTACAGTACGATAGTCATGTTTGTGAGCCTAGTGATTGAAGCGAAATCTACCTAATATTCCAGAAGGCAGGATTTTGTTTACAAAATTCTTGCTCCTGATAATCATGAGAATAACGTAATATAGCTTATAGGTTTACCCTCTCTTCGCCGAAATACAAGGGACCAGAAAAAAAATCGAGAATCGCTGTAACATGGGCAGAGAACCCTATTGAACCTAGCGAAAATTCTTAAAATTTGTAAAATCTTCCAAGAGAATTCACCTGTATTGCGTTCGTGAGAAACACTGAATAATTTTGTTTGCGGTTCGAGGTATTCAATTATAGTTTTGAATTTGAAAAAGAAACTGAAAGATCTTTAATTTTCCTTTTTATCTGTTGGCCTGGTAATTTTTATTTTTGCAGTTTCCAGTATTTAAGTAGCACTATTAATTTCAGATGAGAACGGAATGGAAGATGATCGGAAAGCGTTTATTGAACGCTGCAAGCGAAATATTTTAGCTGAGATTTTTGAAGAAGATGACGTGAGGATTCAGTTGGATTACCAGGCACGAAGCGAACTCGGCAGTAAGTGTGGACAACACTTTTTGTTTCCCTGAATCCTGTTACCAGAGTATCCCTTGAATTTTTTGTGTATCTTTTCAAATAGCATTACAATTTCCGAGAACTGGATGTCCCTGAAAAGATCAAATTCCAATTTTATTCGATGCGTGTATTGTTGCTATTTCCAAAGCGAGAAATCTGCTATTTCGAGACATCTAAGATTATTGAAAGAAAAATTCAAACAGCAGAAATTAAAGAGATTTGGGAAATCTGCTGTTGATTGAGGAAGTGTATACAGTACTTTTGAAAGGTTTTTATTTCATTTTTTATGTCCCATTTTATGGATGCCTTTGAAAATCACTATTCTCGGAAAAAGATAAATATTGGATTGAGTTTTCTTTTGGATAAAACGCTTTTTAAATAGATTACTTCGAAGGATTATCAAAACTGCCTTATATCTTTGTTATAAATGAATATGATCTATGAATTGATATACCGTATTATGTTGCCTGAACAACTTCAAATATTGCTGCGGGTCGAAGATTTCAATTTTTTGAAAGATTTTCCCATTTTTTGACCTTCATTTTTCCGCACACTGCGATTTTTCTTTGCCAAAAAAAAAAAAAACATTTCTTTGCCTACTTCTTATTCGTTGCCTGCAAATTTTGCGATTATTGAAATTGTGCTGGTTTTTCTTCCTTAGAAATTGACGCTCGTCTTCAAAACGAACCAAACCTGCATCCGGAATTGAGGAAATCTCTGAAGGAATTCTGTGTGCTCATGGGGCGGAAACTTGATATCCTCGATCGTAATGCGTTATGAAGGAATTAAAATGAATGGTGGGTGGTTCTCCTGCGATGTGAGGAAACCTTCTTCAGTTGGTAGTAATTGTTCTGAGGTGAAGTCGATAAAATACATATGCGTGATGGAACTTTTTTTGTTTTGCGATGTGATGGATTGAGATACTGGATTATTTTTTACCGAATGGCTTTATTTTTGATGAAGCAGCTGATGCTGTTACTTTTTTTTTTTTGAAGTCGTATTTTGGGCATCCAGTTCTAGTTCGGCACGTCAGAGCTGTATGTGTTGAGCACCAATCGTTCGTTTGCTTTTTTTGCTTTACTCGTTCGGCATTTTGGAAGGGCTTCGTCGGTTTTGCTATTCGGCTAATTTATTATGGCGACGCTGTATTCGTGTAAGTGTACGCGGCTGGGAAACGACTTGAGCGAGAAAAATATGGCATTTTTTGGAGCTTGAATTGAGTGTTCGAATAATTTATCAACTGAAAAATCACCTGATCAATCGTCTTGCAGGATTGCAGACTGGAGAGCCGTGAGCAGACTACCTCTTCATGATTTTCATATGATGAATGTTATTCAGATTGTCTAAAAAGTAACCTTTTTTAACTGAAGTTCCTATTGCTTGGGATTTGAATTTACTTCTGGATTCAAAAATTATTTTAGGCATGCTGCAATACTGCTGGATTTGGAAACATAGACATGCAGGAGGATGAGATGATTGATTTCAATTATTTCGACTTGTTTCTACTTCTGTTAAAAGTATATAGCAATAGATACATAGATATAGTTGCAAGCTTTCAACAATACTTGTACAGTATATGGATATGGACGGTTGTACAGTCTTATTCCCGCCATTGAAAAGCCATGAAGATGGATTTGTGTGACGAAAATCGTAGTGCTTTAAATCAACTTTCCCTTAATTTTTCTGGGCTGGCTGACAAGCAGATTCAAAATAAAATGTGCAGGACTGGTGAACATTTATTTAAACTTATTTTTAGTAGGAGATTGACGTTACACACTAGAAGTTTCTAGAAAAAAAAAACTCATTCACCTAATTTTCATGCATGTTGAATATAAAAATTGGACGTGATGTCAGGACTTTTTATGTTCAGCTATGACTAAAATTTGATCCTTTTCTTTACACTGAAATTGCGGAATCAAAATTAATTTTCAACTTTGTCCCAAGAGTAATTTTTGATGAAAAGCATTTTTGAGCAATTATTATTCCGTACTTGGTCTCGTGCACTAATTCCCCCAAAAACACTTGAGAGGCAATAGATTAAATCTTACACTTGCTTATGTCGCTGTCAAATTTTCTGTAGGCAATCATTTTCAATCTTCATGATCAAAATAGTTAATCAGTTAAATAATGAAATTTGATGAAAACTTGCATATTGGGAAGGCATTCTTTGTAGACAACAAAGCGATTTCATGCTGAAATATAGTTGCTGCAAATGCTCAAAAAGATTATGCATGACCAAATTGTTGGAGATCCAACAGAAGAATGTGGTATTGAAAATTTTTAAAGTTATCCCTGATGATTCCAAAGGATTAAAATTGGAGATCTCAGTTGAATTTTGAATCAATTTAGATGAGCATCACACATTTATCTGAAAGTAAATAAATTGGTTCTGTCTCATGGAACTTTAACAAATACCGGGTTCGGTATTAGTACAGTACAGTATAGCACTGAAGCTGTTCAATACTTCAATTTGCAGCCTCTGTGGAGGTCATGGATTTGTAGGGTGATGATTGTTTGCGAATTGAAAAATGATAATTCAACATAATTTTCATGTGATCATTACCCAACATCGATGAATGAATGATGTAAGAACAGCTGAAACGATGGGGCTACACCAATGTTCGTTTTCCCCCCCCCCCCCCCCCCGGCCGTTAAATTCTCCCACAATTTCTCAAGCAGCGCAGGATCAGTTCTTGGGTTAAAAAGCTGTAGAAAGAATTTCACGCCGCTCGTTAAGCGGATGTGGTGCGCGATTTGTGCAAGCGTGGTCATTGCTTTTTCGCTCATGGTTGGATAAGTGTCCCATAGCTGCATGAATACGTAGTCACTGCCTTCGTGAGTTTCGTAATGGTCGACGGTGAACGAGCCGAAGTGAATTTTTCTCCAAATGCCACCAGATAACTCACGCTACTGATTCTTGAATTCGCTCCTCGGTGTTTCGTGTACGCATGAGAATATTTCTGTCTTTGATGCGAATCAGCGACAGTTTGCGATGAAAACTGCCGCACTGCTCGTGAGTTTGATCGGGTTTTTGATCTACAGTATCGATGCCCGCATACACAAACTTGATATTCTCGTAAGAATTTTTAATTTTATTGGCGTTAGTGTCTAGGAAAAGCTAAAATATGTAAGTATTCGCAGGGTGACAAACGGGACTTGATACTTGTCAGTTCGTTCGGATTCAACAAAGGCGGGTACTTGGAAGTCACGGTTAATAATCTCACCGCTGAGCCATTCCAGGAGTCTGACCTGGTGAGCTGAATTTCAAGTTTTATATGCTGGAGTCCTGACCATATACTGTATTGATTTCCTTTGTTTTAAAGTTCGGATTCAGTTTAGATCGAACTATCAGTGATGCCGTGAATTCCTTCACGGAATCTCATACCCGCGATGGCTGCGTTCTCAGTAAAGAGACAGTTTCTCTCACTTCGTCTGAACTTTTGTCTGCTGGGCTAGTGCTATTTAAGTTTGACTTTGCCGCAAATAAGTGAGTTGGATTATCGAATCTTGCTCGTGAAATATTGATAAATTTTTTTGGTTTCCAGGGTTAAGGTCAAATGTAGTCCGCAGCTTCGTGGTCTCGGTTTCTTTTTGAGTATCGATATGATCCCGAAAGAAACTGTTTCCGCGGTTCGGAAGAGGAAAGCTAATTTAAAGAAGAAAGGAGAAGAACCGAATGAGGGGCTTCCTCCGCGCGCTCGCCGAAGTGTTATTACGGATCCATCATTCATGAACAAATCTATCATTCCACAATTGAGAGAAGTGGACATGGTGGCAGAAAAAGTTCCTGTCCACGAGGAGCACGATTCTTGTGAAGACGTTGTGATACCCCTGAATAGCTCCGGTCCGAATTCTTTCACCACAAAAGTTAGTTCGGAAAGTCAAACGCTTGCAGCATTTACACCCTCTACCTGGAATTTTCACAGTTTATAGTTTACATCAAGTCGGAGCGTGAGGAAGGACGTTATCATCTGTACTTTCATAACTGCCGCAATTACGGACATGAAACTGAAAACCATCCGCCTTTGTCAACTGTTGACATGAAGGTATGTTCTTGATTGAATTAAAAATAGGTATGGGACTCGACATAATTATCTTTGTATTACGAAGCTGACGGTTGTAGAAATGAACGGCAAAGGTAATTTCCTGTCTGCTGGAGAAATGCCGCTTCCGCCGCTTTTCTTCATGATGTCTGTGCTGTTTTTCATTACCGGAATATTCTGGCTTTTCATTCTGAAGAAGAGCGAGTAAGCAAAGGAATCCTTTATTTTTTAATAGTGGTTTAGTATTGTTAATTACATTTTAGGTCGACGGTATTCAAGATCCACTACCTGATGGCAACATTAGTGTTTGCCAAATCGCTATCTCTGTTGTTCCATGGAATCAACTATCACTACATTGAGTTGTCTGGCACTCACGTTGAAGCATGGGCTGTGTTATACTACATTATGCATCTATTGAAAGGAGCACTGTTGTTCATCACGATTGTACTCATCGGTTCTGGTTGGGCTTTCATCAAAGGCATCCTATCAGACAAGGAAAAGAAAATTTTCATGATAGTTATCCCGCTTCAGGTTTGTGGTTAATTTCATTCTCTTCGAATTGGATACCGAAGTCGAAAATATTTACACAGGTACTTTCAAACATCGCTATGATCATTTTTGAAGAAAGTGAGGAAAGTGAAGTCGGGCATTCTATGTGGAATGAACTACTTATTCTCGTGGATTTGCTGTGCTGCGGAGCAATTTTATTACCTGTCGTGTGGTGAGTTCAGTATTGGTGATATAAAATTCTGTTCTTCTTTTCTATGTAGTTCTTTATGCTTTAGGTCTATTCGGCATTTGCAGGAAGCTGCCGAAACAGATGGAAAGGCAGCCATTAATTTGAAGAAGCTTTGTTTGTTTCGGCATTTCTACGTCATGATTGTTTGCTACATCTATTCCACGAGAATCATCGTGTACTTACTAAAGGTTCAGATTTTTTTTCTTCATTGAATCAACAGAACTTATATGTTTTGTATTGTTTTCTGATCAATATTTTCTAGATCACCTTGCCATTTAATTATGCTTGGTTGGATGATATGTTCCGCGAGATGGCGACATTTGTCTTCTTCGTCATGACGGGATACAAATTTCGACCTGCTTCCAGTAATCCCTATCTTCAGATTTCACAGGAGGACGAAGGCGATGTTGAAGATGAAGTGTGAGCTAATTTATGGTTTCCACTCTGAAATCATCCAAGTATTTTTGGACGGAAATCGTTTTTAATCTTGGAATGAAGCTTTTTTTATTATGTGCCGCTTCTGTACGTGTTCTTTTAGAGGATACATTTTTTAGGCGGTGCTTTTATGCCTAATTTTCAAAACTTGAAAAATTTGGCTTTCAAAATAATTTCGAGTTTGGCTCATTTACAATATTTTATTTTCTGAAGTAATCGCTGGTGTTAGCCTGTGTTCGAGTATTGTTTGCGTTTTGTTTTGTTGAGTGTTTCTTTTATAATTTCATTGGGGATTTTTGCTTTACATAAAACTTTTTTTTATAGCATCACGATGACAGGTCTTACTGAAGGTTTGACTCGCCACAACCGCGGAAACCGAAGTGTTCTCGGCGAATCATCTGACGAAGACCGGGAGAATTTGTTTGACGCCGAAGCTTTGATCAGTTCATCGAGGAGTGCCGGGATTTCGAAGCGAGAAGCCAGTCATGACTATGACTAGAATTGTCTTTCTCGTACGGACGATCTTCAAATCACGAACGACACTTCCTCTTTCTTCCTAGTTCCATTGTGACCGTTTCTTACCTTCATCGTAGCATTTTGTCGCTGGATTTTTAAATCATGTTCAGTACTGTTCGGTGTTGCTATTCTCTAGTCATTCTGCCGTTTGAGAGCTAAAGATCTGGTTTAAAACGTTTCGGTTTTGTGATTCTGGTGGTCTAGAAAGGCCTCTTGGATGGAAATAATTAATATTGTTTTTGTTTTTTCAATGCTACCTTTGAATGTTATTTCCTTGGAAAATACTGGCTACAGTGGATGTGTTTTTGCAGGGAAAAATTTATGATGTGAAATTCGAGATATTTCATTTTCGACCGCTGCGTGAGTGGTTATGACGATGTATCGTGCTCCCGACAGCTGCTGTCCTCATGTGACACGATCTGTTGGCGACGTTGGACAACTTGTTTTGAATGAGCAAACTTTAGAAGTGAGTTTTTCAATTTTTAAAATCGGAATTTTTTTGTCAGTTATTCACGCTTTAATCGACGATTATTTTCAGTTATTGAAGTGTGGTGTCTGTGGGCGATCCGAAAAGGCACTATGGCTTTGTCTGTATCCAATGTGTTTTGCTGTTGGTTGTGGCAAGAAAGGTGATGATCATTCGTCTGCGCATTATTTGGTGAGTCATTGAGTCGATAGATTCATTTGACCGTGCTTTTTTATGTGGAAATGCCATTGGGTTGGAAATCTTTCGAAGTAGAAATGCATGAAGAGTTTCATCATAAGCTTGATACATTTTCCAGGTTCTTTCATTGCAATGTTGAATTGCCTTCGCATGGGTAGATGTCGCTAGTTGTAAAATAGTCAAACCTCGATAAGCCGCCACCATTTGTTCGTGGAATTTGTGGCTGTTTAAAGTGGGTTGGTTGGTTATCAAAAAAACTAAAATATGAAAATTAAGTATTATAGGAAGTACAATTCTTATCCTAGGAAACAATCTTTCATGTCATTAAAACCCTACGCATTTAATATAAACCGACTACAAGGGTTCTTCACCTAATACAGTATAAAGACAAACACAAATAATGAAACTCAAAAGAAGTTTTAGAAGTGGCAGCCCTTGCCAGAAAATTCCCAGAATTTTCTGTCATTGCAATTTTTTTTCAAACATTTTTGTTGTTGACTTTTTTTAGACATCAATCAAGAACATTTTTATTGCACCGTGTGACTTTCGGCTGTTCCCAATGGGGAATATTGATCTGATACGGATTGATTTTGAGGACAGTTACAGCCTCATTTCCATTGTCAGAGAGTGGCTCGATCAACTAACCCAATTATCAATTTTTGCAATGTTTTGATCATTGGGTTTATTGCATGAAAAAATCCATCGAAATCGGCGGAGACTGCGTTGAAAAGCACCGAACACAACAGTTTACTGCCCCGATACGCAAATTTTTGTTTTTGGACCTTAACAACTTTGAGACAACCTGGATGTCATAAAGTCTTTAAAAGTTAAGAATCCTTGGTTGGGAGCTTATCAAATTAAAACGTGGTGTCGTGAGTCATGTCAATGCAATTTGGGTGCACATACAGATGGGCCCACTATTCAACGAATTTCAGTGGACCAGAAAAACCTTGGATGTAGGTAGAATTTCGTTGTAGCGAACCCCTATGGGATTCATAGAGAAAATGTCCGGTACCAAGAGATTTTCGGTCATGCAGAGGAACTCTTTTTAGAGGGAGTCTGCCTGTACTACAGTGACAATGGCACAACATTTTCTACACGCACGTCGACTGGGTTCGAGGAGGAACACTAATTTAAAACTTTTTGCATGGGTTTCCTGTTACAATTTCTATTTAGTTATTTTTTTTAATTTTCGAGTTTGAAGGAGTATTAAATCAATTTTGATTGAAAAAAAAAGCTGAAATGAAAAAAAATCAAGCTTTTCGTCGTCAAGATTGCTATGTCCTTGGTTAAATCTTGTCTCTGTCCATATCGTGTGAATTCCTTCTTATCTGCATTTCCCACCTCACGTTTCGAATAGGAAAATGAATTGTGTGTTGTCAAATGACGGGGCTATGCGTTTAAAAACAAAAACCTGGAATTGTTGAAACTCTGTTGGACCTACAGTATTTCAGAAATTTTCAATTCTTAGGAACCAACCCTCGAATAGTTTAATTTTGCGGGTGTCGTGAGTCATGTCAATGCAATTTGGGTGCACATACAGATGCGCCCACTATTCAACGAATTTCAGTGGACCAGAAAAACCTTGGATGTAGGTAGAATTTCGTCGTAGCGAACCCCTATGGGATTCATAGAGAAAATGTCCGGTACCAAGAGATTTTCGGTCATGCAGAGGAACTCTTTTTTAGAGGGAGTCTGCCTGCACTACAGTGACAATGGCACAACATTTTCTACACGCACGTCGACTGGGTTCGAGGAGGAACACTAATTTAAAACTTTTTGCATGGGTTTCCTGTTACAATTTCTATCTAGTTAATTTTTTTTAATTTTCGAGTTTGAAGGAGTATTAAATCAATTTTGATTGAAAAAAATAAGCTGAAATGAAAAAAAAATCAAGCTTTTCGTCGTCAAGATTGCTATGTCCTTGGTTAAATCTTGTCTCTGTCCATATCGTGTGAATTCCTTCTTATCTGCATTTCCCACCTCACGTTTCGAATAGGAAAATGAATTGCACTGCGTGCAACTCAGCCTGTCCACGTGGCGTCTCTGGTGTCACGCGTGTGACAGCGAAGTTTTTTCAACCAGTAACGATCCACCGCTTGCGTTTCCTGTTCCGTGTAAGTCACGGAAGCGCCAGAAACGGGACAGCGTTGTTCCATCAACTGCAGCGAAGAAATGCGAGCAAGTGTCGGAGCACGGGATCACGTCGTCGTCTTCCTCGGTGTCTTGGGATTCGGGGATATCCAGTGGCCACCGTTCGCTCAAGGTGCCACTGTGGCCCGTCGGGGCAGCACCCGCGACTGAGGACGTTATGGCCTACGATTTTTTCGAGACCGAGGACTGGTCCGAGGATGACGACAAGGATGATGGTACGCCGATGCTGTTTCCGCAAATGGGACTACAGAGGAAACTGGGACCAAGAAGAGGTGAGACACTTGCCAACTCATTTGAAGTTTTTCCTTAGCTGCCGATAGATTTTAAATTCTCGTGCCTTTCATTTCAACGTCTTTCAGGCCCTTAGAAATGCCAGGCCAGTCGAATTAAACTTTATTTTTTCATTAACATTTTGGGTTAAATCATCCCTTTCAAATTTTCAGCGTTTTCAACTTATTTTCTTCTGGTTTTGAATCGTCTTAATTGCATTAACCTCAAGATCGATGAATTTCATTTTCCAACGGAATTTCATTTGAAGTTGGTGGATTTTTGTGAAGTAAATTTTAATCCTATGTTGTATTTAATGTTTTAATTTTTCTTTCGGTTTTCTGGCGAAATATTGCTTGAGGTCTGAAGATCATAAGTAAGTGTGACTTTCCCGCTCGTCGGGTTATTCACTCCTCGACAAGATGTCATGGTAAAGCTCTCTGAAAATCGTTAAAAACCTCGGACTTTATTTTATTTATTCTCAGGGCTAGTCGGGTTCGCGAACCTGGGTAACACATGTTATCTGAATGCGGCGCTGCAAACATTGTGTCACGTTCAGCCGCTGGTGGATTTCTTCATACATTGTCGGAAAAACCTGTCGATGGCTGCCGAAGAAAGGTTGAATGCGCCATCTGTTGGACGATCAGGTGGTCGAAACGTCGGCTTTGAGCACACCGGCGCCGGAGACGAGCGAATGACGTCCAACGATCCACAAATTGCGTTGGCGTTCCGGAAAATTCTGGACTCCATGTATGAGAATGTCACAGTGGACTATGTTGCACCGTGGGGGGTTCTGAGAGGGATTCGAATGGTAAGTTCTGTATGATTTTTTTATTTTGGTTTTTCAACAGTTGAATCTCTTTACAACAAAGCCATTGGGGCCAGGAAAATAGTTTCGTCATATCGGGAAATTTATTGTAAAAAAAAAACTAAAATAACGTTGCTGCTATCTGGCAGATACTTGAAAACATAATTATTTTTAATCGATCATTCTTTGCAACGATATTCATTGTGTCGAAATTCTCCTTTGTATTCATTTTTGATTCCTAGATGATATTCTTGATGTCTTGAGGAGGTTAAGCGTGGAAAATTATTGCCAAGTCGAGTTAGGTGTCACATTAATTAGGTATGTGGTTGCTCTAATCAAGTTATATTACCGTACATAATTCTTCATTTGGGTGCATTGTCTAGAACTCTACAGCACCACCCCATTATCTGGATCCGTGGTTTCATTTATTGCGATATAGGTGTCTCTGAAATGTAATTACCATAAATTTAGTGGAGAAGTGATTGTTAGGTCTGTATGAAATGCCGAAGTTTAGTGTGTTATTTTGTCATACAAGGTAGGTAAGCAACTTTTTGGGCGGGGGGTTGATACAGATACTTGTCGGACCGTCCGGCAAGTATGGGGTGTGTTCATGGTTAAAAAAGACTTAATTGCAAGGAATTTTTGTTCAGAATCAAGATTGTCAAATGCCAAGGTTCTTAACATCTGAAGGAATGTGATTCAACAGGTGAACCCAACCTTCCGAGGTTACCATCAGCAAGACAGCCAGGAATTCATGCGATGCTTCATGGATCAGCTGCATGAAGAAACGAAATATCTAGTCATCCGTGATGCGAGAGGTAATGACAATTTTACTCTTGTGCGCAATGCTCATTGTATTTCCCATGTGCTTCTGGTTAAAGATTTTTTACTCGACTGATCCCTTCTGTTCCGTCGATTGAATTAATTCGAGATTCTTATTCGAAAGGGTTTCAAGATTTTGTTGAGGCGGCAGCGGAGAATGGGGGTGCCGGTGACGAAACCTGTGATGCCGTGTCTGAGGAAGAAGCTTATGAAGATGTTCAAGAGCGGGAGAGTACGAAGAGCGACGATGAGCCGGAGGTCAACGGCGACGATGAGCGAGGCTACGAAACTTGCGACTCGGGACTCAGCAACTCCACATCGAGTGAAGAATCGCCTAATCACGGAATGGCTGAAAGGTTTGTTGAAGTTAAATATTTCGGTTCCCGAAAAATCGCCTTATTTTTTATTTACATTATCGTACCTCTCCAAGTCGAATTGCAAGTGGCCAACGAAAAAATTGATTTAGGGAAACAAGCATTTGTTGTTGTCGGAAAGATGGAATAATTGCAGGCTATTGTAATTGATGATATTCTTGGCCTCAAATTGCTTCTTAAATGATTTGGTAGGATGCTGAAGTTGAAGGCAAGAGTTCATTTGCCCAATTTGTCTTTAACTTCCTTTCAAAACACATCGTTATTTTTTATTGCTTTTCTCTTTCTCGAGTTATCGAGGTTGAACTTATATTTAATTTTCAATTTTCAGAACGCGTTCTGCGAGGAAGAAGCAAAGATATCCGTCGATTCACTTGCCATCTAGCCCAACTGACGGTGATTTTCACTCGGGAAGACATGCTAGGTTCGGGGAATTGCCTGCTGGATCTGTTCCTGAGGGCAACCCTCAGGGTTACGAGAGGCGTCGTGCTCGTCCGTGTTCTAAACCTCGGTATCGACAAGCTGATGCTGATGACGCTTCCGAACACCGAGCCACGATAAATAAAAGTTATAAAAGTGTTGTTTCGTCGGTCTTTGATGGCAAACTCATTAGCTCGGTGCAGTGTCTCACTTGTGCTCAGGTTAGTGTAACAAAAACTCCGCTCTGACATAATTTTTAATTACATTCGAAAGCAATAGTTTTTTAGGCAGTATATTTTAAAATTGAGTGAATTTGGTGACAGTGTTGAAGATTTTATGACGACATCTTATTTCTCTTCTGACATTGATGTCAATTCATCAAAGGCAGTCATATGAGTGATATCCGTTAAAATTCCTGCATAATTCTTGAACAAAATGACGTTTTTGATACCTTCAGCTACAACTAAGGCAAGGGAAAAGTAGTGTTCGTTAATCTCAAAAAGGGAACAGTTCATCCATTAATTCGGTTTGAAAATATTTGATTAAGGTACCATTTTTAAAAAATTGAAAAGCTGATGGTTGATTAAGTCATGTTATAGTCGAGCACGTGCTAGCGGTTTATTTATTCATTTTTAAGTTTGTATCTTTAGTTTGAATTATTCATGGAAATGATTGAGGAAGAGTCTCGTTGAGGTCCAGGTCGAATTTAAAAAATTCCGTGACGGAAATTGCTGTTTTCTGTGTGTGTGAAGCGTTTGATGCAGTTTAATCTTCTACTGCTGTGCATTGTTTTTCGGTGCAGGTTTCTTCAACCCTCGAAACGTTTCAAGATTTATCGTTACCTATTCCCGGGGGAGAATCGTTGCAAAGACTGCGGTCAGCCGGATCAAAAACCTCAATGTCCACGTCGTCTCTTGGACCAATGTGTGAAAGTGCTGCGTTCTCCTCGACGGTTCCTCTGTCGGATCAGCTAGATGCGAGAGCCAGTGTGCCCGGATGGATTTCCTGGTTTTGCGGATGGCTCAAGTCCTGGTTGTGGGGTCCGACTGTGTCCCTGCATGATTGTTTGGCTGCCTTCTTTTCTGCGGATGAGCTGAAGGGTGACAACATGTACAGGTTAGAGTCTGGGTTGTTTGTTTGTCTTCATTTCTTTTGGACAGATTGTCTTGAGGAAAAATTGCAGTGGGTCCACGCTTAACGAACTAATCAATCGTGTCTGGTTGCGTTTCTTTTTGCGGAATTTTCATAGGCGATTTTCCTTAAATTTGCATTGTAAGTTATTTACTTCGTTCCTGATACTCTCCAAAAAGCCAAAATAAACCATTGAAACAGTTTTTTATTTTTTTCAATTGGAAATTGTGAGTTTAAAATTTCTGTTCATGAAATTCAAGTAATCATGAAATTTGGCTTTGAACCTTTTGAATTTCATGTACAGTATTGTCAAGGTAACAGGCAAAATATCATTTTCTTATTTCCCTCAATTTTTGGAATAAAAAATAGTGAAAAAAGGTCAATCGAAACTTGTTAAAACCAGCATTTTTGGGTCATGAGATCTCCTTGTATAAAACAATTTTGTTTTGTGAGCCACGTTTTCCTCATTAGAAAATTCGTTATTTCACTGTTCCGTTGCACGGGTCTTTCGTCATGTGGGGACTAAGTGTGAATACCCATTACAATATATGGTTCATAAAATTATATTTAAATTTACGCCGAAGCTGTTTCGTACTCTTTGATGACTTAAGCAATAGGGGAATAAAAATGAAGAAAGTACAGTGGAATGTACGTGAAAAGATATTTCAGCTCTGTTGAAAAAATAAACCGAAGATTTTCGAATTTTTTAAAACATTTTTTCATATTTTAATACAGTATTCATTATTCTCATTGTGGTTGCACCGTATGCGGTATTGCTTCAAGATTGTGAACGCAGCAAAATCTTTTCCGTTTTTCTTAGTTGCAATACGTGTAAAAAGCTGAGGAATGGCATGAAAGTGAGCCGGGTTCTTGAGTTGCCGGAGGTCATGTGCATTCACTTGAAGCGTTTCAGACACGAGTACCTGGGATCATCAAAGATTAGCACGCGTGTCTCTTTCCCATTGGAATGCATCGACATGGGACCGTACCTTCATAAAGGTGAGAAAATTCTGTTCGACTTCGGTCGTGAGAAGTCCTGCACTCAAAGTACATTACTAAGATTTGTTCTGTCTTTGAGAATTATTTTGAAATACTTCGGTGTTCGAAATTTGGATCATGGTTTCTGTTCCCGTGGGAATAGCTGTTATATATTTTTTTTTCAAAATTGTCCTTTTTTTATCTTGACATTCGACTCCCTGATTTTTTTTATTACAAAGATATGCATCATGCGAAAAAAAAGTAGAATGCGTTTGAGATGGAGGTACAACGCGTTGTGACAAATCTAAATTACTTGAGACTTGGTTGAGTTGGGTTTAAGTGGTTGTGATCTTCTGTCGAATAGTTGATTCTGGCGACGCCTTTCTGAGATTCCGGGCAGCAAAATTGATTTGGAAACAAGCCCCGATTTTAAGGAGCTAACGATGTGTGAATGTACAGTACTGCGATCACTTTGAGTTAATTGGTCTCGGGGAAATTAGCTGGGTTTTATCGTGTCGTGTTTGCTATTCTTGAACCAGATTGCAAATCACGGGTTACAAAATACCGTCTGGTGGGCGTCATTTGTCATATTGGAAACTCGTTGGGTGGAGGTCATTATGTTTCTTATTGTTCGACGGCTGCGAGAAAATGGTTCGAATTTGACGACCGGATTGTGACTCGAGTGACGCCAGAAATCGTCGCAAATACGGAGGCCTATGTTTTATTGTACCAGTGAGTAATATTTCTGTTTCAAACGAGTTTCTGTGTTTGAGAATCTTTGACATCTTCAGGAAAGACGACCCCATGGCGTGGCTGAAACGTGAACGTATTTTGCAAGAATTCAGCAGAAGTTTAAACGACATGGATTTCATGCACTACTATGTTTCGAAAGAATGGCTTGTGAGGTTCGTGCACATTTTTTACTACAGTATTTCTTTCATCAATCGTCCACTTTCAAAAAATGTTATAGGAATTACTGTACATATAGGAATTATAAAATGTTTATCGTCACCAACAGCAGAAACAATTATTTTTATAATTTTATTACACTGGATGTTTTGTTTATTTTCCTTTTTGTTTTAGATTCAACACGTGTTCTGAACCGGGTCCAATCGATAATTCTGACTTCCTCTGTCCTCACGGCTCTGTGTGGCCTCATAGAGCAGCGTTTGTTCAAGAATTGTGTGTGGAAATCCCTCAAAATGTTTGGGAGGAGCTGCACAAAAGGTCTGTTGAATTTTCCCCCGAAATTGATTCATTTATATATGTCCCAGGGCATTTTGTGCATTTTTTGAACCCACGTTTGTTTATTGTAGTTTTGGCGGAGGCACTGCTTGCAACCGGTTGCAAATATGTCGAGTATGCGAGGATTGGCAAGAGAAAATTTTCACGCGTCAAGCCGCAGAACTTCAGCGCTACCAGGAGCTCTATGAAGAATTCCAAGTGAGTTTTGTTGACCAACGATGTTTATTCGCAATGTAGTCATGAATTTTAGTTTAAAATAAATGTTGCGTTTGATGTTGACGAGTATGTTCATTCGAGAATCGAAGTTTGCACAGCGTCATTTCTGTGTCAAGAAATTGAGTTTGCCAAGGTCGAAGATGTTTATTCCCGATATTATTTCCTGGAATACTCGGAAGATGTTGTCTGAATCATTTACAGTAATTTTAAAAATTGTTGAAACAGCTTTCATTAACTTACAAATTTTGTCTGGCCGCATCTCCCAGAGTAACTTTCATTTTTTAACGATATGATATTTTTGGGTTGAGCTAAGTGGGGTTCACCATCTGAAGCAAAAATCTGCGAAAATTCTAATTCATTGTGCGAACCTTTCATTATCCGTGATACCATTGATGGCAAATTCGCAATGAATACCATTGTGCTGTTGATTTTCTCGTCTTGTTCATTTGTTTTATTAAATAATGAAGAGGAATGGTGTTGAAAATGTTTCTTCCAGGAATGTGATTCGTCCGTGTACGCCATTTCATTACCGTGGTTCCGCCAATGGCAAGCCTTCGTTAAAGGGCGGATGTTCGACATCCCCGGCGCCATCGACAACAAGCAGATCAGCAAAACCGTCGCTGGTCGTCAAAAATCCCAACTTCGTCATTCTTTCAAGTCCGACTTCGTGGAAGTTTCCGAAGACATGTGGAACTGGTTCCGGAACGTGTATGGCGGCGGACCTGCTGTTTTGCTGAAAGAAATCCGGAAAGAATCGATCGCTTCCGGATTCCCCAAGGGGTTCTGAACTTGTTCGTTATTATTTTTTCCGTGGTTGATTGTTTTTCCGTGGACGAAGATTTCGATGGACGGAAATTTCGTTTTATTCGTTTTATTTGTTGTTCAAATTGAGTTTGCAGTTATGATCTCTCTGAAAATAATCTTGCTACTTTGAAATGGGGGGTTTTGCTCACCGGTTTTCCGGGGATTTTTTTGTTGACTTGGTGTGTTGATCCAAATACCTATGAATCGGTCTCTTTTTTTCTGTTTAAAATGCAGGAAACAACCTGAGCTTATGACCACCTTCAGTCAGTCATTTTTGGAAGATATGAACTGGGAAACGGGAGTCTTATATATTTCGATCGTATAAATATATTTCAAAGTTGCGTATCTTTTTTACGCAGTCATCCTAAATTTTGAAATCACGTCCTTGAATAAAAGTACAGTACTGTTTTTACAGTAAAAGGGCTCATGTTATGGCGAAATTTTGCTCCCCAAATAATTTTTAACACACTGTAGTGTGAAACATTTCGGGTTCGTGAAGCCGGTGAAGTTGAATTGTTTCCGCGATTTAGTAGAATTTGCTGACAAAACTACCGTGTTTCCCCATGAATCAGGCATCGTATTCTGATAAATTTTGCATTACTTTTTAGAAATTCTGTAAAATGAAGCTTATGAATACATTGGGTTATTATCTACTATGGAAAATTGTTGTTCTATTCTAAAATGTAAAAATGAGAAAAATCTGGGCTTCATCTGAGAAATTGAAGTAGCAGAATAAAAGTCAGGATTGATTTTTGTGACCAATTCCTGTATGACTCATTGCCCTAATTGGAGTGCTAAATTGTGAATTCATCCAAATGGTGTACCGTAAAAAGGTAATTGTGTTTATATCAAAGCTTATTTTGGGTCGAGGGCTTATATTTTTCGGTATTGGTGTCTGAATATAGTAGTGTGATTTACTTCATGATCAGCTCATATTTTTGGGGAAGCACAGTAGTATGTTAACATCGGTTCATGTTATACGTTCGTGGTGTAGGTTTTCTCTCCTTTAACTTTCGTTCTTGCTTCGCACGTTATCGTTCTTGCCATTCGTCTGATTTGTCACCTGATGAGTGGTCTTGAATGTTTCATTGAGTTGAAATATGAGGACTTGCCCGTGGGTTGACGGTACTAGGATTGGTTACCTGGTCTTGTTTGAATGCTGGAAAAAAAGTGGATATATTCAGCAGCTATATTTCATTTTATAAAATTGCATTACGGTTCGAGGGTTGTCTGTTGACAGCTTACCCAGAGGGTTTTAAAAATTGAGAAATTCGAAAGACCAGATCATGTGAAAAGATTTTTTTTGGTTCACATAGACATGAGTTTCATGCCATATTTTCCTAAACACTTGGAAACCAGAAGGAAGTTACGGCCACCCTCGAACCCATTTCTCCTACTGCATCCATTTATACTTTTGCTATAATAATTATTAAAATTTCCTCAAAGCCTGAAAACAAGTCCCTTCTTGAATTCTTGAAGGAAAAAATTCATTAGAAACCTCCCGAACTTGAAGGCTTTCCCTCTCAAACCTCTGTAATTTAAATTTTCTGGGGGATTTTAGTCTATTATTTTATCGACACAGGAAAGAGAATAGCAATACAATTTTAACTTCATGTGAAAGAGTAATCAGGCAGATGAACCCTTGCCTCCAAGTTAAGCATCAATGCATTGAAGGAACAATTTAAGGTCCAGCATATCACCAATTTCAATTTCCTACAATTGTTCTATTTATTTTGATTACAAAAATGCTTGCTTCCCAACACATTTTTTGCCGGTCTCTTGAAATTTGACTTTAAAGTCAAGTTCGATAATTGATTTGATGATTTAAAACAATTCGCGAAAAGTTTTGGCTTTGCGGATCACCCTGAGAATTCATTTTCACACAAGCTTTAAAATTCGCTTTCCTCAACTCACGCAACAGTAAAGAAATTTTTTTAGTATGACAGCATTGTTGTTACGAACTTACGATACAGGAGTGGTGTTACCGATTCCAGTGAAGGTATTTTTAGTGCAGAATGATCTCGTGTAGATTGGCGTGATGAGTGATGAGAGGCATAAGCTGAGTGTGAAAAGGTTCTTGCTCGCCCGCAAGATTCACTTGTGGAAACCTCCGTATTCGGTGGACGGCGTTGTGCAGGACGATGTCGTGGATGTAAGACGCAGTTTGAATTGTCGGCGCAATAAATTGAAATCGACGGGACATTCAAATGTGCTTTGTGCAGGAGTTGTCAGGAATGGTAGCTGCTGAAGTGGGATTGACCAAGGCCGATGCTTTCAGGATTTGCAAGGAGCTTCAAGCACTCGCTGCGAAAAATCTGAAAGAAAAGGAAGAATTTTTGCAACACGGAATTGCCACACTTCAGCTGCGCCTCGCGGAAGATCTGTCGTCCGCGTTGCAAGTGACTGACAAACTAAGTGTCAAAGTTCGACTGGACGAGGATGGGAAGGATTTGGTATCCAAAATAGCGGCGGTGATCAAAATTGATCAACACAAGTGAGGACGTTTAATGTCGACTAGAGATAAAAATGAGTCCCCACATAACAAAAGATTGCAAAATTTCGAATTTTTTAAATATACGGGTTGTCCCACTGAGGTGCGACTTTGGTTTTTTTCTGGAGTATGTATGACTAAAACAAAATTATGATTTAGCCCATGAAATTATAAATTTCTGGGATTTTTTTCGGATTTTTAAATACATTTTCCTACTTACTGCGCGATGATAAGTGAAAACTTTCCAGTTACGGTTAGAGTTCACTACACATGTCACAGGGTGCTAAAAAAAATTGCAGGCCAGTCAAAAATTGTACTGTATTTTGTTGTTTCAACCATTATTTCTTCTTTTTGTAAGATGTTGTTTTAAACAACAAAGAAATTTCAATTTTTAGCTGACCTGAAAATTGAAATTTCTTCTGAATTGAAAAATGCTAGAAAAATAAATTTTAAATTAAAAAAAAGTATTATACATTTCATATTTTTTAACCCCCACAGGATAAAATGCATTGTGAAAGGCCGTGTGATAAAATCAGAATCAAGCCTAGCATCGCAAAATGTAGCGCATGGGGACACGGTGCTGATCGTTGTTTCAAAAAGGCAAGATTTGGCAGAGCAGGAAGCTGTGCTGCGGAGTATCCAGCAAATCAAGACCGATGCGCATCTGTTGGCTGATGCAGGAAACTCTGACGACAAGTTTTTGCAAATCAGGGATCAAACAGGTTCTCCTGTGAAAATCCCGGAACACAGTCGTCTAGCTTTAATGACAGCCTTGGCGCTATATGACCGAGGAAGGACGGAACTCAAGTTTGGGCATTTTTCAAAAGCGTTGATTTTCTTTCTGGAGTCGGATTCTGAGTTCAAGTGAGTTTTGTGTTGGGTATGTCGTTTGTTTTTTCTCAAAACGGCATAATGTATGATCGATTTAGGTCGGCTGTGTATAATTTCCGATTCATGCTTGAATTTTTTTACTAAAAAAAAAACGAGATAAGTTCGAACTAACTTCTCCAAGATTCGTTGTATAGTACAATTTCGTAAACTGAAAACCTAATGCATTTCTTTCTACGAAGGATTATCACATCCAATTCTTAGCAATTCTAATGAGCTCCCTTCCTATTCACCTCTCTCCATGTGGGTAACTGAGCCCCAAACCCAAAATTTGTTATTCAAAAAGTTTGTAAGTCAAGACCCCAACAAGACCATTGTTGGGATTATTGGGATTAGTATGATCCAAAAAAATGACTGATGAAAAGTGACAACATTTAGGCGACATCTATGTCGTTGCGAAGGCAATTACCGGATTTAGCGCGTGCCTAACGCACGTAAGTCGTTTTTGCGTCCATGGTTAACTCCGAAGAAATGTTTTAACGTAACTGTTTTGTTCGTGTACAATTTGAAGTCTCATTTTTCCTTCCTCGTTTTAATTTTTATACAATATTATAATGGATTCCAGGAAATGTTCGACCGAGTTCGTCGACTTGGTGGACAACTATGCCCTTCTGAACTTGGACATCGTTTGGTGTTATTTATGCCTGGGAAGTTTGACCGCTTTGCCGGACGCTGCGATTCGATTGGAAACGGGCGAGAAAACTCTGAAGAAGTCATATGGGCCAAATTTGGCACGAGCTTCTAGTTTGAAGACCAACACTGGTGCTGAGAAAGCGAATATGCTTCGTTTGCGGCTGATGCAAGGAATCTTGGAGTACCATCGTGGCAACATTGCCTTGTCCCGAACATTGCTTCGGAAGGTGAAAGAAGATTTGACGTTGTTGAAGGTGTCCGACGAGAATGTTTCGCGTTTGGTTGACCTCGGTGAGCTCTGCGTTTGTTATAATTTTCGTTCAAGTGCTGTATTTATTGGTGTACCACGCGCACTTTTTTCTGGAAAATCAAGGCAGAAGAGTGGGGTGCGCGTGGTATGCGAGTATACATTTTTCATAAAAGGAAAGAATCGTGAAATCATTTTGGTTCTTCAGAAAATAGTCTCAGTTGAAAAGAAAATTTATAAATTATTTTTGGCACCGATCGTGATGGAATTTTTCATATATGCCCTTTGATTTATTCATTTGTTTATTCGGTTACAAAGTATTATTGGGCGAATATATTTAGATTTTCAGCCAACAAAAATTGTGGTACACGGGTTTTACACGGGGATAGATTTTCGGTCAAATATTCGAGCCATATTCGAGGGCGCGTGATACCCGAGTAAAATACATTACTGTACATGTATTTGAAGTTTTTTTTTTTAATTGTAACGTGTGCAGAGTGGCAGTGTTGATGCGTAACCCCATTTTTTGATTCTCACATGCGAATGGAGAAATACTCTTCGGAAAAGCGGTTGAGCAACAAATGAATAGGGTTCATGCGAGTTCGATTGGCGGAATGACAAATCCAGTATGTCTTTAGTTTGCAACCACTGTGTCGATTTTTCAATATGTTGCTATTGTAGTCGAAACGTACGAACATCAGATTGAACATCAATGAATTTTGGTCTTTTCCATTGAAGCAGGAAATCCCTGCAGACTTGCACCATTGAACTGTACCTCACAGGATTAGTTTTATTGTTTTTTATTCCGTGCTACAGTAGTTACTTTATAGCGTTTCACCAATTTTAATTTTTTTTTTTGGATTTTGTTTCAAATCGCAGGCTATTCCGCGTTCGAAGCCCGTGTGGCCCTCAGGGAATGTCTGAACAACGTCTCATCAGCAGTGGAGCACATTGAGACGAAACGGAAGAAGAAGCGGGAAATGATGGAACAGCGGGAAAAGGCCAAAAAACGCAGAGCTCAGGAACGTTTGTTGGGTTGCATGCCGGGATCAGAAGTGCCCTTGAGCGTGGAAGCGTTCGACATTCTTCGCAGTATGGGCTACACTGCCCAACAATCTCGTTTAGGGCTCTTGTTGGGGAACAACAGTGTTGCCCGAGCCCTGGAGCTTTTTGCAGAAACTGTTCCCAGGAATGAGGAAGTTCGTTGGGTAAGGATCTCTTGAAAATGTGTAGATTTGGACTGTGTTCATTTAACAAAAACGCCCTTTGAAAAAAGTCGTTCACGATGGAACTTCTCTAGTGGGGGCAGTGTTTTGAAGTGCTTTTCTATAGCTTTTAACAAAAACGTGCGAATAGTACCAAAAGAGGCCTGTAAGTTGTGCGAAAATAAAGCAAGATCAAAGAGGGGTTTCCCTCAAGCAACTTTTGGTACTAAAATGAGGGAAAAAATTTGGATATCAGTACGTTGATGTCTCCGCTTTCAAATCGCGAGTTTCCCTGCGAAAACAAGTTTAGTTTTTATTTTATTTCAATGTTACATAAAGTCCCCGTTTTTCAAAAGACATTAAAATGTAAATTTTTCGTGTGAAGAAAGTGACTCACATAATAAAGAATTATCAGCCAGAAATGGTTGAATGGTTGCCAGTTTTAAGCTAAAAAAAATTTCAACAACAAAAAATGGGAAAATTATGAAATGAGATTTAGTTTTGCCCCTTGTTGTCATTTGCTTTTTAGAATTTTAGAAATTTATGAGCAAAATTTTCAAAATCACTTCATTTTCTTACCACCCAATTTTTAATTACAATTTTGTGCTGAAAATTTGCAGAAATACACAATTTTTGAAGTTATCATGGTATTTTTGTGATTGCCTGGGATGTTGGAAAATTTCAAGATTTCTCTCCATATTTCTCAATTTCTTCTGTATTTCTCAATTTCTTCTATATTTCTCAATTTCTTCTATATTTCTCAATTTCTTCTATATATCTCAATTTCTTCTATATTTCTCAATTTCTTCTATATTTCTCAATTTCTTCTATATTTCTCAATTTCTTCTATATTTCTCAATTTCTTCAATATTTCTCTGAAGTGCAAATTGAGATCAATAGTGTTTCTGATGACAAAAATGTTGCATAACAACATAATAATCCATCCAGAAATGGATTATATTTTCATGAGGGGACAAATTAAACCAATAAAATAATTTCATTGTACAAAAAAGTAAGTACCTTTAATTCGTGAAATGAATTTTTGACCATGTATGAGAGCCGAAAAGCTACAAAACTGAGACTTTTATTTTATTTCAAACATCGTGAAATTCATTCTCAGGTTTCCCAAGACCTGGGATTCATGCCCATGGAAATTCATCACGCTTTGGACGAGAATGGGAATGACATCCGAACAGCCGTTAATGTTCTGCTGGAGGGTTTCTACGCTTCCGCTGCCAGAGAAATATCTGGTAGCAGCAGCAGCAGCGTAATTCCTGCTGCCAGAGAAATTACAGCTAGCAGAAGCCTTACTGAAGGAAGTACCACGACGGGAAGTGATTCTTCGTCAATCGAATCTGTGAATGAATCTGAGATATCTGAAGAGACTTGGGGCGCGCGTGACCGTCTAGCGGAAATTATTCCAGGCAGCCAAGAAGACTATCTGGATTTTTCTCTCGAGCTTGAAGAGAAATTCCTGAATGACTATCTGCATCGCTTGACAGAATAAATGTGACTGACAACGCTGTTTGATTTTTCTTTTAAGGGGTACTTCATACCTATTTTTTTTTAATTTCTTTGTTGCTCCTTGTCAATTGTTTGTAGTTTTGCTTGGAGAATGAGCTGTGCTGGAGCTTGAGTGGTGGGTAACTTTATTCTTAACGCATTTTTGTTTAGTCCCATGGGGTTCTCTTTGTGTGTTATACATTGGTTCTCTACAAAAAATTCTCTCCACAACACTTTTTTCTAGGTAGAGTTCATCTTCAGCCGTAGTTTTCAGCATTTGTTTCGCAGTGGCATTTGAACTTGTTCTTGATATGCAGGATGTTTTCAGAATCTTCAGGAAGAGGTCCAGAATTGACAGGATTAGACCTACAGGGGGTGCTCCAGCAGTTTTTTGCAGAAGTTTATGATGAAGACACAATGTATCACCAGTAACATGAGAGCTTGCTCTTTTTACAAAGTTATTTTTCTACTCCTGCACAAAACATGGAAGATCAAAAACAAGAAAGTCTCAAAAAGGAAGAGTTTCCTGAGAATCCCTTATTGCCAACCGCTGTTAGTAGAAAATGGTTAGCGTAATAATGGCTGAAGCAGTTTTGTGAAGTACAAGAAATATTTTCCACTGTCTGCTGTGCAGAAATTAACCCTTTCCAACTTCTTTTGAAATTGTTATAAGAAATGTCGGAGGGCTAGTGATTTTTGACAAAAAGGATCCACAAATTTTGTATTTCTTTTCAGAACACTACATCATGATGTTCACTATTCGCCTCTTCAATGTTCAAAATTTCGGTGCTACAGCATTTATTACATATTTTTCCTGCATTTTCTCTCACCGAAGTAGCAATTGGAAATGCTTGAATTGTGAGTCCTAAGTGAATAACATTTTCCAGGGTCTACAGCAGCAATCGAATACTTGCAATCAAGATGTATATATGAAATACCATATACCAAATTTATATATATGTAAGAGCTTTCTGTTCTGCATGTGCCTTAAAATGGTAGTGGTTATCGAGAACTAGGCAAAAACCTACATACATGCATGTGGGCTTTCGATAAAACATATAATGGACTGAATAACTATACATATTACCACATATTGTACTGCAGTAAACATACAGTGTGCATGTGGCATCCCAGAATATTAAATGTTGAAGTGACAGCTGTTCTGTGTGCTCAGGAGCTCAGGCAGAAATTTGAATGTGCATCCATTAAATTAGGTGCATCTTGGTTTCTGCTCAGCATTGCTCAATCGATCACTGATCCATCAGATTTATTTTTGCCATGCTGATTGCGATTGTACCCAGTTTCTCTTCTCGACTCATCGCTATTCCGAAGTTAAGCTTTCCTTGGGTACATGCCATGACCACGTCATTTTCTGTCTTCCGTCAGATGACGCTAGTGAGGTTAACCGGGATTCCTGTTAAGATCGCTTCATCGGTGCCTGGACGTTCCAGCATAGTTTTCAATTTGTCTACGTTTACTTCCACGTCCATCTAATAGGGAGCTATTCACTTCCACTCCTTTAATCCCAAGACCATTAATGAGTGACTTCATGAATGCGAACGTTGTTCAGCAGGAAGTTCATGGTGGAATTGGTCTAGGTACTAGAAATAAAATACGGTATACTGTTCAATTTAAACCTATAATCACCTAACCCAAAGAGGGATTTTATTTTAAACATTTAAAAAGTAATATGCGCCATCTTTCTTCGGTCCTACACAGGCTACAAGGCGTAGAAGTCTTCCTGGAATCTATTCCCTAAACAATGCAGTTACAGTCACTCACTAAAAGCCGCTGATGGCTCCGAGATGAAGTGCGTGGCGTGGTTGAGGAAACCCTGAGTTTAGTTGCTTTTTGTTGAAGTTGTGGGGGAAGGTGCGTCACGGATTCGACTGACAATTTTTGGAGGCTGTTGATCCGGATTCCAGCCCATCTCGATCTTTTAAAAGTCTGTGATAGTGCGAGGTTATGGGTTTCATTCTCCGGTTTGTTCTCTGAATATAGGCAAAACTCCCAGTTTACTGCTCGTGCGTAATTTCCCGATTTGGAATACAACGTTTGAGTGTGCATTATGGTAAGCCTCAGATGTGGAGCGTTATTTGTCCACATTTACTCATTACCGAAACCTGTTTCAGGCGAAGCGTACGAAGAAGGTCGGAATTACTGGAAAGTATGGCACACGCTACGGTGCCTCACTTCGTAAAATGGTCAAGAAGATGGAGGTCTCACAACACTCAACTTTTACCTGCCAATTTTGTGGAAAAGTATGATCTTCCTTGACGCAACATCTGTGGTTTGTTCGCATTTTTGTGAGTCCATTTGTCTATTCAGGATGGCATGAAGCGTACATGTGTTGGAATTTGGTCCTGTAAGCGGTGCAATCGTGTTGTAGCAGGAGGTGCTTATACACTGTCCACCGTTGCCGCAGCGACTGCCCGTTCAACCGTTCGCCGATTACGTGAAGTGAAGGAACAGTGAATCTTTTTCGACGCGGTGTAACTGTTGAATGAGATTAATCTGAAATCCTTGAAATGTGATCTACGCGTCATTTAATGTGTCCTTCTGTCGCAGGTTAGATTTCCTTCGCGGTTAATTTATTCTCCTGCCAGATGGTAGATATGTTTCTTCAGACTTCCCTCTAAAAACCGTACTGTTAACTTTCTTATTCTGCGTTATTCCAGTTCCTTTTTTATTTTTGAAATGTCGAGTTCGGCGGTATCTGGTCAGTGCGCGAAGATGCTTGGCGTCATGTTCGTCGCCAGAGCGGCGCAATGTAAGTTATTCAACATTCCCACAAGGCTTTGAACTTAAAATTGTGTTGTTATGCAGCGACATCCCAGATGACAGCATTGCGAACATGCTACAACTCTTGCCGAGACAACCTAAAACTGACGAAGAGCACCAAAGTTATTTGCCAAGGGTTTACAGGGAAGCAAGGCACGTTTCATAGCCGGCAATCTATTGAATATGGCTCAAATTTTGTCGGTGGGGTTTCTCCCAAAAAAGCTGGCACGATGCACTTGGAACTTCCAGTTTTCAAGGATGTTGCGGAGGTTTGTTCGAGATAAAGTTCTGCACTGAATCATATTTTTCTTCATTTGAAAACCATCAGTGATCAATCGCGAACTGACGAAAAATTTTTTTTTTATGCATGTATGTAATTTTTGGAAATGTTTTTTATTGCTTTGCCTTTTCTTGGTTGAACTTTATAATTTTGATGTTTACAAAGTTTCGTTGCTTTTTTGACGAAATGTGGTGGACGAGGATCGGGCACGAAAGTCAATCTTTACCAACGTGATTTGTATTGCCTCCTTTCTAAAACTTTGTTTTCTCGTTTATGTATGAATATAATTTAATATGTTACAGCTAAGTGAGGGGCGAATGTCTTGGAAATACCAGGAACTGATAATTTTAGGTTAACTGTTTTATTCTAATTTCTTTTGATCTACATGAGTTATGTCCTTGGCTAAAGTTTACTTCGGGTTATTTTGAGTGAGTACAGTAGTTAGGAAATACAGTACTGTCTTATCGTAACAGTGATATAATATATAAATTATAGACAAAGGATTCATTATGCTGTACTCGGGAATGGATTAAGAAACTAATACAAGATTTGACCCTATATATGAAATCCAGAGTGTATTCCCGAAGTTTGTTATGTTTTCCTGCTCTGTTTTTTATGCAATTTAATTGTCACGTAGGCCAGACAGAAAACTGGAGCAGAGGCTACTATGATTTTCGTGCCTGCCGCGGGATGCGCAAAGGCTATCGAGGAAGCTATCGATGCTGAAATTCCATTAGTAGTTGCCATCACTGAAGGAGTACCTCAGCATGTAAGAAACACGTGTTTCCTATTCATCGCATTCTGTTGATGTAACAACGCAAACGTTGTTTGTATTGCAGGATATGGTGCGTGTTAAACAGAAGTTGTTGCGGCAAAACAAGACGCGTTTGATTGGACCTAACTGTCCTGGAATCATTGCCCCTGGGAAGGTAATGCATGACTGTATTTATTTTTGACTGAACTATAATTCGTAAGAGGTATGCACAAAATACGGCCCACAGAGGCTTTCTTTGCAACCGACCTCACGTTTTATAGATCCCCACTCTTATCTAGTTAATTCCGATTTTTTAAATGGTTTAATCAAGATTAAATGCTGTACTACAAATATTTTGTCCATGAAAATGGAGGATTCAAGTGGGAAAAATATTCAAGGGAATTTCTCTTCAATTAAATTCAGGAGACTACTGTTGTAGAGAGAATTTTGTATTAGACAACCCTTTTGATGTGGGGAGAGAATCCTACAGGACCAAAAAATAATTTCTCATACAGAGGAAATTGTTGTAGAGAGAGTTTACCTGTATATTTTTTGTCTTGTAGAATGCCTTTTGCTGGTGGACTCTCTCCACAATTTTTGTCTATGAAAGGTATTCTACAAAAAGATCATACTGGTAGACTACAAAAATTTTATCTGTCTAATGGATTTTTGGTCACTAAGGGTGGAGAGAGTATACCTGTATAGTTGTCTTGCAGAATACCTTCAACAGGTGGATTCTCTCCGTAACAGAATCAGGGGACCAAAATAAATTCTTTGTATTGAGAGAATAGTTGAAAAAGAAGTTTGTGTGTTTTCCCCGTTACCTACTGTTCTATAGTTGTATTGTCCATACTTCAGAGGATTCAACTATCGTCTTTTTCTCAAATTTTAAAATGTCTTTCGAATCATTTTTCATTAGGTATAGTATTAATGTATCCTCAAAATAAATATTTTGTGTTTTCTTGATCCCCGTGACAGTGCAAGATAGGAATCATGCCAGGACACATCCACAAGCCCGGCAATATTGGGATCGTGTCTCGTTCTGGCACGCTGACGTACGAGGCCGTCCATCAAACCACTATGGTATTGTTTACAAAGGCATCTTGTCATTTGCTAGGGGTTAATTCATTTCATTATCTCCTTTAGGCCGGACTTGGTCAGACGTTGTGTGTGGGTATCGGGGGTGATCCATTTAACGGAACAAACTTCATCGACTGCTTGGAAGTATTCCTCAATGATCCCGATACGAAGGGAATCATTCTGATCGGAGAAATTGGCGGAGGCGCAGAAGAAGCCGCTGCAGATTACTTGAGCGAACATAACGCCGTAAGTGCCGAATTATTCAGCACGGCTCGGTAGATGACACACTGGTAACGCACCAATTTTTTATAATCGTGTCTTGGATAATGTACATCATGCGTTCAATTGGGAAGTCAATTATTGGAACCGTGTAAAGTAATAATTTGTCATGCCCCTTGATTGAGTCATTCAGTGGATCAGGTGACTTTACATGACCTCTGGTTTGTCTTGCAAAGGGTATAAAATCTGTAAATTACCATTAAAGTTTGAAGCCGCGTCGCGCGGCAGATAACGAATTTTAAACTCTTGCTTTTACTGCTAAGATAGTGTCGCTGGATCATGCGAATCTTGACAATTTTCCGAGCTCTTCTGCTTACTTTTTTCTAGGGACCTAATGCCAAGCCAGTCGTGTCATTTATTGCTGGAATAACTGCACCTCCGGGCAGGAGGATGGGTCATGCTGGAGCAATCATTTCTGCCGGGAAAGGAGGAGCAGAGGACAAAATCAAAGCTTTGGAGAAGGTAATTTCGTGAAAAATGTTATGTTTTTGAAAGTCTATAATTGTTTGAATTTAGAAGTACTACGTTGAAATTGGAAATGGGATTGTTTTTAAGTTTGAGGAATACGTTACATTCAATATTTTATGACCCCATTCTAACTAAGATATTTGTCACGATGCCGTGTTTTTAAATTAGTTGCAGAGGTCGAAGAGCTCCTGGCAAGGCAGACATGTTATTTTGCAGATGCGAATTTACTTCTGGTTGCCTTTCTTCACTTATCGTTCGCTGTAAATTTGAGTACTTCTGTAATTTTGCCTGGAATAAAATTTGAAGGATGCGTATTTTAATGATCAGGCACTTAGATTGAGCTGCAAAATGTCTCTGAACATGTCGGCAATTATTTTGAATTTCTCAAGAATCAAATAAAAATCTGATCCCGTCTAGTGATTTTCCTCGAACTTCTAGACTTCCCCTCGTAGTATCTTATTAACATTTTCAGTAATTGAAAGTTGAAACACAAGAAAGAGGAAACTAATAAGTCGATTCTCATTACAGCAAATCTCGTAACGGATTCCCGCGTATAGCAAATTTGTTTTTTCGATCACTTCTTAATAGCCAACAATTTCAATTTTGTTTTACCGAATTTTTGTTTTTAGCAACGCTTTTTCAATGTCGCAAACGCTTCGTTTTAACGAGATTAAGCCAAAATGCATTCATATCGTTTACCCTATTTTCATTTCGTTGAATAACATGAAAGGAACTATTGTGAAATTATGTATAGTATTCATGCTAATTTTCCTTCGATGTGCCACCGTTTTTTCGGTAAGTATGAGCAAGAAGTTTTTTCTTTGAAGCCATTACAAACCCCGTTTGATAATTTCATTTCCCAGGTTGGAGTGCTAGTTACCAGGAGTCCTGCGCAAATGGGTTCATTGCTTCATAAGGAAATGGTGAAACGCAATCTTGCCTAAGGGGGCGGTGCGATCGTGATGGCGGGCTATTGCAGTATGGATTATTGCCCCGCGTTGTTCTTCATGAAAATGGGATGAAAACTGGTGTTATATTCAGGAAAGGAAGCCTCCGCTCGCGGGAATTTTTAGAATGGGGAACTGGGAAAACCTTGGTCTATGTTGCCGAATGTTTCCTTTAATTTTTATTCGTCCTGATCATTCCCTGTGTTACTTTTTTTCCCTGGGAGGGAGCAGTAGGAGTAACGTCTAGTGAACCGAATGCAATTCAAAGTTCTTGGTTTTTGCCCGTGGAGTATTTCTGGCGTGAAATATGGCCATTCTCAGCATTATTCCGCATTTCCCATTTCATGTTCGTCTTTTTATTAAAGTATTTCTTTGCGTCTTTTTTCCAGTCACTGCATTTTACATTTCGGTTGATTGGAATGTGAGTGACTAAAATGAGTGTGAAGCTCTATCAGCCCTTCCGGCTGAAAGACTCCGGATTTTTGATGCTTGTTGGTGAGTATTTGTTTCCTTTTGAATATAATCAAAACGTATACCGACTACTGTACTAAGAAAGTCAGTCATGGAACCATTAGTAAAGTGAGGCTTTTGTCAAGAAGAAGAGATGGAAAAAACGGAGAGTAAACTATTCTGCATGTCTAAATCACGAATAGTCAGTAAATTGAGAAAGTTATGAGCGAGAGTTGTTAGGATCCCTTCAGTTTCATTCTAACGACGTTGAATTCACTATTTCTGATGTACTAAAAACAAGTTTCATGGTCTTTTGGTGAGTGGCTGAAATCAATTTAATTCATTACAATGTAATCATGCTGGAAAACGCGTTTCATGATGAAAATTTGACCCTACTAAACTCATCCAGGAACGGATTAGCTCCTTTATGCGGGAACCCACTGTTCTAAGTATTTCAAAACTGGGTTGTTTCCACTGCAATGGTCTATACCCGTGTTCCCCAACCTTTTTGGACTTACAGACTGGCAAATTTCCGTGAAATTTTTTGCAGACTGGCAAAGTTATGTACAATTTTTGCAGACTCAAAAAAGTTTAGCTTGAATGACTGGCAGGTATTTAAAAGTTTCTGTTCATGCAAAACTTAAGTTAGGAACCAATGAAACTGCCATATACTGTAGTTGAATGCTTTCAAAAATTGGGAAGATGGGTTTGAAGAAAGGTTTCTCAAAATGAAAAAAAAAATAATTTATAACAGCTGGTGAAAATTCTTCTGCAAAATTATTAGGAGAAAAGTCAACTTTCATTTTCATCAGATGATTTCAAATGCGGTTGTCTTTCCTGAATTTCAGATAAAGATAGAAGACTTCATTGCTACTTCTGATAAATTTATTATTCTGAAAATTGTCTGCAAACCAGCCTAAAGCTTCTGTAGACTGGCACCAGTCCACAGACCATGAGTTGAGGAACGCTGGTCTATACAGCATTTAACTGTTGAATCAAAGGCTGGTGTCACCTGAATCAAAAAGCTGGCTAGAAATACTGCATCTCATCCTAAACTAAAGTAACCGAACTTCTACCGTCGCAAAATTAACTAACCCCACCAAGTTGTAAAGCAACGTAGTAAGAGTCTGGCAAGGACTTTTGAACAGTGTCGAAAACCTATTGCTGTACTGGGGACATCGAAAGCGGAAAGAATCGAGGATAGTTTTGCTATTGAACAATTCAGAAGTTTATTGCGTTGCTTGTGAACTGTACTTGTTAAATGATGTTTCCGACCGCTTTCGATGTTGTTCGAATAATTTCCTCCTGCGACATGTGATCGTTCACATGTCGCATGTGAAGTCGGTCTATTTTGAGTCGTTGAACGCGCTTATTTTTTTTCTTCAGAAAACTTGGATACAAAGGCCAGCTGTCTGCTTCGTCATTATGTGGCATTAGCCTGTCAAAACGTAAAACGCGGCATAGTTTATGTGCGATCGACTCCAAAGAAACAACTGGCCCTTCATGCTGGAAAACGCGTTTCATGATGAAAATTTGACCCTACTAAACTCATCCAGGAACGGATTAGCTCCTTTATGCGGGAACCCACTGTTCTAAGTATTTCAAAACTGGGTTGTTTCCACTGCAATTTTCTATACCCGTGTTCCCCAACCTTTTTGGACTTACAGACTGGCAAATTTCCGTGAAATTTTTTGCAGACTGGCAAAGTTATGTACAATTTTTGCAGACTCAAAAAAGTTTAGCTTGAATGACTTTATGGCAGGTATTTAAAAGTTTCTGTTTATGCAAAACTTAAGTTAGGAACCAATGAAACTGCTATATACTGTAGTTCAATGCTTTCAAAAATTAGGAAGATGGGTTTGAAGAAAAGTTTCTCAAAATAAAAAATAAAAATAATTTATAACAGCGGGTGAAAATTCTTCTGAAAAATTATTAGGAGAAAAGTCAACTTTCATTTTCATCAGATGATTTCAAATGCGGTTGTCTTTCCTAAATTTCAGATAAAGATAGAAGTCTTCATTGCTACTTCTGATAAATTTATTATTCTGAAAATTTTCTGCAAACCAGCCTAAAGCTTCTGTAGACTGGCACCAGTCCACAGACCATGGGTTGAGGAACGCTGGTCTTTACAGCATTTAACTGTTGAATCAAAGGCTGGTGTCACCTGAATCAAAAAGCTGGCTAGAAATACTGCATCTCATCCTAAACTCAAGTAGCCGAACTTCTACCGTCACATAATTAACTAACCCCACCAAGGTGTAAAGCAACGTAGTAAGAATCTGGCAAGGACTTTTGAACAGTGTCGAGAACCAATTGCTGTACTGGGGACATCGAAAGCGGGAAGAATCGAGGATAGTTTTGCTTTTGAACAATTTAGGAGTTTATTAAGTTGCTTGTGAACTGTACTTGTTGAATGATTTTTCCGACCGCTTTCGATGTTGTTCGAATAATTTTCTCCTGCGAAATATGATCATTCTTGAGTCGGTCTGTTTTGTTTTTAGTCGTTGAACGCGCTTAAAAAAAAGAAGTCTTTTGAACCTATGTTTCCGGTCGACAGACGAAGCAGTAATACACCGTAATCGGACAGTTTTGCATTTTGCGCCGTATCAAATACACGCTAGCTGAGGTTTCTTTGTTGACCGGGTCACCGGTATTGACAAGAATTGCGTCCACGCTGTAAACCTGCTTGACGTCTATTCGCCGCAGTCTTCCCTTTCCAAAAGTTTGTCGGACGCGTTTGTGGCGGCGAAAGGACAGTCGGGGAAACCGATTGTGCTGATCGAATCATTGAACGCATTTGTGATGTTCTTTGGGATCTCGAAAACCGTGGCTTTGGTGCACGAGTGGGCGACCCGGGAGATGTGTAAGGTTTTTGGCGTGTTTCATACGGATGGTGCGGAGAAGGAAGAACTGGAAGCTTTAAAGAGTTACGCGGAAGTGTTCGTGCAAACGCAGAATAGCGGGAATCTGGACTCGGATGCCGTTTATGAATCTGCCCACGAGTCGTTTCAGATTTGGTGGGAACAGAAAACCGCCTCTGGATCTCTTACATCGGGTGTAAGTTCTGTTCCTTTCTTCATTTCAGTCTGATCATGCTGTTCGCAGCTCTGCATTTCGCTAATTACAGTCAACCCTCGTTAAGATGCCCCCCGATTGGCCGCCACCCTTCTGCAACCGAAAATTTATTTTGAAGAACAAATTTTCCCTAATGCTGAAAGCACTGGAAAACCGCGTTTAAATGACATTCGCCGGAATTATTGAAAACTCGATTATGCTCCTGCCAATTACTTTTGTCTTCGATAGCCCGCCAACAATATTCAAGTTTCTGTGAGTCATCTGCAAATAAATAAACACGAAGATGTTATAATTTACTTCTTGGGAACAGTAACAAGATACAATTTGGGCATCCGAGGCTTATTCTCATTGTTTACTAGAAGAATACGAATTTTATTTCCTATTATGCTTGAATTTCATTTTATTTAAGCTTTCTTGATAAACCACGCACCTTCTTCATACCGGCCGCAAAACACAAACGAATGGCGGATTATCGAGGCTCAGTAAACCGGTACAGTATACCGTATTCCAAATGGGGAATTCCTGGAATCCGCTAAGGAAGGCAACAAGAAAGGGATACAATTATTTTTTTATAGACAAAATTTAGGAACATTGTTTTTTGTTGAATTTTTGACTCACATTTTTCGAGAAAATAAAAATCTGCTATCGGAATTCCTCTCCTAGTCAGATCGATGAAAAGGTGTTGAACGATCTACGGAAAACTTGCACTTTCTCAGCTGTGAAAATTTTACCCCATCACAGTCTCTAAAATACTTATATTCTTATTCGTGATGATTTTCTTGAATTATTCTTTCTGTGAGATCAGTTTATGAAGCATTTTGATTTTATTTTAGTGTTACCGTATCTCGTAATTTTGAGTTTGTGTTGAAAGTCAACTGAATTCGATGACGTTGCTCATTTTTGTTTAAATTTGTTTTGAAGGTGGAACTTCTAACGTTGGATGCGAAAAGTGCAAAACTACTTTCACGCATGGACATTCGCGACAGTCCGGTATCATTGAATGCCGGAGATTCTTCGAAAGCTACCGGTGATCCAATCAGTCGCTTGACATTCAAGCTCTCATTGTCTGATAGTGAAAAAGCGGCCAGAGAAGAAGTTGATCTTCCCTACATCAAGTTCGTATTTTTGCCAGTACCTAATATCAACGCTGTACGTAATTCACTGAGGAAGTTGAACATGAGAATAATCTATACTGGAGTATCATATCTAGAATTTTTCCATTTGAAACCTGCATTTGTGATGAATGATTTGCTTCTCGAAGCGCACAGAAATGAATTGATATTTTCTTATCTTTCAGGGCACAAACGAGACAAACCGAAGGTGGTTCAATGAAGAAGGATTCTCAGATACATTATATACCTGATGTGGATGATGATTATGATGAAGAGGATCCAGACGATGATCTGGACATTTGATTTGTTCGCATTTTTGAAATGAAAGTAAGTTTGTCAACATCGCGTTTTTTTCATTCAATTTTTGTGATTCCCTGTTTTGATGGCTTGTTCTCACAATTTTGGTGTCGTATATGTCAGCGTTAGTCTCGAATCATCGTGGGATGGACCAGTTGCAGAACAATCGTCAGAAAATGGTAGCAAACATGTTCCTTCCAAATTTAAGGTCATTGCATTAATTATGACGTTAAAATCATGTGTTCAGAATGAATACGAATTTCAATGTAGTTCTTTGTGAAATCTTCTCAAGATGAATTGATACGGGTTGAGAATTATCCGCTATTTTTAAATTGTTTGCTATTTGTAACAGGAAAACGGTTACGGCGTGTTTGTGCCATGCAGCAACGTTGAAGAGGCTACAAATAAAGGCAAAGGTTGAAACAAACTATGAATGCATGTGTTTCCATTCCTGTGAAAATTGTCCATTGTAGACCTCCCAGTCTGGAGGTCGAACCATTTGGTTCATTGTCTCTGTCAAATAAATGCACATTTTAATCCACCATTCTAAATGGGTGATGGAAAATCCTCCCATGTCTTGCATGTACTAAGGTTCTTCAGCACGTGGCAGGTCTATTGAGTTTCCAGGTCAGTAACTTATGCACCAAGCCATACACTCTACCGTAATATACTGCTCAAGTAAATTCAAGTCTTACTAAGCACTATTTCCGTGAATCAGCACCAGGAAATGTATTCAGCTAGACCTTGAACTTGATTCAGAAGAAGTGGTAAGAAAAGTTCTTTGTAAAGATGTCGCTGGTTATCAAATATGTAATATATTATCTTCTCCTTATGCAGTATAAAGTCTACACAAATCTGAGTTTTTGCAGCTTCTGTGCATTCATTCGAGAATGAGATCATGGCTGAAATGTGACAAACCTGTATGTTGAGTGGCTTGAGTGCATCACAAATTTTGGAGCCTTACAGCTCAATGCTTTGGACAGTGTCAGTAAAACTTTCCCGCCGCAATTCAATCGTGTACTTGCCGTGTGTCTTTATTGAGAAGCCTTCCCGTGCTTCCACAATTCCTCGGATGGGCCGAATTCACGCGAAAATGTCGAGGTGAAGATGACTTCCTTGAGCAGTGATGGAAGATGTTATTGCTGTTGAATTTTCTGGAGTGACTTGAAATTACTTACGAGTTTAGTGTGCAACTGTTAGTGTGAAACCGTTGATCAAGCGTGAGTACATTCAGGTTTTTCATTTTGCTGACAATTTTCGCGATGGCTACTCAAGAAGAACGGATGGTTACTACTACGTTCAAAATGTACGGCTTCACTCTGAAAAGGTTCGTACGGTTGTCAAATCGTGGTGTTCCGCTTGAACTTTCATAATTTTTCGACCACTAATTTTAGTGAGGCCGCGCAGGATCTTCGTATGCTGCTTAGCCCGTTTTCTCATGCGGGAAAAATTGCATGGATTGAAAAAATCGTCGATCGAATACCAAAACTGAAACTCTCTTCTCCGATATTGACAAAAAAGGATGTTGCAGAAGTTGTATCAGTGAGTTGAAGCTTTAAACTTGATGTTACTCTCGGATGACGTCATCCCTCTGGGTGAATGATTCGAACAAATGGCGTATGAATGATTTGCAGTTGATCGAGAAAGAAAACGAGCTGAACAATGACAATATACTGAGCGTCATCAGTGCTTTCAAAATTCCTCGCCTGAAATATAGCGTCGATCGAAAGAAATTCTTTGCTGTGAAAGAAACTGAAGAGAACGCGTTCAAGTTCATAGGCACTTCGGAAGACAAAGCCAATCTCTTCGTTGATCGGTATTCCCTCGATTAGCGAGAATTCTTAAATGACATGGCTGATGTGTAACCTGAATTATTTAGATACTCCTTACTGAATCAGCGAACACGCAGGAACGAGTTGTTCTCTCCGTCGGTGTTGGGAACTACGTCGACTAATCGCCGATTTGCTTTGCACACAATAGAATATTTGCTAGGAACGTCCACAAAAGTGGACCATGTCATCGTATTAGGAATGCTCACCCAGATAAAGGAAGGTGCGTATGACCTGGAGGATCCAACCGGACATGTGAAGCTGGACGTCTCAGAAACAATATCCTTTTTAAAACATGCATCAAGCAACTCGAACTGTGAAATTCTGAAAACCATTTCTGTCGCATCTTCTTACTGTATGTAAATTCTTAACTCCTGTGCACCGATTCCATGATGGAGTTTTTGTGGAAAACTCATTCGTTCTCGCCGAAGGATGGTATGAAGACGGGCTTTTCCATGTGACTATAATGGGCATGCCCCCCGTTGAAACGCACGAGAAAACAAGGTTTGTAAATGAGAACTTTCGAGGGTGAAGTTGACCTGCAGAGAATTATTTTTCCAGAAAATATTTTGGAAGTCTTGATTTTCTGAAAGGCCTGACGGATACATCGCCGAGGTGCGATGTGAAACTGAAGGAGCTCGAAATGAAAGACCAATCTACTCTCTTCGTTTTTCTCTCCGATATTTGGCTGGATAATCCTGCCGTAAGACTCTGAAAGCTTTTCCGAATCTCTCTGAATATTGTTCTGTACATTAGTTCTCCATTTGCCATTCCAGACTTTTACGAAACTGGAAATTCTCTTGGACGGATTCTCGGACTGTCCGCCAACATGCTTCGTGTTGTGTGGAAATTTCCTGAAACCGCTTAACTTTGGCGGCAGCGGAGAGTCGGACTCGAACATCACTGATCTCAGTGCAGCAAAAAATCTTGCTGACGTTTTAAAAGACAACTTGGAAAAGTTTGCGGATTTGATAGAAAAGTTTCCTCTCGTGATGCAACAAAGCTATTTCGTCTTCGTGCCCGGCATAAGTGACCCCGGCATTAGTGGTGCTTTTCCCAGGTTCGTTCGCTCATTCTGTTCACTGATTACTGTTTCCACTCAACCAAAAAGCAATATTGGTATTATTCAAATTAAGAAAGAGGGAAATTTGATAAATTTGGAGTAGAATGTAGATGACATGGATGATGAGATTTCAATAAACGTTCATTATTTTACTAAATACTGATGTTTTCGGTATTGAAACGTGTTCAAGTAAACTTTTTTGGCTTTTCGAAGGTATGACTGCATTTGTTTAAACGTGGTGGAGATTATTTTTTTAATCTGCCCAATCATGTAACACCCACTTCTAAAGTTGGAAGGATAGTTCGTTCAATATTCATGTTTATGTATAGTATAATGTTGGATTGATTATTAATTATATTGTGCTAGATAATGTACGCTTATTTTATTTCTCCATAAGTAATCTATAATTGTTATATTTCGTGCTTGTTACGTTGCTGTTCACAATACATCTGTGTTTTGATGCATGTGGAAATCCTCAAAAATTGATTCTCGTAGACTCCTGGTGTTACAAAATCCGTAAATTTTATAAATAATCGCATTATGGCGCAAAGCATGGATTGAAATCGAAAATCACGTTGAAAGGGGATTGCTTGATATTCAGGAAATCGTTGCCGAAATACGTTACGGCAAAATTTGCGGAACGAATTCCGAATGCAGTATTCGCTACAAACCCTTGCAGAATCCGGTTTTACTCGCAAGAAATTGTCGTCTTCAGAGAAGACGTGTTGTCCAAAATGGGTCGAAATGCGTTCTACTTCCCTACAACTACCAACGAAGATGAGCTCTATAGTCACGTGAGTGTGTTTCGCCGAGGTTTCAAAGATATCGGAAGTATTTAAAAAAATCTCCCCTGCAGTGTGAACTCGTTACAACGAATCTCGATAAGACGAATGTTCGATTACAACGAATTAGTTTTTTATGTCACTGCCCTATAACCATAATTCAAAAAAGTTTTTTTAAAGAATTATTCGTTACGACGAAGCTATTTTAGTGGTCCCAACTGCTTCGTTGTAACGAGATTTTATTTTTATTTTTAGAATGTGTGTTACTACCTTGCATTCTACCATTCTTGCGCGATCCACTCGTAAGCTTTGGGTCATGTCTATTTCCTTGAATATATCTTTTCAGATGGAGAATTTTTCAAACATTTTACGATGGCAGGCATTGAAACGGTTGTAAAATTTTACTGTTCAAATGTTTATAATCACGGTATATCACATTTAGTAGTTCTGGGAATGTGAACAGCGAAAAGGGATGCAAACATGCCAAGTCTTCGTGTTTCACGTGATTATTAAATCGTCTCGGATGAGTTAATGTTTTATGCCCCGTACCAAAGATTGATTTTAGCATTCAAGTCCAAAGGAAGAAAAATACAATAATCGAACTGTTTCCTTTGATCGTGGACGAATAAATCATAGTACAGTATTTTTTATACTGCAATTACGGTACAGCAAATTTACCCCAGAAGTCTTGGATCGGGGTCAATTTAAAATGGTCTCTCAAAATCGGAGAATTACGCAATGATCGAAAGTTCTTGTTTATTTCAGTTCGTGAAAACGTTGCTTTCGCAAGCGCACCTGGCACCACTCCCGTTGCAAACTTGTCCGATTTACTGGCCTTATGATCAGAGCATGCGTTTGTACCCTTTACCGGATGTCGTCGTCGTTGCAGACCGGTTCAAACCTTTCACAAATTCTCAGGCAGGCTGCATCGTTACCAATCCTGTAAGGAAAAAAAAATCGACCCCTGTTATTGAATTCAATTGATATTAGGGAACAGTTCAAAGTTGCAAGTACAGTACAGTACCATTTTGCCTATCTGCCGGAAATTTTTGGATCATTTTGTAGGCTTAACATTTTATGTCGAGAGTTGGATTTTTTTTTAAACTGACTTGATGACGTTTAGAATTATCATTCAAGAGGAGAGTTGTACTTGCTTTTTTCGGGGGAATGTTTGACTACCCTCGTTTGAGTTGGGAGCATTCCATCATATTTTACCACGGGTTAGAGAAAAGTTTCCTGTCGCCCAGGAAAAACAAAATGCTGTGTTTCTTTTAAATGTCGAGGCTATGGGAAACACGGTTTAACCCTCATTCAAATTTTCGAACGAAACTATAAATTTTAATTATTTCTCAAACTCAATCGTCGTGAAACGAACCGCAAGTATGCAGAGCATCAGTTACGATTCCAGGAAAATATTCCAAAATTGTGTCAGCTCTTTATGAACGTAAAAAGATTTTGCAAGTTTTCTTGCGATACGTCGAATTTACCATTCTCGATTTATGGAAAGTATCAATCCTTTTCTTTTTGTCAGGGAAGTTTCTCGAGGAATGGCCATTGCTTCAAGGCCTATTATCCAGCAACCAAAAGGGTGGAAGACAGTCGTGTTCCGGATGCTGAATAAAGTCAAAAAGACGTGATTCAGCTTCGACCTCTGAACGGAATCTTCCTCGTAATTTTGTGATTAAACGCACCACGTTTTCACGCATTAATTTTGATATGACCTTTAAAAATATTTTTCCACCTTTTTATTTGCATATGTCCACTCTGTAAACTCAGGGAACGTGTGTTCGGGAACTCAACGGTGAATAAACAATTCTTGTGAATATTTTGGGCAAAGAAAATATTACTTGATGGTTTATTTTCCTTCACGAAGCCGGAGTTAATGTAAAAACTATCTTTTAACTCACGGAAGTAGACTCCCACTTAAAAGGGACAGAATCGTCTGCTCTTTCAACGATGTGAGCTTGAACGACTTGTTTTTACCACTCTGGCCACTAACAACTGTGGCTTGATGAAGATTACTGCATCTACGGTTTTCAATTGAAAAAAATACATGGAGTGTCTCGATTTATGCTGATTTTTTATTTCAGAAATTTAGAATGCGAAATACGCGCGTGTGCTCATGTTCGGAATTTTTTCGACAACTTCCGCCGTTTTGTAGTGTTGGAACAAAGAGTTGTGGTGAGTCACTACTTGAATTCATCTCTTATTGTGGCGTATGTCATTGATTGAAATATGTGATAAGGATACCGCCGCGTGAACCGCTTACCTTTCTTTTTGGTTAAAATGTGCTATTACTTCGAAGAATTCTTGCTCGCTACATGTGTTACTTGAGCCTGTTTGTCGAAAAAAACTCCACATCTTCTCAAATGAAATCTTGGAAATGCTGCAAGCCGTATTACCCACGCGTTTTTTTAATAGAGAAATTCGCACGTCTTTGTTGCCTCGTCAAAGAATCAGAAAAAATTCAGAACAGCAAGATTTACTTATGTGTGCGTGTGTATATTAGTTCAATTGCAAGCTCTTTTTTTTCAAGAATCCGTCAGAATTTTGTTGCACGAAGTCACCTATAAAGCATATACAATTTCTTTAAACTTCATATTTTCTACCAAAATCTTCCTGGGCATGTATCAAATGCAGTCAAACCTGAACTTATTGCCAACCCCAATTAGTGTCATAAAATCCTCATGGAAATATCTTCCCCTTCTACTGTATGCTGTTGGAGAAAACCGTATTTATTATTGGCTACTAAATTTCTTTTGTCACACAGGTACAGCAGTTCTAAATTATGTTTTTCATGCGCCGCTCTTGCTTTTTTCATTTATTACATCATTTTATTTACTTCAAGTACATTAATATGGTACAGTATATACAAATGCAAAATTCAGCAAAAACTATGAGTAGCATGTGTATCTGTCTTTTTTATGCGCCCCTTCATTTTAAAGTTCTTTTAAAGCATTGGTGTTTGGGAGACCATTGCCTTCTGGCCACTACAAAGTTTCCAAATGCTCATTAGTATTTTTTTTTTACCGGAAAATTGGAAATACAGTACAGTGTCAATGGCATTAGCTGGACAGTTTTGAACATTTCCTTGGAGGCATAAGCTCGTTCGGATCAAGATCGTAAGTATTGTGTTCAAACGATAAATTTGAATTCATTAGTCGTACCGCTTGATCTCCCTTTTTCCTGGTATTTTTTGGGATTCGCATGAATAATTTAAATCTTCCCTATTGCCCTTTTCTTTGCAGTACAGTATGTGGTCGACTGAGGATAATGTTGTGATAAGCGCAGTTTTTTAGTTTAAGGATTTTTCCGTGTTCCACTTCCTGTGATTATTCCTGGAGAAAGATCTTCTCGGGATTTTGATATGCATCTACGATTTTCAGTTTTGACAAGTGGCGAGTCTTGCTTTGATTTTGTAATTACATTTTGTTTGAAATTGTTAACCTGTGCTTGTTTTAAGGATCATCCGAACGATCTGTAACTCTACTTTCTATCAGGGCCTCCAATTTGACTTAGTCGATTTTGTTTCCGACGCTTCTAGATCAAGAAAATTGGGATATTTTTGATATTTATGAAAATTTATTTTTAAAATTTGGATAAAAAATTGTGGGGTATGTAAATTATAACTAGCGATCGATCCCGATATTTAAACTATGGCATCTTCGCGTGTGTGTGTTTTTCAATGGAGACCTCTTATAGAAACTTGAATCATGTTGGCGGGGTATCGAAGTACAAAATTAATTCTCAAGATCATATGTGATTTCTCATTAATTTTGGCGGATGACGTTTCAACCGGGATTTCCAGTTTTCACATTGTCAGCGAAGATTTGTTTTTCAAAATAAAATGGCAATTGCCAAGGATGTTGGCTTTTCAGGGGGCGATTTTCCAGGTTAATATTTTACCCATGACCAATGCACACGCCACAAAATTTACCAGACTCCTGATTAGTCTCATTTTTTGGCCCAGTTATCATTATTGCGTAAATTACCGCGTGGAAACTTGTCAGATAAAAAAAAACATGTCTTTTTCTATCAAAATTACTTTGAGCGCGTCAAACTTTTCAATCCAGCTATTTCGTAATTTTTAAAAACATTTCTCCGTTTGTTATTTCAATGACCCAATTTTTTATTATTTAATCCATTATTTGTGATGCAGGAGATGAGACTCGAATCCTCAAAACTTTGGTTGCGTGGGAAGGCAGCTGATCCAGCTGTTGATCGACCGTTTCTTCCTTCGAATGGATCGAGAATTACGAGGAAGCTATGAATGACACACCATGCATCCCACCCCCATCGCTTTGTGATTCCCGTGCGATAATGCTGTGGGGTTTTCAGAAGGATCTCAAAGTCAAGCAGTGTTTTGATATCACGCAAGAAAGATACCCCCTTCCATGAGGCTTTAGCTTCTGTAACTTCTTTACCCAAGGCTACGAAATCGACGCCCCCAAAGTCAACAACTACTACATGGGGCACAAGGGACGGCGTCTTATTCTTGACTACTGTTCTTATCAGAACGTATTAGTCAGGAAGTTCGGGATTGTAGTTGAAGTGCCCCGCGAACTTGCTTAGAACAAGAAATCAGCAGGCTGGTGACGAAGGAAATCGATTGTGTTCAACGGAAACTACGTTGCTTTAACGATAGAATGAAAAGTGGCTGTTTTTTTCATTCAAGGTTACCGGGTTTGATGATGATAACCCTGACGCAAATTTTTTTTTTTGTTCCCAGGTGTTTCGAAGTAGTTATTGTTATTATCGAAATCATGAATGTATGTGGAGTGCTTCGCTCTCGTTTGGCGGCGGGCATTGCTGGTGAAAGCAAGTTTCACAATGAGTTGCTACGAATTATATCTCCAAGCTTATTGAATTCAGCTGGTGTGACGTTGAGACAGCCTGTCGATAATTTCCGTTCTCAGAGTAGATGCCAGTCTACTCAACCAGCTGCCGACCGTCTTGCTGGTGGTAAGTCTTGTACACTTTTAATCTTGAGGGTTTTCCGACCGAAAAATAAACTGCCGAATTTACTTGAGTTCCATGCGCAACTTTTTTTTTCTCAAAAAAAGAGGAAAATAGGGGATGCGCGTCATAGGCGGGTATACTTTTTGCAAAAAGTTTTAGAATTTAAGGTGCGCATTATACAGGTTGACTCTTCACAACAAAATTCAAGGGACCATAAAAAAATAGATTACAGTACTGTACTTACAGAGAAAAGCATTACAGACAAGATTGTTGTAGATTCAACCTGTAGTTGATTGTAATGATACATTTTTGAACCAATTTCAATAGAAAAGCTTATTGTCATGGAGACAATTCAATATTATTTGAATTTAGGTTCAGTTTATGTCTAAATTAAAATTTGAAGGTTTTATTTTTGAAATGTTGCAGTTTTAAAGTCATTGTAAATAAGGTGTGTTCAGTGAAACAATTTTATCAACATTTTTGCCAAAAAATTATGAATAAGAAAAAGAAATACAAAGCTATGGCGTGCATCTTATTTGAGGGCGCTTGATACTCAAGTAAATACTGTGATGATAATGCCCTGCATTTTTTTGTTGCAAGGGATTGCGAGAAAAATTTTGAAAATTTAAATCAACACCATGTCATTGCCACCCCCTAAGGTTTTGCATTCTTTATTTATTACGTGCACAAGAAAACAGATCATCCAAAATTGTTGAATTTTCGTCAAATATGGGAAATATAATACCACAGTATAAAGTATATTACACAACAGCAACGTTTTGAGTTTCAAACTCGCGTGACAGATTTTTAGCATAATGTGAAGTGAGCAAGAAACTGGCAATTGTAGATACATTTTTAATTTTCCATGTGCAGTATCTTCGAAATCTGAGAGAAGTAGCAAATGCTCAGAACATCATGAGGGAAATTTGAATTCTTTTTTGATGATGTCAGAAATTCTAAGGCCGCATGGCAGAGGGAAAACCCATGTCTGTCTTGAGAGTCTCTGTCATTCACGAGGCTTTTAATGCATTTCTTGTAAAATCAATATTTGTATAGGAGTTTCGGCGATCACTTGTTATATTAAATTTCACTGGGAACAATAACATTGTAGAATTTCTTTTTGATTTTTGTGTTTACTCGTGTGATTTTAAATGCGCATTTTTAACTCACAGGGAAAGATAGTTCTGTGGAAAAGTTCAAGCCATACAGTCCGTTTCAGGACACGAAGAACCGAGGGGAGTACGTCGTTGCCCGTCTTGATGACTTGATGAATTGGGGTCGAAAGGTGAATTTTTACAAGTTTTTTTTCTCTGATCGAATAAATCCTTATTCGTATTTTAAAGAATCTAATTGGTTATTTACTCAATTTTATTCCCATCATTTTGGGCTCTTTTTGAATGAAGCCCGGCTAATTTAGTTGTTTTTGCAAAACTCGTTTGTTTTAGTCTTCAGTGCTGCAATCTTTTATTTTGTCATTTCTCGCTCCGGAAGCCGCTTGTATCAAAGACATATTTTGTTGGAATTCGAAAAGATCAAATTGTTTTGTTTCAGGGTTCTTTGTGGCCCTTGACATTCGGACTCGCTTGTTGTGCAGTGGAAATGATGCACATTGCAGCCCCGCGTTACGATATGGATCGTTTTGGGATTGTGTTTCGAGCATCTCCTCGTCAAGTCGACTGCATCATCGTCGCCGGCACTGTCACCAATAAAATGGCGCCTGCATTGCGCAAAGTGTATGATCAAATGCCGGAACCCCGTTGGGTCGTTTCCATGGGCTCATGTGCCAACGGTGGCGGCTATTACCATTACTCCTACTCAGTCTTGAGAGGGTGTGATCGTGTCATCCCCGTGGACATCTACGTACCAGGTAAAGTAGAACGAATAATCGATTACGACGACGAGGTTTATCCCTGGTTAAGAGCCACAAAGTTGAATGAGTTGATTTAAAACGATTTTTTTTACAACGAAGCTATTCCATTGATCCCATAGCTTTTTTGTTGAGGGATTTTACTTCATTAACGAATTCCTTTCATGCCTTTGTTTGTCTCATTGTTTTGTTTTCTCTTTCATGGAGGAATCTATTTTGCGAAGAAAAAATGCATTCCCTTCTACAAGTGGTTCCCCCCTCCCCTGAGTTGCAAGGTCGAACAAAACAAAAAACAAAAAATTGAAAAAAAATTCTTTGTATGGGATCGAGTGAAAGTCAGACGCCGCATTTCTCTTTCGAACAGAATGACATTCAAGGGTATTTTGAGTTTTCATGGGTTAGTTGTTCCTAGTTCATTCAGCTCAGAAGCTTTTGTGAATCTGGTTAATCTTGTGTTTGCTGTTCGTAAAATCGCTTACGAGAATTGCTTCTGAGCACGAATAATTTCGTGTATGGGGTATTTCTGGTGCTGTTTCGATGCGTGTTTCCTTTTGAACGTGTTTGATTTTTTAGGAGTGCGTTATTCTAATATGTGTTCAAGTGTCTTGTCACCATGACATCCTACTTCCAGCCTATTTGGTTGCCGGAGCTGTTGAATTTAAATTGAATTGAAGTGAAAATTAAAATAAACTCTTGTTTGTTTAATTCAAATTTTATATCATTCCTTTCGGTGTGCTTCCTTCAAAATTTATTCCGGAAGTTTCCTATTCGATTCGTTTGTCCTAAATTGGAAACATCGTGTACTTCCAGGCTGTCCCCCAACTGCGGAAGCACTTCTCTACGGGCTATTGCAATTGCAGAAGAAAATCAAGCGCATGAAGACATTGCAAATGTGGTACAGACACAAGTGAATAAGCTGCTTTGAAATGGGAAAAATTTTATGGAAAGGAGAAACAGGTGTCAGTCGCGAAGTCATCGAACCACCAGTGATGTCAACCAACCATGAAGCAAGAATTTATCTGTTGGACTGAAACAGATTCCGCCTCATGGGTATCTGTGTTTCATCTCATCCTCGTTTTAGTCCATTCGGAAACCTCTAAAATACGCGTGCAACGTTGCTCTTCTTGGACGATGAGTAGATGAATGAGAGCTCATTTTGATGCTGCGTTTAATTTTTTATTTGAAGGAACATTTTCATGAGATATATCACCAATTGACTGTGTCCCCGTTTTACATATCTTCTTATTCTTCGTTGAATATTGTGATCGAAATTTTCTGTAGCGTTCAGAATTTTTATGAAAGTTATGAAGACTTCGGAATGTTTTTCGGCTGAGATTCCTAATTTGAAGGAGTTTTCAGGGGTATCATCGATATATGCTGATTTAGACAGTACATATGTGGCGAGGATTTGTTTATGTTGTTCCATAACGGGTTAAGAATTGATTGTGTCGTTCGAAGTTTGTAGCAGAGTAGAAGTAATTCTAATACTCATTTTATTTTAAAATCCACGATTGATCCCGTGATGTAGAATCAGTGCCGAGAAGAAAACAAGGATAATCCTAAGACGAAGTTAAGTTTCGCGAGGTCGAATTATCAGAAGGACGAACCTCATTTAAAAAAAAATATGTAAATTTTTCTTGCGCTGTATTTCCAAAAAGGCCCTTTGATTCACCCTGTCAAGCTGGTGGTTGCTCTTGAACTTGTTTCCTTTGTATATCGTGAACTTCATTGCGTTAAATCATTTGATATCATGTGATTCTATCTTCGTGACTTTTTCCAGGTGTCTAATCCTATTCGCGTTTCCGTTGACAATCTGATCTTGACGCAGGAGAGGAAGTTTCTCTCAAGTTGTCGTTTATTTGTTTTTTATTTTTCAATTCCGCGATTTTCTTGCGGTCATGGATCCCATGTTGCCAAGCCNAGAAAACAAGGATAATCCTAAGACGAAGTTAAGTTTCGCGAGGTCGAATTATCAGAAGGACGAACCTCATTTAAAAAAAAATATGTAAATTTTTCTTGCGCTGTATTTCCAAAAAGGCCCTTTGATTCACCCTGTCAAGCTGGTGGTTGCTCTTGAACTTGTTTCCTTTGTATATCGTGAACTTCATTGCGTTAAATCATTTGATATCATGTGATTCTATCTTCGTGACTTTTTCCAGGTGTCTAATCCTATTCGCGTTTCCGTTGACAATCTGATCTTGACGCAGGAGAGGAAGTTTCTCTCAAGTTGTCGTTTATTTGTTTTTTATTTTTCAATTCCGCGATTTTCTTGCGGTCATGGATCCCATGTTGCCAAGCCCGGGATTTAGTATCCCGAGTATTGGCACGCCGCTGCATCAGCCTGAGGAAGATCAGCAGATCTTACCCCAAGCACAAAGAGCGCAACACACATCCCATGGCGACATCACTCCATCGCATCATCCGTTTGCCGCTAGTGCTTTCGGCCTACCGCATCAAAGTCCGGTTAGTTATTTTATTTCATGGATTAAGTTTCCTGAGGTCAAATAGTTGTGTTAATTGACTATCATTGTTTTGTAGCTAAAGAGATTGGGTTAGGCGATCAATGATCCTTCGACATTAATGACTTGATCTTGCCCCGTACAGTACAGTACAATAGTATTGCTCATTAATGCCTCCATGTAAAAATGGTACTTTTCGAGAGTTGTCCCATTACCGCGCATCCCAGGAAATTCTGTCGTAAATAATCGTGAGCCAATTCTGTCGTTAGAAACTGTGAACATTTCCAAATTCCCTTCTTGATGTTCTAAACATTTCCTATTTTTTATTGGATTTTTAGACATTTTTTCAAGGCAGAACATTTTCCGGTTAAGGTCAGAGTTTCCACTCATTTCACAGCATGCTGAAAATTTGTTCAGAGAGTTTGAAAATTGACATTTTATTACGTAACAAATGTTTATTATATTCGGTATAAATGTGAAAATCTATTTTTTGAATAAGGTAAGTGACAACATTTTGGGAGAGATTGCAAAACGTGCTAATTTACAATTGTTCTGTTTTTCTCGCGACCCCTTTCCGGAGCGAATTTCTGTGCGTCTCATTTAGTTGGGAGCTAATCCTAGAAATTTTGCTTGATTTTGCCATTTGCAGTCTTCAGTAATTAAAATGAAATATTCTGACAAATAAATCTGCGCGCGCGTAATACAGAGATTTTCTCCTGAATTCCAAGTGGAGGCAAATTTTAATGTTATATTGTACCTGTTTCGCACATTATTTCTACCTAAGTTGTGTTAAGCTGCCGACCCGTGAATTTTTTTAATAATTAGGTCGTTCGAAATTTTTTTGCATTTCTTTCGTTTATTATCTATCAGCCGATTAAAGAAAAACAAGAATTGATAAAAACAATTTATCACAAATTATTTTTATATTCATCTTCATTTAAAGGGATCCATGTTCCGTCAATACCAAGATTAAATTTCATTCGGAGTGTTCGAAAAGGAAAACCATATTTCTTCAGTATTGCCATTGAATCGTCACTTGTTCGTAAGTAGCATCGAAGTTCTCTGAGTGGCTTTGTCAAGTTTGAAAATTTGAAGGTTTCAATTTTTGTTAGTTCAGATTGGTGGAAAATATGTATTTCCAAACGAGAGAAAATAAATGCAAGAAGAATTTTTTGATGAAGGCTGCCGACTTCGTTTTCTAATTCGCGCCGAAATCCTATGCGATTGGAATATTGAATCTCTGAAACTTGAACTTACTTGTTGTTCCGAATTTTCCTTGTTGAACGATATTGTACTTCGCTTCCCCGTGCGAACTATTATACAGTATCTACATCTACCCGAGACTTTTCACACCATTCACGATTTACGTTTTCATTCCCGCAGTTCGCTTTACCGTCCAGTGCCAAGACACCCATTCATACCTCAGAACATGACGACGGCCGGGATGACATGAAGATGCGATTAATGGGTAACGACGATGATCATCACGGTGACGATGTCCGTCGTACTGGCATGGGAAGTGGATCTGGCATGGGTGACGTGGAGATGAAGCCTGCCAGTGCCATGAGCAGCGTTCATTTTCAAGCCCCGAGTACTCCAGCACCCATGACTCCTCTTACCCCTGCTGGCGACCCTGGCATTGTACCACAATTACAGTGAGACAATTTTTTTAAGGTTACGTAGAAAATAAATTAGTCAACTTTTCTGCGGGGCCCTATGGAATCCTTCTGAATTTTCCGTGCATTGCTAAGAGTAAGTGAAAACTGTTACAAAATACAGTACTGTACATTCCAACCTGGATGAGCCGTCGCCATTTGTTAGTGAATTTTTTTGCGGATTAATTGGGTTTGGAAGTTTAAAGGGAGTTGGTGATTTATAAAAAAAAAGTTGAAATGATGAGAAAATAACATAAAATAGGAAATGAAATACGTATTCTTCTATAAAACTATCAAAATAATCCTGAGATGTGTAAATTAAATTAAGCTGATGTTCCCAGGGAGTAAATCGTCATATTTGTGTTCTTTTAAAAAATCTAAAACCTCTCGCATAAACTTGAATCTTGTTGGTGGGGTATCGGAAGACAAAATTAACTGGCAGAAGCTTACATGAGTTCTCAGTAATTTTGGAGATCAACGTTTCGCAGGGTTTCCAATGCCTTCATCAGAAGGGAAGATTTGTTTTTCAATATTAATTGGCGGTTGCCACAGGTGGCAGCTTATCGGGGACGTATTATCTGAGTTCGACTGTATCAGACCAAAACGGCTAGTTGAGGACTACCTGTAATCTTTTTTTGCGAGAGGTGATCCGAACTTTTGCAATATTTCCATCTCTCGAAGCAAAAAATAAAAATTTATTATTTTCATTCTTCTTTTACATCGGGTAGGCTCGAGGGACACCGCCGCAAGTTCGGCGTACCAGAGAGAATTTTCCAGGTTCTGGAAAATAATCCAGAACCTGGATAATTTTCTAAGTTCTCTCTGAAGAATTTTGCGCTCAGAATTGATTTCGTTAGCGACTGACAGCAACGCTTTGATAACAAACCTTTGATATGGTCCAGTAGTTGTTCATCTCACTTCCTGAATGTGCTGAGAATTTCGGTTCCGGTTGAGGTTGAAGTTTTTTAAAAATAGATTTTTGGAATCGTACTTGCCGAATTTTTCTCAACGAATGATTCTTGAAACGAACAGTTTCTAAACGTGGTCAGAAATTTAAGTAGCCATTACCTAATAAACGTGTCCTTCTTTTTTGCAGGAACATAGTCTCCACAGTTAACCTAGGTTGTCAATTGGATCTGAAACACATAGCTCTTCACGCCCGAAATGCTGAGTACAATCCGAAGCGATTTGCTGCGGTCATCATGCGAATCCGAGATCCGCGTACAACTGCGCTGATCTTCAGTTCCGGAAAGATGGTATGCACCGGAGCAAAGAGCGAAGACGATTCTCGTTTAGCTGCCCGGAAATACGCTCGAATAGTTCAGAAGTTGGGCTTTGAGGCCAAGTTCCTCGATTTCAAAATTCAAAACATGGTGGGTTCATGTGACGTCAAATTCCCGATCCGTCTGGAGGGTTTGGTTTTGACCCACTCTCAGTTTAGCAGGTTTGTCTTTTTTTCATCTTGTTTTTTTTTTTTTCTCTTACCGCTTGCTCGTTGAAACCCTGCAATATTTACCGTATCATAATTGCTGATGCGATATGTTCCTTTTTTCGCAGTTACGAACCGGAATTGTTTCCTGGTTTAATCTACCGAATGGTAAAACCACGTATTGTGCTCCTCATCTTCGTATCCGGCAAAGTCGTCCTCACTGGTAAGTCTGTTACCCTTTTCAGATTTGTATAAAAAAACCCGAAAACGGATTCTTCAGGAATTATCGTATCAGAAAGTTGGGATTTTTTTCTTCAAATTTTGAATGTTCTTTCGAAAATACAGCGGTTGAAATGCTTCACTTTCTAACCGGGAAAGGGGAATCAACATTCAACGAAGTATGATTTCCCGCGTGATGAAAAATTCATATACGAATTTTTTTTTTTACTCGAAAAAGCTCGAATTAGAAAAAAATTGAGTGTAAAGTTTGGAATTGAAAAACAAAGTGAGGAAAATGTCAGAAGAAGGGCATAATTTTGTACCTTCGTACCTTAAAAATTTGTGGAATTCCGATCACAAATTTGCCAGGATTACCAAAATTCTATACTACTCTATACCAGTGTTCCCCAACCTTTTTAGTCTGGCGGACTGGCGAATTTCCAAAAAAAATTGCGGATCGGTAAATTTTCAAAAAAATTTCTGTGGACCGGCAAATTTTCATGAAATTTTTGCCGACTCACCAAAGTTTTGCTTTAATTTTATTAGACAGGTATTTGAAAGCAAAATTCAGTTGAGAATTTCATCTAACAATTAAAAAGGGTGGGCTTCGAGAAAGGTTTTAAAGAAGGAAAAATTGAAATAATTAATTTCAGCAGGTGAAAATTTTTCTGAAAAAGTTATTAGGAGAAAAGCAAACTTTTGTTTTTATCGGATAATTCAACTCCCGTTGTCCTTCCGAAATTTTACTTAAAGATAACAGAATTCATCCCCACTTTTGATAAATTTATTATGCTGAAAATTTCCCGCGGACCTGAAAAAAGCGTTCTGCAAAATTCGGGAGTAAGGAGGTTGCAACTGCTGTACTTATATTTTCTCCCTTCACAGGTGCGAAGGTGCGACAAGAAATTTACGAAGCGTTCGAGAATATTTATCCAATTCTGAAGAGTTTCAAAAAACAGTGACGAACATTACAATTTACGTTGTGGTGTGTTTTTCCTCAGAGAAAGCATCCCGTTTGTTCGCAGTTCAATTATGCCTTTGTTTCTCTTCGATGAAAAATCCAACAATTTTGTAAGCACGCCTTTTCCATTCCCTGCGTTTGGGATATGATAGTAGAGGAATTAAGTTTTTCAAAATCTTGAAAGACTTTTTTTTTTAAATTTGTCGTGCAAAGTTCGAAGAAGCTTTGGAAATCACGATTGGGCTTTAGTTAGAAGAAGCTTTCTTTTTTTTCCTGGAAAAATTTTCTGTCGAAGATGTTCTGTGACTTGAGAAGTGTACGCGGGCTTTTTGGAAGCTTGAAAATGTTTTTCAAACTGCTTCAGGTTTTTTATTCGAAGTTTTAAGTCGGGTGTAAGTTCTTAATTTTCGAGCCTGACTTGCCGTTCCGAATCGGTGATGTTTGTTGATGGAAAATCGCGTGAGATTCTGCGGATGTTGAAAGTAAGTTGTGTATTTATTTGGTTGAATTGCGATAAACGATTCCTTATGTTATGGGCAGTGTTCCTCATGTTCACCATTTGTAAAGTTATGAATTGTCGAAATCACAGTTTTCCTATTCTGACTTGTCAGGTGTGAAAAATTGATTGTGTGGATAATGTCTTTCCGTGACTTCTACTGGCGTTTCAATTGTGCGTTGTGGGTCGTTCTTCTGTTGAACTCATCGTCGCACTCCATTGATTTGGGTGCGCTGGACGATGGCGTTTTATTTGCTCTGAAATGGCCTGGACTGGAGCCAGAAAATCTTATAGAAACAATAGTGAGTTACCAACTTGTCATTTTCATCAGAATTCACTAATATTGTGTCATTCATTTTTCTAGGAGCCGGGGGCGGAAATAATCGACATTAATACACGTGAGGGTGAATCTTTCAAGTGCGTTATTCCTCCCATGGAAACTGAGACAGAAGTGAGTGTTTTTAAAAATTGTCATGCGTGCATTTTTTAAAGTTACAATTATCTTCCAATGAACCATCTTCCACGACACGTTTCGAGCATGACCGCTGTTAAAAATTGATACTGACCATTCAAAAGGTGAAAAGCTGTTCGTAATCTTTTCCTCGGAATAGTTATTTTCAGATTTTCTCGATGGTTGTACAAAAAGAATAATAACGATTCAAGTAAAGCAAAATTGGATTGAGCCTCATTTTGAAATTTGTCGTAGCAACCTTTTTTTTTTTTTAAGAAAATCTTTGGATGCGAGTTATTGACCCCGCCCCCTTCCCGCGGATAAGAGTTTCCATTTAGTCACGAAGCTAGTAATGGTATGCGTCTCACATTTTACCGAAAAGTTTTCATTTTGATTTTGATGGTTGAAAATTTTGGTACTTGTGGAATGGCCTTCACATTTCCTAGAATGGCGCGCACTTTTTAATTCAAGATATCTTTTGATTTGTTTTTTTTAGACTTCAAAAGACGAGTATACCGGCCCTAACGCATTGGAACTTCTAGAACCGTTGGTTCACGAAACTTCTTGCTCGTTCAGGGTAAGCTTCGAGTAATTTTTTTTATTGTTAATTCTGTGTAATCATGTCTTGAATTTGGACAGTTGGAGTCGTATTGGACTTACGAAGTGTGCCACGGAAAATATGTGCGCCAATATCATCCCGACGGAAAGGCGGCTGAAGTACAGGAATATTATCTCGGCAGATGGGATGCCGATCGTTACAAAGCGGAAGGTACAGTATTCCTTTTTGCTCACTTTCCAAGTTCAAATGAGGTTTAATTTTCTCTCTCAAGTTGCTAAATTGGGAGAATCCTTGAAACGGGACGGCCCGAAAATACCTTTGCCTACCAAGAAAATCGATGGTATGAATGTGCCTTACGTTGAAATGAACATGACGGATGGGACCTTGTGTGACCTCCGGCCGGGGTCTGCGCGTTCTGTCAGAGTTCTGTATATCTGCTATCGTCAGGTGAGTTTTGATGAATAATTAATTTAAAACTAGGCTTCGTTGTTCCGATACTTAATAATACTGTAAATGTAAATCAGAATTATAACGTACAGTTGTTCGTCTATCATGTTTTTTCTTGCCTTGAGGTACCCAGCATACATTTTCGTACTACGTTAATGGCTCTTCTCTTGATCTTCTTTTTCGTCCTTGGTTTGATAGAATTTTAGTCATTTATAATCAGCCACATACTGAGATTGTATTTCAACAATTTATGAATATGAAGTTCTGACTATTTTCCGAGGCATGGTGAACAAATATCTTCACAAAAGGAAAATTCTGTCTGCACCCAAGCTGTTTTACCGTAAAATTGTGCGCGTGTGATACGAAGGTGACATTTTTTGACTTGGGACGCGTGAAAACGTATACGAGCATACTGTAGTAAAGTATTTCCACTGCACAATAAGATTTAATTCTGGAATTCAGGCATTTTCTTTTCTCATCTCCAGAAAATTTGCCGATGCTTTGGTAAAACCTGAATTATTATCCTCTTTCACCTGTTCACCTTGTCTCGGTAAAATTATAATTTTTATTTCTGAACTGCACATATTTTGTGTTTAGTAACGATTAAATCACTGATATATTTTCAAAGGAAACGAAGAATTATTAAGACTGGAAAGTGATAAAAATAAAATAAAAAGCTTCAAAGAATTGATTATGTTTAACAGAGACGCATTTTCAGTGATGCCGGTTGAAAATCGAAGGACTTCTGACTCCGAAAATTCGGCGTTTGATTAACAATACTGTATATTACCAACCAAATGTAGCTAACCACTCGATTTTGATTCATTTACCTCTCTCCGTCGGCTGTCATGAATCCAATTTTTCTTCGTGTTAATTCAGTCAAGTTTCCGCTGTAATTTCGTGAGATTTCTTAATGAAAGCTGTCGTTGATTCCTTTGTTGTGTCCAGTGGAATTACTGATTTTTGCTTTTTATGTGTTAGGGTCAGCATCAGATTTTCTCGTTGGAAGAAACCCGGACGTGCGAGTACGAAGTCGTGGTTCTGTCTCCATTGCTTTGTGCTCATCCCGATTATAGAGTTCGTGATAGAGCGCATAACGATGTATCGTGTTATGCGGCCGACGCGGACAGTTCTGCGAAAAACAGGCGTCCCTTCGCGCTCCGAGAAATGGAAGCCGAAAGCTTGAAGCTACGTCATCAAACGACGGTTCTCGAGCTCTCAGCTGGTTCTGGAAAACGGTTCGCCTTTGAAATGAATCCAGTAACCGTAGAAGAGGTAAGGTTCTTTTTTGTTGTCTTTTTGCATTTAAAAAATAAGTATAATTTAAAATTGATATTTTCCGATTCGTCAGATCAAGGATGTTGTGGACCAACTTTCTGCGCAAAAGGATACCCCTGGTAGGGATGAAATCGGGAATAAGGAACCTGTGGGAGGGCACCGGGGAACAGTAATGCCGGTTCCGAAACCCGACTTACCTCTGATCTATGATGCTAAGCTAGTGGAAGGGTTTTTGGCGGGAACTTACTGCCTGCACGGGGGAACCGGCTGGTGGAAATACGAGTTTTGCTACGGGAAAAAGGTCTTGCAGTATCACGTGGTGAGTCTGTTCCCTTTCTCATAAGTTTTCTCTGCATTGAAAATCTGCCTAATTTTTCGAAGTAGCTGTACCTAATCAGACTGTTACGTAATGAAGCTTAATCTACGTTACGTTGACCGAATATACAATAATCTTACGTAATGAAAATTAATTCTGTTCAATTACATCAGCCCAATTGGGCCACATCCATGTACAGTACTGTAATTGACGAGCAAATCAGAAAGTTGAAGGTATTGCGCTTTGAAGTTGATCAAATGCTATGATTTGTTCATGGCATGAAACGACGAGACAAAATCTACTGCATAACTCGGAGAACAATTCAGTATTTTATTTCAAAAAATTCAATGTCAATTATCTCTATTCTTATCTGTGAAAAAAGTAGTGCCATGTGACCTCGTTACCCTTAATGAATGACGGACTGCTATTCCGAAACGCTCTTGGTGAAATTTCATTTGTGCTTTTGAATTCGTCGAGTCTCTTGCTCTCTCTTTCAAGAGTTTGGTCTATTACCGCATAATGGTATTTAATTACCATTGGTTTCCTTTGCAGGAAATCGACGGATCAAAGAAATCGGTGCTATTGGGTGAATTCAATAAGGACGCCCACATGGAGTGGTTGATGAAGAACCCGCGTAAGCAACCAATAGCGGGTATCCCCAAAAAATCCGTATCTCATTTTTATACGTAAGTTGACCGTGAACTCCATGATCATGCGGTGGTTGCATGGATTCAGTTTTTACATCTGTACAAAATTAAACAAAATCTTTCTTCTTCACTTTTTCATCGAATTTTATTGGTGAGCATGATTAATTTTTGTGGATTGCTTATTTTAAATCCTCAGCGGCGGAGCAATTTGCGACATCACAGGGCAACCGCGTCACGTTGAAGTGAAGCTGAAGTGTCGTGAACCTGTGGGTGGTCCTGGAACGAAGGTCACGGAAAGCTCGAATGCTGTTACTCTGTATCTCTGGGAACCCGATGTTTGTTCCTACGTCCTTGGAGTGGAATCTGCCATTCTTTGTCCACTTCTGGACACGGCTGACGAATACGGCTTTTTATCAGCCCCCCATAATAATTTTGAAATTAAAGGCATTCCTGATAACGAGGAACCCAAGGAAGAAAAAAGGGTTCTGGTTGGCGTCGGTGAAGCTATTCCTGTTCCGGTGAGTAGAAGGAATGTCGCACTATTCGTAGTTAATGGAAATCTGATTGAAAATTTTACACTCCATCTGTAGGATAAAAAAAAATCAATTCAAAGTTTTCCTTCAGATTTTCTCTTTCATAGAATTTCCTCAATCATTTTTTGCTTTTTCAGACTGTATCATAAAATGAACTTAGGAAAATACATACGCCGTAAGTATATGCTCAAATGATTTTTGGATGCCCAGGCAGATGATCAGCTTTTAATAACCTAGTCGTGACATTTATCGCCAAGCCAGTCAGCTTCATTTCAGCATTGATTGGGTATGCTCAATGACAATTTTAACTTCGCGAATTCACGAGTTTCTTCTTGTTTTAGTGTTTTTTCATCTTTCTCTATCGAAAATAAACAATGCAATTTTAAGCTTGAAATTTAAATGTTGACGGCAATTGTTCGAGAAAATTTAGAGGTTTACTGTAATTTTCAATCTAACTTCCATCTCTAATTTTCAATTGTTAGATGATTATAAATGACAAAATGTGAACTACTGTGTGAGCATGTTATTGTAAAACATCGCCAGAAAGCTCTCTCATTGGTGCAATTGATGGAAAAAATCTGAAGAAGCATTTGAATGAATTATTTTTGTGTCATGCGTAAATTTTCTCAATTTTCTGATGGTGGCTTACAGTAAACCTTTAGTAATACTGTATTGCAATGCAACATATAAAAACCGAAATTTTAATTTTTCTTCAATTTTTTTTATCCAGTTGGATGAGGCGTCACATATCAGTAAACTTACTCCTTCATCAGACCCTATCCCAACGACAGCACCCTCAAGCACTGAATACAAGACCTTCGACGAAGAAGACGATGAGCGTAGCGAGGAGGAATCTTTTATTGGAATGCGATAAACTGCTTTTCTTTTCTGGAAAGTTATTTTTGTTTGCCGTCGGACTTTGACTTGCTACCATATATCCTGAAGCGCGTGTTTTTTTTTTTTTTTTTTTTTCGCTCTCAGTTCTCGGTTTAAACTTGCTCACAATTTTTTTCTTTGTTGACGTTGAACTTTTCATTTTGAGTCGAAGAATTGCTGTGATACATTTGGGCAACGTATGGAAAGTGTGGCAGGAATTTTTTTCTATTTCTAGCGTACTTCTGTCATTGCTGATGTCTTAATTCTTCTTCTTCTTGTTCAGTTGATACAAGGGGTCGATTGTGGATTCCTTTATGTGACGTGAAGAATTTCCGCAGGTTATTCAAATCTTTCCCGGGAAATTTCTGTGCATAGTGCTTGATTCTGCGTGATATCACCATGCCCTGGTATAGTGGGTCATCTCCGTTTGACGCAGATGTCGGTGAGTTGTTCATCTTCATTTGTTAATCAGAAAAGAAGACACCGAACGGTAATTTTCTGTTTTTGAAGTCGGAGACCCAGAGGGATGTCCTTTTTTTCGCCTAATATTAATAATCTTCAGGCCTGTTTTTCAATCGTTGTGTACAATTAAAATCTCGTAAACAAGTTCATATAATGACGCCCTCGGAAAAATTGCAAACGGACGTTTTATTCCCTTCAACAAAAACCAAATTTTCATTTAATCTTCGAATTTTGTCGATGAAAATTACCCCCTTGATTTTAAAGAGATATTTTTGGAATTCAAGCAAGATTGTATCTTGTCTTGAAATTTTTTGTGATAACTCGGAGTGTTGCGTCTTGTGATGGAAATTATTTTTCATGTATTTCAGAAAGGCTAACGGATAAAAACAACACCACGGAAAATTGGGGTGTGATGCTCGATCTCTGCGATCGGGTGGGAACTTCCCAATCTTCTTGCAAAAATTGCTTGAAGTCCATCACCAAGCGCCTTCATTCCGAAGTGCCTCATGTTCAGAAGCAAGCTTTGACGGTAAGTACATGATTTTTAAACAATTCGTTGCCTTCCCAAAAAATTCTTTCATCGTTTCATTTTTAAATTTTGTATTATTAATTTTGTTTTTTGTAATTCGGATTTTTGCTGCGGTCATGCCAATCTGTAAGCATACATAGAGCTTAATTGTGAAACATTTTAAATTCTCGGTCCTAGTTTGTGATCATAATTCCATGCGGTAATTACTGCGATACAAATCCAGTTTGATTCTAGGAAGGTATTTTTCTGAAGAAAATTTATTTCAACTCAATCGTCTGCTGTTATCGTCGTGCTCGAATAATTCTGAAGTCGATTTTGGTATGTTACCTTTTCAAGATGAACAAGGGAAAGCGGGAGCATCTGAAGTCTAAACCTAAAGGCATTTCCAATACTGTATGCCCCGCTTCGTTTTATGTTTTGTCAGGGGTTTTTTAATAAGTACCATGTGTGCCATTTTTCTCTTCGACAGCTGCTCGACACGTGCATCAATAATTGCGGCAAAGCTTTTTTGTTGGAAGTTGCGAGCCGGGATTTTGAGATTGAAATCAAACGTTTGATCACCAAGGGTCATCCTGGTATCGCGGATAAAACGAAAGCAATGTTGAAGAAATGGGCCGAAGGAGAATTCAAAACGGATCCAACTCTAAATCTTATTCCAGCTCTCTACAACAAATTGCAGCATTCGGGTGTTGATTTCCCTGCTATTGAAGAAACAAAGGTACGATTTTTCAGACCCGTTTTGTTCAACTGTTCTGAAATTTTGGAACGAATTCAACGTTTGTTTTTCTGAATGTTGGGTTTTACCCAGGAATTTGAATTACAGTATTTCTTAAAATTTGTGTCGGTTTCCCTGGTGTAGTCTGCAAAATCTACCAAGACTACGGGCGCCTCTGTGGCTCAGAAAGAGGCTGATGACCTCGCAAAAGCAATAGAATTATCGCTGCAGGAAACGAAGAAATCTGCTGGCGCAAGTGTCGTTGACGCAGCAAAATCACCTGTTTCTTTGTATCCTTCTGCAAAAATTGGAACAAGCAGTGTACCGGCAAAAGAACCACGCAAAGTTCGAGCTTTGTATGATTTTGAGGCTGCAGAGGACAACGAGTTGACCTTCTTTCACGGTGAAATTAGTGAGTTTTAATTTCTTCTTATTCTAAGTCTTCCCTTTATTAAAGATTAGGTTTTTCCGGCTCACAATTGTTCCTGCGAGAACATCGTGAGAGGAGTGCAGTACAACGTTTTTGTTTGCTTGATTAGTATGCTCGAATCTTCTTATTTTTGCAGTTCTGGTTTTGGATGATTCCGATACAAATTGGTGGAAAGGCTCGAACCACCGAGGAGAAGGATTGTTTCCGGCAAATTTCGTGACGTCGGATCTGTCAGATGCAGCTAGTAAGGGCGCTTTCGTGTTTTAGAACTCAGGAAGATAAAAAATAAGAACGCGTGTTTTGTGTCCATGCGTGATAGTTTATTATTTTTCGTTTTATGCTCGAGTTTCATTTCTCCGACAACAATTATTCATTGTGACATTGTTTCAGAGGAGTCTCCGTCGAGTAGCCGAAAAGTGCAATTCAGGGAATCAGTGGAGGTACGAACCATGGAAAATGAGGAAGAAGAAGAGGATGACTATGATAGGAGTGACCAGAAAGTTGTTCAGATTGATGAAGAAAAAATGCGAAAAGCTTTGAAACTAATCACGGAGGGAGATCCATCCGGTACTCGCCCTGATCCACCCGAACTCGCCATATTGGAAAGTATGTACATGTTTCTTCGATTTCTATTGTACGATTTAAAATTTTGTATACATTCCTCACACGAAAAGAGGGAATTTTGAAAGTTCAACAAGAATTATCCCGAAACATCTGGAAAAATCAGTGGTGAACATCAGGTTTTCAAGTTGCGCAAAAGTGACCAATTAATTTGATAAATACTTCCGTGCAATTTTTTGAGAAGGTCTTTGACCCAAAGTCTGAACTTGACAGCTTTAAAGTTGCAGTAACATAAATTACCAATTGTCATACGTGGAGTTCTTTTTGTAAGGCTAGAACGTCGCGGAGAAAATTCATTGTTAGTCACAATAAAATCTTGTTATGACAATCCTCATTACAGTGAAACTACATCTGCGATGTTCTTGTCTACAACGAATTTCTTTGTACAGTACTGTATCAAGTATTCATTTTGTGGCCCCGGAGGGGTTCTCTGTAGCGAATTTTTACTGGTCCCCTGAATGTCGTTGTACAGAATGTCTACCTGCGTATCAAATTCTTCCTTACGATGGATTATTTCTTGGGTCCCTATCCAATAGCCAGTGTTCTTCGAATTCTTTGAAATTACAGTACTGTATACTGGAAATGCATATACAGTATATTTAAAATGAAATTTTCCAGGTCCCAATAATACGATCTTGTCTACAACTATTCTTTATGTGTAACGAATTTTTGGTCACATAAGGTAGAGAGAGAATGGATGCAGTATGTCCCATAGGAGTTCTCTCCCCATGTCATGGAAGTTTTCTACTTCTGTACTATACTAAATTCTCTGTCTCAAAAATCATTTTTTCTGGCCCCTTGAGTTTCGTTGGGAAGTGTCCACGTGTAATGAGATGCATTGTATATACAGTAAATCATTTTTAGAGAGCATTCCGTTATAGACAGAGTCCACCTGTATTGAGATCGTATACTGTGTAGATTATACTGAAGCTTTACTTTAAATTTTAATTTAATTTTTTCGCTTTATCTTGCAGATGAGTGCTACGCTATGGGTCCAGCGATTGACACTGAGCTTGAAAAAATCGACAAGAAACATTCTCTTCTGTCGCGGTTGAGCGCGGATCTAGTTGAGGCTTTGAATTTGTACCACACTTTGATGCGATCTTCTTACTCTACCGAGGGCATGGCTGCTCCCGTGCGTCCCCCGTACGCTCCTTCCACCGACGGCATGATGCCCTACATGCCCCCTGCTGCACCCTATCAATCCCCACCTCCGCAAATGTACATGCCTTATCCGGCGCCACAGCAGCACCAACCGGTGAGTTTATATTTCTACTAAAAAATTCTGAAAGCCAGATAGCGGAGCTGACGATAGTTTAAAAAAAAACCACGATACATTTTTAATGCAGGTAAAATCTTGTGTACGATGACGATTTCCGGAAGACTTTTTTCCTTGCGTCTTGGCTGACTTTGTTTCTTTGAAAAAGGGTAGGCAGATTTCCCGTCATACTCTTTCACCACGTCCTGTTCTCGTTTCCTCGGAAAGTGGAGCAGTTTTTTGCGTGTCATGAAAATTTGAAAACTGCCTAACCAAATTTTTTTTTCACGTTTTCTATGATCGTGGTATGCAAGAGTGAGGGAGGGATATGTAAGCAGCTCCTCTGCAAGGAAATTTTCATAATTTGTTACTGCTTTTTTCCCCGAATGGCGCTCTAAAAATTGTGACCGTGCACATTTTTAAGCAGTACTTGGCTGAACAAAAAATAAGTTCCTTTCCCCTATTTTTCAGATAATTTTTCGAGGATGCTTTTAAAATTATTTCCTTAGGTTTCAGTTTTATTAGAATTTCAAATTTTTTCATTGACTGAATGAAGATTTATACCATAGTACCCTTGACCCTTTTGTGAGGTTCATGTTCCATAACGCCTATAAAAATGGACTACATCATGAGAAAAATTATGAAAAAATTCGTATCATAATCCTAGAAAGTAGAAACAATTTATAATGAGCAGAACTTGGGTCTTGGGCAACCATGTTTTGTTACCTGTGCCATATATAAATTGTGTCCAAGTGCTGTATATGTTTCCTGAAGTGTGTTTCACTTTGAATGAATTGATGGACTTTGATGAAATTCGATTGTTTCTGCTAATTGAAGTTTCAAAGGTTGAATACTGTATGTAAAAGTCACGAAGAAGTTTCCCATCCATTAATCTTTTTAGTGCATGATTGTCGATCATGAGGTTAACCTAACTATCGAATGTTTCTGCTATTTTCTAATGTCAATGAGAAAATCGCCTTTGAATTAGCAATGAGTGATTAAGAACGCTGCATTTGATTGTTTATCTGGACATAATATCACTAAGGGTGACCTGTGTTTTTGTGCCCCACTCAGCAGCAATTTTCAAGTAATATTTGCGCCTAACGCAGATAACCGTGCAAAACAATTCAACAGCATTCAGATAGCGAAGATGCACGGGTTGACAGGATCTAAACTTACGGGTTTTTCTTTATTTTTGTTAGCCTCAGCAGTACCCGATGCCGGAGGCAATGCCTGGGTATCCGCAGTACGGGGGTTATGTTCCCCAGCAACCTGGTCTACCTCAGCCACAACAGCTGCAGGCGAACACTGGGTACTACCCGGCGAACCCGTCTGGGTATTATGCACCTTATCCCGCGCCTGGGGCCGTCCCCATGTTCGATCCGACCAAGATGATGCCAGCAGACTCCATCCAGACACAGCAATATATGCAGTTGAGGCTTCGTTTTCATTTCAACTTACTGTATTCTAACGCCGTAGAATGCCGTAAATAGTGTACAATAATGTGCTTCATCCAGACGCCAAGGCTGGGGTAAGCGAGGAGCGCGATCGGAGTTTCCGTGGAATCTGAAATTTAAAACGAGACAAATTCAGTTTACATTTTTTATTTAAACAATTATTCGAGTAATTGGCCGAATTGATCATGGATTTGCTCTAGTTTGATTGTCCTAGCCTCGGAAGTACCATTTCTTTTTAAATTGAGGAAAAAACAGACACTATAATTTCGTGGTAGTAGAATGTATTGGTAGCAATCGACTTAATTGCTCTTTCATTCACGCGTTGATTATACTTTGGAAATGCGGCTTTGTTTGGGTTGTGTCGAGATTGGTGAAATTTTCAAGGTATTGAGTCTGCAGAATACAGTACTATATTGAGGTTTTTGGCAGTTTGAAGAGAGGTTACGGTTTATCAAAAAAGGTGAAATGATACGAAAATCAAGTATGAAAGGAAATACAATTATTATTTTTAGAAATCAATCAAAATAACCCCGTGATGCGTAAATTATATCTAGCTGATGTTCTTAAACAGTAAATAATGCCATCTTTCTTTTGGTGTTTTATTCATTGGAGAAATTGAATCTTGTTGGCAGGCTGTCGAATACCAAATTAATTGACAGGAGCATATTTGAGTTGTCAATAATTTTGTTTGTTGGCATTATAAGTTTATAACGGGGTTTCCAATGCTATTATCATTAGGGATGTTTTTTTCCAAAATAAATCGGCGGTTGCCGATGGTGGTGGCTTATCGGAGGGAGTCTTGGTATTATCCGATTCACGTGTGTTGCTTCTAGCGTACTTATAAAAGTAATTAAAGTAGTTTTTGGTTCGATATTTTATGTTTGTGGCTTCGCTTGTCCTGTGTTCCAGGCCAATGTCTATGTACGATCCAACAATGGCCGGCCAAACAGGTCTGGAAGCGAGTTATGCTGCTATGAGCATGGCGACTACCAACGGGCATCCTGTGAACTCCGGCGCCCCAGTGCAACCCCAACCTCCACTTCTGTGAAATGGGGAAAAAAATCTCACGCGAACTCGCTTGGGTGAACAAGGCATTGATTATTCATATTAAACTCTCCCGGAACGAATATGAAGAGAGCGTGCCTGTGACGGTATCATTTTTGCTTCGACGTCGTTGATGGGTAATTCATGCTTTTGGGAACAGCGCTAATTTTGAAATGGAATTCCATTTTTCTCGATGCGGGGGTCGACACCTAATCCCGAACGTCGATTATTTTTCGATTCCGAATTTGGTTTGGTTTTTTGAAGAACAATTATAATTTTTTGTAGAACTTTTCGAAGCTGTGAGTGAGCAGGATGACGAACTTCCTGGGTTTCACTACGATTAGATTATTATCTCATATCAAAATCTACGCTCTTCATTTCTATGGTTTTATTTGCCATTTAAAATGTTCGTCCAATTTCTAAAATCGTCTAATGTCTAGATTTTATGTTCGTCTAATTTCTAAATATAACCTCCAATTCTGAGGGAAATTAAGATAATTTCGGGCAGATTTTCACTCAGGCGACATTTGCCTGAATTTTCGCTAAGCGAGGTCGTGCATCGAAGTGAAAATATGCAGGAAAAACTTCGGGAAATTTTTTCCAATTTTAGTGTTATTATTCGCTATCGATTTTTGCGACTGATTATTCTCGAAAGCTGGATGAACCCGTTGGTGTTCCGTCGTTGTTCCATTGGTCGTGATCCAAGTGCATGATTCGCCCGCCCCTGGGGCAAGTTTATTTTGTGGGATATTTCTGTAAAGTTCGTTGTGGAGAGAGAAAAAGGAAAGTTTAGGGAAAGCGTTTAGAAAAATCGCCGGATATTTTGCAAAGCATTCCCGCGTTTTTGAATTGTCCGCAGCTTGACTGATTTCTCATGCGCGGTCAACATCGAGCGAGAAAGACTGGAAAGTCTGCTTTTTTGGATTTTTTTTCTGGAAAGAGTTTTTCGATGCAAATGCCGGATCGTTGATAGAAGAAAGTTTAGATGTCGATGCTTGTAGGATTTGAGTTCCTTACGGACCAAGGATATGTTCCTCGCTCCTTGGAGAATTTTGGTACTGAGTTGAAAACTGTCAAGGAAGTTAATTTGTACCCGAAATTATGCTGAAGATCAGGTTCAGACTGGAGAGAAAAATTGCGTCCCGATGCGCTGATGTAGTTTCACGACTTAATTACGTATTTCATTTCTCGAGCCTTCAATCTTACTCTTGAGTTCAAATTTTGCTGCCTGTCCGAATCTGGTACGATTCCTTCAACTGGAATCACGTACAGTACTTTTGCCTTCGTTGAATGAATTTAGAGATGTTCATTGGAAAAGTATCGCTTTCTCGCGTTTTGAGCAAGAATATGTCTAAAAAGTCGCTGTGCATTGAAAAATTCGTAATCGTAACGAATTTTCCTGCTTCTTCCACTCAGGTCGAATTATCTCAAATATAATCTTCATGATTAATTTTCTTTCCAAAAATTTTTTTCAAGGTTCCCAACAATGCTCTATGGACACAAAGCTGATCAATTATTATTTTTTAACTACAGTATTCAGTTCAGCGTATTTTTTTTGCAGTTCTCATATTAATGGGATTTGACTGAATTATTTCTACAGAAGAAACTTTTTTTGGTGTGATCTGACCATAAGAAATGAATTTGATGGAAGTTATTTCTTATTTCAGAGAAACTTCGTTTTTTCAAGAATTTCATTGCACCGGTAACTATTTTTTGGCATGCAAATTTTTTACTTTTCTCCGAAAATTTGGACTCAGATATAACATAACCGATTATTCCTTTATCTGAAGTACTAGCTGATTCATGGTTAATCCCGTGCGAAAATGACCCTTGATTTTGGAAAATGCAACGATTTATCGGATCCTTGGTATAATTTTTATGAATCATTCGAAAGTTATTTTTACGTTTTTCCGTCGAAAATTATAATAATATTCAATGTTATTATCATCCAAAATTGTTTACCTCAATTTCATCGCCAGTTCTGAAGCGCTTCTGTAAGCGTTTTGTGGCTTCTACCCAAGATTGGGTTAAAAAGCCCAAATGAGTTGGGTAGGTTGGAGGTTTTCAAGAGTTTTCAAACTCCCAAAAATGCAGGAATTTCCAATGCGCAGTAACTTTCTGAACATGTGGTAATGTATTAGAAAAGGTTATTCATAGAATCAAGTTAGTATGCAGTACTTGCATGTTTTTTTTCCTTGAGAAATTTCATAATTTGTGTCTTACAAAAATAATCCTGCCGGAACTCGTGAAAGTAATGCATGCAAAGGCTGGGATTGATAATTGTAAGAGACGATTTTTGTGCGAGAGAAGCAGCAGATTTGTTGTTGTTAGAAAATACTAGTTAGCATTAACCGCGTAAAACTTGAACGATTTATCTTGCTTGTTAATGATTCTCCAGTGAATGATACCTCCATATTAAATGAACCCGAATCGTTAGGTTCGGATTTTTTTTTCTGTTTCCAGTGGAAATTTCCTTTTTTCGAGTAGGTAGTGTTTCCCGCGCTATATTTTTTCTTTACTTTTGTTTTAAAGTCGCATTGCAGTTCTGAGAAAATGTTTTCTTCTTTTCCTGGTCCGTCGTTCGCCTGGTTCGCAAATTGGGAATATATTCTCCTGCAAATTTTCGTCCGAGTTCTCTTTCGAATATTTCGTCGTGGATTTTAGTTCGTGTTCTCTTTTGGTGTTGATATTGTTCTTCGACAGTCGATAAATCATTCTGACGCATCGTGTACCGGACGGAGTAAGTAGAGATTTTCGAGATTCGAATTGGTGAGTTATGATTTTGTACCTTCTGTCTTTTTGCCATCTTTTTTGTTTGTTGGGTACGATTTGTTTCGTTTTCTGGTTATTAAGTTTGCTTTTTCTAACCATCTCCCAAGTATTGTTCCGTCTCAGAAGCGATTGGTCCTAGTCGTCTTTTTGGATGAGGATCGTAAATTTACTTGGAGACGAAGATTGTGGTGGACAATATGATATTGATTCACGTGATTAAGTACATTTGCGTGGATTGCGGATAGCTGTCCTACATACATTTTTCCTCTTTTCTCTCTTACTCAGGAATATCTTCGCTTTTCTCGACTTCCTGTGAGAATTTTCATCAAAGAAAAACAGCGGCGCTCTGCTATGTTAATGGCATGCGTTATTTTGAAGAAAGAATTATCAATCTGCTGATTCCCTCCGTTTTGTGCCAATGTCCTTAATATTTTAATTTCCTTGTCGTTACTAGCCCCTTTTTTTCAAATACAGTAATCAAGAATTTATTTTTACTCCATTTGCTCGATAGCTTCGAGTTTTTTCAAGTTCGATTTGGATTACTGTACACAATTTTGTAATGCAGTCCGTTGCAATTGAGGGAAATGAAGTAAACCGATAAAAGAAAAAAAACAGTTGTCGCCTGGAAAAAGGTAGCTTCCGAATTCAGATTACTGTTCAAATTCCTTTTTATTATTTTACTTTGAATCCACTCGGTTCCCTGGTCCGAGTTCTCGCGGTTATTTTTTATTTTTTCCGTTTTGAGATGAAACAAGGTTTCGTAAACCTGAATCTTTGGAATGTATCTTTCGATTTCCTGTTTTCAACCGAAGTTTTCCCCTAGTTCCTTCCGTTCCGCCATTCGTCAACCTTGTGGAAACTGGTTCGATGTCTTGTTTGGACGGCATTCATGAGTTTTTATCACCAGTGGAAACCGACGCAGGTTATGGAGCGTTTCGGCTCGGTTACTTCCATCAACGATTCAGTTCGTTCAGTTGGATTCGCGTCAGTGTGTAGTGTGTATTTAGTTTTGAGCTTCGGTTTATCGAATTTAGTCGAAAATTTTGCTTAGATTCAGTTGCGTCCTGCCAATGCGTGGAGGAGTTCGGAAAGTTTGAAGAAAATCGTAGAATGGAGTGATGCTAGCCAACAATTTTTTGTAGTGAGACACCCGAGTCTTCCGAATTTCCCGATGTAATTCCGAGCTACTTGATTTTTGTAGTGTGTGGATTCCCTTGTAACTTTCGGTATTTCTGTAATTTTTATAATATATATTCATCATTTCGAGAAGGTGGAGCGAGGATGTTTTGTCAATACTGTATTTTGATAAGTTATTTGTCTAATCTATGGCATGTTCGAATCCTTCCGTCATTGTTCTGTGCGCATTTGGTTTTTATCGGCCATTTTTCGTATCAAGGATGAAACAAATTCTTGAAGTAGTAAGGCTTACGTTGTGAAACTCGGAATGGCGCTGCTTTTCAGTTTGCTAAAGTTTTGTGTTCCTTTTTGAGTTCAGTATTCCCAGACGACCTCGGGTGTGAGAACGTTAGGGTAATTTCCACTTGTCGTTCGCGATATTTTAGAAGTCGAGCTCCAGCTGAACGAACTTCTCTCCGCATAAAACTCCGCTTAGTTACGAGGACGATTTTTTGTTCGCGCGATTTCCCCCACAATTTGGTTGACGATTTCGCACATAATTGAAATTTTCGCTTCGGTCGTTTTATTTATTTCTTTAGTTGGAGAAAGACGATCCTGCATTTAATCGTATTCGACGTGAGGTTGAAGGAATCGTAGTGGCTTTCTTCAGGCTGTGTTAGTGCCAATTTGTCGCGACGTGCCGTTCGTTTCGCTGGTGAAAAAGGGGCAAGAAGAGGAAAAAGAACGACACAGGGTACGACGGGGAAGTGTCGAGACGGTATCGCGAGTGTTCTACTTGGTATTTTTCATTTGTGTTATGCAAACGGTGGCTGTATTTGGGTGCTCCAGCGGCGACTCTCATCATTGCGTCGCGAAACCCATGAGAGCTTCGAGCAGGTACGGCGTGCCCATGGGATCTCTGAACGGAAATGGGATGCCTGTCAACCGGGACTGGACCACGACCCGCGAGTTGGACCAGTTTTTGAAGGAGAATGGAGCTTACGAAACTGAAGAGGGCATTCAGCGAAGGTATTTATTTAATTACTTGATATTCATTTTTATTTTTTGACCAGAGTGAAGCTGGGGGTACTTTTATTTGAGACCTGGGATCTGTTATCGGAGTGAACCGGGATTCATTTTTTCCATGTTCTTCTTCTTCTGCCTAAGAAGTCGTTTTCAAAATACCTGATACTTGGCAGTTCCGACAGTAGATGCTCTCATGAACTGATCATTTATGCGCGAAAATCGAAATGAGTGCAAAAATCTGATCAAACAATTTTTGAACTACAGCATTCCTGAATACTACCGTTAAAAAATGTCTTGACAAAGTAAGCCAAAGAGATTTAAACTCATTTCACGCGTTTTCGTGATTTTAGAGGAGTACAATTTTAATGATTTAATGTCACCAACTTTCAGAAAATATTACTTAATTCACCCCACCGATTTCTTTCCATTTTTGTGCTTATTTTCTGTGGACTGTTGTTGGATCTCAATAAGTGTTCGAACTGGAAACTGCAGAATGTACACTTGTAGGTGCTAAGATGCAGAATTTCAGCTCAAATTTTTTTTTTAAAGAAAATTTCTCAACTGAAAACCCTTATAAAAACATGGGGAGAAAACCCTATGTGACCACGAGAAATTCGTTATACAGTTCATAGAAAATCGTTTTGCTCAACTACGTGTAGATCCATTTGATGAAATATTTTTGTGTATAAGAGTATTGAAAGTCTTTTTTTCTCTTGCACCACGTCACCCACACCCTGTTCATGTTATGGGAAGTGGGAAGTTTTTCTTCGAAGTTTGTAATGGTGTAAAATGCCCACCCGGTTTTTTCTTTCTCTGAATTTGAAGAGAAAAGGATCGTGTTTCATTATTTATTGCTAGTTAAATTGGACCTGAATTCCTTATTTTTCCTGAAAGAAATCCTTGCATGTAATAACTCTAGAATACCGAATAATTTTCTTGAGCCGCTGAAGAACTTGTCTTGACGCAGGCTTGTGAAGGTTTGTATTGAACTTGATTGAGATTTGAATCCATTGAGTGTCTTTATTTTCGTCTCGGTACATTTTCAATATTCATCATGTTCCCTGGAGGACTATGAAACATCCTTGCGATGGAAACCCCGTCAGTGCCTAAGCTTATATTTTAGATGTATGGTTGGGAGGGAATTCGTCTAGGCATGTAGAAATACTATAGAAGTCATGAACAATTTCTTATCGAAATGGTGACATGTTTCTCAAAAGCAATTGAGCAAGTTTTGCTCTAGAGCAGCGTATTGGGGAAAGACGGGACATCTCCATCATCCTCAATGAACTCAAATCAAGCAGCGAAAATTTTCTGGATAAGTTGAGGAAGTGGTACTTGCCCTTTTCTGCATTGTTGCTATTGGGAAGAATGCCGTCGAGCGAGTTCTTATTTAGTTAGTTTATCCCCATCTGAATTTCTGACAAGTTCGGTGTCTCGTCTTTCAGAGTCGACATTTTGTCTCGGATAAGCGCAGTCGTTAAGGAATGGGTGAAAGATTTGGCGAAGCAGCGGAGGTTGCCGGACTTGCTAATAAACTCGTCTGGTGGAACCGTGATTCCGTTCGGCTCTTTCAAGCTGGGCATTCACACCCCGGGGGCGGATATAGATGCACTGTGTGTCGCCCCGCGCCACGTTGAGCGTTCCGATTTCTTCACTAGCTTCGTCGAATTCCTCCGAGCCACGTCGGGTGTATCTGATATCAGGGTGAGTCTCTCGTGAAAGAACAAATGTTTTTTTTTTACTAAGAGGTTTATGCAAGAATGCTTTGATTAGCTGACTTAATTTGTTTCACTTCTAGTGTAAGTATCTCATAAGTGCGAGGATTGCCCCTCTTCTGCGTTTAGTGAAATATTCCTGGCGTCGTTCTTATAAACAAAATTTCGATTCCATAATGTTCCATGCATTTGCCATTTTTCAGTTTTCCACCTTTTTTCAAGGCACTGAAAAATGAAAAGTTAAGCATTTTCTGTTGCAGGCAGAAAGTCTCATCTATTTCGCAACATGCTGGAAATTTTTCATGGGTTAAAAATTTAATTGTTGGTATTACAGTATGCTAATTTGTGGTGAAAGCCTGGTTGGATTTCATGTCCGGTTTGGTGGTACTTGAGAAATTGGTCTTTCGAATATTGTACACTGAATTACTTTAACGAATGCCCGCGATTCATCTTCGGTTCGAAGGGTCTATAATTATGATCCAGGATTAATTTTATGCAATGAAGAAGATACTTGAAGCATGAATAGAAGACCGGAGTTCCTGATGGTGAAGTTTGTATGCCATGGGAGGCTGTTTTACACTACACTACTACAGTACAGTATTGGTCGTGCAGAAAATTTTTCAAGAAGGCGTAGGAAAATATTTGTCTTGTTATCGATGGCTTCTCATATTTAGTGCGCGCACGGTTTTCGTGGTGTGAATCACTCGTTCCCCCGAAAGAATGACTCATCGTAAAAAATAAACCCCAGGGAAAGTCTTGCACAAGTCCTTCTGCATGGGGATGTTTGTCTTCCGATTTCCTTTGTCTTCCGATGGCAGAAGTGGGGAAACATTGCTTCTCAAAAAGGTTCCTTGATTAAATTGCTGTAGATTTAATTTTCGCACCTTCTTTTTGGGGCTTATGCTCCAACCCGCGGGGGAATGGAATGTCAAATTTTCAAGATGTGCTGGATCATATAAGTTTTTTTATAATTCAAGGAAAAAACCTTCGAGAAAGGTGATTTCTGGATCAATATGTGTTTGCAATCTCCGCGGACGTAATCGTTCGCGTTTGATCGTATGGTTTTGCATAATTCGTGTTTCAACTGCTGATTATTCATATCACGTTTTAGCCGATCGAAGACGCTTATGTGCCAGTATTGAAACTGAAGCTGGATGGCATTGAATTGGATCTCGTGTTCGCAAAACTGCCAATCGCCCAAGTTCGGGACAATCTGGTGTGTATATTGATGCACTGAGGACAATTTCGGGTTAATTTGGTTCATGAATACCATATGTTTCGGACTTCGGCAGAATTTAGACGATGCTTTCCACGTCGCACCGTCCGACCCGAAATGCTTGCGAAGCTGGAACGGGTGTCGTGTTACCGACGAAATCCTCAGAGTCGTTCCTTACCAGGACCATTTTCGGGTCACGCTTAGAGCTGTACGACTATGGGCAAAACGTGGGTGTTTTTGAATCTTTTTGTTTTTTATCTGTCTTCCACGTTCAATGTTCTGATCTCCAATTGGACCTTTTTTAATGCTGGTTACGGTATGAGATGAGGCCAATTAGTTTTTAGATTATTTCCGTAATAATCTGCCGCTTGTTTATTCGTGAATCTAGGGCATTTTTAAGCCGTTGTGTTTCGTACGGTCGTCAAGTTTCAAGGTGAACATTTTCATGCGAATTTAAGAAAAAATATCCTCATTATTATAGTGTTAATTTATCGCTTTTTTTTTAGAAGGAATACCTGTACGCAAAAAGCGAGTTCGCACTCAAAATGCTGATATTGAGCTTATCGAACCGTGTAATGCTTAGTGTCGAACCGTATTCGTATTGTGAAGTCCTTGAAACTGTTACGATAAATTGAACAGTTCTCATTTTTTAAGCTCACCTATTTGACTATTAGCACTGAATTTTCCTGGATCTATTAAAAGACCTTCGTAAAAATTTTTGAATACCGGTGGACTTTCTGCAACAAACTTGAAGGAACCAGAAAAAAACCATTGTGTAGATATGTTGTTGAAGAGAACTCCTATAATGTGATAAGAGATATCTGTGGGAGGAAAAAGAATACATTTACCGAGAAAATCGGTGTAGACAAGATAATTTTAGAGTCCACCTGCATAATTTTTTTATGTGTGCCCCTTGAGCTGACAATATGAAGCCACACTGTATATGGGTGTAGAGAAAATATTCAGCCCTTCAGAATTTCAGCGTGGTCTCTCGTATGCTCCGTCAGGGTTTATTTATGCTTCGAGTCTCAATTGTCTCATAATTAAATACACTAAATACTGTATGTTTGAATTGAATGAAGTATTCTACATGGCCTTTTCTTATTCCCGAGTATCTTCGATGTTATTGAATATCGCTATACGTATGTGAGGTCTAATGCGATAATGCTGTTTATTTTTCCTTTTGTAGGTCGAGGTCTGTATAGTAATGTGCATGGTTACCTTGGGGGTGTTTCGTGGGCCATGCTGGTGGCACGAGTTTGTCAAATGTACCCGAATGCTTCACCCGCGCTCTTGGTGCACCGGTTTTTCTTCACGTATTCAAATTGGGACTGGCCAAAGGCTGTGACTATTCGTCCCACTTACGATGGTCATCATGGCTTTCCTAATTGGGATGGAAGGGTGAGTTTATTATTATTTTTTTCTCATTCTTTTTCTGCAGTGAAACCTTTGTCTCCAACTTCGTAGGAAATGTATTGATTCGTCGGGTATTCCACCGTGTTATCTCTGAATCTCAATTGCATACCGAGTTTCTTCAAATGTTTTTTTTTCTTTTTTGGTGAATAGTCGTTTCAATTGAAACGTTTTCTTGCACTAGGTTTCGACAAAATCGGGTAGATACTATTGTCAAACGTATTTTTTTGGGCTGATTTTGAGTGTGGTTCTAGCTGGAAAGCAATTCTAGCAACTTGAGTGGGAATGTATCTTGAATCAAGTGTAGGACGATTATTGAAGCGTAGGACGATCAATGTACAGTATTTCTTGTAAAGAAGCACAATTTTTGTGTGGAAAAAATGCATATGGGGGATGTTTCATGCACTTGATTCTGAAGTGATTCATATTTCGTAGAATCACATTACAACAAAGCATTTGTGACCCTTGAAAGCTTTGTAATGAACAAAAGTTCGATATTACAAAGAAAAATGGTACTCTGTAAGAAAATTCAGGGACAAAGAAAATTTGTAAGGAATATTTTTTATTTATTTATTATTTTGCAAGAGCTGTACCATTTTTGGATAAGGTAACCTAATTACACAGCATTGTACTGTACTGTACTGTGCTGTGCAGTGCAGATAGAGTACCGTACTTTACTGTACTCCCCGACCTGGTGGTAATTGTATAACCACCAGTTCGCTTTGAAGATGGCTGCGCGCGTTTTCTTCCAGCAATGGCCAAGAAATGTCGGAACGTGGCTGAATTCGAAGTTGCGTGGGTATGCCGCGTGTTGAGGTTACATTTTGGGTTTAGTTCATTGTAATGGAGACCGGAAAACTTCCACTTCGTCTCGGGGAAAGAGTGTAGTTACCGCCCTTGGTAAAATCATGTGCGAAATGGCTTATGTGATTCCAGCTCAACTCCGCTGACCGATTTCACTTGATGCCGATCATCACACCGGTTCATCCCCAGCAAAACTCAACTTTTAATGTTAATCACTCAACTCGAGGGATTATCCTCGACGAGTTCCATCGCGGATTGGAACATGCGGATAAGGTGCTTCGTGGAACCGGGTCGTGGGACGCGTTGTTCGAAAAGCTGAACTTCTTCAACATTTATCATCACTTCGTTGTGGTTAGTGCGCTATCTACCCCAGATTCGTCTGAACATCTTGCCTGGGTGGGTCTTGTTGAAAGCAAGCTGAGGCATTTGTCGAGTTACCTTGAGCGCATCGTCGCACTTGATCTCATTCATCCGTACCCATTCCAATTCTCTTGCGGTATCGTCGAGTGAGTCCTTATCATCCTTCAAATCTCGTTCGAACCTACATGATATGAATTTTCCAGTGGTTCCTTGTGTACACGATGGTTTTTTGGGCTCATGTATGAGCGGCAGCCGAACAATTATGAAATGGAATCTATATTGTACAATTTCTCGGAACTCGGTGAGTAGCTTTATCGTTGATGCGTGTTCCTTGTTCGTCATGTATCTTCGTACGCTGTAGTTGATGTTCATACGAGAATAAACGGTGTTCCGTCAGCGGGGAGAAGTACGAAGCTCACTTTCGTGCACAGGTGAACTTACCGTTTAAACGTCAGTTTAGACATAGTCTTTGACGCACTTGATTGTTTTAACAGGAAAACCATAACGAGCTTGATACCGACGAAGTTCCACCCGGAGCACCTCTTGGTGAGTTGGGATTCAATTACTTCTCGGTTTCCAGCAGAACGACGTTGTCGAGCCCCTTTCAAGCGAAGTTGATAGCTCGAAGAATCTAGCTTTTGATGAAATTTTCATTTTTCTATGAATACTGTCGTATGAGCTATGGTGTTCCCATTGTCGAAAGGGTGAACTAGGCACCTAATGTTTCTGCCGTCGAAATCTTTCTAATCGTGTCCATACGAAAAATATTTTTTGTGCTATGCTTTCTAGAAGTTGAATTCCGCGTGCGTAGTTTTTATAATCTTGGGCGATTTTCGTCCATTTTGGACGATTTTTCAAGGGTCTTATCATTCCTTCGCAGACTGATGGATCTGCGGGCATGAATTTTCCCGACCGGGTAACTCCGGTTTTAAATATCGGAAAAGGCTCGGGTGATGTGTTTCCTGAACCCGGTGTGAAGAAACCACGAGTTGCCGTTCCCAAGGTTCGATCTGTGAAGGCGGGATTGTTTCGTGTTGAACTATGCCGACATTAATGTGTTTCTTTAACTTAGGTGTTCGGGGGCGGAGATATTGGGAAAGTGATTGTTTGAACCAATGGTGCAGTGTTCGGTTGGGCTGTAAAAGTTGCGGGTTTTACCGGATCTGTGTTCGTGCTCGGTGACAGTTTCACTCGGAAGCGTGGCTTCCTCCATTGTGAACTCATAATTCACGCTGATTGTTTTGCACCTTGTTATGTTTAGTCAGTTTAACGTTTTGTTATCTGAAATGGAAGTGTACTGACGAATGTTTCCATCGTTACGTTCCTGGCGTGTTTATTTTCGTCGCAAAGTTAGAGATTGGCCTTCTAAATCTCTTCTAAGGTTAAACTAGTTTGAAGTCTGCCCCTTGTTCCAATTAACTGGTACCGTTTTTTAAATTCATGCATGCGTGTGCATGTTTTGGTCTCTACTATACTTGATTAAAATACGTACAGTGAAAATCATTACTGTTCTAAAAAGTGGGACTTGGAAAAAGTAAACTGATGAATTGTATGTGGCGTCCTCATGTTCAGTCTACCGTTTCAATAATCGGTTGTAATTGTGAAGTAAATTCCAAAGCATTAGCCGTAGTAACTGTGATTATAATCGAATTACCGAGTGGTGGTGGATTCACAGTGGCGTAGATGGTTTTGACTAATGTGAGAAGAAGTTCGTCTTCCTTCTATTTTTCCTAGGGGCAAAGCGCCGGAGCGGGATCGGCGCAAGCTGAGAAATTTGTTTTCAACATCCCCGCTATGCCGAAGCGGACACTGTGATTTTGGTTAGATTGACCGTACTGACAACGTTTTTAAGCAATTCTTAACTTCTTTTTGCGTATGGCTCTCGATGGAGGTGCATGATGCTAAGTCGATCCTTGACTGTGCGAAGATCTCGCTCCGCTAGTTCGAATCTCGTGTTATTCACATCCTCTTAAAGGTCGAGCGGTGACGAGTTTAACGCGTCTCTATCCTTCGGCGGATTGTTGGAAATGTCGTTGAAATCGAGACGATGCCGAAGTGCTTTTCTTTTTTTATATTTGAGTGTTGGATTCGTTTGTAAGGTGCATTCCAATGCGTCCTCGCAAACTTTCGTGGTTTAGACGCATGCGTGCAAAAAATTGAAAAAGCATAAAAAAAATTTACAAAATTCAAGAAAACAAGACCAAAAAAATCTAAAAACTTGGAAAGTGTAATAAAAAGAAAAAAAAGTGGGGGGAGATCGTATCGACTCTTTTCTGTTGGAAACTACGTGGCTTCTGTCTTACCTTGTCGCGTTTTTTGAAGCAGGCACGAATGAAAGTGGGAGTGATTCAACAGTGTTTCTTGTTCTGGAGTTAGGGTGAGTTTCCTTTTTTGTTTAATGCTTCCTTCATTTTTCATGTGCTGCATTAAACTGTAGTGGAACCCCTTCTAGTCAATTATTCATATTATTATATTATTTTTGAGACGAGAAATTGCGAATTTTTGTGAGGGTTTGCCGATTTAAGTCTTTTTTAATCTGGTAAGAACTCTTTTTAGGTTGTCTAATTCGGCGTTACTTGGATGCTGTGATTATTACACAACGTGAACGTATCAGCTAGCATAGATCAGTTGAAAAAATACGTCACAGTATCGTTACGCTTAAATTTTATTTTGTTAGGCGGGATTAGTTTCTTCTATGCGTTGCTTAGAAGACATTTTTTTGGCTTTCGAGTGGAAATTCGAGGTAGTCTCTTCGCTTGAGTGCAGTATTAGTATTTTACAGTACGATAGTTCTGTGAAGCCATGAGTGAACGAAGTATAATCTTCGCAACTGTACTGGGCCATTATTTCAAGATATTTCCCTGAATTTTTTTTTGCAGAGCAGTTTTGATCAAAGCTGGTGGGAATGACTTCCATGCCGTTGGAACGTCTGAAAGCTCTGGATGAGATTGAAAAGGACATAGCGCAAGTCCTCACTTCAGCATCTCATGCGTTGGCGGAAATCAGCAAGGACAAGCCGAGCCAGAAGCAGGTCGACCAGCACAATACGCAGTTCCTGAATACCCTGAGCAGTGTGGAAACAGAGTTAACAAAGCACATAAATTACTTGATACAAGTATCCACGGGACAGCCACATGAAGGCTCTAGTTATGCAGCCCAGAAATCCTTACTCATGGCCGGACAGCGTCTGGATCACTCCAAACGGAGACTGTCAGAATTAGAGAGTATCAAAAACCATTATCCCCTTCCGTCTGTGCCCAGGCCTGCTTTTGGTGGGCCGAATTCAAATCAGTCAGTCAATGGGTGAACTAGTGTATTTTTTCAGCGTTCCATTTTTATAATCGAGTTATGTTTGGTTTCTAATCACTGCGTCAAATTTGTAATTGTGGTTCACTTGAGCTTATTTCGACTCATAAATTTCAGAATTTTTCCAGTTGATTTTCGGACGTTAATAATGGCTGCGATCTGTGCTGTGTGCTATGACTCATTGACTCTAGGATTGCGCGACACGGGTAAACGTCCGGTGTGTGCCGTTGGATGCGGACATGTGTTCCATTTGGACTGCATCATGCGATGGCTTCAAGAGTGAGTCCTTATTCAGTTTGGGTCCTTCATAACTGTTGATGTATACAGTATTCGGCTTTGAGCAAGGACTGCATTATTGACACATATTGGTCCAGAAAAGTGAATTTATATCCTATGAACCCTGATTTTTTGTATTTTGAGTATTGCTGTCTGAAGAGAGACGTTGCTTTAAGTTCCTTGGTCTTTTTATCTAAACGACTCTTTTAGCATCTGTTCTAGGAACATCACTCAGGTGGGCATTAACGTAATCATGCTAGTGGCACGCATAAACCCCACTGTTGAAAGCAGTCTCCGTCTTTCTGGAATTTGAATTTAATGAACAGCAGAGATGAACTCTTCCTGCAAGAAAATTGAGGGGACAAAAAAAAATCGCTGTGAAGGGAATTTTGTTGTAGGGAATTTTTTGGGACGCAAAGAAAATCGATCAGCGAAGAAGATCTTTTTAGACAATGATAAACAAGTAGAGATTCATCCTGCATTCCAGTTATTTTTTATGAAAGTTTTGCCTGAACATCAATGTAATTTTAATAAAAAAAAACATTTCCTTGGATAGGCCTCATGGCCTGAAGCTCTTTAACTATTCTGTCATGTACATGACATTAACTTACCTAATTAACTAAAAGCTACAAAGCCGCAAGACAATCGGTTCAATAAGTTATATATTTTTGCGAATTATGTGATTTTCTGGCTTTGACGGCTTTTGTGAAAAATTTTGTAATGCTGTTCCAGGCGACCAGCAGGGACATGTCCACAGTGCATGACCCGATTATCAGAAAGAAATTTGCAGCGTTTGTTGGTCGAAACTGAAGACTGTTCTACTCGGCGTAGTTCGGGTCGAGTTTCTACTGCCGGAGGCCAGGCAGTCTCGGGAGCTGTGCAACAAAATGAAGAAACGGCTGACCTCAAGGCCTGGATGTAGGTTTATAATTCTTCGGTTAATAACCCGGATCCGATGAGAAAGCTAAATCTAGATTCGAGTATCAATTACCATCATTATGATTTCGACAGTTTTAAAATATTTAGATGATGCATTGGAAATTTACGTTTTTCTTGTAAAATTTAGGGCGCGGTGCGTCACGTTAGAGAAGAAAAATAAGGAACTTGAAGATGAGTGTCAGGCACTGCGTTTTGCGCTTGAAGATGGTTCTCAGGATCACGCTCATGGATTCAATAATGGATTTTTTTCTGAGCTGCTTCGTCGTCCTCTGAATGCTCCCGCTAACCATCCACGGGAAGCTGCACGACATCAGTGAGTGAACTTATTTCAGTTTGATGAAGACTTTCGCATAAGGGTATAGCCTTTATTAAAACGTAGAAGACTAAAGGTGGGAGGAAAAAATAGGAAAACACCCCGAGACATCTCCTAATAAAAACGAACCAGTTATTACCTTTTTTATTTAGGGTCTTCTTGACGTAAAAAAATTCGACCGAATTGTTGGTCGACTAAAAACAGCGCCTACATAAAAAGCAACTAATGTATTCTTCGATCTAATTCTTTCATCGGAATATTTTGTCACTACACCGAGAATGAAGTCAAAGCGTTATAAGTAAATTCTAAATTGCTGCTTCCGGAAGTTGTTGGCAGTGGTTTTTCCTTGCGCAGAATTCGTAATATTTCTGCGGAGTTAATGTCTTACAAGGATATCAGTGTGCTTCTCTGATATTTCTTCGGTCCGAATTTTGTTCGGGGATACAATTTTTTGTGATATTCTCTGATGACGGAGCAAGCTTTCGAGTATTTGTTGTAGTTTTTCGACAAGGGACTTTACTTCCAACGCAAGGTAGTACAGTATTTTCCCTCCTTTTATTTTGTGCAGTGCCCCGGCGCCTGAACGCGAACTCCGACATCCTTTATTCCATCCTGACTTTCCCACTCGACATGGAAGAAATCCTCCGCGGTCTAACCCGGCCCGTGCTCTTGGCTCTATGGCAACGATGGCCGATCCTTTCTTTGAGCATCTGAATATGAATCACGATTGGGTATCGGAAATAATTTTGCATCTTCTGATTTCCACCCTCCTTTTTTATCCTTTTGTGGGGCTCTGTAGAGGATTATTTTTGCTTGGTCAATAATGGAAAAAATAAATCCCAGAAGAACTGCATTTTTTTCCGACCGAATTGTTGGTCGACTAAAAACAGCGCCTACATAAAAAGCAACTAATGTATTCTTCGATCTAATTCTTTCATCGGAATATTTTGTCACTACACCGAGTATGAAGTCAAAGCGTTATAAGTAAATTCTAAATTGCTGCTTCCGGAAGTTGTCGGCAGTGGTTTTTCCTTGTGCAGAATTCGTAATATTTCTGCGGAGTTAATGTCTTACAAGGATATCAGTGTGCTTCTCTGATATTTCTTCGGTCCGAATTTTGTTCAGGGATACAATTTTTTGTGATATTCTCTGATGACGGAGCAAGCTTTCGAGTATTTGTTGTATATTTCGACAAGGGACTTTACTTCCAACGCAAGGTAGTACAGTATTTTCCCTCCTTTTATTTTGTGCAGTGCCCCGGCGCCTGAACGCGAACTCCGACATCCTTTTTTCCATCCTGACTTTCCCACTCGACATGGAAGAAATCCTCCGCGGTCTAACCCGGCCCGTGCTCTTGGCTCTATGGCAACGATGGCCGATCCTTTCTTTGAGCATCTGAATATGAATCACGATTGGGATGACGCTAACTTTCTGTCGCTGAGAGACATGCTTCATGACCCTCTGTGAATTTGAAATGCGGGACATGGGAAAGACAAAACTTGACTTCACGCATTCTAAGAATTCAATAGACGAAGGATAGAATTTGCTTTTCGGATGTTGTAATGTGTCCAACTGGATAGTAATTTTTCTTCCATGAATTCGGATCATTCGACGATGTAAATTATTTCAACACATTGTATGGACTATTTTCCTTGTCTTTTGAAACGCTGAGGGATGCTCAAGCGGTTGATTCCGAAGGTTATTGTAACTTTGACTAAGAAAGATCTTGACTGAGGCATTTTTTTACATGCGATCATGTGAACGAAATACTTGAGCTGTGGTTTTACAAGAATTCTCCGAAAACATTTTTCGCATTGCGCTTTTCTACGGAGGATTGAGATTTTTTCAAGGATTTTCGTATGTGACCACATCCAAAAGCGAAACCGTGGAGGATGGGAATCGCAGTGCTGTGACAGGAAAAGATCTCGACTATTGCATATATTTTTTACTTGCGATCTTGTGAAAAAAGAACTAGAGCTGTGGTTTTTCAAGAAGTCAGTTTTTCGAATCATTTTAGCATTGCGCATGGCTACGAAGCGTGATCCAGAATAAATTTATTCCAGTAGTTGCCTTTTTTGTTATATTTTTAACGTACAGTAGTTCGCGAAGTAGTTCGATTTCACCTTTGCCAGGAAATTGCAGTGAATTGATGCGCGATGCCGCAGAAAAAAACTGGTCAGAGGAAGAAAGCCGAGAAACAGAAGGCCCGTCAAAAGCTAATTCGGGCATCTAATGAGTCACGGGCTCTAGCTGATGCTCCGTGCAATGCAGTCATGGAATGTGATAGATGCCAGAAGTGAGTAACTTTTGGACTATCGTTGTATGAAAAAGTGAATTAATTTATAGTATTATGTTCTGGGTAATCAAATAATCTGAAGCATTAAAAAAACTGTTTTTATCCTCGCAGGAAGCAGAAGTCGAGAGCTTTTTGTTACTTCTGCCAGTCAGTACAGCGCTTACCTATATGCGCTGCTTGCGGAAAAATCAAGTGCATGATGAAAGGCGGCGACTGCGTGGTGAAACACGGTGGAACTTTCACTACTGGTCTTGGGATGGTGGTGAGTTGAACCTATGGAGTTCTGAGAACTCTGTTGATTCCCCTTCTGACGAACGGAACTTCAGTCTCGTTCACGTTTCCTACCGTTACGCGTATAGAATAAGCGTCAATTAGTTCGATCAAGTAATACTGTATTTCTGGTTGATATTTCCACCAATTGCTGTACTTGAAAACTGGATTAAATCCTATCCTCGATTTCTATACTGCTAATAAATAATATAACATTTAATATAGCATTATACCGTAGTGTGCTATGAATATGAAGTATGTAATGAGCCACTAAAATTTAATCATTTTGTATATTTTTAAATTTGAAAATAGTCGTTTCTGTGAGTACTGTATACACTACAGTGTGATGCGCACTTTTTTAGAAATTCGGTATTATCACCGCAAAAAAAAAGATGACACGCATCCCCTTTTTCCTAAATTTTGAGAAGAAAGATGTGCGTGATAATCACGTAAATACAGTATACAGAACTCGGATTAAGAAATATTAAAATATTAATATTTAGAGTTAAAATTTGTTTAACGTCTAATTCTCTCAAACGCTCTCACGCTCAGTTTTGAAACCGTAAAATCCGCGTCTATGCTCTGAACTTGTCGCTAATCCGACGCCGTCTCTTCTTTAGGGTGCAATTTGCGATTTCTGTGAAGCTTGGGTGTGCCATGGTCGCAAGTGTTTGACGACTCACCCTTGCGCATGTCCTCTACAAGACGCTTGTTGCGTCGAGTGTGAACGATCAGTTTGGGAGCACGGAGGTCGAATATTTTCTTGCTCCTTCTGTAATGGCTTCTTGTGTGAAGATGATCAGTTGGAACACCAGGCGTCGTGCCAGTATCTTGATTCCGAGAATTTCAAATGTGAGCATCTTTATCATAAAAATAAAATAAATCGCAGTTGTGCCGTGTTCAGTGCACTCCGTTCAATCTCTGCTTGAAAATCATTCAGCACCCAACTGAGTACCCAAATAAAATGAGTCTTCATTTCATTTTATTAAATTCATCGTACCAAAAATTAAAAGCTACGGTTGTGTAGTGGATTGCATTTTAATTCAAAAGAAAATAACGAAAGTTTGCTCCCTCTATCAACGTAGAAGAAGTTTATAACCGCGTTTCGCTGATACCCAGTGCATTCCTTCATAGAATTCTTATAGTAATTATTTGCTTTCTTCATCGCTGCATCGTGATTGATTAGCTCATGCGTCACGTAACACACTCGCGTCGATCTTTATTCAATGCTTCAGGTCTTTCCTGTAACAAGCTGGGTCAGTTGTCTTGCTTGCGATGCAAGCTATGCTTCTGCGAGGAACACGTACGGAGAAAAGGAGTGAAAGTAGAAAAGGGTTCCCAGCCGCCGTGTCCGAAGTGCGGTCAAGAAACGCAAGAAACTAAAGGATTATCCATGTCAAGTAAGTCAATGTTTTGAATTCGCATTGCCATGCAGTTGAAACATTATTTCCTATTTTCAGCGCGTACGCATCAATACGGTCGTCAAGGTGCCCTCGAAGGAACTTCTCGGGGAGTCTATGATGACGATGACGATAATACCGAAGGTAATTTTCATTTCAACGTCTAGACAAATTAATATTGAAAACCCGAGAACCCGGTGTAATCGATCATGTTCATTGATCAAAACCAATTGTATTCAATATATGGTGAAGCGTGTTGAAGTGCGCTTGTTTGAAGGAATGACTGATGGAAATTTAGGACGAGGATTTCCCTTCCGGATAAATTTTCCTGGCTCTGAACTAGCAACCGCCGAAGTCTGTGGATCGTTGATTTTTCATATTTAATTCGATTTTCCGTAAAATTCACCAGGTGCTGTCGGTTATAGTCACGGCGACTATGATTATGATGACGACGACGACGATGATGAAGATTACGATGAGGAAGATGATGATGATGATTCAGACGATGATGAGTCCGAGGGTGAAACCGATGTCAAGAAGGAATAAAATATGCGTTGAACTTCACTCCGGTCTGGAAGATTATTCCCACATGTCTCGTATTTTCACAATGCTACCATTTTAAAACGGTTTTCCATTTTATTTCGCAGATCAATTGTGACGGTGATCGTGTCGTGTCCGCGTTTTCAGATTTTCGGATTTTTGTTAATACTTTACTTCGGTGAGTGGAATCTTGAACATACTATATCCGCCGAAAATCGTTGTTACCTTGTAAACTCGATTGCATGTGTAACTCCATAACGGCGGAAAAGCATTTTAAGAGTTTCTCTCTTCGCCGCTACAACTCATCATTTGTAGCGTCGTGTATAGAAGCCCAACAATGGATGAAGGAGCGTTACTTTTTTCTCGTAGAAAGCACTTTAAGTAACAGATTTTATTGCAATGATTGCCCACAAAGGTTTGATGGTGACCATTCAAATTTCTAGAAGAAAAATACGTGATCTGGAATATTGAATATATATTGTAACTCAGCAATGCATTGCATTTTGATTCGATTGCAGGTTAAAATGTCATCACAAGGAACGCGGCAGCCTCGTGAGGTTGGGATGGAATCCTTCAAGCGCATGAATTTTCTGTTCCATGCCGCGCACGCATCGGTTGCTGCTGGCGTTATCGGTCTCGATAGGCATTTGCTGTCCAACTTGTGGGGAGTTAGTAAGAAAACCGTGAAAAAACTGGATCCATCTGTGAAGCGCTGCATCTGCAAAGGATGCAATGGGCTTTTGATTCCTGGTGCGACGGCGCGTGTTCGTTGTCATTCCAAGCGCCAGAAGCACGTGTCGTGGACTTGTTTGACTTGCAAGTTTGTTCGACGGTTTCTTCTCGACAAAAATTATTCGTTGTGGTATGACAAAGCAGAAGCGCAAGTGGGAAAGGAAATTTCGAAAGCGTCGTGTGAAGCTGAGGCGAAACGTGTTACTCCAAATGACGGTGACGCACCCAAGTGAGGTAAGAAGTCGTTCATATTATTGTTGCACCCATTGTATTCGAAAACTTTCTGTGGTAACATTATTTCTACGTAGCAAATTAATTTTGAACAAAGTTGTGTTTATTTTTCTGCATTCTCCATGTTTTTGTGGCTTCGTGAGGTGGAAAGCATTTCGACTAGCTACCAATTACTTCAAGATTGGATTTATTGGTGATTCAAAAATGCGATAATGATAGGTATGACCATCATTGCTGGTACTGCGTAACGATCGTTACCAGCAATTGGGAAACCCTTACAAGTTCATGCACACTTTTTCAGCATCTGTGCATCGTGTTCCTCTTCAGTTCTGTGAATTTTTCTTTATTTTCCAGGAAAACGCATTTCTGAAGAGAGGAAAAATATACGAGCTTCGATTTTCTTCTTGCCGAACGAATTAAGTGTGAGTATTTTAATTTTGTGTTGATCGATTCGAAACTTTTTTCCCTCCCCGCCCGTCCGAAAATCCGGTGTATTTAGGAAATGCATCGAAGTATAAAAACTCATAAATGATGAATTTCCATCATCTTTTTGGATGACAAATATCATCGCACTAATAATATCTATATAACGATCTTCTGATGCAGTTGGTGTTCATCAACCGAGGGGTTGTTCTTGTTTTCTAACAGTAGTGGAATATTGCTGTTATGGAAGTTGCGACCCTTCGGGGAATGAAAAGCATTTCGACTAGCTACCAATGACCTCAAGTTCAATTGAGTCGTCGGTGATTCAAAAATGCGATATTACGAGGAGTGGCCATAAGCGCTGGTGTTGCGGATCGATCGTTACTAGCTAATGGGCTTTCCAAACAATCCCACGGTTTCATCATTTGTTTGATGTGCCATTATCTTTTTCTTGAGTGAGTTTTATCTTTTTTTCAGTAATTTCTGCGGCAGGAAAAAGAAAATTCAAGCTTCGAAAAACTGGCGGCGGACGAAATGAGGTGAGAAATCTTACCGAGGGTTTAATTATTGCCGAACTGTATTGCAAAATATTCCATGAATGGAAGCATTACGACTAGCTACCAATGATCTTAAGTTCAATTAAGTTTTTGGTGATTCAATAATTTCTTGCGGTATATTTTATCGGTGTTCCCTTGAATGCTCAATAATATCTTTAATCGGGTATATTCAGTTGTATCAGTTGAAGACTGAAAACCTCTTGTTTGGAAAGCCTCCATTTGTATTTCATTTCCCTGCTGGTAGGCATTTGAGAATTTCGGTTTTGAATCATAAATTTTTTTTCTTCTTCAGGTGAAATGGAAGTACAGTACGTTGGAGTGCATGATTGAGAACGGTGAGTGTATTTTTATTGAAATTTTGCTTTCCAGTTCACGTTTCATTGGCAGAACAGTGGATTCCGTAGATTTTTGGAATCAAAGAACTGATTTGAATGGAACGAAAATAGATTTTGGGGAGGGTTTTTCGGATTACGTCTATCATTCCGTAATTCTATATCCTCTCTGAAGTACAGTGTTGGTGTACTGTAAATTTAAGGTTTTAAGAAGAACCATCGTACACAAATTACAAATTACTTGCTGTATTCCGATGTAGGTACGAAATTAGTTTTTCATCCTTGTGTTTTTCCTTAATTCTTTTACGCAGATAACTGCTTTCCTGGACGATCATGTGGTGGTTCCAGTGAATTTTTTTTCATCTGGTAAGTTTGAACTCTCTTCTTGAAGGAAAGTTTCCTTGTTTATGATGCAATTATCCTCTTCCAAATTTTCGGTACATTCTCTGGGGGCTTTTTTTGCCGCTCACGGTCCTACTAGAAAATGCACTGTACTTCTTCCAGAGAACAGAAATCCCTGTTGAACCAGATTTATGTTTCGTTTGAATTATGGGTGTTCCATCATCCCATGAGTACCTATTTGAATTCGAGAAATATTGTAATTCGTTAACTCGTTTGGTTAACTTCGGTCCTAAAGTTTTTTTCCTTTTTTCGACGGTTTTCCAGGTTCCTTCTGGAACTGAAGATGTTCTCGATTTGGCTTTTTCTCTAATTCAGAATTCCTCTCAAATCTGCTTTTCTGTGCCTTCGTGTAGGTGTCTCCGAATTGATTGTTCGGTCCGTTTTGATTACCGTGCAGTACAGTATTTAATTGTACACATTCTTTTACTGTATAGCACAACGAAATAACATCTTGAATCCTTTCCAAGGGTAAGATTGAGATTTACGAGCACGTGATTGATTTAATGGGAAAATCACTTCGTTTTCAAAATTGCACCATTTCAAAATCCCGCACTTTTTTTTTCAGAAATTGAGGCCGAACACTTGCGTGCGCGTGGCACTTCGAAGGATGCATTAAAAAAAAACCCCTAAAATTAGTGTGTCACATGTCACATCTAAACAAAGAAATTAAAAGGAAATGTGTGGTGCAAATCTCCGTGTAGGAAGTAATGCTTCAAGCATTAAAAACTTTGGGAATACATGAGGTGGACATGCAACGAACAGTAAGTGAAGGTAGAAGATAAAAGATAAACTTCATATTATTGAGGAAGTTGCCATACATTGCAAGCAAATTTGAATTTCCCCTTTAAACAAGTAGGACGTAGTATTAATGGCGAAAAATGGATCCACACACACGAGATTTCGAAATTTTTCAATTAAAAAAAAAAAGTGGGATTTGCTTGTGGACAAATATCTCACGAAAACAGTTGGGTGCATCTTACTAGAGGGCCCATGGTACTATTAAATAAGGTATATAGTTCACAGTACTGTATTGGCAATAAAAATTTAACGATCGCTCAGTAGAAATTGCGGTGAGCGTCTCACTTGCAATTCATGGTGCGCTGGTGAATACTGGATTCTTGGTCCGGGTAGACGTGATTCAAGCGACGCCCGTTTCACCTTTGAATTTGTCAAAGGCTTAATGAGGAAAGAACCGACTGTTATGATTTATTTTGGTGTCCTCTTTTCAGAGCATGTGGTTCCTTGAATCTTAAATGCCGGACCCTTATCGAGAATTCCAAAAATCTAGCGAATCCGATGTTCCCCAGATCCCGTCATGTTCCTTCTCTCGGGGAGTCTGGATTCCATCCGTCCATCTTGATATGGAAGCTGGCCTACTCCCTCCTCGGCATGTACTACGTTCATTGGAAGGATTTGGACCACCAACTGCTTTTTTTTTTATATCACGCGTTTGCCGTGATGCAGTTCCGGCGACGCTTCACTTCCTGTTGCATTTTGATCCCGATGGATTCTAGATTTTATAAGAGAACAATCATCTCACTCCGTCTAAATTTCTGCGATGTGTTACAGAATATCATTTTTGAAGCTTGTTGGAAGATGAATTTTTAGCATTTCTGCTATGCGTCCGATTCTTCGGTATGATCCAAATCGAGACAGCTTTTCTTTCTGCCTGCAGAGACTTCCAGTGAAGAATTCTTGGGCTATTTCTCTGATTTTGTTTGGATAACGCGTCTGACTGACTTTTTTTTGACTGACGTCGTCGAGTGGGATCTTACTACGTTTTCATCAAGTTCGTTGGTTCGAACTGAAATTGCGTGCGGATTTACCAGGTGAATATGATTTGTTCCGTTTCTCCTTCGAATCTTACCGAATTTCGTCGGCTTCTCGTCTGGTTTCATTTCTTGGAGCCTTTTCTGCTGTGCTGCACGATCTATTTTATTCGCTAAAAATTTGGCCGATAATGAGGTGGAAATTGTCGGCCATTTTTCGTGCAACCCCTGAAGAAAATTCCTCGTGAAGAGCTGAATTTGAAATTAGCGCACATGCGTGTTAAAACATTGAGTGGATTTTGATGGACTCTGTAAGAAATTTGAGGATTAATCACCTTGCTCGTCACCGAAGCATTTGAATTTTCGCTAGGCATATCAAGTGCCATCATCTACTAGCGTCTGTCTTCGTGCTGAGCAATTCTCCTGTAGCATGCAAGGGCTAACATGTTCACGATTCAATCATTCCCTCAGTTTCCGCAGTACAGTACAGTGTGTCCTCAAGATACGGACGCACCGAAATACTGACGATTCGACTCGTCATCCGGACAATTTCTGTAGATATGCTCACTCTCCAATCAAGCGAGAGATTGGAGAAAAATTAGTTAAACTTGTTTATATCTTTTAAATTGAGCTATTTATAAAAGATTGAAATACACCAGGGAATTTTTCCGGATATTTGAACGGGAGAACCGATTAAATATTTCTATATTGAATCTGTGGGAAAAGGGGATCCATGAGGACGTCCCAACATGGAAACAAGGCGTTAGCACCAAGTCCATTGCATCCGCATCTCGGGGCTCCACTGTACTCTATTTTACTTGCTTGGCGTGTTCTTTGGCGAAAGTGACCTTCTTTTGACGAGATTCTTCTGTGAATGCGAGCGGTGCTCGTGATTTTCTTCTATCGGTTGCGCTTCGGGGATTAATTTGCGCACAGCTTGTTTGACTGTTCGAAAAATCTTATAAAAATCCTCCGGCACTATCGGATGCAATTTGAAGATTTTTTGAGGTGCTGAAAGAAACAGCTTTAATTTCCTGAAGTTGTTGGAAGAGGAACGAAACCAGTCAAATGAATCTCCTTCCTTTTCCCGTTCTCCAAGACCACTGGAAGTACTGGTACTGGTTTTTCTTCTCCTTTTTTCGAGAGGGTATACATTGCTGAAGTGCTTTTATCTTCTGGTTTTGTTCCGAATACTTCAGGATAGGTATACAGTACTGTATTCAAGATTCAAAACTTATCGGGTTGTGCTTCAAGATATTATTTCGAATTTGCATTCCGAAGTTTTCTGCTTCATTTTGACGAGAGCGTTTACCTCTGACGATCCACAGCTTGTTCACCGTGGATATCTCCCCGCCGCCGTTCATAACGAAGTCCTGTTGAGCTTTGTTTCTTGCGGTGTTCCTTCCAATTGCTTGTGTCTTTGATCCATCAGCAGTATTTTTACTTCCGTCTTCAGTCTCCTCGAGTGTAAGTTACCAGTCTGGATTGTCCTTTTTCATTTTTTGACCGAAAAATACCTTCGTGTATTTATTCACGACATTGATGAATTTACTCGACGGAAATTTCGCAGCATAATCCCACTGATGCGGTTAGTATTTGGTTAATGCGTTAAAATAAAATTAATGCTTAACCTATTTATTTTCTCCATGTTTGGATCAGTTGGCCCAAATGAAAATACTGTAGTCCCGTACTTCTTATGATCTCTTGAATTCAAATATCTTTTGCCATTGATTTTTCCTGGCACGTGTGAAATCGTCTTTTTATTGAACGGTCACATGCGGGAAATTTTCGTAACTCTTCGGTTCCGTGTTTTGCTCTGGGAAAGGTTTTAAACTAACCCATCATATTTTACAATTTTCAGAAAATCCAAGATGCAAAGGCAGTCCGGTCCTCCGATGCGCAAGAGGTGAGACATATAGCGTGGCATGATCTGTGTAAAACAAGAATGGGATACTTCGAGAAGTTCTGAATATATAGTATTTCATAAAATTGGCACTAGCAAAAAATATATTTTGACAAAGCTACTGATTTTCTTGGTCGAACGTCATGAAGTTGCAACTGCATTTATAGTAATTCTTTCTAGGCAATACTAGCTTTTAGTGTTCTGGTGGATTCCCACTCCACGAAATTCGGGGATATGTCTATAATCCTTCGCGGCTAAGGTATTCCTTGTTGAGACCCATTTAGGACAGCATCAAAGAATTGTATAGTGCGGATAAAAATCGTAAAGATTTCACTTAGTTTTACTTCTTCCCGAGGGGTATGCATTAAAAAAGTTGTTTTTCAAATCTCACGAGCTTCCTTGCGGATTAAGTCCTAAATCCATGATATTCACAGCTTACCAGATTACGGCACTTGATTCGTTCTAGTTTCGAGCAGCCCAATTGATTGTAGTCGATGATGATGAAAAACGCGCACATTTTTACGATTGAATTATTTAATAGGAAAGGAGACCAGCGCGGTTCTGGAGGGGGTTCAGTGAAAAGACAGAGGCTCCCAGAAAATCAAAGGGTTTACGTGTCCAACATACCGTTCGATCTCGCTTGGCAAGAAATCCGAGACTTGTTCGAGAAGGAGGGTGAGTTTTTTTTAAATACGAAAAAAAGCGAAGTTGAAGGGATGATTTCAATTTTTCTTCGTTGCGTCGACAGCTGGAAATGTGTCGTACGTGGAAATGTTCAAAGATGAACAAAGTAAACCTCGCGGTTGTGGACTAATTGAATTTAAAACCCCAGAGAACGCGAAACGAGCTATTGAAAAATTGAACCGTTATTCAATCAAGGATCGCAAGATCATCGTTCAGCAAGTGAGTAGGGTGTTCTTTTTATTTAAAGAAAAAGCTTATTCGTTTATGTGATCCGGTTAAAGGACAGTAATTGTGAGCGAGACAAGCATGGGAAAATCATTCGCAATCGGAATGCTCCGGAAAGACGCCCAGACCCATCTCCAGTGCCGCTGATGTCGTAAGTATGAGTTTCTTCTTTCAAGTTTTTGAATCTGCTGTCCACGCATTCCGAAAAACTCAACTTCGAATCCGGTTACAACTTTTACAACACGTCTGATGGGAACAGAAATTAGTTGATGAAATTCGTCAAGATAACGGCGGTAAGTTGTAGTTGGGGGAGTCGAGGATGTCATATTGTATTGCCCTTCAATCTTAAATCTAACTGTGTCACTGTACGGATTACCGTATTTCAAAACTGGTTTCAATCACAGTACTTTTGAATACTGCGGTATGTCAGGTTCGTGAAAGTAGCGTACCGTTCTTGATCATGTAACTTTTCTTTCCCAAGATTTAAGTAATTTAGAATTACCGATTCTCGATGACCATTTTATTGTACCCGCTACAAATCGAGCCATAAAATTTGATAATTTTGAATATTCCCGTATTTACGCGAATATGAGCGCCCGAACAAAATTTTATCATCAGGCGAATATAAGCCAATACTTCCTGTCCTGGTGTTTTGTCTTTCCAGGAACCTAAAATTTATGAATAATATTCGTTTTTCCCGAGAAAAGAAACAAGGGTATTGCACACCCCTGCTCTTCCCCTTGATAGTGGTTAATGCACCTTGAAAACCAAGAAATGATCAGCCTTAAAGTTCAATTCCAAAATAACTGGAAAAGATGAATACAGTAATACATCGTTTTTTTGGCCGCAAACAAGAAAATTCCCTCGCAAATCGCAAAAATATGCGAATATGAGCACCCCCTGGGTTTTCAGCTTCTAAAATTGGGGGAAAGGGGTGCTTATATTCGCGTAAATACGGTATGCCCCCATCAAGCGCATGTGCGCATGTGTTCAATTCAATCTGATGTACACTGAGCAAGTGACGAAATGCCCTCAACAGTGCCTGTCGTCGTGTGTTCATGTTCTTCAATTTTAACTGGCAAAGCCACTACTTTTTATTATTAAATATGACAAATATTGTATCTTCATTATTGCAGTATTCGCAATGATTTTCGGCTACAAGAAAGGCTTGGTAGCCATGTGTGTCTCGCTGCCACCTGTGACCGTTTTTTTTTTACAGTGCTAGGTTACCGAAGCCCAGTGGACGTGCACCACCAAAAGTCAACTATCGTAATACATATGGACTCAACGAAGAATATCTGCAAAATCTCGGGATTGATTGCGAGCTAACTCGATTCGTTTTTGCCGCGAACATATGTTACACTGCCACCGATGAAAACATTCGTCAAGTGTTCTCCATTGCGGGAAAGGTCAGGGCTCTGGAAATATGTCGAGACTCGCGAGGCAATAGCAGGGGATTCGGGAAAGTAGAATACGAGCATCCAGTGGAAGCTGTTCAAGCTGTCTCAATGCTGCATAAGCAGGTAGGATTTCAAGTGGTACAGTAGGAAATTTCCAGACGAGTAAATCGTGCAGTGGTTCTGTGTTTTTGGTTGGACCTCCTTGCACATGACCGAGTCTTGGAAAAATCACCAGTTTCAAGTTTGCCACTAACTAATAGACTTTTATTAGTCCATGATATCAATTCTTGAGATTTCCGTCCTTTTCCATAAGCGCTGTACGAGTTTGCATCATCTGATTCGATGCTTGATTTCCTGCTCTTGTTTCTGGACCTTGATGTTTTTCGTTGCAGATGTTTTACGATCGAGAGATGACTGTGAAAATGGACGACAAACCACCCATTGATTCATCTGAGAATGAATTCGATTATGTGCCAACGAGACCAGATCTCCCGGAAGGATTGTCGTCTATCGGTGTTCCTCTTCACAGGTTGACAGGTAAACGGCGTTTCAGATGGTTGAGCTTTTTGATCCAGTTGAAACTAAAGCTGGCTTCAAAATTATCCCAAGGTCTTGTGGAGATATAATATTCAAGTCAGAAACACATAAATTTATAACTGCCTTTGTCATTGAAGCGAGATGCTGTTCTGCATACGGAGACTTGGGAATTCAGACGAAGTTTCAATGAAAAGAGAAAAAACCTGAAAATATAAAGAAATCTAAGTCGGACTTCGCTATGGAATATGTTGTACTGTATTGTAAAATCGTAGGAACGATGTCTCCGAGTCGAGGATAATTTCAATTTATTCACATCAATTCATGTATTTTCTATGAGACTGGCTGGTATGTTACAGGTGCTGCAGCTGCACCTGCCCCCGTACCAGCTCCTGTTCCTGCTCCAGTGCCTCCTCCAGCCCCTTTCGCCCAACAAGTTGCTTCTCAAGCAAACCCCCTCGTTTTGGCTCAGTTGCTTACGCAGTTGGCGAATACCCTAACGCAATCAGCTGTCCCTCAGCCTGTACCTCCACCGTCGCAGACGACGTTGGGCCAACAGAGCGCCTTGTCGTCGGGCTATCTCCAAGGGACATCTATATTGTCGGGTGGGTGCGGCTTGTTGGAAAACCCGACTAGGATTTCCTCACAGACGATGGGCCAACAGAGTGCCCTGTCGTCTGGAGATCTCCAGGGAACATCTGCACTGTCGGGTGTGGGCTTGTTGCAGAACTCGTCGAGGATAACGTATCCAGGTTTGCTATAGTTTTATTTCGGAAATTCAAGTCAAACCTTTCTAAGTCGCATTTTAAGGAACCTGCAAAAAAATTTAACTTCCGGAGGTTGTGAATTTTTTAGGTTGGAACTGCAATACAGAGCCCTTTTTTCTGGAAAAATTGAAAAAAAATGTAAATAGTGATATTCTGGGGCTTAAATGAGTTGAAAGGCTGGTGAATTCGGAGGCAGGGGTACATTTGCCCAATTAAGTCTTCCACTTCCTTTAAAACACATAAATTTATGATTATTTTATTTATTTTCTTCAAGAAAAAAATGACCAACGGGCCAAAGAAAATTCGACTTATGGAGGTTTGAAGGGAAAAACTTTGAGGAGAAAGAGGGTGCGCGTCAGAGGTATGTAAACAAAAAATTTTATAGAAGAATTTTCGGAGTACTTCATACTTGACTCAAATTGAAATTTTTTCTTACCAATTTCTGAACAGAAAAATTTTTCTGGAATATAAAACAATGGAAAATCCATTGAATTTGGGTGCCTTTTGAGTTCAAATTTCAATTCTGATGTCTTTTACCTTCAAAACGCGATGCATCAGGCACTAAACTTTTCATGCGCATATTACTTGGGGGTAAGATTTTATCAAATAGAAAACCAGGTACGCCTCTCACTCAAGTAAATACGGTGATTGCGAATGAATTAGTTCGGGACATCTTTTTCCGAATCGGAAATGTGGCTTAGGGACCTACAGTAATAACGTTCAGTAATTGGTTGACTCAATAAGAACTTCGATTAAAATTCTTACTTGTCAAGATACTTCACAACTAGTCATTTCACAATAGTACACTAGTTCACTAGTCACAATAGTACATTTTCCTTACTAGTCAAGTCTTTAAGGAAAATGGATGAAAAGTTTTTCTTTGTTTTTCAAGGAACAATGCATTCTTCGCGAAGTGGACCTGCAAGAAACGCATCGGTTCAAGATACTCAGGAAAGTAATTTCCAGCAAAGATCGAACCAAAGTGGCATGATGCGGAACCAGAATTTCCAGCGTAATGTCGGCGAGTCTTCTGTCGATTCTGATGATCGTAAGCCGTGGCATACTGGCTTAATGGGAAGAACGACTGCAGCAACTTCAGTGCAACAAAATCAGAAAACACTTCGGGGTATTGTCGGCGAATCTTCTGTCGGTCGTAAGTCATGGTCTTTTAGCTCGATGGACAGAACGACTGCGGGAGCCTCTGCGCTACGAAATGAGTCCTCACGTCAAGGTAAGGCTCCCCGTGCGACAGATTTTCAGTGTCTACTTGTGATGCCTAATCTTAGTTCTTTCTCGTTCTGATTTGCTCAACTTTATTTTCATCCGAAAAGTGACCAATTTCAACTTTGTAGACTAATTGAAGTCGTATTCCGATGATTTATTGTTGAAGTTATCAAGAATTGTTTATTTTTGTCTGAACAGAGAGAAATCCCCCTCGCGTCTCCGCTGATAATCGACCCGGAATATTGAATAGCCTTTCTCTGATGCCGGATGATGAAGACGATGATGGTTTGTGTCTTTATCTACTCCTGTAGGTTTTTTCTCTCGTGAGTAATTCCGGAATTCTTCGATTGCAGACAATGAACCCCACTATAATTATGCACGCTCGCAGGGGTCCAACAAAGAAGTGACCCGGACGCAATCGGTCTCTGCAAGCAGCAATTTCGTCGTGTTTAGAAACGTGAGTTTAACTGTGGTTGAACTACTCTTATTGAATTCTAGGCTGTGAACGGGTTGGATCAAAAATTGATCGACTCATTTCTCGTTCTGGTTGCCTTAGTTGCCGCATGGTGTAAAAAGGCAGCATCTATATTCGATGGTGAACCGATATGGTGATTTGGATTCGGTTGAAGTTTCTGGGAAGGGGACAGGTGTGGCAAGATTTTTAAGCGAAACTGCGGCTGTTCGGGCTGCGAGTAAGTTGTCCTATTGTAGTGTACTTGTTCGATCCACGTTGAAGACGAAATTCACTCTTCTAGATTCCTTGGACGGAACAACGCTTTTCGACAATGTCCTAAAAGCGGAGGTGTACAAAGAGTGAAAGCTGCAATTTAAAACATCTGCTTCGTGTCGTTCCCCTTGCGTCGTTTGTTCTTGAAATTGTTCCATGACACCGGCTTCATTTTCCGTCGTTGTGCACATTAAATAGACTCCTTTTTTTTCGATTTCTACTGTGAAGAAGTTCCCGTTTTATACGCGAATACTTAACAAGGGTTCTCCGGCTCACCTCAAATGTATCCGTCCTTCAAACGTGGAGTCAACTGGCAAATTTCAAATGAATTCTTTTTTGTTCCGCAAAATGCGAGAAGCCCACGTCTGCAAGGACCAAATAATTTGTGAATTAATTACTTCTTGAATACGATATGCAAATAAAGCCTTAGCTTCAGCTATCTTCGAATGAAATTGCACTCACAATTCAAAAATTGAACACTTTTTTGAGTGTTTTCTGTAGTTGTGAATTTAGAATTTCTAGTTCACACTTATAATGCATTGTAAAATTATCCTAAATTTTGGCCATTGAGATCATTTGACGGGTGCTCTTTCTTGGATAGTTTCTATAGTCTGAACACTTCAGGGCGGATATGATAATCATATAAATCTGCAATTCACTCGGATTTGCCTTTTGGTCAATTCAGGAGAACACTCTTTACGTATTAGCGGAATCGTGGTTTGATGAGGGAGATATGTGACTCCGTTCTCATTCATAGATGTTCCCTCTTCGTAAAAGCTATAAGTGGTTGATCGCTGTGCGCAGGCATGTTGTTCCTGTGCGAACTAAAGCCTCGTATGAATCATTTCCGTGGGAATCAGGTTAGTGCAGTTTTCCTGCATAATCACACTCCTTCTGGTTTAATTGCTAGATGAAATTTATTTTATCTTGCAGATCCGGACTATCCCCCTGTTCCATCGACTACGAAAGCTGTTCCTGGCGAGAAAGTTGGACCGAACGATGATATATCTGGGAAGATCAACAACCGAAACCCTCGGAATTTGGAATTGCTGCGGTTGGCAGTGAAACCTCGAGGTTGGACCCTCGAAAAGGATTTTAAGGAATATTGGTACAAGTAAGCTTCAGTTCGTTTCTTCAACTTCTGTAGTGGTTGAATAGTGGACTCTTCGATCAGTTCAGTGGGTTTAGTTGAAAGGGAAAAGTATTGTACAGTTCGAGTGAAAGATAGATGCGCTACAAACTGAAAATTGTGTATGCTGATTGGACCGACTCGCGAGTTAGTCCCTTGGACAGTCAATATACCGCAGTTCGAAGCCCAATTCCTTCCATGGCCTGGACTTGAAAACTCGAAATGGAAATCATCTTGAAATTATATATGGAAGTTTCACAAATTTATATGCTGGCTGGAAACATTTTTAAACGAAGGATTTTCATATGGGACTCTTTCCTGTAGGAAAATTTCATTTTTTTTTTCGGAAAAATTCAAACGGAAATTGTATGGCGATTCAGCACTAAACCAAAAAAGTAGCACTTTCCGTGGCACTACGTCAAGAGTTCCGTTATGAGCGTGGTTCGACATAAGACTTACTTCCCACTTTTTTCTGTTTTTTATTTCATTCCTCGAGCAAGTGTATTTTGATTTCACTCATTATCTCGTTTGATTTAACCATCTGTTAAAACCTTATCTCGGCTAATTGCTTCTTTTCATGTACATGTATAACCTTGTATAATTAAGAAACGTGTCAGGAGTTGGCTTTAATTGCCTGACTCGTGTCGAAACCTTCTCAATTTCTAGACTCGTCTTCGAGAAAACAAATAAGCAGATGATCGCCAGATTGGATCATCATTCGGGGAAAACAGTGGTGTCAGTGAGTTCCAAAGATTGGGATGCGAGGCAAGTGTTACCCGAGGCCACTGATATAACCGCGGCCTCGATGCTTGGCGACCTTTTCGCTGCTAGGTGCTTGATGGCGGGTTTCAATGAATTCCATTCGGGTTATTCAGTGGAAGCTCGACAGAAGTCTGAGAAGGTTTGTAGTCCCGCGCGCTGTGTAATCTTGAAAATATGGTATCGTTTTTCTTCTTGTATGCACTGAGTATCAGCAGAAAGTTTTTGAAAATCTGTGAAAGCGCTCGAATTCCCGTTTGACAATATTCGTAAAATGCTGTGAAAGGAAAAATTCAGAGCGAAATATGTTCATTCGCAACTTACTGTGCAAGAAGTCTTGGCGAATTTTCTTCAATATTTTTATTATATATAAACGCGGAGAAAAATTGATTTTTTCTAAGCTGTACTCAAGTGGAAGGGAAATCTGTGATCATTATCTGGTAAATCTGATTTTCCTATTATAAGTTGTGGCTGCCAGAGTCAAATTTTGGAGAAATCATTTCATCGAACAGAATTTCAGCTGAGCTTTTACTGGAAAGTACTTCTTCGAGAAATTAGCGGAGATATGAAGTTCAAGTTCGTATGCCTTTTTCCGAGTACAGTACTTGTGGAAATATCCTATTAACATAATGCAGTTACAGTATTACGAATTTTCATATTACAGTACAATGCTTAATGTACAGTACACTGATTCAACCCCACTCCCTTTCTTATTTTAATGACTTACGCTGATAAATTCCCAAACCACAATGATTATTACTTCTTGATTGTATTCGAACAATTGGTTCTCAGCTGGATGCTTTCCTCTCATCCTTGGAAAGAAATGGACTGTCCCTCTCTGAGCCACCTGTAATTTCGGCACCTGTGATCAACGATGCGAAAACAGCCGAATATCCTTGGGATGTGCTAGAAGAAGACGTTGTGAAAGCAAGCGACGCGAAATCCTCATGAAGTCACGGACTGACTTATTTAATAATGCAGTGTTCATCGTGATTTTTAAAATCTGTAGATAATCGTACTTCAACCATTAAAATTTCATCAATTTTTAGGCTTCAGAAAGCGCGTCGATTTGAATTTGCGCTGAGTGAAACACTGCGTGAAATAATTCGACGAAATGGCTTTATACCTTAGGTGAGATTTCTTGCACTAGAGTTCTCCATCAAAGCTTTCGATTGTTGATGTTGTCCCGTAATATTTTGCAGTTGGATATACTGGAGCTTCAATTGTGACTCGAATGGCGGGATATTATCATCCTGGTATGTTCTCGACTTTACTTACTGAATTCAGGACAATTTTCTAGGCATTGTCTCAAATATCGTAACCTATGATTCCACCTCCAGCTCCTTGACATTTCTCCGATAGTTGTTAAGGCGTTTCACGGTGGAAAATTAAATCAAGCTTGGGCAATAGAACCGTGGAATACAAAATCAGTGTAATTCTCGGTGGGAAACCCCTGCCACAGTATTATTCATCATTTCTAAAAATGAGGCAGATGTGAATAATATCTTTTGAATCTGTAACGTGGTTTTCATGAAATTCTTTGTCATTATCGTAGTTGAACAGACGTAAACAACTTTTTTGATGTTGGGTGCTGATGATTATGTAATTATATTTATTTGAAGGTCGGTTTAATGAACTTGACCGTTTTCCTGAATAACTACAGTATTTACATTTAAAGAAACACAGGCATAAATAACGTATAATGTGCCATAAATTCTTAATTTTCTCTGCCATGTGTCCGGCGACAGTTTCCTGAAGCAAATGAAATTCAACTTGATGTGATTAGGCGATGATGCATTCTTTTTTTTATAGGGTCCGAAGGATCGCTTGATTGTTCCGGTTACTCGGAAGGTGAGTATTTTAGTGCTTTTTTTCTGAAAAGGACTCTTTGGCTCCGCCGTTTTCATAATCTCTACTATATTTGAATCGCGGAATACCACCTCCAGCTCCTTCTCGCACCGTTGATGTACGAGAAGGCGTTTACAGGTGGAAGAGTAAACTTCTTGCTTGGACAATAGAACCGAGAATTACTTCTTGTGTTTTTCTCGGTGGGAAATCCTTGCTACAAAAATTGTTCATCTGTAAAAAAAAAAGAAGTGAAGAATTGGAATTCCGACACTTGATTTATTCTGTTCTTATTGCAGATTATTCTTTCCGAACCTCATTATGATGGACTTCATCAGAAGTTCTAAATGGTTAGTTTTTTTCCTCTCCATCCGTTCTTTTTTGCCATGATGAATTCCTCATTTAATGTCAGACAAGAGTCGCTGAAATTTCTGTGATTAGATTTTTTGCCTGAAACTTCCGTCAATTTGTTGATTGCTGAATTACTAGAACTTTCTATTGAGATTGTTTTCGTTCTTTTCAGAATGCTGTACCTCGATAATCGACTCCGGTATACCATGAGAAACTGAATCCGTAAGTGATTTTTTATTATTATTTTGGTATGATTTTTTTTTCATTTTTTAAGCACAGTTTAAGCTGCTTGCAATTCATTCAATTTTTTTGGCATATCTTGGTAAAAATATAAATTCCGAAAATTTTATTACTATAGTTTCTTGCTGGGAAATCCCCACGTGAATAATATTCTTCCAGGTTGAGTGAATGTGCTAGAACTTCCTATATTGAATCATCTCCCGTTTTTTGAAGGTGGTCCATCACTGAGATCATGGGTATGCATTTCTGGGGGATCCTTCGTCCATTTGGAATTACGTCTACGCCTCATTCTTGGTTTGTCTTCTCTCCTTTTTATTTTCATTGCCTGTTGTGATGAATTCTAATTGAAATGTCAGACAAGAGTCGCTGAATGTTCCATGATTAAATCAATCGCCTGAATTGACCGTAAAATTGCAAATGTAAATTTGAATGATATCGTCGCTTTCTAAGAATATTTTTCTGATTCTTCTAGGTTGCTGTCTTTCGATAAGCGGTTGGAAGAACTAAGCGGTAAGAATTTTTTTCATCCCCTTACGAGTGCTTTCACATTATACCACCTCCAGCTCCTCGAAATTTGTTTTAGTAGTTTTTGAGGCGTTTAATGGTGGGAGAACAAAATTCTGGCTTGGACGAAACTGAGAAAAAAAATTTTTTTTTTTTTGGTCGAAAATCTGTGCCACACAATCTCAATTTTATGTTCGTTGTTCCTCTACCTGGAATGAATTTTCTGGAACTCGCATTTTCTATTTTTTCTGTCAACAGGGACAGTTGAAAGCATTGGTTCATGACCGTGGACTTCATTAGATGACATCAAGTCCTCATGCCTTGGTTCGTTTTTTTTTTTTTCAATTTTTAGTTTCATTGCTTGTTGATAAGACGAAATTGACCTTAAAGGCCGTGTCATTTCCACGCGTGAAGTAGTCTAGTGGAACATGCAAGTTCATACAGTTTTGTTGAATTTTGAACAACTAAGGCGCAGGCTTAATTTAACGGGCTGAAATCGTTGCTATGATGAGCACCAAAATTGTCGTGGACTTCTTGACTGACGACATCAATTCCTCGTTTCTGATTGCACGATTGCGGCTCTTGCCTCTGAATTATCCTTATAACTTATTTCTTCCGTAATAAAATATATCGTGGAAATACTGGTGTTTACGAAACTGCAGAAGAACTGATGACAGCATGTTCTAGGAAAATCAAATGGATGATTCTACATCACAGTGATCCTCCCTCTGTTCTCAAGTTTGACTCCACGTTCTGGATGTTGAACCTTACTTTTCAATGTGTATACGAGCACTTAACGTGGATTATAAATTTATAATCGAACTGTTCAATGCCTGAAAAGTTTTCAAATGCCTGGTTTACTATTTATTTGTTCACGTAAATACTTCAGTTTTCTTGGAATTTCAGATACAAATAGTAGCTGAGGGGACGAATAGTTACCTCGTCGTTGTCCTTGGACTGGGAGACATCAAGACTGGGGCCCGCGGAGTGAGCCTTTATTTTCTCTTTTATCATGAAATTTTTAATGAATTTTGATTTGTGAAATCCTCGTGACGAGACGAAAAATTCGGTAGAAGACTTAGACTTATGGAACAGCCGTAAAACGTCGATATGATGAGTGCAATATTAGTCGTAGACTGCTTGACTGACGACATCAATTCCTCGTTTCTGATCGCATGATTGCGGCTGTTCATTCCGAACTATCCCTATAACGTAATTCTTCTCTAGTATCTTGTGGGAAATACTGAAGGTGGTTTCGCACTTAGCGAAAATTCTGATTTCAGTAGTCCTCCATGTTCGTTACTTTTCAAATTTTATACGGATGCTCGCATGGATCATAATCTTCGCTGTACAATCCCAAAGGAAGATTTGAGAGCCCTTGTCCATTATTTTTATTAATATTCTGTTCACGTGAATGCTAATGCGTTTACCTGGCATTTCAGATTCGGAGTCACTGTGCGAACGAACAGCGTCCTTCCCGTTGTCCCAAACCTCGGAGACATTGTGTCCTGCAGGGTAAGCCATTTTTTACCTGGCATTTATATTAACTTTCTTTTAATTTCTATCATTTTTGAGCTAACCTGAAACGTTACGAACTCGGGTTGTAATTATGACGTGACGAAAAAATCAGTGAAAGACGCATACATTTTGGAACAGCTGTAAATCGTTGCTATGATGAGCACCAAAATTGTCGTTGACTTCTTGACTGACGACATCAATTCCTCGTTTCTGATCGCACGATTGCGGCTGTTGAATCTGAATCATCCTTAGAACTTATTTCTTCTGTAGTAAAATATATCGTGGAAATACTGGTATTTTCGAAATTGCAGAAGAACTGATGACAGCATGTTCAAGGAAAATCAAGTAGATGATTCTGCATCACAGTGATCCTCTGTTCTCAAGTTTGATTCCACGTTCTGGATGTTGAACCTTACTTTTCAATGTGTAAACGAGCACTTAATGTGGATTATAATCGATCTGTCCAATGCCTGAAAAGCTTTAAAATGCCTGGTTTACTATTTTATTTGTTCACGTAAGTACATTACTTCAAAGTTTTCGTGGAATTTCAGATACAGTTAATAGCTGAGGCGACTAATAGTGTCCTCGTCGTTGTCCTTGGACCGGGAGACATCGAGACTGGGGCCCGCGGAGTAAGCCTTTTTTTCTTTTTTATCATAAAATTTTTGATAAATTTTGATTTGTGAAATCCTCGTGTTGCAATGTTGACGAGACGAAAAATTCGGTAAAATGCAGACTTATGGAACAGCCGTAAAACGTCGATATGATGAGCATAATATTGGTCGTAGACTGCTTGATTGACGACATCAATTCCTCGTTTCTGATCGCATGATTGCGGCTGTTCATTCCGAACGATCCCTAGAACGTAATTCTTCTGTAGTATCTTGTGGGAAATACTGTAGGAGGTTTCGCACTTAGCGAAAATTCTGATTTCAGTAGTCCTCCATGTTATAGATGTTGTTCGTTACTTTTCAAGTTTTATACGGATGCCCCCATGGATCAAAATCTTCGCTGTACAATCCCAAAGGAAGATTTGAGAGCCCTTGTCCATTATTTTTATTAATATTCTGTTCACGTAAATGCTAATGCGTTTACCTGGCATTACAGATTCGGAGAGTCACTGTGCGAACGAACAGCGTCCTTTCCGTCGTCCCAAGCCTCGGAGACATAGTGACCTGCAGGGTAAGCCATTTTTAACCTGGTATTTCCATTATCATTCTTTTCCTTTCAGTCATTTTTGAGCCAACCTGAAACTTTAAAAATTCGGGCTGCAATTATGACGTGAAGAAAAATTCAGTGAAATACGCAGGCATTGTGGAACAGCTGTAAATCGTTGCTATGATGAGCACCAAAATTGTCGTGGACTTATTGACTGACGACATCAATTCCTCGTTTCTGATCGCACGATTGCGGCTGTTGAATCTGAACTGCATTAATCACGAAAATGTATTCTTCCATATTATGATGCTTGCATATTTTACTTCTGAATACTATAATACCCAGTACCGTTACCCCTTTGTCAAGTATAATTTTTTCTACGAAGATAAAAGCTTTCCCAATCTCTGCCAGGTCATCCAGAACATCATTGAACATTTCATGCTCTATTTCTCTAGCGTCTCATGATTTTTTGGATTTTCGAACGTTTTTCTGTGCGTAATACACAATGTTTTCGTGTGTCCCGTCTCCCCTGAATCGTGAACTGATTACAATACGTATACTGTAAGCATACCGTAATAATCAAAATGTTTCACTGTTTAAATTCGAAGTGTTCGTCACTACCTGGTGACAGCGTTATTGATTTTGGATACGTGCTTTCAAGTTGTTCACGTGTTTTTTTTATAGATCTTCCGGACGGAAATACGGTTTGCCAAATGCGTCCTCGTGCAACAGCTATCACATGTCGTGGTTAGTTTTTTCTACATTTTTAGTTGTACGGCTTGTTATTGTGATGAGTTCAACCTAAAATGTCAGACAAGAGTCGCTGAAATTTCTGTGATTATAGCAGTCAACTGAAACATTCGCCAAGTTGATCGTTGATGTAAGAATGAAATGGAAGCTTTCTTTGATAGTATTTCTGTAATTATGTTTTCTAGGATGCGAATATCGGATGAGCGGCAGGAAGATGAGATGAGTGGGTGAGTCCGAGTTTTTCTTTCTCGCCCTGACAATATTCTTGAGGTATCCTCCCACCTCCAGCTCCTTGATATTTTTTTCCAGTAATTGTCAAGGCGTTTCATGGTGGAAAATCGAATTTCTGGTTTGGATTATAAAGCTATGACCGAAGCACATGCATTGTGTTCCGGGCTGGGAAATCCATGCCAAACAATTTATTTTCAGTTACTTCTCTCACTCCTTTTACATTGAATGATTGTATTGTAACTTGCAACGATCCACATGTTATCCACAGAGACGTACCTTGTCCACAAGTATCTTCACGAGTCATATTCTGCCGGCAAGATCTGCAAATGATTCTACCTTCACCGATTCTCTCCTTCGATGGTACGTTTTGACGAATATTTTTTTTTTTTAGTCTATGGCGTGTTTGTGTGATGAATTCCACGAAAAATGTCAGACAAGAGTCGCTGAATTTTTCATGATTATGACGATAATCTGAAGATTTTATCCATGTATGCATCTGCGTTGATGGAAAGCGAATGTTTTCTAAATATTGTCGATTTTCTTCTCTTTCCAGGAGTGCCACGGGAACAAATCATACCGGTGAGATTGGGTTTATCCTTTTTTTATGACGTCGTTCAGGTTTTTCTATCCCACCTCCAGCTCCTTGACATTTACCCAGTAGTTGTCGAGGCGTTTCATGGTGGAAAATCAAAATCGTAGTTCGGGAATTATATCCTGGGATGCATAATGATCGTCATTCTAGGGAACCCATACCCCAACAGAATTATCAGCTTCTTGTGGCATAATTTGATTGCACACTGAGTTTCCTCTCGTAGTGTGAATGATGAATGCAGCTTTTTTTTTCATATCCAATAAATGGAAAGCGAAAAGTACTTCCATAGAGTCGCTCACTGCTCAAGACATTTTAAATTTTAAAAGATGTTATATCTTTAATTACAGTTCATTCAATTTCAGCATTTTCTTGTTTCATTCGGATATGAAAACCGTGACGATTTGGGCTGGACTTCCAGAATCGGTGAGATCATGAATTTTTCTATTGGTCAATTTACTCGTCCCATTGGCAGAACAGTCATTTCCATTCTTACGGGAATGCCAACTGATTTGAGTGGGACGAAAATAATCAGCTGGAAGGATATGTGGAATACATGTTCGTCGTGTTCTCCAAAGCCTTTCATCATACATTAGCGTCCATTAGTTGCAGACTTATCGTGTTCAACTGTAATCGACTTCGACCTGCAGTCTTGAACCTAGAGAGAATTGTTTTTTTTTTTAATATTTTGAGCGAATAAAAATCTTTCCGTTCAGACGTAATCATCTGAATGGTTTCTCTTTTGTAGATGGGGATGTTCAATATCAACTCTGAGGAAAGGACGGTTTCCAATCTGTGAGTCTTGTTTTCCCGCCCTCTCCATTTTTAATCCCTCTCAATGTATTTTTACTCGCCGCCTGATACTTTTTCTTGATCTATTTTCTTATGAAAAGAATCCACGAATTGCCGTTGTTCCATCGTTAAAATTTTCTTGGCGAACGGGACTCTGAATTTGTGGTAAAGAAATTGGAAACTCAATTTCGGATGCGCCGTTTATTGTCGGCGCTTCTTTCATTCGGTTCCCTGCATTAGACTTCTTTCAACTGCGATAACTTGTGGAAAATCCTCTCACCATGAAATTCGTAAAATTTTCATTTTTCTTTTGTGTTGTAAATTTCGTCGTTTTATTGTGCATGATCACAATAGGAAATGACGATAATCATGAAGTCAGTAGTGTATTGATGAATAATGTACTGTACCGTTGGGTTGTAATATTAATATTTTTAAATCAAGTTCACCAATGCCCATGCCTATGAAAAGTATTGCATTCTTTTTTATCGTCGATTTTTTGTTTCAGGTGGGCGACGCGTGAAAACTTGACTAGGAAGAAAATGTTCATCTTGAGTCGGTGAGTTATATTCTGTACTGTATCACTTCACTGTACAACATTAATGGTTTCAGTTCTTACATTTTACAATATTTTTCGAGTTGCTCTCTTAATACAGTATTAGAATGTTTGAAGAATATAAAACCTATAATCCCCACAAATTGCCGTTGTTCCATCGTTCAGTTTGAATTTCAGCGCATGGAACTCTGAATTTGTGGTATATAAAACGAAAACTCATGTTTCGCCAATGCTATGATCTGTTCAGCGTTGTCGTATGTCAGTTTCCTACAATCGTTAAGTTCGTCTGTTATGGACGAACTCGACCTGTGCGAAGACTCGAGAGGGGGAAAAATCTTCAGGGCGAGAAAGTAGGGCTTGAATTTGCTAGGGATTACAGTACTGTATTTTGATTCCTTTGTTTTAAACTAGGTACCGTAATTTCCTTTTTTTTTTTTCAAATCCAATTTCCCGTCGCTCGGTTTTTCTCACGTGGACATCCCATTTCTCAGGTGCAGATCAACACGAGACCCGACTGGACGTGAAAAAAGGCTTGCGTTTGGAAACGTGTTCAATTTTGACGGAAGTTGCGGATTTCCTTCCGGCTCGCTGAACTGAATGATGAAACTGAAGGTGGGAAAAGTCGCTGACATATCGCGTATCCCTGGGCGATCCTCAAGTCATTTCCGTTGTCCTGTTCGATTGGCGTATGCATTCATGAGAATACGAGTAGATGGATGCTTTTCAGCCACTGTCAGTCTTCTGAGAACTGTGGCAAATTCTTTCATGTGCCGAATAACTTCTGTACTACGAAATTTCTTTTGCAGTTCTGTTTTACTAATTACTGGTTGAGCAAGATTATAAAAAAATGCAGTACCCTTACGTTGTATCGTTGAAATTCGCTCGTTGGATTTTTCTATTTCAATGTGATGATCACGTTGATTTTACTGTTATCAATGTGAGACAGAGGCGATGCCTGGTTCGGGTCGTTGATATTCGAATTGAACGCATTTGTTTATTGAAGGAAAATGAAAACAGTGAAATGAAAGTGTTCGGGGGTCTCCTTTGTTGTCAGCAAGCTTAGGGTTGGACGAAAGTTCGCGACAACTGCTTCTGGAGCATTGAATTAATTTAATGCAGTATTCATCCAATCTTAGACGCTGTGACGATCTCAATTCTTTATTATATTTCGTTTAACCGTATTTAATCGAGTACGAAGCGCCCTCAAGTAAGACGCGTACCCCAGTTATTTTTCTAAATCCATTTTCTAAAACCACGTGGTTTAAAACTATGAAGACAAGCCCAAGTAGAAGCTGAGGTTGATGTTTTTGTATTATGCCAATTTAAGAATGAATCAAGAGAACTTCTAAAAACATGAGGGAGTGGGAGAGAAGTGTCGCACAGCGAAGTCACGCAAAAATTTGTATCCGACAATGACGCGCACCCCCTGTGTGAGGGGTACTTGACTTGATACGGTATTTCATTCCTTACATCCGTGGAAAGCAAGCATCTATCGTTATATTCCAGACAATAAGAATATAAATGCGAACTTTTGTCAAATCTCACGAATTTTGCGTAGTGAAACCGTTGATGATTATTCAGAATTTCGGTATATTTTTTCCCCCCAGGTTGAGATGGGTTCTTTACCACCTGACGAGAGTGGCGTTCCGCCGTTGATCGTGATCCCCGGTATGTTAAATTTAAAAAATATATATTTCATTGCATTCAACAAATTCTGTTGATTTTTCCAGGCACTCGACTCGCGAGACAAAATGATCTTTTAGTCGGTGGAAGCGGAACTTACACACACGAAGGAATCATTTCCGCTGCTGTTTTGGGCGTCGTGACTATTGTTCAGACTGACGACATAGACGAAAGCTCCTCTCGTAAAGTAAGTATTGAAAATTTTTGTTGCTTTTCAACCGTTGGGGTGGTTGCTTCGATCTGTACCAAATTACAGCAAAAGGCGCTGACGTTATTGAAAAGCCGTAAATCGTCGATATGATGAGCGCAATATTAGTCGTTGACTGCTTGACTGACGACATCAATTCCTCGTTTCTGATCGCATGATTGCGGCTGTTTATTCCGAACTATCCCTGAAACGTGATTTTTCTGTAGTATCACTTAGGAAATACTGATGGTGGTTTCGCACTTCGCGAAAATTCTGATTTCAGTAGTCCTCCATGTTATAGATGTTGTTCGTTACTTGTCAAGTTTTATACGAATCCTCGCATGGATCAAAGTCTTCGCTGTACAATCCCAAAGGAAGATTTGAGAGCCCTTGTCCATTATATTTATTAATATTCTGTTCACGTAAATGCTAATGCGTTTACCTGTCATTACAGATTCGGAGAGTCACTGTGCGAACGAACAGCGTTGCCACATTAATAGACATGCGCGCGACCTCGTAGACATCCGGGCGGCCGGTTATCACAACAGGTTTCTAACACATAGTTACACAACAACTGGTATGATGACGCTAGTGAGGGCGTGGAGCCCTTAGACATGTTAGGGTTTCCTTCTAAACTCTCGGGAACAGGTAATATAAATAATTATAAGACAAGTGCATTTACGATTACGCAAATGGACAGTAATGTCTAAGCCTCTCAGTGACACGCTTGCTTGTCGCTCCTTTCCGTTGTCCCAAGCCTCGGAGACATAGTGACGTGCAGGGTAAGCCATTTTTTACCTGGCATTTCCATTATCATTCTTTTCCTTTCAATCGTTTTTGAGCCAACCTGAAACTTGTACAAATTCGGGCTATAATATGACGTGACGCAAAATTCAGTGAAATACGCATGCATTGTGGAACAGCTTTAATTCGTTGCTATGATGAGCACCAAAATTGTCGTGGACTTATTGACTGACGACATCAATTCCTCGTTTCTGATCGCACGATTGCCGCTGTTTCCACTGTGTCTTGAAATTAAATTAATAAATGAACATTAGAAATATATAAATTAGAAATTGTATTAATTGAAAATATACTGTACATTTGTGTGTTACTGTATAACGCTATACGCTTAAAATATACAGTTCTTTTCGGCTAATCACGGGATAGGTGGTTTCTAGCGGTTTACGAATTGTGTTTCTACAGATTTTCCAGACTGGTAAACGGTTTGCCAAATGCTCAATCGTGGCGGTTGGCGAAACACCGCTTGTGAGGCCGTTTTTGGGAATGTTGAGGAAGGAGGACGTCCGCGCCATTAAAAAAGATAGCGTTGTGTTGAGCAACGCTGTTCGGTGTGGAGATGTTATCATCGGTCGAGTGGTAAGTTATTATGAATTCGCTATTCAAAGCGAGTAGGTGCCTGACAATCGGTTTCCTTAGATCTCAATGGGCGATTCGCAATCGTATCTCATTTCGACTGCGGAAGAAGAGCTCGGAGTTGTTCTCGCATACAGCGAATCAAGTGAGTACGAACTCGCATATTTCTCAAGTACTGTACTGTGTTACAATTTTAGTGTATCGACGGATTTTCAAAAAAATGCTATCCTCGAACGAATGTTGGGAAAACTTTCCTGTTACAGCCAGAATTCTCGACCTATGTCACTGGACGTATTAGAATTTTCCGGATCAGTTTGAAATTCAAAATTCTTCGTTCTTCTAATCATTATTCCGAATTTCGAAAATGAACTATCATTGAAGTAACGAAAAATATCACTTTTTATCTGGCCTTTAAAATGTTTAGCACTCCGTGACATGGGTGGTGAACTCTGAGAGGAGAAAACTCCTTCAGTTATGGCCCAACAATAAATTTAAAATTATTTCTAGAAATCCTAAAAAAATCTAGGAACATGGGCTATATCTTAATTTTTCATTGTCATACCTACTCTACAAATAACCAAGGTCGCGACCAAGTGGGACAACCCTCGTAAGTGTTATCACATGAGTGGATCTCACTTCATCAATAGATCGATTTCATTCAAAATTCGTTTTGGTCAATGCCATCATTAAGAACGGCATTTTAATTCCTCTTCGTTTTCCCTGTCTGTAATATTCCTTCTGAATTAATTTGGGATAGTGATGATCAACGATGATCGGCAAGCACAATTGACAGAAAAACTTGTTTTCTTCTCTGCTTTCATTTGATTATTTCTGTTGATGCTTCTCAGGAGTTCCGATGGTTCCCCTGACTTGGTCCGAGATGCAGTGCCCTAAAACCGGACAGCGCGAGTCGAGGAAAGTTGCCAAAGTTGTACCTGCTGACTTTTTGGATCCCGTCAAAGAATCTGGCCCCGAATCCATTCAAGTGAATTGACGGAATGAAGCTACTTTTTTCACATGACATGAATTTTTTTTAATGGAATTTGTGGATTCATGCGTTGTACAGGATTTTCCTCCGTATTCTAGATTTGTGGAACTGGTCACGTAGATAAACTTCTACAGTGATGTCACTTAATTGCCCAAAAAAATTCAGCGAAAATGAGCTTTCATCGATGCGCAGGGAATTATCTGTTCTACTTGAAGGAATGCGAGAGGATGTGGATTATGAAACGTTTCCTCCAGTCCCGCCATGGTTTGACGCGGAGAAGTTCAACAAAGGCAGAAGGTCAATTGTTCGAAGATGATTTCGAATTACCTGATGTCGTTTTTATTTTTGTAACGCAGTGGTGCATAACTATCAGACAAATTTCAGAGGTTTTATGGCTGCTATTAATAATTGAAGGTAAGAAAACCATCATAACCATGTACAGGGGAGACTCTTGGAGTGACCTCAATCTTTTCCGTTGCACAGGCTGTTAGCGTCGAAAATAAACATTTTGAAGAGAGAGAAAAAAAAGTTAACGTTCTGCGTTCTCCGAACGTATCCCGAGATAAAACGCCAGATGAAGTACGAGAACCCCACTTTCCTAACCAAATGTTGGAATACAGTAATGTGTTAATTTTTTTTTTGACTTCTGGCCATCCGTTCGCACCCATTTTTAAAGACTTCTCAATTTAGTGTGGTCAATGATTTTGTCACACAGTTCGAAAGTAAAGATGAAGTTATTGGGGACGACAACAATTCAGTTAATCATGAGCAAGCGCGGTAGGAAATGAGTGTATAAATATTTTTAAACTCCAAATTTGATGTCTTTTAAATATGGAATTTGTGATGAAGACCCAAGTTCACTATTGTCTTGCCTACAATGGTTTTCTGTGTATAATGAAGTGTTTTTTCGGTCCCGTAGGGTTCTTCTTCGATGATTCTACGGGCCTTCGCGATGCATTTGCCTTAATCTCTCTGGACTTGGAAGAAATTTCGTTTCTTGTGTCTGGGAACCTTTAGAAATAGCTGGGACGTTCAAATCTTTCCATGATGAATTTAGTTCAGTATCTATGTTAGAGAAAGTCAAATTTTTTTCGAAGAATCCATTAAATTGCTTTTCTTCATGAAATGTGGAAGACCATCAAAATTTTTAAACCCAGGAAACATTCTTGGTGCGATCTAGAAAGCTTCTGTCAACTGTAGTGAATGGAGTCCTTTTCTCTCAGCTGCGAGAGGCATCTGATCTCTTGTACGGAGTATATTATCTCTTGTGGGCATGCAAAATATGTATGCCACCTAACTTGATGCTAGTGAGCCTCCCGATGTCAAATCTTTTGAAGTTCTTGTCCATCAGGAACAATGAATCAAATCCTCTCTAAATTTTTTAGCCGGCCCCTTGAAGTTCGACTTCAAGAGGCTCGATTACATTGATAACTAATACAGTAGTTCAACAATCAACACTTCTCCTTTGGAACTAATCCAAGTACGCTGACTGCGATGTCCTGCTGCTGGATTTTTCAGATTCTTCTTGGACAACAGTTTCTCAATCATGTTCTCCCACTTCACCTTCCTGCTAATTGGCATGACTGTCCAGCGTTTTGTTCGCGTTCTGGTCCTCACTGGCCGATCTTCCACCCCTGATTCAGCATTCAAACGTTACATGAAAACAGCCATGTTTCTTGAGAAGTGGTACCGAGGCGAGGATTTCTGGGATGAAACAAGTGCGGCACATGCCACGCTTGTCGCTGTGAGACGGTACCACAGACTGGCGAACGAGTTGGTGTCGCGCAAGAAGCCCGTTGAAATGAACGCCAAGGCGCCTGTAGAAGGGGACGAGTACTCGGCTGCAGCGCAGGAAACCCTTGACCGAATCTTGCGTGACATCCGCCATTTGCCACTGGTGGACGAGGAATTCTCGAACCGGTTGTTGAAAAAGGATGCCTCCGTGTGGCGAGAGTTTCCTATTGTGAGTCAGTTTGACTTGAGCCTCACCTTGCTGGGATTCACTGGTGGAATTCTGCTGTGTCCAGGTTGGTCAAATGGCTTCTACAGACCCTTGATGGTTCTGAAGTTTGCACTCTTGTGTGATGAAAAAGGGGACGTCCTTTTCATTGACAATTCATGTAGGTGTCCCTCCCGCAATGTTGATTTGTACGGTATCTATATTGGTCTGGCGCTGTGTGCAAGCATGTTTGTGGGTCAGCAGGAAATTATTTTCAGCACCATAGATTCATAAAACATGGTAATTAAGTCTATTCCTTTATCTGAAAGTTTGCAAAGACAATGGCAGTTGAAATTATCTGATGAAACATGAAAGTTGGCTTTTCCCACAAGAATGCTGAAGACAAATTATCAGCTGCTGAAATGAATTGAACAGGCGAAACCTCTTCACTAAGTTAAATTTCAGGGGACCACCAAAAAATTTGAGTTAGGGTGGTTTTTAGGCAGGGAAACAGGCATTTTTGTTGTTGGAAAAGATAGATTGAGGAAATTGTAAATGGTGGTATTCTGGGACTTAAATTTTTTATCAAATGAGTTATCATTTGCCCAATTAGTCTTCTGCTTCCTTTCAAAACATTTCAATAAGGTACATTTTATTGCTTTTCTCTTTCCTGTCTCAAGAAAACAATAGAAGGCCTCAGAAAATTTGAGTTATGGAGGTTTGAAAGGGAACATTTTTTCAGTTACAGTATAGGGGGTCAAATGTATTGTTTCTAAGATAATGCAGACAGGGACTTCGAAAATCTACTTCGGGAGGTATTTGAGTTGAGGTGGGTTGATTTATTGAGGTTCAACAATGTATTTCAAGTTTTCCTCCTGAGAAACCTTTTTCAAAGCCCAGCAGCTTTCTAATTTTTTGAAGACATCCCTCTGTAGCTCACTGCATGGTTCTTGACTTAATTTTTGCAAAAAAAGTTTTGGTTGGAGGGCTTTATGGCAGTTATTGAAAAAACTTCCACTCATCTGCAAACATTTTGTGGAATTCTGACCCAAAACGGTAGGGTAATGCTGGTATTGTATATACAGCAGGAATGAACAGTTTAACCTCCCTCATCCCTGTATTCATTTTTTTCAAGCACCCTATCTGAGTTCCCTTGGAAACAATGCATTCAAATTCTTCTTATGTAACTTGAAAGCTTTCATTCTCAAATTTCTCAAATGTAATTTTCTGGAGGTCTTCTGGCTATTATTTTATAGACAAAGGAGAAAACAAAGCAATAAAAATGAAATTCAATGTGCTTGGAAAGAAAGTTGAAGACTAAATAAGCAAATGAACCCTTGCATTCTGGTTCATCATCCTGTCAATCCATTTAAGAAACAGTTCAAGGCCCATAATTTCACATTTTAAAAATTTCTGAAATTCTTCCATCTTTCTCACAACAAAAATTCCTGTTTCACTAACAACTTTTTTCTTATCCTCTGAAATTCGGCTTATAGAGAGGTTTGACTTTCTTCGGATTTTCAGAAAAATCTCTGAAAGTTGGTTGTAACGAGATTTTACCGTATTTGACCGTGGGTCACGCAGAATATTTACTCTTTTAGAATACTTCGGCATCCCGCTGCAGTCTGACATGGATCATGAAGGCCTGGATGGCTTCGTGTTCTTTTGGCGGACGGTGGCATACTGTTTGGGGGTTTCGGACGAGTACAACATTTGCCGGGATTCCTTTAGAGCCGCACGTGTGTCGGCTGTGGCAATGACCGAACTTTATGTTCGGCCCTTGCTCAAACGGTGCAAGATTGACTCTTTGTACATGGCGGATGCGATCGGATTGGGTCACCAGAAGAACCTGTCGCGATTTTTCCCGTCTGCGAGGGTCATGCTCTGTTTTGGAGGGAATTGCCCGGGTGTGAACGTCGACCTGGTTCAGGTTCGGAAGTCTTTCACGTGGAACGAAGCGTTCCAATATTACTACTTGGTTTTTGTGTTCAAGTATGTGATGCGGTTTAAATTGACGAGATGGATGTTGCAGAAAACATTTAGTCTTGCTGGTGCGCTGTATCGTTCGTTTAGCGGAAGATGAAAATTTACTTGATGGTTTTCTCAAATGTTCTGTGATGAATGTTAGTCGGCATCATGCGTTTAAGGAATTCTGGATTTAATTTTACTTCGTCATCGAAATCGGAATACTGTATATCTCCGCATTCGTAATTATCGCATATTTTCTTGGGTAGATGTCGCTCTGGTCGGAAGATCATGACTTTTCTGTGTCGTATTTTTTTTTCTATGTTCCATTACGAAGTTATATATACTGTACAATCAAGGGATGCGGTTTACCTTTATCGAAATGAGCGTTGAAAAAAAATTTCCAGTCTCGTTGTAATGCAGCATCATCTACTTCAGTTTTCATAAATGACGATAAAAAAAAACGGTATACTGTAGATAATTTCTCTAGGTTTATTTTCAATCATGCGTGCTTGTGCGTCACTCTGAGAAATTTTGGTCTTGGTTTCTTATCCTCTCTGATGAATTTACAGTATTTCTCCGCATTCGTATAAAATATCGCGTTTGTAGAACAAAAGGTGGTATTTTGTATGTGTCCTTCGACTCTGTTCTTGGGTAGAAGTCGCGCTTGCAGAGGAAGATCCTGACTTTCTGTGAAGCATTTTCTTATCACCATCAAGTTTAATTATGAAGTTGTATTCAGTAGCGTAATAATCGAGTGTTACCGTTTAAATTTATGAAATGAATGCTCTAGAAAAATCTTAATTTTCTCTAATGCTGTATATGCTACAGTATTAAGTTGTATGAAAGTATGGAAGATGCTTGATAAAATACAATAATTTGTATTCCTTAGTTTTCACGCGTCACTCTGATGAATAACCTATTAACACGCTTTATCCTCTAGGATTCGTTTATTTCTTCTCATTCGTACAAAAAATTATTTTAAAAGAAAAAAATAGCCTTTGTCTTGTTTTTGATCTTGGGTATAGATGTCGTTCGTGCTAGAAGATTAAGTCTTCCTGTGTTGCATTTCCTCCTCAAGGTTCATAATGTAATTATATAATCGAGCATCCTTGAAGTGGTCCAGAATTTCTCCGTCACCGGTTTCGGACGCAGCTGACACATCTGTGTGTATAAATATAGATTGACTCTCAGGACATTTTTTCATCATAAATATGTCAGAATTCTGGACACTTGTCACTATTCCTCTGACAAATTCAAGATGTACGCATCCCTTTTCCCATGCTGCTATTTTTTTTGGCATAGAAAATCCATGAGCAAGTTGGTGGCAGAAGTATTGTCCAATTTTCTCGAGATTGAAGTTTCAAATTTTGCGAATTACTGGAATTCAAGCAATTTTTGTTTAGTCTAATTCTGTCAAATAAAACACTTGATATACCCCTGTTCCCTAGCGATTACTGTACAGTATTTTTAGTCTGAATACCTATGATCAGTTTGGTGACAAATATTGCTATAGTTTATATCTAAAATTCTGGAGGTGTTGAATCACTTGAATTCAAATGCCTTTTTTGTTTGGTCTTCTTCTGACAAATATATGAGACTTACCCCTTTTCCGAATTAGCTGCTGTATTTTGTATATGTAGAAATATACATGAGCAGCTCACAGACCAATATTGTCCAAAGGTACTGTACATTCAATAATTGTCTCAAGTTTGAATTTTTGAATTTTGATGGTGATAAATTGTTGGAACTAAATCTTTTTTTTTAAATAATTTGATCATGTCAGTCCATTCTTCCTCATTTGAAAATTTAGTTTTGTGGATTTTTATTTTTTAACTTGGAGACATAACACTGTACCTCTGATGACTGTACCTCTTTTTCTCCTGTCATCCTTGTCAGACAGCATCTTCCCCAAGAGGATCCCACCAAACAGAGCAGCTCCCAGCAACAGTGTGTTGTCCTGGCCTGATCCCAGAAGCCCTGAGCTGCCATAGCCATAGCTCTGTCCATACCCAGCATGTCCAATAGCACCTCCAGGATAACCCCCATAGTGAGACCCATAGTAAGGGCGTTGGCCTGTGTAACTCGGGTAATAGTTATTGACAGGCGGGACTACAGGTGCTAACCCGTAGGACCCAGGTTGCTGGTGTGAGTAACCGTAACTTCCGGCGTTGTTATAGCCATATCCATTCGCTTCCATCAAGGTCCAGGTGGAAATTATTGTCCATGCCAGTGAAAGGTACAAAGCAATCATTTTGCTCAAGGTTTTTTTTGCCTGTTTTGAAACAAAGAAATATTTTATTTAGATAACAGTAATGATGAGATGAGTACGTTATTCAAAACCGTATGTCAGATCAGGACCTTCACGTGAAGTCACCAACAAATTATAGCACTGCAAGGAGTTCTACAAATATGGGCCCCGAAAGCATGCAAACATTCAACTCCTCATTTGAACTGAAAAAATCTGCCCAAAAGATCTGGAAAATGGCTTGAGATGTGGACACTGCCAATATTTCCAAAACCTTATTTATTTTTTAAAATTGAGCTAATGCCATGGAAGTGAAGTAGTCAAAGTAAACCTCATTGTAAATAATTGATTTTTGGAGAAATTTTTTTTTCAAATTTTAAACTCAGTCATCAGCTTTCAACAAGTTTTTCCCTGATCAGTGAAAATGCCATTTTTTACAAGCAAATAAATCGAAATTTCAAATTATCCATGCAGGGATCTAAATTATACCGTGTCTGCTGCATGGGAAACAGCAAAGAAATTTGAAAAATTTGGCAAGTTTCCAAAAAAAATTTCAGCACAGCACACTATTCTCTCACATATGCTCTTTGCTTGGCATTTTCCCAAAACTTTGCCACCATTCCACTCCTCTGGGGGGTTTTTAGCAATTGTCTTCTTCAAAAGTAGCATCTCATATTCAAAAAGTCTATACATGTATAAGTAAAAAAATTCGATTTGACTAAGTTGTTAATCTTGGTGTAGTCAGAAAATGGGTCCCTGTATGCAAAACTATAGCGCCTGCATCAAAACAATCATTCAACATACACGTTGTATAGAAAATCTGATGATCTGAAAAATTGCACAGAGGAAAATATCCAATTACAAAAACAGTTGCCTTGAATGAATTAGATATTTTAAAACAAATAACTTTGAGGGAACTGTTTTTTACTTCACAAAACTCATATTGATGAATGAATTAATTGCATTACAAGGGGGACCCAATGATTTGTATATACAGCAGATGAACTTATCATTATAAAAGGTTGAGGCATTGCAAGTATTGTACAGTGTATAAGATATGCACAATAGTAAAGATTTTTTGTAGAGTAAAATGTTCGAAAATATTTTTAAAAACGATTCAATTTATTATTGGATCATTCACAATATGATCCATTAAACTTTTGAGCACATTTTTGCGGATGGACGAGCATCGGATTTATTTCTGAAATTCTTATAATGAATTCCAAGTTGTTACACGAAAAGAATTTCAGCGTGAATTATTCATCTATAGCTTTCACTTTTTTTTCTGTATCGCGGGAGATTTTATTGTGTTGCTCACTGATGTCCGGATTGAACTGAGAATCACGGAAGTTTGTAATTTAGGGTGGCAGTTATATAAAACCGGTCTCGGATTATTTGACAAAGGAAGTGACCCTCGAAACTCATTCAAGTGATCGCGATGCTGGACGTGTGACGCAATTGTGTGACACTCAACACCCATTATTTTCCCTCGATCTATTGTCATTGACGCCTTCTTCAAACGGATTGTTGTCCTTCCTTGTTTTTCGGTCAAGGGCGTTGATCGTATGTATACTGCATTTCATTTAATACTGAGGAGGTAAGGTATATGATTAACGATATATATGAATTGAAGCTCAGAATAAAAGTCTAATGTAGTCATAACAATATGAATATGATTCTTGTTTTCTAGAACCAGGATACTGTATTTTGAAATAATGAACAAATCAAAGCTGATTTTGCCTCGGCTCAAAATAATGTGAGATAACTATGATCCTATTCATCAAGTTGATGATGAATACAAATTTCTGTGATGGATTATGACTGGTATGTAGCATATAGAGAATTTCACAATTTTTTTCCAATTTCCAACAAAAAACAAGCACAATTTTTGGGTAATAATGGAAGCATTATCACATTAACCTTATCTTTATTTGCATTAAAGTTCATGTATACATTTTGATCAGCCGCTTTGAGAATAAACCTGATATGTTCAAGAATGAAAAGCTGGTTTTACCCTTATTTCATGGCGTTTGTGAATGATTCACGCACAAACTATTTGAAGATTTGCATCATGATATGCTTTCTCTTTATTAAATTTAACTTGAGAAAAAAACATGGATGATGGAATTCTTAATATAGTAGTTAACAGAACATCGGAATAAAGTATTTTACATATAACGAATGCTTGGCTTTGACAAGATCAATTACGAATTTTATGCACTTTCAAATTGCAAACAAAATTACTGTACATGCAGTACATGAAATCCAGCCACCACCAAATCATCTTGACGTTTCCAGACGAGGATTTGAGGAGCTCTGTCACCTTTTTCCATCCGCGTGATTTAAACATGGACGCATTCCTAGAATCTCTCCTGCATCCGTCTACTCCCATAAATTATTTTTGGCGACAGACCAGGATTGATTCGGTAAAGGTGAAAATCGTTGAGGTGAATTTGTGAATTTATCGAACTTGGGCGAATGTTCATTCCGGAAGACTCTGCCGTGATATCTTCTGATATTCTTTTGAAATCTGCGAGCTAGGGTGAACGTGCGCTAGTATCCCTTGTTCCTTCGGCATCACGTTCTAATGAATGGACTATGAGAACAGCGTGGTCAGTGGTTGAAAGTTTGAGCTGAGAAAAGTCTCATTTCCAGTGTTTTATTTGCAGATGAAATTCTTACCGGAGCTATCCTAGTTGGGGGGACCCAAGCTCAAAACTACGTCCATGTAGATGTCGCTAAGAACGGCGGACGGAACGTCCTTGGCGGCATCCATTTGTGTTTCTTGAATAATTCACCAACTATTCAATGTTGCTGGTGTGAGTAACCGTAACTTCCGGCGTTGTTATAGCCATATCCATTCGCTTCCATCAAGGTCCAGGTGGAAATTATTGTCCATGCCAGTGAAAGGTACAAAGCAATCATTTTGCTCAAGGTATTTTTGCCTGTTTTGAACAGAAGAAATATTTCATTTAGAGACAGTAATAATGAGATGAGGTTCCTCAAAATCGTATGTCAGAGGACCTTCATGATGTGAAATCAACAACAAATTACAGCACTGCAAGAATTTTTACAAATATGGGCCCCAAAATAATGCAAGCATTCAACTCCTCATTTGAACTGAAAAAATCTGCCCAAACAATCTGAAAATGGCTTGAGATGTGGACACTGCCAATATTTCCAAAAAATTATTTCTTTTTTAAAATTGAGCTAATGCCATGGAAGCAAAGTAGTCAAAGTAAACCTCATTGTAAATAATTGAATTTTTCGAGAAATTTCTTTTCCAATTTTAAACTCAGTCATCAGCTTTCAACAAGTTTTTCCCTGATCAGTGAAAATGCCATTATTTACACGTAAATAAATCGAAATTTCAAATTATCCATGCAGGGATCTAAATTATACCATTACTTGCTGCATGGGAAACAGCAAAGAAATTTTAAAAATTTGGCAAGTTTCCAAAAGAAATTTCAGCACAGCACACTATTCTCTACTCTCACATATGCTCTTTGCTTGGCATTTTCCCAAAACTTTGCCACCATTCCACTCATCTGGGTGTGTTTTTTGCAATTGTCTTCTTTAAAAGTTGCATCTCATATTCAACAAGTTTATATTGTATTCATGGACAATTTGATATGACTAAGTTGGTATAGTCAGAAAATGGGTCCCTGTATGCAAAACTATGGCGCCTGCATCAAAACAATCATTCAACAAACACGTCGTTTAAAAAATCTGATGATCAGAAAAATTGCACGGAGGAAAATATTCAATTACAAAAAATAGTTGCCTTGAATGAATTATTAGATATTTTAAAACAAATAACTTTGAGGGAACTATTTTTTACTTCACAAAACTCATATTGATAAATGAATTAATTGCATTACAAGGGGAACCCAATGATGTGATGTACAGCAGATAAACTTATCATTATAAAAGGTTGAGCTATTGCAAGTATTGTACAGTGTACTGTATAAGGTATGCACAACAGTAAAGATTTTAGTAGAGTAAAATGTTTGAAATACGATCCATTAAACTTTTGAGCACATTTTTGCGGATGGACGAGCATCGGATTTATTTCTGAAATTCTTATAATGAATTCCAAGTTGTTACACGAAAAGAATTTCAGCGTGAATTATTCATCTATAGCTTTCACTTTTTTTTCTGTATCGCGGGAGATTTTATTTTACACCACCAAAGCATTGCAGTCAAAGTCACTCAATGAGAGGCTGGCGCTTCTAGGGGTGGCGTGGAAGAGGTAGCGTTGAATGAAGCTGCGCTGAGTGGAAGTTGTACCATAACGTCGCGTCACGGGATTGATTCGGTAAAGGTGAAAATCGTTGAGGTGAATTTGAGAATTTATCGAACTTGGTCGAATGTTCATTCCGGAAGATTCTGCCGTGATATCTTCTGATATTGTTCTGAAATCTGCGAGCTAGGGTGAACGTGCGCTAGTATCCCTTGTTCCTTCGGCATCACGTTCTAATGAATGGACTATGAGAACAGTGTGGTCAGTGGTTGAAAGTTTGAGCTGAGAAAAGTCTCATTTCCAGTGTTTTATTTGCAGATGAACTTCTTACCTTGTGCCGACATGGGCACTGCATAATTTGTGAAATTTTGTTGCTGCGCGAACATTGTGCTTGGAAGTGGTGTATTTCGAGCTCCCGAAAATTTTGTGAGTTTTTTTCCACATAAATTCTCATTTAAAATTGCAGGGTAGTGCTGTACTTATTCCACGGCCGAATCCGTTACCCGACCGCCTTAGCCATGGCTCTCTCGATGTGCACTCGCGTTGTGGTTCGCACCGCGCTGTCTCGCAGCTTGCATACTAGCTGTGCATTGAAGAAGGACTACACTCTCAATGACCCCTTCGAACATGCCACCGGTCGTGAAAAGCTGATTCTCCAGGCAGAGCGTGAAGGAAATCCCGATCCCTTCAACACGAAACCGATCAAGCGTGGCAAGGGCACCAAAGATGAGCCGACGAAGGTGCCCTCGTTTCTTGAGAAGCGAATTGTCGGATGCGTATGCGTGAGTATAGAGCTTTAAATTGCGTGTAGTAAGTGCGTTTAGCTAGTTTCTCCTGCACTTCAGGACGATGAATCAATGCATGTGAATTGGATGTGGTTGGAGAAGGGACACGACCGTCGTTGCGCATGTGGCTATTGGTTCCAGCTTACAGACGCTAAGCCACTGCCGGACTGTGCAGAATTCAAAGCGATTCCCATTGGAGGCGATCATCATCATCACTGATTCTTCGTTTCACTGTCTTTAGCTTGATTCCGTACTGTCGATAATTGGCCTGTGCTGTCGCCGCCGAAAAGAGCGACTTTCAAATGTAGGAAAGTTTATTCATCGTCAGTCTTGTGTGCAATTGGACGAGCGTTACTGTGGGCTCTAGAACTTTCAACCAAGGGCGGAATAAATTTCGTGTTGTTTCGCCGGATTTCTCATTTTTTCTGGTGCTACTCTTATTTCGTCTTCCTCACTCGAATTTCTGTTTTCCAGAGAAATGGCGCTGGTTGCGTCGGAGTGGCATCCGCTCAGCCCCGAAAAAGGCATATTCTTTAGGTAAGGCGAAAGCAGTGGTTCGAAAAGAACGACATGCAACCGAACTTTTTGCACTTGTCAATTTAGGAAGTTTGAAGTCGATTGCATGCAATGGGATGGTCAACTGAACCTCGAAGACTACAAACTTTACGCGGCTCCGTTCGGTGGTCCGGTTGCCCTCATTCGTGATTCACGACGAATTGTGCGCGTTTCCAGCATTGGAGCTAGTGCGAAGCCGTTCATCTTTCTTTTCACCCCGAGTGGCCGTGAAATCGGTGTCATAAAGGTGATTTCCATGTGTGGATAAAGTAACCCTCAATTTTTTTCACTGCTTTTATAAGTTTGAAGTCCTGACCGACGGTTAGGACATCGTGAAGATTTCGTCTTGGGCTTAGAACTGTTGCAGTTTTTTTTTTCAAATTTCTATTATTAATGTTCAAGAATGTCCGTTGTTCTATGTGAATTTTGAAACTGCAGATTCAAATGATAAAACAGTTACTTTTTTCTTCGAAAAATCGGCCTATTCATTATATAGGTCGTATTGTTGATACTGAAATACAGTTATTTCTAAGCTCTGCCTTTGGTATAGGATTAGCATTATCATAGAAAATTCAGATCACCGATCGATTGAATCTCGAAACTTAATTTTACAGATGTGAAAGATGGAACTAAATGTTTCATGAGTTATATTCGCTGATTGATGTGCTTAACGCCTCCAATGTCACTATCTTTATCTGCAGCGTTTGTTTGAAAATTGACAGAACAAATTCGTAGCATGGATTGTATCCGAATCATCGAAAGATCTATCTTCGAGAATTTGAAATCTCTCACGAGCTGAGGTAAAGAGGTTCGCTATTTTATGAGCTGAGTCTTGAGACAAAGGGGTGTGGCAAATATCTCAGTGATTGATGCGAACCGCAGTTTTTTTTTTATCTGTGTAGTTGTTTCTGTTTTTGTATTTTCTTCAGTGGAATAGTGGACCAATTTTGGAGTTGGGTTGGTCTGATACCGAAGATCTCATCGTGGTGCAGGAGGATGGCCAAGTTCTTCTTTACGATTACCTCGGGAACTACCGCAGGACATTTGCCATGGGCCAGGTGAGCTTTTTGGCGAGAAGCAGAAATCTATAGAATTGCAAGGTGCTGGGTTTTCTTGTAAAAATGCGTTTCTTTGTTCACCAGGAAGCGCGAGACGTCAAGGTTGTCGATGCGAAGATCTTCGGAACAAATCATGGCACTGGAGTCGCAGTTTTGACTTCTACGAAACGGATTTATTTAGTTTACAATGTAAACGAACCGAAGTTGCGAAGATTGGCTGATATTCCTGGTAATATTCTGCGCGTTAAAGTTGAATTTTCAATCCGTTGGTATTGGAATAATTCTCGTTTTGTAGGTGTCGAGTCAGTGGGGAAATCGTTCAACGTCCCAAGTGCTTGGGAGGTTTATTCCAAGGATCATTCCACTCATGTGATAGTCGCCGTTGATCGTGATCTGTACTCACTTGAAATGTCGGGAGCTACACCCTTGGTAAGAATAGAGAAGAGCTTAGGCTTTCGCTATCACGAAGACTGAAATGTTGTGAGGGGAAATTTAGGGAAAAGGTCATGATTCAAAGTTGAACAGTTCCACTTATTTTAAAGTTCGCGACAAAATTTTAAGCAACTTGCTTGGAAGATTGTTGGGCCGACTGTTGAACCGTCGTTCCTCATTTTTGGCTGTTATGGGGAATTTTCGACGTCAAAATTATAGTTTTGATCTGAGCAATTTGATTTTTTGGCATTTGGCATAATTTTATGAATATTATTATAAGCATATTTTCAAAATGTTTGGAGTTTTACTACAGTATGAGTCTATTTTCAAAATTTTGTGAACTTCACGGTTCGATAATACTGTACTGTATCATGCTTCAATTGAGATAAATCTAGATGGCTTCGCTAGGAACAATTTCCTTTCAGAAAATGATCACTTTTCTCACTGAGGGATGATCAACGTGTATGAATCGAAAACTGATTACAGTTTTAATTGGCTGTATATTGTCATGTCTCAGTACCCAGATCTTAGCGGCTGCAATGGCAGTGTCGTTAGCATCGCAGTTTCGTCGGACGGAACGAGGTGCGCTTTGTTCTTCCTCCCGAGCCCGTACTATACCTAACCCAGGGGCCTCAAGACCTTCTTCGTGTCGCTGAAGCTATGCGTTACGTACCGCTTTGGGTCAATAAAGTACACCACACCGGCGCTACGGCAGCAACCGATAAGGGACAATGTTCTGATTGTCGTCGGCTTGAACCGGGATTCTTTCAGGTTAATGTCGACTCGATTTTTTTTTTTTGCCTTATCCACTAGAAAGGTTATGTATGTGTACAGTACCTCGTTTTTTTATTTCTTTCTGGAAAATACAGTAGAATCTGGTCATGGCGAATTTATTTTCTGAACTGATCATTTCTGCTTCCCCTTTAGGTTATGCGTATTTTCAAAGTTCAAAACATATAAATCAAAGCGTTTTTTCTTTTTCCTGTATATGTTATGACAAATTTCTTAATTAGAAATTGAGAAATTTATGAAACACAATTTTTTGTGCATGCCTTTTGAAATATGCTGTGGTTCGAAAATAATCTTCAGTGAGCATCGATCGAGGCCATTTTCAATGGTGGACCGTCTTAAAATCAATTGTTGAATCGAAAAAATGAGGTTAGATTTTCTAGGTGCCCAAGAACTGGAAACACAAGTTACAGTATTCACAGTTCATGCCATGAGTCAGCTATTCAGCTTTCACATTTGATTGTGGTTAGGATTGTTATAATCGGAAGAAAATTTCCCAGAAATCCAACTGGGGAAAAAACGTAATGTAATTTTTTGTAGAAGGATATGATTTGAAAGTTTTTTCTTACTTTCCTGTAACATGGCACTGTACCTCCTTTTTAAGGATATTTTTCGTTTTTTTTTTAAGTTTTCTCTTGATGGGAGATACATTTCTTGTTTTCCCACAGCCTAAATTTTGATCTGTTCGGTGTTCATTTGGCGGTGGAGATGGATTGCGTGCGGATTTATACGCCCGCAAGTCACGAAATATTGCAGCAAGTTCCTAAAGATACCGTGAAGGCTTTCAGAATTGGTTCCATGTCTCCGGGAGCAATTCTCATCGAAGCTTCGAAGGAATTCGAGGTGAGTTTTTTCGTCTTTTTTTTTTTAGACCACTTAAGTTGTAGTGATGGACATTTTAATTTGTCTACTTCCTACTCATTTTATGGTCAATTCCGCATTGACGCATTTATGAGACAAAATCTTCCAACTTCCATTAGATGAAATGAATGTACTGTACTGTAAATTTCCAAATTTAAAAGCCAAATTTTTTCAGTTACACTTCTAGAACGTTTTATTTTTTGCGAATCTGACAGCAAGGAAACGGAAGTCTGAATATTCTTTGTTCGCAGTTTGTCATTGCGATGTCCTGTATATTTTGAGAGATGATCATCATGTTGTGTAAGAATTCTTGCATATTTTGAATTTGTACCAACGTGTACATCGAAGTTACTGGTATTTTGTGAAGCGAATGAATGTGTGACTTGACGATTGAAAATCCACGGCGTCTCTATTTTCGAAAATACGGTCTTCCTGGAATCTTGTAACTGGGTTAAATTGCTGCTCTTGCAATTTCTCCAACAGAATCATAGTCACAAAGCGGACGACTATATGAGAATGATTCGAGACAACCTAGATGTCGCTGTTGAGGAGTGCTTGCAAGTGGCGAATTACGAATGGAAGATCGACATGCAGAAGATGTTGCTTTGCCCTCATTCGTGATTCACGACGAATTGTGCGCGTTTCCAGCATTGGAGCTAGTGCGAAGCCGTTCATCTTTCTTTTCACCCCGAGTGGCCGTGAAATCGGTGTCATAAAGGTGATTTCCATGTGTAGAAAAAGTAACCCTCAATTTTTTTTTCACTGCTTTTGTAATTTTGAAGTCCTGACCGACGTTTAGGACATCGTGAAAATTTCGTCTTGGGCTTAGAACTGTTGCAGTTTTTTTTTTATTTCAAATTTCTATTATTAATGTTCAAGAGATGTCCGTTGTTCTATGTGAATTTTGAAACAGCAGATTCAAATGATAAAACTGATTTTTTTTCTTCGAAAAATCGGCCTATTCATTATATCGGTAGTATTGTTGATACGTAAATATAGTGCATTTATTTCAAAGCTCTGCCTTTGGTATAGGATTAGCCTTATCATTGAAAATTCAGATCACCGATCGATTGAATCTCGAAACTTAATTTTACAGATGTGAACGATGGAACTGAATGTTTCATGAGTTATATTCGCTGATTGATGTGCTTAACGCCTCCAATGTCAATATCTTTATTTATCTGCAGCAGTTGTTTGAAAATTGACAGAACAAATTCGTAGCATGGATTATATCGGAATCATCGGAAGATCTATCTTCGAGAATTTGAAATCTCTCACGAACTGAGGTAGTGAGGTTCGCTATTTTATGAGCTGAGTCTTGAGACAAATGGGGTTTGGCAAATATCTCAGTGATTGATGCGAACCGCAGTTTTTCTCTCTGAATAATGTTCCCGTTTTTGTATGTTCTTCAGTGGAATAGTGGACCAATTTTGGAGATGGGCTGGTCTGATACCGAAGATCTCATCGTGGTGCAGGAAGATGGCCAAGTTCTTCTTTACGATTACCTCGGGAACTACCGCAGGACATTTGCCATGGGCCAGGTGAGCTTTTTGGGGAGAAGCAGAAATCTGTAGATTTTCTAAGTGCTGGATTTTCTTGTAAAAATGTGTTTTTTTGAACACCAGGAAGCGCGAGACGTCAAGGTTGTCGATGCGAAGATCTTCGGAACAAATCATGGCACTGGAGTCGCAGTTTTGACTTCTACTAAACGGATTTATTTAGTTTACAATGTAAACGAACCGAAGTTGCGAAGATTGGCTGATATTCCTGGTAATATTCTGCGCGTTAAAGTTGAATTTTCAATCCGTTGGTATTGGAATGTATCTCGTTTCGTAGGTGTCGAGTCAGTCGGGAAATCGTTCAACGTCCCAAGTGCTTGGGAGGTTTATTCCAAGGATCATTCCACTCATGTGATAGTCGCCGTTGATCGTGATCTGTATTCACTTGAAATGTCTGGAGCTACACCCTTGGTAAGAATAGAGAAGAGCTTAGGCTTTCGCTATCACGAAGACTGAAATGTTCTGAGGTGAAATTTAGGAAAAAGGTCATGATTGAAAGTTGAACAGTTTCACCTATTTTAAATTTCGCGACAAAATTTCAAGCAACTTGCTTGGAAGATTGTTGGGACGACTCGTGAACCGTCGTTCCTCATTTTTAGCTGTTATGGGGAATTTTCGACGTCAAAATTCTAATTTTGATCTGAGGAATACTGTTGGCATTTGGCATAACGTTACGAATATTGTTATAAGCATATTTTCAGAATGTTAACGAGTTTTACTGCAGTATGAGTCTATTTTCAAAAGTTTGAAGACTTCACGCTTCGATAGGATCAATTTCCTTTCAGAAAATGAGCACTTTTCTCACGTGGTGATGATCAACTCGTATGAATCGAAAACTGATGAGCTTTATTTTACTGTATATTGTCATGTCGCAGTACCCAGATCTTAGCGGCTGCAATGGCAGTGTCGTTAGCATCGCAGTCTCGTCGGACGGAACGAGGTGCGCTTTGTTCTTTGAGGGCTCGGGCATGATATGGATTGGGTCCCCGGAGTTCTGGAAGAAGCACAGCGACTTCGATACGCAATGCATGGCGAAACCCAGTTATTTCATGTGGTGTGGCCGCGATGCCGTCGTTGGCTATTTTGGAGATGGATTGCGTGCGGATTTATACGCCCGCAAGTCACGAAATATTGCAGCAAGTTCCTAAAGATACCGTGAAGGCTTTCAGAATTGGTTCCATGTCTCCGGGAGCAATTCTCATCGAAGCTTCAAAGGAATTCGAGGTGAATTTTTTCGTCTTTTTAAAAATTTTTTTAACCACTTGAGTTGTAGTGATGGACATTCTAATTTGCCTACTTCCTACCCATTTTATGGTCAAGTCCGCATTGACGCATTTATGAGACAAAATCTTCCAACTTCCATTAGATGAAATGAATGTACAGTACTGTAAATTTCCAAATTTAAAAAACCAAATTTCTTCAGTTACACTTCTAGAACGTTTCATTTTTTGCGCATCTGACAGCAAGAAAACGGAATTCTAAATATTCTTTGTTCGCGGTTTGTCATTGCGACGTCCTGCATATTTTTGGGGATAACCGTCATGCTGTACAGTATAAGAATTCTTTCATATTTTGAACCAACGTGTACATCGAAGTTACTGGTATTTTGTCAATCGAATGTATGTGTGACGACGATTGAAAATCCACGGCGTCTCTATTCTCGAGAATACGGTCTTCCTGGAATCTTGTAACTGGGTTAAAGTTGCTCTTGCAATCTCACGTTGTCTTAGTATCAGTGTTTCGCCTGCTGATATACTCTTACTAAGCTCTGTTGGATCTACAGCGACAACTCCTCACGAACGTTCACCGCTTAATGCTTACCTTCTAGCTGTACGTCTTCTACAACGAGCGAGCTGCCAAGTTGGGCCTGAGCTTCATTGATGGACGGGACCCCAAAGATTTCGTTAATGCTTGTCAAACAATCCGACTTCTGAACGCGCTTCGTGATCCGAAAATTGCGATGCCGTTAACGTACGAACAGTTAGTATTTTTTCTGTCATTTTTCAAATTTCCAGGTCGGTTTTTAGCCTGAAATATGTACAAATTTTCGTTCTAGTGCAGTATTTTATTCGTGTTTTTCGTTTGCTGTTGTGAACGCCTTTCGTTAAGTTTCCGTTCGAAGTAAATGTTCCGGCTGTGATTTTTTTCAAAGATTTTCGCACGTCGTAATTACCCTGAAGAATTTCAGTGGTACCATACCTTTTTTTTTTTTTTCGAACCATAAATCACTGCGTTTATACAGTGAGTCCCCCCAGAACGAAAAGTTTTAGGGGGAAACGATGACACAACACGAAATATTTTTTGCCCAAAAAGTACCTGATTTTTGAAAAGTGAACTAGAACTGCAAATTTTGAATAGAAACAGTTATGTATCTTCTTGTCTTCACAATTTAAGAAGTCCAGAAAGTTATGAGTAATAGTTTTCAGGATTACTGTATTTCAATTTCATCTTGAACAATATTAAATTCACAAGTTTTTGCTGAAAAATGCAAAAATATGTATGGTTCATTGTAGTCCTTTTTGGTTTGGCGAGAACCTATTGAATCAATCGCAGGGGAATCTTAGGGAAAACTCGTGTCGCATAGCGAAAATTTGGCAAAACAAAACTAATCTAGCAACGGATTGCTCACCGAAACTCATTCAGCAACGGTTTGCGTTTGTTATGCCGAGACTTATGCAGTGAAGTGCGTCAGACAAAATACATCTAATTTAGAACACATGAATCAAAGCCCTCATATGATCGGAATTAACCGAACATAGCCCAGCCAAACGAACCGGAGAGACCGTTGCAGATTTGACGCGGCACCTGTGTAGTAATAATGATAATCAATGTCCAGAAAGCCAGTCTCTGAAGTGAAAAGTCTAGAAGGATCACTCTTTGAGTAATTTTCGGGTTTTTTTTCAAGAATGAGTCGAGATTTGCTTTCCGAATAGATTTACTTGTCATTTTTTCTTTCTTTGCCAAACTAATAATTTTCTTCAGGAAATTTATGTTCGATTTTGTTTACGAAGATATTTAGAGGTTTTGAATGTTTGCTAATATGTTTACATTGCTCTAATTTTTTTTCAAGCATGCCTTCAATCAATTCGGTTTTGTGTACGACATTTGCAGGTACATAACGCAAGGGCTAAAGGTGGTTTTGGATCGATTAGTTTTGCGTCGACATCACCTGCTGGCCATCCGCATTGCCCAATTCTTGCTTTCGAAACGGGGTTGGTTTTCGCCACTGAATGCTGTTGATCCGCTTGCTGGAGGACGTTATCCAGAAGCTGATGAAGCTGTCGGAAGAATTCTCGTCAATTGGGCAGTGTATAAGGTAGGTGTGTTCTTATCATTTGATCTTCGACTAATCTGAAATGTTTTCCTCTTCAATCTGGTCGGTATTCCGCAGTTTTTCAAAAGCTTCCAGTTGAGTTGAATTCACGGGCAAGTTCTTCTGCTGTAGTATTAATTATTTTATTTGAAAAGATCAAACAAACGCATTTGGACGCAGAGGAGATAGCGAGAAGCATTGCAAGAAAACTCGATTTATCCCCATGCATATCGTATGCGGACATTGCTGACAAAGCGCTGGATTGTGGGAAGAAACCTTTAGCCATCAAAGTGAGCAGTGTTTTTTTCTCTTGTGTCTTTTGAAAATATTGACAGCATTCTTTCTATTTCAGTTATTGAAATTGGAAGTGAGTGCCGCCAGAGCAGTGCCATTGTTACTGAAGTTGGACGAGGATGAAGAGGCGCTGAAGCAAAGTGTAGCATCTGGGGATACTGATCTGGTGTACATTGTTTTACTGCGTTTGCTTGACAAACGTCAACTCGGTGATTTTCAGGTAATTAAGCGCTTGGTGGGGCTGATTCGCGAGAAAGTACGGATTCAGGTCACTACTACGAAATTCAAGGGACCAAAGAAAAAATTCGTTATAGAGAACCCCTGTAACATGGTGAGAAACCTATATGGGTCCACAACAAAATTCGTTTTATAGAGAAAACCGTTGACAGGATTGTTTTAGGGAAAGTCCACGTGTATAATATGCTGCTTCGTATTTCACTCGTGCCCGTCCCAAGTCCATTAGGTGGTACTCCGCAATTCGACCCTAATCTGTTGCTGGCTGGGGTCGAATTGTGAAGCGGCCAAATTGCAAGACAATTTCTAATTCGATGTTTTATACATCGAATTCAACGTTTTGGGTCTCTCTGCAGGTCGAATTGCGGGGCAGAGTTCGAATTGCAAGTCGACGTCCCTGAAAATTCGACCGTCGAATTGAGGGATTGTCGAATTGTGAGGTACCACCTGTATTTGGAAAGTTTTTTAATTGAGTAATTTAAGACCATATTTCAAGACGAATTGGTTTGCAAATACTGTTACGTCGTAAAATATCGAATCTTTACTAAAAATCAACAGAGAGCTTGATTTTCATGAGAAAATTGAAACTTAACGCATCGCGAAAGATAAAAAAGAAAAGTTGCGAGTGAGCTCCCGCTCTAAACAAAAAATTCGAATGCTGTTTGTGAAAGAAATGTTTCAAACTCAAGTTTATATTCTTTATAAAAATTCCTGTGATGGACGTTATCTCGGAACGGGAGACTCCAAAACGGTTTCTTTGTGTAATAAATGTTTTGGGTACTCTAATAGGGTTGAATAGGCCATAGGGGTTTTCTACAACGAATTTGAGGAGAAAATTCGTTGTAGAGACTCGATTGTACACGATCTTTTACAGTTCTATTGATCCTACGTGGAAACAATTGAGTGTTCTCATTTAAAAAAAAAAAAATTTATTTTGCCCGCAGTACTTCGCTACGAAGCAGCTAATGAGTTAAACTTTTTTCTGGACTGAGGATTCAATTCGCTCTGTTTATCTGTCGCTGATCTTGAGTGAATTTTTTTTTTCCAGATGATGATCCGCAGTTATCCGGTGGCTCAGTCTCTGTACCTCAAATACTGCGGTTTAGTGAGCATCGAGAAGCTCCGAGACATGTACGAGCAGGAAGACAACTTCGTTGGACAGGCGATTTGTCGTATCAAGGAGAGTTATCGCAGTCAGCGCAGCGACGGGAAGCTTGCCGTGCTCATGAGTGCCGTGGACCAGTTCAAGCACGCTGCGAATCGCGCCGGAGCCGTCGCACCGTCTTCTGTTACGACCAGCTCCTCGCTTGGTGGAGGGATCGAGTGGTCGCAGAGTCACATGAAGCACTGGGCCACGCTCACGCAGGAACAGGTACTCGTGGTCTTGTCGGATTTTATCGAGACTTTTTGAAACGAGTTTAAATTCCAAATGACTTCGTATTCAGCATTCAACTGCTGAGGCCGCTTCCAGTGTCGTACCATATTTACTCGAGTACCACGCGCCCCCCAGTATGAAGCGCACCTTAGTTTTTTGTCATGAAATTTATCCAGAAATATTTCCCCGCATAAAACTCGCACCCCTGTTTTACATGGCTGAAAATCGAATTGAAAAAAGGTATACTGTAATGTTGAACAAAATAATCCCGTAAATCTATGTAAAATGCACCATCTGGAGCGAAATTGAGCCGAACAGAATTCCCTGTTGATATTTGCACCTATTGTAAGTAATTAATCATAGGTCCCACTAATATACAAACTAGTATAGGAACTAATTCGCAGATGTACAATATGTTTGCTCCAGAAAATTGTATGCTGTACCCGCGTACCTCGTGCACCAGACTTTTCTGCCTTGATTTTGCAGGGAAAAAAGGTGCACGTTGTACCTGAGTAAATACTGTACGGTATTTAGGTCAATTTAGGACTCAATACATGATTGTGCGTATATGTAAATTTTTGTTCAATCGACTGAACTGCCGAAAATGTTTCGCGAAATCTCGAGAAGTGCTGAAATTTGCTTCACTGTGTTACGTTCATTCAGGGACAGATATTTGGTCTTGTACGCTTTTTTGAGATTTTTTTGAAGAATTAAAAAAAGCTGAGATTCCAGGTGAAACTGTTTTGGACATGATACATGTAACTGTTGAAGTTGCCATCGGCTCTGCTTCCAATGCTTTATTTGGGCGAATGCAAGACTTCCATCGATTCTCATTTTCAGCGCCGTAATCTGAAGAAATGTTCCCGATAAATCTAAGACGAGTTTTAATCTTCTTTCCAACGTGAGAAAATCTACCTTCGATACTGTGTGTACCAAAAATACGCAAATTTTGAAGGAAAATTCGTTCTGGGACAGAACTCATTTGAATTTAGGACACCAAGGAAAATATTAATTTTGAAAGTCTTGAGCGAATTAGTCATTGTCACGATTTCTGAATTAAGTTTTATTGTCGTTTTTGTTGTTCGATTTTTCGCTTTCAATGAGGGTTTGCAGTTGAATGGTGTCTACTGAATCTCATGGCCTCTCGATTGATATTATTCATTATTAACCTGTTCATAGGTTACCCTACTGAAGCATCAAATTTCCCTGGAAGAGGTCCTGGGAAATCGTACTGGTGTGGATTTTTTGCATGACTCTTTGACTGAAACTCTGCTGAAGTTGCTGAAACTGAATGAATTGAAGCTTGCAGAAAAACTCAGACTTGAGTTTAAGGTTTCTGATGACAAGTAAGCTTAGGAAAAAACTTCTATCTTTATTCTTGAATCCATCGTCAGCTGGGAGTGGCGATAAAATTGAAACATCCCAACAATTCTGATGCATCCATTATTCATGCAGGTTCTTCTGGCTTAGACTCTCTTCCCACGCTGAGAAGAATGAGTGGTTTGAAATCGATAAGCTTGCAAGAATGAAAAAGCATCCTGGCGGATTTGAGGTGCGTCAAATCCATCTTTTTTTTTTGTTAGTGCCCCTGAACCTGAAAATTATTTATTTCCACAGGCATTCGTGAAAGTGTGCCTAGTGCACAAAAACTTTTCGGAAGCGAAGCGTTACGCTGAACAAGTCAAGGACGACTTGAAAGTGAAATACTACGTTAAAGCTGGGTGAGTAGACGCGTCAAAAGATTTTTTTTAATGCATTCTGGATTATCATTAGAGGAGAAAATTGAACAAAATAAGTTCTCTCTGGATTTCATACGTATCTTATTATGCCAAATGTCGTTATAAGAAAAGCTTTTTTTGTTACCCCTTGGGCTGTGACAGAGACTAGAAAATATATTTTGTAGATGACTTAAAAGTGTGTTAATCGTGTGATATTTTCCCCAAGTGCGGAAGCTCACTGCTAAGTATAATCTGATTATTATCCTCGCCCTTCAAACTTTCTCAGTATTATTTTGAGGTTTTATAACATTTTACGTCACCGTTTTCCATTTCGTTGGCCTTAATTTTATTTTTATTTTTTTTAAATTTAAATACAGTAGCATTTATTTCAATTATCTCTATTGTATCAGAAAATAATTAAAATATGATATTATAATAAGAACAAAAGAATAAAAAAAAGTTATGGAGAGATAGAAAATGTCTGGGTTTTCAGTAATGGTGGTAGCATGACATCTGAAAAAAGGTCAAAGAATTTCCTCTGATCTCACACCTTCTCCAGTGATGACTCAAATCGCAAATTTTGGAGGGAAAAAACGCATAAATCTTGCCTCTGACCTAATCGTTATTGAAATTGCATGGAGGTGCATTTCGTAGCACTGGAATGCAATTGGTCATCGTCGTCAAGAAGTCTCCAAAAATATTTCTGCATGATTAAATTTTCTGAAAAAACGACATTAGCCTAGTTTGGCAGCAAGTGGAGATTTTGTGCCCTTCCCGATCCTTAAGTTATTGTTATCATTATTGGAAACGTCCCCTAATTATTCCGAAAAATCTTATCCGAGGTATTTAGTTCTTTTTTGAGTACTTGAGATCAGACTCAAGTTCTCGGGTCGTCCCATAAATGCATTACGTTACAGTATTCTCTCCACCTGTCATAACTTCAGGTCGACAGTGACGAAATACAGGTAGTTTTAATTTTCATTCGGCCTTTTAAATCCTTTAGTATGCTGGAGGAAGCCGCCCAACTCGCCATGGAGAGAAAAGACATAGTTGGACTGGATTTCGTTGCGAGCAAATGCGTAAAGCCCGCGCACAGGGAACTCGCCACCCGGGTTCAACGAATGCAGGAAACTCTTGGCGCGCGATGAAAATGACGTTCGAAGGGTGTAGGGGGGGACGAGTGATTTATTTTTGGCGGAAACGTTAGCGCTGTCTCACCCGCCATAATTTGTTGCTCGGCTTTTTTTTATTCTATTGGAAGATTTGCTTCTTTTGCACGTGCCATTCTTTCGAGACCTCTGTGTGGTGAGTACTGAAGCTTTCTTTCGCTTTAATCGCGTGCTTCTCGCCCCGTAGGTTCGAACTTCCGGTTCGGAATAATTGTCGTCTCGAAAATGTCGGTGGTTCTTCAGTAGAAACGATGGTTTAAAAATTTGGACAGAGATTGGTGATTAAAAATATCCTGCCCCTTTCTTTTAATTTTGCAGATGGCCGCTCCGTTTCTTCTTTAAAGGAATTCCACGGACATATCAGGGTTTTGGGCCATTCATCAAACGCGTCATTTCTTCAAGTGAGGGTTGCCGTAATTTTAATTTTCAATCATGAACGTCATGAATGGTCAACATTTTGGTAACATTTCAAGCACGAGTATTGAAGGCAGTACAGTATTTTATTGTGGGCGTTTCGAAATTTGAAAAGACAGAAGAACTCGCTATGTTTAAGCTGCCTTGGGAAATCTTTTGAAATTCTTCATTAAATGTTTGCTAGTTTTCTCCAACTCGTGATAACTTTGTTTTCGTTACGAGTTCACGAAGATCGGGCATATTTTTATTATTAAGAAGTGTGAATCCGTTGAACAAACCCCGTTTAAACATCATTCGTGAGGCGAAATTAAGATATTCAGCTTTTATGGAAAAACAAGTTCTGATATTAGAATGCTCCTTTGCGCAAAGGTGGCGTAACCGATTAGCACCGACACTATAGTAAGACCTCTTATAACCCTTCTTGTTTATTTTTTCGAACAATGGCGCATCAACTGCTAAAAACAGACCTAAATGATAAAAATTATTTCCTTCTGATGTTTCTGAGTCTTCTCTTTTCAGATGCGAGGAATTGTGGGAAGGTGACGATGCGCAGATTTTCGCGGGTTGTTTTGGTATTGGTGATTTGTAGCGTGGTTCTGCTCACGTGGAAATGGGGTTTCGCGCGCAAAATGAAAGCTGGTGAGTGTATTTTGCCGTCTGAGATACCGTTTGTGTCCTTGTGTTCGTGAAGTTTCTATTTCATCCCTGTTAATTTTTTTCTACTCCTACTGCGCGCAGTGATCAGACATATTCTCTAAATTGAACGAACTAAATAACCGATGTACAGTAATCGTACTTCGGCAAAATTAAATTGTTGAATGCAAGACAATTTTCATTACAATGAGTTTTTCTCTTTTGCTTCACGTGTTACGCATTTTTTTGTTCGGCCCTCCTGCTTTAATTGAAAATTTCACTTTTTTCTGAATAGATGCCGTATTTGAGATTTCAGCAATGCTTTTGAAGTCTCAAGGAAGCAGGAACTTGAGTAATCCGGACACGACCGATTATTCACAGAATGGTCAAAGTGCGTTCATAGACACGCTTCTAGGAAAAAAGGTGTGGATTTTCTTGGAACTTCTCAGAAGACTTATAAAGTCCGAGTTTTTCGATTGACCTTCGTGATACAGTATTACAGTAGTTTAAATTTTCATATAATTTGACCTGGTTTATGCTCTGATGTAATGAAATTGTATAGCTTTATTTAATCCCATTTATCATAGCTGTTCACGAGAGAACTGACCATACTTATAGTCACGTGAAATTGAAAATTTGTTTTGATCATCTTTTCTTCAATCATATTTCACTTTGAATAATATTTGACAAAAGTGTTTCGGTTTGTTAGTTATGAAAACCTGATTTTTTAAATAAATTTAAACCAAAATCCCAGTCCAGTGCAACGTTAGACTGGGATGTGTTAGTATTAACGATGTTGGTTCTCTTCTTTCTTCATCAACCGTGGTGAGTGGCACCACTCCTACGGGGATTCTCCGTCCTTCGGTTTTTTCATAGCTTGTGTCCGAATAGGTGTTCTGATACAGTTCCCTGTGTTTGTACACAATTTTGCTGTGAATTCCGAATTCGTCACTCATTCTACATTCATCTCACTTATTTAGGATTTTGAACATCCACTATCATGTTGTTCCTTGACGACGATGATCAATTTCATAGTGATTCGTGTTCACTACTCCCATCACTTAAATGGGGAGAGTAATTGTTGAGACTACAGCAACGAAGCCGAAACGGAAGACACTGGGTCTTTAGTGGACAAGGAGTCCCAAGGAAATGGCCATTCGGAATGAGGGATAAAATCATTTTTTCCCGGGTTTATCTTCCCGCGGACTACTAGGGAAATATGTGGTTTTATCCCTTTTCCCATAAATTGCTCTGACTTTCGTCAGGTGCATTCCTTATTATGTGTTCAAGATATTTTAAAAATATCTTGTGTTTTGTTACGCTTTTATATTCAGAACCGCCACCCAAACGACAATGTCTTGATCAGGCTGCTGTTGACACTGATGTTTTTACTGAGCTTATTATTCCTCTCTCAAGTGGTCCGACTCTGTCAGATGCAGTTCGCGGTCACCAAGAGCTCTTCTTCGTCGAACCATTTTTATCCGCAGCTCTCGCTCCCTCCTTTCTTGAAGGAAGTGAAAAGTCTTTTCCGCAACCTACTAATACTACTGTGGGCATTGTACCACGTATAAATGCCCCTATCTACAAGAGCTTACCAGCCTTTTACCAGCAACTGGACGGCAATCATCAATGAGTCCAAAAATCGATTGCGGTTACTCATCAAGCTTTGGTGAACTTGCTGGAATATCTCAAAGGAGATCCTGAGTGCAAAACAAAAATGTCTTCTATTTTGAAACTAAATGCTGCTGCCTACTCAACTGTGGCAGACCATAGGAGGAAGGCCATTGCTAAAGGCCTCAGACAACAGCATCCTCCTTTGGCAGCCTCCCTCAAAGCGGGACAATTTACATGTCAAGTCCATGGAGAACAGTTGGTCAATCTAACTGACAAACCGCTTCTCGATACTGTACCAAGTGCAACCATTCAGGAGGCTACTCTCCGGTCCACTATCAATGCTGCAAAGGCCAAGACTCCTTCCAAACCTTTCCAAAGGTTTAACAGTCCTACTCGTCCTTCAGGGCAAAACAATCGTGGAAAATTTTCCTGTGTTGATCGCCAATCTGAAAGTGACCAGTCTGGGGGCTACGGCCAGCAGCCTTTTTTTTTGGGGGAGACGGCAGGAACAAAAACCACGGACAACACAATCAGAGTTAGAGCAGGGAGAACCGCGACAATCGCATGTCCCGCGGAAATTACTTCCGACGGAATTACAGCGATTGCCGAAATTAACTCCAATCTCCTTTGTCTCCAAGGTTAGGTTCCCTCTTGGTGGACGTTTGTGCCATTTTCTTCCCTTTTGGAGGGTGAATATTACCCAAAACCCTTCCAAACCTTTCCAAAGGTTTAACAGTCCTACTCGTCCTTCAGGGCAAAACAATTGTTGAAATTTTTCCCCTGTTGATTGCCAATCCAAAGCTGCCACCTGCGTGGCGTACCCGGCATGGTGGTGGACACAAGCGCTAGAGACCCCGGTTCGAATCTCTTCACCGGGGGTGACGCGTACATGCAAGGGCGTGGAGGTCCCAGACACCTCACGTCTCACGAGCCCTCAAAGCAAAAATACAACAAAACTGTCATAAAGACAAACAGTTGAAGAAGATAAGGATGCTTTGATTGTTGAAGACACCGCATCAGGTAGATTTAGCATTGGTGGAAAAACATCAAGCCTTGGAGGGTCATTTTGTAAATGCGATGGACAAGATGAGGATGTTGAGGCATGTAGAGGCTGTGGGCCGCAATTGGAAGATTGATGAATTCCAACAATGTTGAATGAGGATTAGCCACCAAGGCTGAGAGGGCCATTTGGGATTAATTAGCAACACATGAGCCTTCTCCTTGATGATCTTGCAGATGGCTCTGTTTAAGACACTGAAAGGAGGGAATAAATAACCGTTTTGGTTTCCCCAAAAGGAATCAAATGCATCTATCTCTGAAGCATTTGGTTCAAAAAAGTGGGAAGTACAGGAGGGAAGTTGAGAATTGAATTGGGTGGCAAACCAATCAATATCTGGATGGAAATTGAGTCTGAAACACAGGTCTTAAAAAATAGATGGAAGAAGACTCCATTCAGAGTCAAGATTTGGTGCTTCCCTTTCTGGAAATAACTCCAGTAAGGGAGTCCATGGGGTTATCTCTAGATGGAATATATATATAGCAGAGGCTCTAGCATTATGGGATTCTAAAGAATTCCACAACCTATAGATTTTCCGGTACCCAACCAAAGCCCCTTGCCAAAAGTCCCCCTGGAAAGTTCTCCATGTGGCACTCTTATCTCATCTCATTCTTCATTAGCATATTCCCAGCACCTAGTACTGGCATTTGTGCTCTTAACCATGAATAAATAGCCATTGCAGTATGCCTATTCACCACCTTTCTGATTTTTGATGATCTGAAGAGCACCAGCCATTGGATCAACGAGGTGACTGTGGATTTTGCAGAAGTCATCAAGTGATGATGCTTTGACATTCAAAGAATCACTGATGACCAATGCAGGTGAGGAATCCCTTTATATACTCCACTTACAAACACATTGGTACTTGGCCTTGTGCTGGACCTGTTGGTGAAAGGTGCAGATTACCATCAAGAGTTACAAGGAGACCTGTAATCCCCAATTTTTGCACCAAGGGGGGGGGGCTTTTGGACTACACCCAGATTTTCTGCTAATTGCAGCCCATTCACCTGAAGAAGATGCATCAGTTGTAACCTTGTGAGGTACAGGTTTCTAAGAAAAGAATGTCTTGGAGGAGGTTTCAGAGCCAACCACCACTGTAGATCGTCTGATATCCAGTGAGGAAGGACGAAAAAATCATTGCAATGAAGGTTGGCAGAGAGAGCCTTTTGTTGGGCTTTTTGGAAAAGACAAAAATGGGCCATGGCGTAAGGTATAGCTGGGAAACAGCTTATTAAAAAGCCAAGTATTTGTGCAAATTTTTGTAGTCTGATTTTTGAACCTTGAAGTAAATGTCCTTGGAGAGGTGTTAAATCATCAGCAAGGCATTTCCACTTGCTTTCTGGGAGTTCAATAACCATCAAGGTTGTGTCAATGATGAAACCCAGAAATTTTAATCTTTAAGAAGGAACCAGGGCAGATTTTTTCTCATGAATGAAAAAACCTGCATGTTCAAAGACATATTTAATCTGGTTCGTATTAATTTAAGTTTCTTGAAAGGAAGAAGCTTATATTAAAGTATCATCTATATATGAAAATACCCTGCAGTTGTTAGACCTGAGAACATTTAGTAGGGCTTTCATGATGACAGTAAAGATTCTGGGACCTTCTCTTAATCCTATGGGAAGGCAGATGAAACGGAAGTATCTGTCTTGCCATTGAAACATGAAGAATTTTTGGTGATTTGGATGAAGGGCTACTTGATGAAAACCCTTGATTAAATCAATAGAGGTCATCCAATCACCTTGTTGAACACAATCTAGGACCACTTGAAGTGTTTCCATTTTGAAATTGTTTTTTCTTAATGCATGCATCATTAAGATCTTTGCTATTTAAAATCAGACAAAAGGATCCGTCATGATTTTTAGCAGCAAATATGGGATTTATGATAGCATCAGAGGGAATAGAACATTCCTGTACTGCACGCATAATAATTAGTTCTGAGACTAAAGTAGAGATGGCCAAAAATTCCTTGCGAGTTTTTGGACAAGGATTGGTACCAGATAATTCTGGAGTGGGAGGAGAATAAACATCAACGTCACTCCCGTAATCAATTTGAGTATCCAAGGATTTTGGGTAATATTCTCCCTCCAAAAGGGAAGAAAATGACGCAAACGTCATTCCCCCGGAGAGGGTAACTAACCTTGGAGACAGAGGAGATTGTAGTTAATTTCGGCGATTGCCGTAATTACGTCGGAAGTAATTTCTGCAGGACATGCGATTGTCGCGGTTCTCCCTGCTGTTGCTCTGATTGCGTTGTGATGGTTTTTATTCCTGCCGTCTCCTACAAAAGGCTGCTGGCCGTAGCCCCCAGACTGGTCACTTTTGAATTGGCGATCAACAGGGGAAAAATTGCAACAATTGTTTTGCCCTGAAGGACAATTAGGATTGTTAAACCTATGGAATGGTTTGGAAGGAGTCTTGGCCTTTGCAGCATTGATAGCGGACCGGAGAGTAGCCTCCTGAATGGTTGCACTTGGTACAGTATCGAGAAGGGGTTTGTCAGTTAGATTGACCAACTGTTCTCCATGGACTTGACATGTAAATTGTCCCGCTTTGAGGGAGGCTGCCAAAGGAGGATGCTGTTGTCTGAGGCCTTTAGCAATGGCCTTCTGCCTATGGTCTGCCACAGTTGAGTAGGCAGCAGCATTTAGTTTCAAAATAGAAGAGATTTTCTTTTTGCACTCAGGATCTCCTTTGAGATATTCCAGCAAGGTCACCAAAGCTTGATGAATAACCGCAATCGATTTTTGGACTCATTGATTGTCGTCCAGTTGCTGGTAAAAGGCTGGTACGCTCTTGTAGATAGGGGCATTTGTACGTGGTACAATGCCCACAGTAGTATTAGTAGGTTGCGGAAAAGACTTTTCACTTTCTTCAAGAAAGGAAGGAGCGAGAGCTGCGGATCGGATAAAAATGGTTCGACGAAGAAGAGCTCTTGGTGACGGCGAACTGCATCTGACAGAGTCGGACCACTTGAGAGAGGAATAATAAGCTCAGTAAAAACATCAGTGTCAACAGCAGCCTGATCCAGACATTGTCGTTTGGCTGGCGGTTTTGAATATAAAAGCGTAACAAAACACAAGATATTTTTTTAAATATCTTGAACACATAATAAGGAATGCACCTGACGAAAGTCAGAGCAATTTATGGGAAAAGGGATAAAACCACATATTTCCCTAGTAGTCCACGGGAAGATAAACCCGGGAAAAAATGCTTTTATCGGAGTAAGGCTTACCGGTAAAGGAACCCTGAGGAACAGGTGATTTCTGGGTCACAGAAGGCAAAGCCGAAGCAACGACATCAGAGTTGTTAATGAGAGGGGTAAATTCACTACCCTGATCACTTTTGAAATCACCATGAAATTGATCATTGTCGTCAAGTAACAACATGATAGACTACTAAATAAGATAGAGGATGTACAAAATCCTAAATAAGTGAGATGAACGTAGAATGAGTGACGAATTCGGAATCCACAGCAAAATTGTATACAAACACAGGGAACTGTATCAGAACATCTATTCGGACACAAGCTATGAAATAACCGAAGGACGGAGAATCCCCGTAGGAGTGGTGCAATCACTCACCACCGTTGATGAAGAAAGACTGACCCTTCCTAGCATTTGGAGGCCATATGAAGTATGGCCGAATTCACAGGAAGAGAACCAACAGAGGGATGGCTTACTCAAGAAATTGCACTTTCACAGGCTGACGGCGTGTTTGTAGAAGCTGGTGCTTACAATGGAGAAGAACTGAGCAACAGTCTTTTCTTTGAGAAAGAGCGTGGATGGTCGGGGTTGCTCATTGAACCAGATCCTTGGAATTATTATGCGCTTCGGAAAAGGAACAGAAACGCTCGCAGCATTCAGTGTTGTCTCAGCAAAGAACTTTTAGGGCAGACTGTAAGTAGGCTAAGTACCTCACCACCCCCGATGATACTTGGCGTACTTTAAAAAAAGATTTCACAATTTTAGACTTTCTGGCTTTCTATCGAGGTGAACCTTATCCTAGAATACTTCTAGATATCAGATCACTGGAAGTTATTATAGGTGTACTCTCTCTGCACTGATTTTTTCCATAAAAAGTTTCTATGTACTGGATACAAAAATTTTGTAGTCCCTTTAATTTTTTTCAAGAGTTCACCATTATTAATATGTGGTCTAAAATTCTAAATCGGTGTTCCCAAACCCGTGGTCTGAGGATGGGCACCAGTCCACAGACGTCTTTTGCCAGTCTGCAGGAATTTTCTTCAGCAGAATAAATTCATCAAAAGTAGCAATGAAGTCTCATATTTTTCTACCGTTTTGGAAAGATAATGGCAGTTAAAATTGTCCAATGGAAAATGAAAGGTGGCTTTTCTCCTAGCATGCTTCAGACAAATGTTTCACCTGCTGAAATCAATTATTTTAATTTTTTTATTCTGAGAAACTTTTCTTCAAGCTCACCTTCCCAATTTTTGAAGACATTCCACAATAGCTGCTGCATTGATTCCTAACTTAATTTTTTAGAAAAATGTGAAATGTTTCAAATACCTGCCATAAAGTCTTTCAAATAAGACTTCTGAGTCTGCAAACATTTTATGACACTTTGCAAGTCCACAGACATTTTTTTGTAAATTTGCTGGACCAAAAGAAATTTAATGGAAATTTGGCAGTTCGCAGGGCCGAAAAGGTTGGGGAACGCTGGTCTAAACAAATATTTCATTGTGGTAGTTCTGAGACTGATGTAGTTTGAGTTGCCACAATTCCAGGGGTTGCAGCTTCATAATTCTTGAAATCTTCCTTGTGTTGTAACTGATTGTAATGGACAGTACAGTATTTGTTTTAAGGTACTGTAGACAGTCTTGCATAAGCATAGAACATACTTCTTGAATAAACCATGATTTTTTTTCTAGAAAAGTGTACAAACCTGCCATTTGTTGAAACTCAAAGGAACATTTATATTCTTTCAGCTGACTAGGATCAGGTTGCAATCGAATGATTCATCTCTTTCTGCCTTTAGATTGATTTCAAACAATCAGATACCATGGGTCGTGTTGTAACGCCGGAAGAAAAGAAAAGTCTTCCAGGAATTTATACGAAGGTCAAGTGTTTCCCTTTGGGCCTAGTTTTGATTGCTGCGGGAATCCGCCGAGTTGATCTACTTTCGCTGGACATCGAAGGCCGAGAATTAGAGGTTCGTATCTTTTTTCAACCCTCTAATTTTCTGATGGATTAATTCGGTTTCATCCTTGACGTAAGCGGAAAACTTTAATCCTTTGTTACCGCTTTTTGTTTTTATGCTTGCGGTAAACGAAAGCATACGAAATACTTCGCGAATACGGTTAGGGAAAACATAAAAATGAACTCGAGAGAAATCCATTCACATATCGACGTAAGTTTTATTTCAAATGCTTTGCGCATTTCGCATTTAACCGTTCGCATCTAACCGTATTCGTGCTATTGGCGAAAATTACTGATTTCATAAAAAATGTAGATGCATGTGTTTCTCGAGGAAACTTTTTCGAATTATTTCATGCATTCTCATGTCCTTAATTTAAATCAACTCTGGCAATCTTGTGAATTGCTGTAATTTTTTAACTTTCAATAAAATTGTTTTGTGAGCCAGAATAACTTCTCGAGTCTCCGACCGGCGAGTTATACTGTCGTATTAACAAAATGTGCACATCAAACGTGAATATTTGTTGAAAAATAATTTTGCTCTAACATTTCGGTGGAAAGAAGTAAATATCCCTCTTGATTTGGATTCATCCCACTGTTTGCATTACCATTTTTAACATTTTTGGTTCATGATTGTGGGCTGTTGCAGGTTTTGAGCCACTTTCCGTTTGACGAAAATCTTTAGCTCCACTAAACGCAGCTTAAAGCAGTGAACTGACTGCCGTTCTTACTCGACTGAAGCAATGACTTTGGAGTGCCCAAACAAAACCAATTCCTTGAGCCGCTGCTAAATTATAAATCCTTGCAGAAAATTTGAAGTACAGTATTGTCTAGCAATGCCTGTGTGATTCGAAGGCTGTGATACTCATATTTTTTTATAACCATCAGTTGTTGTGAATCGGATTATACAGTTATTTTTAGAAGCGTCTGAATTTTGTCAAAATGAATTTTTTAATACCGCGGGGCCCCGAGATGTGGACGTGATTGGTGTTTGCACCTTGTCCCTAAGTCGGAGCGTCCGCATGTCGTAACACGTTTTCCCTGGGACCTCAATGGGAATTTATTTCATTGGTTTTCATGTTCGTTAAAAATGAGGAAAAAATCCCGGAAAAATCGAATAGTTTTCCCTAACTTCGAGACACAGAAAATAACTGTGCAGAAGGAAACCGGATAGAATCTAATATTTTGGCATCAAAAGAAGCTCAAGAAGCAAACAACAGGAACAAGTTTTGCTCTGCTGTGCACAGATAATATAAAAAACTCTGAAAAAAGAGGCACAAAGTTAGATTGTATTTTGATAGGAGGATTAGAGAGAATTTATAATTGGGTTGATTTAAATTTTTGCGAATCTAAATTGCTCAAGAGCTATCAAAGTTTTGTATAAAGAAAATTCTACAAATGTTGGAATGTGTTCCCATCTCGAGGCATTGTCTGAAAATTGGGGGCATTTTTTGAGTTTCAAGTGTCCACAGTCACAATCTTGCGTATTTCGGGGCGTCCGTAATTTGCATTTTCTCACGTTTTTTCTGAACTATTTCTTCGGTTTGATTGCAGAATTTTGAGTGACGTAAGTTTTGGTGGATGCGAGTGAAAGTCGGAGTGACGCGATGGCGGATGGAGATGTCTCATCGGCGTCGTACGGCGTTGAGGACATGGAATCCGACGATGTCGGGGTAAGCGAGTCTGTGATGCGTGTATTTCTTGGAATCGAGTCCATTTCTCTATGTTACCTGCTTTTTCGACAGTCTCCGGGTTCGGACGTCATCGAGAATCCCGAGGTCGTCTTGCAGGAGTCCCTCAAAAAATTCCAGTCACCCGATTTCATCATGGAACCTGCGGTTTTTGGTCAACTCAAAAAGTGAGTTTCCATCATGAGAAAAGAGTGAACAAAATCTGGAGACTCTCATGCGCCTAAAAATTTTCAGCGTGGAATTTTGAGAAAATCGATGAATGACACTGCGTGAAGTTATATGAAGCTGAGTGAAATATTGACGTTTTAGAACTTCAAAAAGGAAAATATCCAATAAATCGATCCTCTTGGCATAAAAAGCCAGCTTTTGGCACTGTGCCGAATATCCACAGAAGCTTGTTTTTTTTTAAATTTTCGTTCAATAAAAATTAAAGATTTGGCCGTACCCTGGTAGAGTTTTGCTCTCCACTCAAAAGATGAGGCACCCTTTTTTTGTTGTAGCCCAGCTTTCCCCTCAGAATTTTTGAAATCAACTTGGCATTCTTTCTAAGGGTTGCCTCCAGGTCATCCAAAACAATTCCGCTATTTTCATCAACAGCCGCCAAAGTGGCGGCCAATGTGGCGGCTGTGAAGGGGGATGTTGATGAAAATGGCGGAAATGCCTTGGATGGCGTGAAGGCAACCCTTGGAAAGAAGGTCAAGTTGATTTCAAAAATTCTGAGGGGAAAGCTGGGCTACAACAAAAAAAGGGCGCCTCATCTTTTGAGTGGAGAGTAAAACTCTGCCAGGGTGAATTATGAAAAAAATTCAAAAAAAAATTTCAAACAGGGCTGATATTTTTTTGTGTGCCGAAGAATATGTTTTCCCTGAAGAAAAAAATTGTTTCAGGTCAACTGTAGGCCATTTTCATTGCTACTCCAAGAACTTTTGTTAGAACCGTCGTATGTTTCGAAAATTGCCCAGAAATTGGCCTCCTCTCTTATTAGGTTTTCTCGAGATTTGCTTGTTTAATAGGAATAGTGCGGAGACTTGCACAGTGTGCAACCAATAGGATCACCCGATTTTTGTCGAGAACACGAGTGAAAACGAAGAATGGTCACGGCTTTTTTTTCAAGAATTTATCGTGCATTTTTAAATCTTATTTTTGAACGATTCGCTCTCGACACGCGAAAAACAGGAAGATACAAATCATGATCATGGAACAAAGGAAGACGAGCCTCAAGCCGTCGATGGGCAACGGCCCGTGGGTGCAGCACAAATGACTCGTCGCCAATTCCGCGTAGAACGGGTTACAAAGCACGTTCAGCATGGCCTGAGTGCACATTTCGTTGGGCAAATCCCGGAGGTGTATTTCATCCGGGGTGAACACTTTGCCTTTGCCGTGCTGTCGCAGCATGGCGTCCATTTGCGGCCACATGCCCGGCCAGGTGAAGACCCGGTTCTCCGTTTCTCTCAACTCTGCGCGCATTTTTGCGTTCAACGGTGCGATGATGCGATTGGTTTCCGTCTTGAATATCGGTGGCCCGTCCAGCCAGATCACGTGGGACACCTCTGCCCAACGGCGGAGCAAACCTGTCGGAGTCGATAGTTTTATTTTTACTTTTGGATGTTTCAAACGTTGGAAGTTAACTTTCAGCAAGTTAACTTTCTGCGCTCAGTAATGGGGGAGTACTCACAGAAGAAAAAACTAGGCCTGAGGGGTTCTAGAACAAGAATAAATTCTCTTGGCTTTTCTCCGGGAAACTTCTCGGCGGGGTGGAAAGGAGTTTTTGCAGAAGTACGAGGGTTCTAACAAAAGTTCTCGGAATGAAAATTAAAATGGCGTCTAATCGAGCAGAAAAAAAAAATTATTCTTTAGGGCAAACATATTCTTCGGCACAAAAAAAAATCAGCCCTGTTTGACAATTTTTTTTAAATTTTTTTGCAAAATTCACTCCGGCAGAGTTTTGCTATCCACTCAACAGATGAGGCGCCCCTCCTGTAGTTATTTTTTGTTTTTTTTTGGCCCAGCTTTCCCCTCAGAATTCTTGAAATCAATGTGGCAGTTATTCCAAGGGTTGCCTCCAGGTCTTCCTAGGCAATTCCGCCATTTTCATCGACAGCCCCTTCACAGCCGCCACTTTGGGGCCAATGTGGCGGCTGTGAAGGCGGCTGCGAAAAAGTCTTGTTTCATAAAAATTATGTTAAAAAGTTTTGCCAACTAGCTTTCTTCGTTTGTTCGCGATCATCCGTTATCTTCTTTTTGGTGTTGTATGAATTTTATGAACTGTAATTAAGTTAATTATTGATGAGCTGGCTTTAATCGGGTGACGTGGTTAGGTTATTACTTTAGAGCAGTAATTCGTGCGACATCCACGTGACCTAAAAAAATTGAAAAAGGATTTTCAATGCTCCTGTATACTTCTTGACAAACGTTCAGAGTCGCCAAGAAAGTATTTGATGGAGGCAAATTTTTTGACCATCGTTTTGGCCAGAGGTTTAGAATCTTGTCTTTTCTCATGGAATATTATTCGGATCTTCTTTTGAATTTTGGATTGCTTAATTAATTAACGTTATTTTTTCACGCATTGTTCCTTTTCACTTCTCATTTGAATTACGTTTGATTGCTTTTCATGCTGAAATTTTGATTCTGCGAGTGTTTTTTTTTTGCCACTTTGAATCTACTTTTCCTTTTTGGTGCAGCGAGAAGCACGCTAAGGGATTTTGCGAAGTTCTTATTGCGTAATTTTGATTCAGACCAAAATACTGTATCCGAAAAATTATTTTCCCAATTCAAAGAATGGAACCTTCTCAAAATTTCAGTTTTTAAATTTTTCTGCCTTAAGTAAAATGTGAAAGCTTTATCGTCCAGAAGAGCGGATTTTAATGAGAACTCATTTCAGAATCTTACGTTTAAAAATATTATTTTTTGCTTTCATTAATTTTTTTTTACCTGTAAAATTCCGAAACAGGGTTTTTGTCTCTGTCCCAAAATCACTTTGCGTCCGATTCGCATAGTTGACGTCCAGTGCGAGGTTGAATACTGCGAGAATGGGGACGCGGGAGGCAAGATAGTCGTGCAGAATTTTTGCCAATTTCTCTGTCACCACCGTGTGCTGAATGAGTCGGGCCCTTCGCCAAACGATCTCGACGTTGGCATGCGAGAAGTTGTAGCCTCGGAATCTCTGTTGATGCTTGTCCATTGGGCTTTCGTCGCCTGTCATGTATTCCCTGTACAAGGATTTTGTTGTTGTTGTTGTTGTTGTAGGGATTACAGTTTAACTTTTGTTTATCCGAGGTGATGAATGAGGGATGGCTTCGTAATTTATACGAATAATCCGTCAATGGAAGGCAACGTTTTTTCTCCTTTTTTTTTGTGAGACTGTTTTCGTAAATATGTTTACCGAGTTTGTATTTTCCTCTGTTGAGTAACGCTGTATTTTTTGTTTTGTTTTAGGGATTATAATTGAGTTCCGATTATTCGGGTTTATGATTAAATGACTTGATCCAGACGCAGAAGGTATGGATTATTAGCTGAGGTCACACCTGGGCGAGTAAAACTATATTTGAACATTTTTAGTATTTTTGTGGTAGACTCACAGTTACTTTGAAAGAAGATGGGATTCATTTAAACCAGTGTTACCCAACCTTTTTGGGCCCAACGGACTGGCAAATTTCCATAAACTTGTTTGCGGACCGACTATTTTTCAAAAACATTTTCTGCGGACGACTCAAAAGTGTTGCTTGAAGGACTTTATGGCAGGCTTTTAAGAATTTAACAGCTTTTTTGTTGTTGAAAGAATTAAGAACAATTAAGCAGCTATACTGTACAGTGGAATGTCCTCAAAAATCAGAAAGTTGGGCTTGAAGAAAACACTTCGTTAGATTTTTTTTTTAATTGATTTTTTCTTACCTGTGGGAAGAAAATACAGGTGAACCTTGATAACTTGAACCTCCCTAAGTTGAATACCCCTCTAAGTCAATTAATTTTTTTTCAGATCCCCCCTGAGTCCCCTTAGAAACAATGCATAAAAATCTCCCCAAGTCAAAGACTTTTCCCCTCAAACCTCTGTAAGTAAAATTTTCTGTGGCCTGTTGGCTATGATTTTCTTGACACAAGAAATAAAAAATCAATAAAATTGAAATTGATGTTTGTGAATACAAACTTACTAAGTGAGAGACTTGATTGGGCAAATGAACCCCTGCCTACAAGTTCAGCTTCCCTTCAAATCATTTAAGAAGCAATTTAAGCCCCAGAATACCACCAGTTACAATTTTGGGCTGTTTTTCTATGTTTCCCAGAACAAAAGTGTTGTGGCTTGAACCTCTATAATTCCACTTCTCCCTAAGTCGAATTTTTGCTGCTCCCTTGAAATTTGAGTTTGAGAGGTTCAACTGTAATAGCCAAAAGGCCTCAGAAAATTTGAGTTAGAGGTTTGGGAGGAAACTCATTCAACTTGTAGAGGTTTTCAATGCATTTATTCCAAGGGCATTCAGACCAGGATTTGAAAGATTGAAAAATATTGACTTTGGGACATACAGTGAGACCCCCTCATGCGGACAATTTGACATAGGGACACTTATTTTCCCATAAGAAATCAATAAAAATAAAGGCCCGACATGAGGACACTGACTTGACATAGGGACATTTTGTGATAAAATTGCAAATGCATTTCAGGCCAAATTACAAGAAACAGATATTTCCAACCTTAAAATTGATGTAAGGAAAGTTTCAAAACACCAATTAAAAATTATATAATGTAAGTCTATGGGAAAACAAGACTCGACTTGGGGACATTTCAACTTGGGTACTCTCTTGATGCGCCAATTATGTCCGCATCTTGGGGTCTCGCTGTATTTTGACTTACAGAGGTTTCGACTTGAGGTTGAACGTGTACCGCTACTCGCGCTGTTGAATTTCGGGATAACTCAATATTTAAGTGTCTCACTTGAGAACTGGCTTCGGCTCCAAGCCCCGCAACTTGGACTTGACCAAGTGCTCCATCATGTACAGCACCCTCGAGTCCCCCTCGAGGTAAATAACCTCCGGCGTCCCGTTCCTCTTGGCGCCGATGCCCTTCAAGCAATTGGCCGCCAAGTCCCCGGAATACCGCAACACCCGACACCTGTTGAACCTCGTCGTGTTTCCGTAAAATGCGGAATCGCTGTCGAGCATGGCTTGGCACGAGGAATGAGACCCGTTGCGGTAAGCGACGCGAGCCAGTTGCCACGTTTCGGCCACCAGGTAGGCCATGGCAATTAGTAGCGAACATCGGAAAACGATGCGCTGGTGAGGCACGGCCATCACTGTGGGATCTTACTACAGGAATGGCTCTCTGTGTGGGAGTCCGGTGAGAAGAGAGGGCAAATTTGCGTCTGATAAAAGGGGGGGGGGGTGAGTGGAGGGGAAGGGAGAGTGTTGGAATGATTGGCGCTATTTTGAGACTGTTGTGGTTTTGTCGTCTCTGCTGATGTCTCTTGACGCTTTCTTTGTTTCATTTACCTGTATTTTTCAGTCTCCGTCCGCAGAGAAAGAAAGAAACATGTGTCAGTCACATTTTTGAGAAGGATCAATAAAACTGGGCATTTTCAGATTTATGGTACATGTAAAAATTTGTATTTAAAATGTTTATAAAAAATAATATTTAAACGTTTATTGAAAAATGGATCCGAAAAGTGATTTTAAAAATGAGATCTAAAATATTTTTTTTAAATGGTACAGTATTTAAAAATCTTTTTATAATATTTATATGATGGTATTTAAAAATGTATTCTAAAAATAGTTTTTTAAAATGAACACTATTTAAAAATGGCATTTTAAAATGTACACTATTTAAAAATGGCATTTTAAAATGTACACTATTTAAAAATGGCATTTTAAAATGTACACTATTTAAAAATGGTATTCTAAAATGTACACTATTTAAAATGGTATTTTAAAATGTACACTATTTAAAAATTGTATTTTAAAGTGTACACTACATTATTCAAAAATGGTATTTTAAAATGTACACTACAGTATTTAAAAATGTTATTTTAAAATGTACACTATTAAAAAATGGTATTCAATGTTTGCAGTATTGAGAAATGGTGCTGTTTTGTATTTAAAATGTGCAGTACAGTACTGTATTGAGAATTGGTACTGTATTTGAAATGCATTTTAAAATGGCGTTTAAAAATGATAGCAGGGTCTTGGCTAACAAACGCCCTGTTAATTTTTTTCGTAAATGAATTGTATGAAAATTTGCCTGTCGGCAGAACAATTTTGGGAAATTGGCCGGTCCGCCAAAAATGTATGGAGATTTGCCCGTCCGCAGGCACAAAAGCGTCAGGAACACTAACCAGAACAAAATAATCGAACTTTTACAGGTTTTGGAAGTGGTACCATTCACGAAGAATTTCGAAAAAAACTTGTTCTGTCTTGAAAACAAGTCCTGCTTATCTTGCCACCAACCAGTTTCCCAGTTGAAGGACCAGAAGAATAACAGGCAAAGTGAAGGGCATTGAAATGATTTCTAGGTGGTATTGATGTGATCTCCCAAGAAAAATCGACTCCCGAAGGGTTGGTTTGAGTCAACAACTCATATTCGTCGGGACTAATATAGGCTCATTGCGAACACGCATATGCAATTAATGCAATAAACTACCTGCACAAAAACTTTTCTTGGCATTCAAAAAGCAGTATATATTTCGAATAAATTGCGATTTATCGAGTGAATGCTTTCTTTGTTTTTGATAACAGGTATTTCGAAGCTGGTGGAGCTCCAGAGCAAGTGATCAAACTCTTGCCCCAGAATTATCTCGCAGTGGCTCAGATGGCGAACTTGATGGCGGAATGGCTGATATTGACTGGTAATCATCACCTTTTTATTCTCGTTTCGACGAGAGAAGAAAATGGGAGAAAATGTTTGTTTTTCTTCCCGTTGACGATTGCGTTTTTGCTCCGTTTTATCTCAGGCTATACGATAGAGGAAGTGCAGCGAATGGTGGAAGATCACATGAAGGAACTTGTGACGAAAGTTTTTGACCCGAAAAAGGCGGATACGATATTCACGGAGGAAGGCGAGGTTTGCGATTCTTGACATATTCAACTTTATTTTGGGGAATTTTTTTCACTTTAAATGGTTTTCCTCAGACCGCTGCTTGGCTGACTGAAATGGTGGACCACTACACTTGGCGATCATTGATCTACAAATTGGCGGAAGAATATCCCGATTGTTTGATGCTCAACTTTACTATAAAGGTGAGCTGAGGAAATTATTTCATCTTTTTTTTGGCGAGTCAAATCTTTAGTGAGATTTGATAATTTGATTTTTTTTTTTTTGCACTATGTTATCGGTACTTGTGATGTATTTCAAATGGCGGGACAGCGCCAAGTATAGAACGCATGTAAGAAAACTGAACTGAATGCCTTTTCTGTTTTTCTACAAATTCAGTTGATTTCTGACGCCGGTTTTCAAGGAGAAATCACCAGTGTCTCAACTGCGTCACAACAAATCGAAGTTTTCTCCCGAATCCTGAAGACATTTATTAAGAATGTTGTCAGTAGTTCGCGGGAAGATCAAATCAACAGCTTGAAAGAATACGCGGTGAGTAACTTCAAGCACGGAATATAGAGTTTTCTTTTTCTTACAAAAATATATCTCGAACTAAGAATTGAGTGGAAGAAGGGATATTCTGCTGCTCAACAACTGTTTATAGTAGCATGACTCTTCTTTGCTTGAGTAATCATGTCGCATGAGTCTTCTTCAACTTTTGTTATTCTCATTTAGGGAAGATTATGTTAATTATAGGTTACATTATTTCAGTTCGGTCGTTGAGTCGGAATTTTTTGATTAAGACATCATTGGTTGATCAGGGTTATTTTAATTTTTTTTTTATTACAGCAGGGTTGTTATGGTATTTTTGGTATGGCTACTGATCCAGGTGACGTCTTCTGCGGGAAAACTTTAAAAAGAAAAAGTGTTCGGCATTCAAGTGAAAAGAACGGACGATGGATGCTCAATTTTGTTCACATTTTGGATTTTTGTCTTCTTTTCGCGCAGAAAATGGTTTGTCACGGTCAACATACGTTCGTGTACACTGCGACGCTTCTGCATCTGTTGGAAGCGGAGGGAGTCAAATTGCCTTTGGTCACCCGTCTTTTTCAAGAAATTACCAGCGTTGCCGTGCAACAGTTGAGTTCTGGCTCTGCAAAATAATTGGTGTTTTGCTCAAATTATTTTTTTCCAAAAATAATTTAAAATTTATCAATTTCATGAAATTTGAATTGTTGAATTTATAATATTGCTGCGTTGCTTTTTTTCATGACTATGATGAGTATAAGTCAAGGTTCGAAAAAAAAATTCTGACCAGATCTATTGACTCAATCTTCAGGTTGAAATGTCCCCACAGGGTACTTTTTTAATGCTTTAGTTTGTGTCTGAAACTGTTGCGCTACTTTGTATGCGTATATTTTTCTTCAATCGTTTACTTTACACTCTTTTCCATTTTTTAGAGGTCATGACGTCGCGCCAATTTTGATGGCGCTGGTTCGAACCGGAACCGATGCTTTCGAGGGAAATTCCCAAACCAGAGCTAGTCAAGTGTTGAGTGCAATGTTATCCAAAAAAGCCTTGAATCCAGCTGACATTACCACGTTGCATAAACTCTACTCCAGTGATGATCCTCCTCCAATTCATCTCATCAGAATTCCACAATTCCTTGGTAAGCTGCATTTTCGTGCATTTAAAAAAATTTTAAATCATTTTTCCGTTCCTGCTGGGTAGCGAGGATTTCCGTTTCCTTGTATTTTGGAGAAGCATCTCATTTTGCGTCCGGAAATGGAAAATTTCGACGTGTCTTGAAAATTTTTGCTGCAAAGTTTCTATTCTACTTGATTGATGATTCATTTGTTGAATCAGCGAAAATATCGCAACTTTTTTCAGTTTTCCAAGTCCTGATTCCATGCTTTTTTTATTCAATTCATGCAAAATTTTAACCGCCGAATGAGACGAATGGAATTTACTCAAATTGATCTCTTACTGCCTTAGTTTTGTCTACTGGCCCCAATAGAAATATTTTTCATACTTTTTCCCCTTAGATTTGTTGGTTGATGCGTTGTTCAAACCGGGAATGAAGATTAATCCGGAACACAAGCCCAAGTATATCAGCTTATTGGCATACGCTGCCAGTGTGGTTGAAACGCGAAAGGACGGCGAGAAAAGTCTGAAACAAGATGAGCTGAAACCGACTTCGCAAGCTATTGAACGTGCTCACAACGTTTGTGCGGGAAATAAAACGTCTGCTGAACTTCTAGCAGAATTATCCTCCCTGTATCATTATTTAAGGTAAGTTTTCCCGCTCAAGTACACCATTTGTGCAGGGCTACACGTCGTGGATAGGATAGAATAGTTGATTATCTTATTTTCATTATCCTTGACGATCAGTTGAAGAAGCAGAAAACTTGCTCAAGTCTTGAAATAAAAAAAATTTATGATGAATATATTTGAATAATTATTAATGCTTGAAAAACTAAAAAAGAGCTTTTTGTTGAAAAGAAGCTTGCTTTTTTCACGAAGTAATCAATTCTTATATTTGAGAATATGAACGCCTGTGTTTAGGGGCAGCACATGGTCTTTTGACTATTTCGGTTTCCATGAGAATCGATGTGAAGTGCAAAATTTGCTGGTTTTCCATTGGCTTGTTCGTTTGAAAAGCTTATGAAAATTCAGCTGAAATCGGCTCGAATGGCCACTTCGAGAAATCGATGCCATCCAGTACCTGGAATTCATTTTTTTGTTTTTCGTTCCTTGGCAAGGTTTCCGGTTGTTGCGGCAGGAATCACGCGGTGGGTTTCCGGTGTCGTGACGGAGCCGTCGTATTTCAAATTGAGCGTGGAACAGACCCCGATTCACTTGGTGTTGCTCGACGAAGTTGTGCTTGTGCATCACATTTTGCATGAGGATGTTTTCACCCTGCTGCAGAATCTATTCGAAGTCGAGCTGGAGGATCTCGAGATTCTTGTCCAGGTTCGTACTATTTTATTTTTTTTTTTCACTTTGAATCTCGAAATTCCCTCCAAGTTCTCTTCATGATTTTAAAAAGACAGAATATTCTCAATTTTTACTTCTATTTTTTATGCTAGAGGTGAACTCTCTGCAACGAAATTCAGGAGACCAGGAAAAAATATTTCTGGAGAACCCGTATGAAAATGGTAGAGAACCACTCCGGGATCAAAAATTCGTTATGCAAAGAAAATCGTTGTGGAGAGAGCCCACCTGTTTCAGATACTGTATTTGCGTTGGTGCAAAGATTTGGAGAATTTTGTTTCATTTCCGGACTTTCTAGCTTGTACTGTAGTCTTTTCGGACATGGCTTTACCAAAATAAGTGATGCTGTATTGACAATCTCCTCCTAAGACGATGTTTATCTCTTTTAATTAACTACGAAATGATAAATCACGTTTCACGCTCGAATTTATCATGAATTGGATGTAAGTGCTGCCAAATATTTCAAATAATTCAAAAATCTTCTTGGGGAAATTATCTGTTAAGACATGTCCCAGCTGCAAGCAATTTTAGATCGTCGTATTGCTCTTTTCAACGATAGCGGAAAGGATGGTTACGGTGGAATGTCAACGGGAAAACAAGAAATTCCAGAAACGAATGATTTTTAATTAAACCGAGGCTTGCATCATGTCTCGTCATTGATCCTGCTGTTGTTTGTAAGTTTCGACTCAAACTTTGGCACCCATGGTACTGAATCTTGAGGTTTTCTAAGAAATTTTGAACCAGGCATGGGAATGTGATGATCTCGTGCACCGGAACGAGGGGAATATATGTTCATTAGAACTTTTCCGCGAAAATATAACCTTTTTTGAAAAGGTTCTTTTGATGACATCGTGGGAATGTGGGTTATCGCAAATAATCTGATGAAAAATAAATAAAATATTTTCCAGCTGGACCTGAAGAAGATGATCATCGACCGGATGGTGAACCTCGTGAGTCGCGGCTATGTGATCCCGGTGCTCAAGTACATGGCTAATATCTGCCAAAAAGAGAAAACCGACTATTCGTTAGTGCGATACTTCGTTCGAGAAATCCTCGAAATGGTTGCTCCTCCCTTCTCCAAGGAGTTCATGGAAAACTTTTCCCCGTTGATTGAGAACGAGAACATAACGGGTTCGATGCGTGCCGCAGCCGCCTCATCGTCGTCGTCATCGACGTCAACAACCGCCGCCGTCGTTCCGGCGTCTTCATCGGTCAGCATCGGAGCGGATGCAGCTGGGGAACGAGTCGGAGACGGACCTGTGCCTCCGAAGGCGGATCTCGTGGATTTTCTGGGTTCCTCGCGTCGTGCGACGTGAAATGTGTTTGTTGTTTTTTTGTTTCGAGTTCAGTGAAGTTCAATGGCGGCGATGAAACTTGAACATGCAATCTGAAGCATACCTGATTCGTTTGCGAGTCGGGGTTTTTGGATTTTAAACAGTTAATCGCCATTCGATTCGTGCGATTTCTGAAAATTGACGTAAGTGTATTCTTTTCGAAACAAGTACTTTACTGTACTTAACAGTGATGCCTCCTGAAATAAACATATTCAACGCGTGGTTCTTCATATTGGACCCTTTTTCTGCAAAAAAAAAAAACATTAATGCACTCCAATCGAAGATATTCACAGCTGAATAAAGTATTGAATATTATAGAGCATAATATTTCATCGCAACATTAAATATTTTAAATTTTACCATAAATCAGTTGGTTTTTCATGGGTTTTTATTACCGGTATTCTAACACCGCCTAATCGCATAGTATCACCTAACCGGATTTTGTTGTTACTGCTGCTGCTGTATTCTATTTTTCCGATTCTTCAAGTTATTCATCGCCTTCACTTGATCTTGCGGTTTTGTGACCTGATACATAGACGTGACTTGGATTTTTCCTTGCCTGGGGGAACGGATTTTGCGCGTAGAGAAAAAAATTTTTTTCTTTCCGATTTATGACGAAAAATTCATGCATTCTCGGCGATTTTGAATCCGTTATGCATGAAATGTCATCGGATTGCATTCAGCGTATTCACGATAGAAACTGCCGAAAAACATTAACATAATTAGATTCAAACGTTTTTACCTTTTTTTCTCGATGCAAGAGAAACCAACACAATTAGGGTTGAAGTTGTTTGCTTTGGTTGTAATTTTGAAAAGAATGACATTTTGTATGCTCATGTTGCGTTTTTTTTTTACGCGAGGAAATGCCAAATGAATGCATTCAAGTGTATTTGTATTATGACTTGAATTATTCTGAATGTCGAGTCCGTGTAGTTTTTTATTCGTCTTCAAAACGGTATTTCATCTGTTCCATTGCCGTACTTAATTTTTGATGCGTTAAAATCGCACTGAAGGATGGTATTTTTTTTGGATCAGGGGAAGAATTGAGTGTTTTCCAAATAATGCATTTGTCTCCTCATTTCATGTTTCTAAAAATGTCCACCACCGAATCCGAAAATTCCCGCCAGGGAGGTTATTCTTGTACTGTTTTATTTGTATTGCTTTGTTATTTTGTGGATTGATGAAAAAGGCCTTTAGTTCAACGCAGGAACCGTCATCATTGCTTCCGACAAGTCGCCTGTTGTTTGACAGTAATGTCCTGTACAGTTCTCATCTTTCTGTTTTTGCAGGTCTTAAGCTTTTTTAAACAAAAGTTAAATGTATTTATTCAACGGTTTACGCACGCTGGTTGCTGCTTGCGGCTCAGTTGTGAAGCGGGAAAGATTTGTCCCTACGAGGAGTCCTTCATTTCATGTGAGCCTCATATTCTTGAATTTTCGATCGACCGTGCTTTTGAAATGGTTTGCTTTTCGTGCTTATAATCCAAGAAACTATGGATGATGTTCATTGGAGTCGTTTCTGCCAGAAGTTATGACTGGGAGAAGGAACGTGTGTTCGAGCATGATATGAAGAAGTTGATGAACGAGTTCGGGAAAATCAAGGACCTCCTGAAGAGCACGAAAGTCTGCCAAGAATGCGCGGAAAAAGGTCCGTCGGATAAGGTATGATTTCTTTTGTTTCCGTGCTAATCTGTTCGAGCTACTCGTGGAGGATAACTTCAGCAATCGTTTCCGCATCGCTTAGAAAAAATGCGTATTACATTTTTGTACTCCCGTAAAATCTCATTGGAATCAAGGAAGGAGCTGTATGACAAAATTTATCATGAATGAATTGAAATAGCATCGTGGCTCTTTAATTTGTTACCCTATTGTTGTAATGAGACTACTGTATCCATGTCTGAATTCTTTGAAATAATTCTTTTGCTGTTACGTAAGGGCCGCCTGAATTTTGATCTGTTTTGTGAGGACTATCAGAACAGCATTACAGTTTCTTGAAAGGGTGTCTGCATTGGAGCCGAAAAATTTTTCAGTGTAACGCCTTGTTCGTCAAATGAATATCTTGTTGTTCCTTGGATGTCGGCTTGATTTTCCTCTGGTCTAATTTTATTTTCAAATTCCATCTTTTCTCAGTTCTTTTCTTTCAAGTCATCAGGTTTACGTTCGGTTTGGTTGCGCAAGATAATTCTGCTATTTGTAGGGTTATAATCGGTTGGAGTTTTTGATTCAGGCGACACCTGCCGTCTATTGCGGCAATTCCAATAAACCAGGTAGGGCATCGAAAGTGAGAGGAAAAAATACTGTAGATGCCTTTTTGTTTTTTATTTTTGTAGTCACCTTGACTTTTTTACGGCTATTATTTCAGATGTTTCAGCTGTGGAATTATTGTATCGTGAAAGTTGTTCCGCTTTTTTCCGTAATAAGAATACTTTTTTGACCAACGACCGGTTTTTTTAAACCTACAGCTTCATACAATTTCCCGCTTTTTAACCTGAACATAAGCCAAAGAATTAAAGATTTCTAGGTTCGCTAATTTTTTACGAAACTTTTTCATTTCGTTGAGTACTCTTATTCTTGAAGATAAGAGATAAATCTTCGGGTGAATCAACGTCATTTTACTTAAAGCGAGCTTCTTGGTTTTTTTCTTTGTATTTTCTGAAGCTCTCCACGTTTTCTTCAGGGAATCCAAGACAACTAACGCTATTCGTTCTATCAGGCCTAGATAAGTTCGCGGATCCACTGAACCATTTACGGTTTGCCCTGATTTTAACACGTTTTTATTAACTCGCTTTCTTGTCCGTTTGTTTGTCTGGATCAAATTTTGCAACTTTAAGGTTATTTTTTGCTTTTTGAAAACGTGGTTTTTTAGATTAATTTTTTAATCTACTAAATTTTTTATCTATTTCTCTATATTTTATGGTTCCGCATGGAATGTTGCAGTTGCACTAACCCTGATTTAATCCGCAGATTGCCTGGAGCACATTTTGCCAATGCGGATTGCGTCGCGACGTAAAACCTGGAAGCTGGGCATCGGTTGCGGAATCTCCGGAAACTGTTATTTGGAAACGTCCAGTGGAAGGTCGAAATGGACAATTCGAGTATCGTTGTGAGTCGAGTTATGTTTTCCATATGAATTTTCCTTAAAAGGAGCGAAGTACTGTACTGAGAAGTACAGTCAAACCCCGTTAAGACGCCCCCCAATGAAGCGCCACCCTCGGCAACCGCCAAAATTTCGAATGAAACAAATCTTCTCTATATGTTGAATTTTATAGAAATAAGACGCCATCCGCCAGCATTAGTGATGAAGCAGAAGTGCTGCTTCCAATTAGTTTTGTCTTCATTACAACGCCAACATTGGGGTAGAATTATAATTTCTGCCAAGGATCTTGTATTTGTAAGAAAAATAATAATAATCTTGTTGAAAATTATATTGACCTAATCTTTAAATTTGAATAAATTGATGCAGCAAAATTATTTTCTGAAAGAGTAATCCATTGATAACAGCAATACTCTTTGGAAAATTACTGAAGTTTCTTACATAACCTGTATCTCTATGAGATTTGAAGGAAAAAAAGTGTTTTCGATCAAATAATTAAAATTAAATATTTGATAAACTGCCAACCTCTTAAAACCGCCAAAATTGCTCTGGACAAATGGTGGCGTCTTATAGGGGTTTGACTGTACCTTAATTCGATGGCTCTCATATTTGAAAAAAAAAAAAAGCGTTGCGGGTATTTTATTTATATTTTCTTCAGTGTACGGAAAGTTGGCGGATATTTGCGCGGGAGCTTGGTTCCACGTGAATGCGGATGACCAATCTCGTCAGCGTTGGGACGACACCTGCGTGGAGCTGAAGGAAGTAGATCATGATTCAGCAACCAACACGCGGGTGTTGTACTGGCGCTCCAAATATCCAGTTCGTAATCGTTCCTTATTTTTGTTTCGGAATTCTTGAAACAGTGATCACGTGGCGTACCCTTTACCCGAACGCCCGAGGCTCCCAATCTGTCAGTTTTCTCATTTTCTGCGTAGGTGTCGCCTGATTTAATCTGGCAGTGATTTGGTCCAAGTTACACTACGTGGATTAGACGTGTTCACAACCTTTTTGGACCAACGGACTGACAAATTTCTCGACAATTTTTGCTGACTGGCAAAGTTCCATAGAAATTTTACAGAAAAGCAAGAAAGTTTTTAATACCTGCTGTTAGGTCTTCCAGCCAAAGCTTTTTTGTTCAAAAATTAAATTGAGAAGCAATGAAGCAGCTATAGTGGAATGTCTTCAAAAGTTAGAAAGCTGGGCTTTCGAAAAGGTTTCTCAGAATGAATAATCTCAATGATTCTTAATTGTTATAAAAAAAAGCCAACGTTTTATTTTTCATGGTCTTTCCAAAATTTCAGATGAAGATAACCAACTTCTTCACCAGCTTTGATAATTCATTATGCTTAAGATAATTTCTCGCGGACCGGGAAAAAAAAATTTCTGTGGACTGGCGCCAGTCTGCGGACCATGCGTTGCTGACCCCTGTCATTAGTATACATTAAATTGCATCAAGCTGTTCGGACTTTGCAAGAACATCTTAACAGTGTTTTTGTATTCATTATTCATGAAAGTGTAGGCCACTCCGTGATTTTGGTTACCCATGGAAATTAAAGTTATTTGGAGCAGATGAATCGAAGAATGTGTAATAAAAATTATGAAACATTTGATTCTACTTTGATGAATTACCTGCCTTAGGAATTAGAATGTCAGGATTAAAAAGCACGACATTTTGTTGAAAATTTCAAACAATTCAAGGTTCAAAAAGAAAGAAGAAATCATCTGAAAACGAATTTGCCTAATTACTCTATAATCCTTCTGACTGGCATTTTATCTGCCTAATTTCGCCCTGTTAAATAAATAAAGGCAGAAGTGGCGCCTCCATCCAGGAGAACACGGGATGTTTGTATTCATTCAGGCGACATCTACTTGATATTCCAGAATATAAGGTCGGTCTTTTAATCTTTAAAAAAATCTCCACTTATCGATCCGGGTATCTCGATTACTCACTCTTCGTTTTAGTGACATTTGTAATAATGTACACAATTATTATTGGTGCATTTATTTCTTCAGTACCCTATGAAAGACCGGGAATATGTCTTCAAAAAGAACTACGTGTTGGAGGAGAAGCAGCGTCTTGCCGTGATCTATTCTCACGACACTATTCACGCGAAAGCCCCGAAGACGAATGATAAATATTTTCGCGTTCTGGATTACAAGTCGGTGATGATCGTCAGTGCGGACTCTGCGTTCGATAAGGTTCTTGCAATTTTCTTCGTGATTCCTGATGATGTCGGATTTCCCGGGGTCAAAGTTTTTAATACAGTATATTATTTCTGGATTGGGGAATGCAAGGGTGTCTTAGTTAATAGCCTTGATGTGGGAAGTCCATTATCCGAGAAGTTCCTGCATTGAATAACGCAAGACTATGACTAATCCAGCTAATCCTTTGTGTTCCCATGGTCTCTCTCGTATAATTTGCAAGGTGGCAGCAGACAGTATTGAAACATACATTGAAAGATTAATTTAAATATTCAAATGTTGCTCCAACCTTCAAAAATTCTATAAGGCTATTTTTTGTGATCCAATGCATAGAACATGGAATCAAATTGTAAACTTTTTAATTTAAAATGGGGAAATTTTTAACCTTGAAAATGATTGTTCTTCATATTGTGGCCGCAAGGACTCTCCACCTCTGCAACGTGGCTCTTGGCCACAACAATTTTTATTAATGTCGCCCTAGGCCACGTCTGAGTTGAGCAGCACTGGAGTAATGCAAGGCTGTATGTACTGGCTAATCTGTTGCTGGTCCTTGAAAATGTCCCCCTTGATTGAAATGCCTATTGCATATTTTTGAACTATAAAATATCATGAAATAGCAGCGGAAAAGAGAAAAAGTGAGCTCTGAATTGTTTTCCTTATTTTGCAGGAAGGAATGGAATTTGCCATGTATTATTACGACGACCAGGGAACAGACATACCGCAATTCCTCGTTTCGTCCTTCACCGCGGACGGTTCTCTTTGTTTCATTATTATTCAGGAACGAATCTCAAGAGTTTTCCTGGTTTCATACGACCGTTTAAAATTTTCGGATTGTTCCAAGCAAAAAACAAATAGTTGCATAAGACAGACAGAAAATTCTGCCACCTAGTGATCTGTCCTCTCATTTTCCTTCAACGCAGCATCTGACCCTGTGGGCGATTTGAAAAAAAAAATTTAATTCCCGAGATAGGCAGGTGTTGAATATTATGTTCGTGTCCCAAGCGACTGTTGCATAAATTTAGTTGAAAATAGAAAATGTTGACATTCGGAAGGTCGTGTGGAACTGGGACAATCCGTGTTTACCCAGGTGTAAAGGAGTCTTTATTTTAGTTTCAACTCAAACGCCGAATTGTGCTGCAGTATTTAGATATTTAGAATATCAACCAAGTGTCGCCTGAGCTCGTGATTAAAAATACAGTACTATTAAATGCGATAATTAAATAATTTTAAAGCACAATATCAATGGAAAATTGTCTGTATGGTAAAATGAAATGCAATTTATGCAGTAGCAACATTTTTAGTTTCAGGGCACGATTCTCAATAGACATTAAGTTCAATGAAAGATCGTCTTTCATTCGTATGCAATTAGTTTTCTTTTTTAACTCCAAAAATATAGACACATTTTTTATTTGAATGAATAGAGTATCCTATCCTGGTTGAAGCATGTCCTTGATCAAGTTGCTGGATTTTTCAGGACTTTTATGTGAAACTTCGAGAGAAAAAAATGACGTTCCGATGAAAAACCCAACACAGAATATTCTGTTCGACCGCATCGAAGCTTGCCTTGAATCTCATTCCGAGGTCGATTGAAAAACAAAAATGTTCTCTCCCATCAATCACCGCAGGTTTCCGCAATTACATCGAAAAAATGAGGAAAGCCGCGAAAAAGGTTCAAGGAGATCTCGGGCGGGAGAAGCTTTCAGCATCGGGTTTGAACGAGTTTTACGGCTTGCACACACCCGGTGAATCAGCTGCAAGGAAGCAAGTCGGAAAATGTAAGAAGACTGAGAAGCTTGTCTGTGCATTGGATGAAGAAGAGAAGATATCGCCGTGGGAAGACCGTCTGAAAAAGCAGCTCGAGTCCGATGCCATGTTTGTCGTCTTCTCGAGAGGACTATTGGACGATGATTACTGCTGCGATTACGACGACTGTCGTGATCGTCGGAGAAAACCTTCTTAATCTGATTTTAAGCCCGTCATTTTGTTAATCCCGGGAATTTTCTGGTTTCAGGAAGCTGTTCGGGAAATCTACCGGAGAAATATTTGCTGTGAGAGAAAGCCATTGATTGATATGTCAAGATTTAGCATTCTAGAACTTGATCTGAAACCTGTTCAATGAGAGTAATTTGTTTTTTCAAATGCAGTCCAACCCCTCAAGTGGAACTTCAAGGGTCCAGCAGAAGTATTCGAGATGGGGAAACAAGGCATTTGTGTTGTGGGAAGGAAAAAAAAATTTAGGGAAATTGATATTTTTGATAATTTGAGCTTTAAATTGCTTCTTGAATAAGTTAAAAGGATGTCCAACTTGGAGGTAAGAGTTTATTTGCCAAATTAGTCTCTCGTTTCCTTCCAGAACACATCAAGTTCCACTTTTCATTGCTTTTCTCTTTCTTGTGTCAATAAAAAGCCAAAAGGCCCCCCAGAAAATTCGGGTTATGGAGGTTTGAGGAGAAAATCGTTCGAGTAAAGGAGATTTTTGATTCATTGTTTGGAAGGGAATTCAGAGAAGAGCTTTAAAAAAAATTCGACGTAGGGAGGTCCGAGTTATCGAGGTTCAACTGTAATTTCTAAGTTTCGAGATGTCTTAGTTGATTGAAGGATTAAAGTAGGGTTTATGAGAGAAAAATAAGCATGTAAATTATAAATAAATAAATTATAATAATTAATATAATAATTATATTATAATGAATTATAAATTATTAGTGTACTATGTTGGTCAAAATGTATGCCAATGACATATTTTTTTATGCCAATTAAGCATGAATAGAAAGTTATGCATTTTAGTAATTTGCGAAATTTTGAATACTTCTGTCAAGTAAGTCACACGAATGGATCAGTTTTACACCATGATTCTGTAACTTTTTGATTGACGCTCGAATCATATTATGTTGGTAAATTCTAATTTCTGCCCATTTTCCTGAGTGATCAAGTTCCGCTGAAAGTACGGAAACAGTATTTTATTCCAAGCATCATTTGAAAGCTGTGATGGTCTTCGTGGCGTGTTCGATCGCGACGCTTGATTCGTTTCATCATTTTTTTTCTTTCTTGCATCACAAGAATCTCTTACTATTTTTAAATTCTTGCATTTTAGGTGAGATCACCACCGGCGTACCCAAATTATTCTCGGCTTAAAGGTGAACGTTTACCGCCGTGTTCAAGTGCGCGTGCATGCGTGTGGTTCGCCTTTTAGCAGCTTACTCCGTTTTATTCTTTTCCGAAAGTCATGTGATGCGAGTGAGCGAGTCTGAATAAAATAGTGGAGTTTGGTGATGAATTCCACGTTGGTGAGAAAACTAGGGCGCCTGCGGGCGAATTTCCCGGGCGCGTGTCAGAGGTACGGAGTCGTGATGATGCGACTGTTGGCGAGGCATTGCGAGTTTCTAGCTACTCAGCGAATCCGGAGAACGTCGCAAATCGTGCTGCTTTATTCGAAGATATGGAATGAAACTGCCATCCAAGTTGGTTTAATTTTTATTACGAAATCCCTGCATGTGTACGTGTTGCAGTCAATTTTCGTTAAGTCGAACTTCAAGAGACCAGGAAAGAAATTCGTGTTAGGGAGGTTTTTATTGCATATCTCTAAGGGAAGTCAGACAGGGCTAGAAATAAATTCGACGTCGGGAGGTTTTTGACTTGCGGAGTTTCGAGTTATCCTAGGTTCAATTGTTTAAAATTTTTGATGATTGAAAAAAATGCAAGTGCTTTTTTGTTTTCACGGGAAATTCACCATTGGAGTATATTTTAAGTCCTGATCAGAATTCATCTAGCTTCATTTTAGAATTTAGAAATGGCAAATTAATACAAGTATGCAGTATTTTAAAAGGAAACTGTTACATCTCATGGACCATGACAGCTGTTTTTACGCATGTATTTTCTGGTGTTTTTTCAGCTAATAATTGAATGAGAGTAGTTTTTCCTCAGGAAATTTAAGTAAGGCTAGTTCTTAGGTGAGGGGTGTATTTTACACTTCAAATTTTTTATTATTCCATCAGATGGAGTCTTCGCTTATCTGTCGTGGAAGTACTTGGAAGCATTTTTTAACCTGTCAATCCTACATCATCAAAAACCTAGAATATCAAAACGACGTAACCTATCCTAGAATTACTAGTTAAATTGCAAAGCATAACCTTGTGCCGACGACACATGGATGACGGCTAAGAAACTCATCAAATGTTCATGCAAGTGAAGGAACTTTTTTTTAGATTTTTTGTGTTCAGGATGTCTTCGAATTTCTATAAAATGTATTGATAAATAAGCGAACGGTTACTTGATGTAAGACTGTTGTCGATTGAAATTTCAAGTGTTTAATAAACGTAATGGCAACGATCATATGCAGCAGGTTTGCGGTCTGGTTTAATTTTGCAAACCCTCTAAAAATTTCCTTCCGTCACTTTGAAAAATCGGAGAATTTACCTCGTGTGCGGTGTCATGAAAACCTTCACTATTACGTACTTGAGTTGCGACCTTTCTCGTTGAAAGGTTTACGTGAAATAGAGTTCTGAAAGCCCCCCGAACTTGGCTTTTTCCTTTAGAAAATGGTTGAACGACTGAGACACGAAGCAGGGAATCGAGGGAAGATGCTGTTGCTTGGTGCTGCCCTCCTGGAAGCCCAGTATGACTGGAAACGTGAGCACATAAAGAAGGAAGATTTAGAAGCTCTGTTCAATGAATTTGAGGAAACTCGTACGCTGTTGGACGAACACAGTTGCAAGCATTGCGGGCATCGTCGGGTTTTTGACAAGGTGAGGATTGCGAATTGTGCGTGATGCTTCTCGAGTGACGTTGAATTACGGCGAGTGGGTGCATATACCGAATCGTCTCAAAGGAGCATTTGTTGAAATCTCGGGTTAGTTTGAATTTCACTTTGGGCCTCGAAATTCGGACTACAGTACTGTACTGTAAGTTGGTGCTTTGGCATTGTCTTTTTGTCGGATCACGTTTTCCCATGGACTTCAATGGGAACATATTTAATTGGTTCTCCTGATCATCGAAAATTAGGAATAATTACCCGAAAAATCAATGAAAGTTTCAACTTCAAGGTACTGAAACTAAAAACACAAAATCTGATCTTCTGGCATCCAAATGAGCTCAAGAAGCAAAGAACAAAAATCAGCCAAGCTATACTGTACTGTACTGTCCTCTGGATGATGGAGAAAACTCTGAAAAACGAAACAAAATCAACCTATTCGTGATTATGAATTATAGTACTGTTCAGTATTTTATAATACATTTTGTTTGTTATAATAATGAAAATCCATCCAAAATATAATTTGTCCCTGCTCTTCTTTTCCTAGCTTTTTTTCTCTGAAGACAACGTCAAAGCTCATGAATTGCTCTACACTTGAATGATCTTGTTCGGGATATTTTTTTTATTGTAATCTTTTTTTTTTTTCAAAATGACAGCCCAGACGCGAAAACCCGGTGATGTTCTTCATCAAATATTATTTCCAGTCAGAAGTAAAACATGAATTTTCGTGCCTGTTGAATTGAAAAAAGACCATTCCCTCTTGCATTCCCAAATGTTCCAAGAAAGCTGAATTAATCTAAAATGATGTTTTGTTAATATATTTATAGCATGTTTCGTGGGCAACGTATTGCAGTTGTCGACAGAAGATGAAGGTGACGAAGAATCGGGACAGCTGGGAGCCGTTTTTAGAAAGAAGCGACGTGGTCATTTGGCGACGTCCGGTTTCCACGCGTAATTTCGAGTACCGAGGTACGGCGAACCTTTTCTGTGTACAGTATTGTGTACTGTAGTATGATATTCAGTTGGAGGAATCCAGCTTCGTATGTTCTTTATAAGAAGAAAAAGGAAGAAGAAAATGAGGTTCTGCAAATGTGATGCTTTTTTTGAAGTTCACTGTCGATGAAATTGGACAATTCCAACCATCCAATGACGCTGCCAGGCTTGCTGTAACCTTTTATCTTGTTTTTTGTAATTCGACTCTGGTTTTAGTTGGAAAAACCTCGATAATTACGACTGGGAGAAATAGAGTTCATGGAACCCGGTTTTTTTTTTGTGTGCCTGGAATTCCTGCCAAAATTCTGTTAGCTCCACTCTCTCGCGTGTATATTTATATACAGTGCGAGGGGTCGAAGAAAAGTTCTCGGAATATATGTTGGAACGGCGTACATTTGAGCTGATTCACAATTACTGTTTGAAAATTGAGGTGAAAAATTATTATTTTTCAGGTTAATTCTGTGCTGTTTCAATTCCCCTTCCGACAACATGTGTTGGTCCCCGCGTATTTTTTTCAATTCAAATTACTCCATTTCGAAAGAAGTTCGAACAGGTTAACCTGGGCTTATTTTTTGTGGCAGGACTTTTTTGCGAGGTCATTCATCTTATTTGTATGGAATCAATCGTTTGAACTACGGATGTGTTTTTTTCACCTAAAATGATATATTCAGCATCACGATTTTCGCCAACAAATGTTCCTTCTTCAACTCAGGTCAACAGGCTGTTTTCCTGAATTGAAATTAGCTGGATTTTTACCTCCGCAAATTTTTGAGGAAATTATGGTGTGCCTGATAACATGTATTTTTTTTTTAAGTTTTCGGGCGTTACGACGATGTTTGCGCCGGATCCTGGTTCCGGATAAACGCGGACGACAAAAAGCGACAAGACTGGGACGATACTTGTTTGGAAATCCGGCAAGTTGACATTCACCCGGAAACGAACACTCAAGTTCTCTACTGGCGTTCGCAATACCCCGTAAGTCGATATCGGGTCACGTGTGAAGAAACACGAAGCATGTCGAAGACGGAATAACTTTTTTTTCTCTCTCTCTCTCTCGGAATAAGTTTCCGATGTCGAACCGGGATTACGTGTTCAAGAAGAATTTTATAATTGACCGGAAACGAAGGATGGCGCTGATATTCAATCACGACACGGAACACCCTGGTATTCCTGAACGAAAGGATCATGTTCGGATAAAGCACTACAAATCAGTCATTGTTGTCAGGCCGATCACGGATTTCCACCAAGTACGTAAAATAGAAATTTTGAATACCATTTAATTTTCTCTTCGTCTATTTAATATCCCGTACTTCCTTTTTTCTTACAGGATGGGATGGAATTTTGCATCTCTTACGTAGACGATCCTGGTGTTGAGCTTCCCGAGATTTTCATCTCGTATGTGACTGTGCAAGGTGAAATTGTTGTCTTATCGGATTAACCTCCTAATCCGATCAAATCCGCAAAGATCGGTGTTGTAAATGTGATATTTTTATATTTTATTTTATTTATTTTTTAGAAATATGATCCTGTTTTTCTGTATGTTATTTCCTGTGAGGATCATCAGATCATGTGTCAGTTTTCTACCAATCTACAGTATACTTCAGACTCATTGTAAGTGATTTGGGCGATCAGTGAGATTTTATTTAGTGTCTAAAGCGTCGGGCAGGTGTCACCTGAATCTGTAACGTAACCAATATTATCTGGAACAGAAATCTGGTACCAGTTGACTAAATACGATACATCCAAGTATAAACCGAAGTTCGCAGTTCCAATTTTTCCTGTGGCAGCAAAACACATTTTTAGAGCGATTTTTTTAATGTGTGGACATGGAAGGCAGATGTTATGGTTACTGGAAAAAATTACCCGTAATTACTATTTTTCACGCGTACATTTTTTTTTTCAAAATGGAGAAAAAAGGGGTGTGCGTCATAGGTGTGTATAAAATTAAACAAAATTGAAAACTTTGGTGCACCTTATATTTAATTCCGACGGGGAATTTTTAAACAATTTCTAAGCAATTTTTAAAAATGGCAATGATTAAAAATTAACGATCAACTTGGCTCTATCTCAATTCGAAATGGAAATTCTGATGCATATAGTCTAATTTTTTTTTAATTTTCAGTCTCTGAATGATTGATGCGGGTCTTACTGTGTTCGGCTAAAAAATGCGGGTGCATACATGCCTCGAATGAACATGGTATTTGTCGAAAGTTAATGAACTTGTTCTATGGAAGAAATAATTGTAGTAAAATCTCTCGGAGGAACAGTCTGTACAAACAGAACTGATCAGAGATCCTAATTTGACACAGGCGACACCTGCTTAGTGGCCACGTAAACTCATGAAATCGGGTGTCGAAGGGGAAAAAAACTGACGCCAGTTGCGCAGAATCTTGGCTTAAAATACTGATGGCGAGATTTAAAAAAAAAATGTCGATGAGTTTTTATTGCAGTCTTGTCTTTCTTTAGGTTTCCCGAACTACGTGGACAAGATGCGGAGCGCAGCGAAAAAATTGGAACGTGCGATAGGCCGAGAAGTGATGTCTGTGGAGAACTTGTTGAAGTATTTCAATTTGCGGGACGAAACGGAAGACGAAGTGGTGATTGCAGATGGAGAAGCTGGTGACGCCGGCCGGAATATCAAGTGTACCGCGGGAACCAGTGGCAGAAGTCGGAAACACGACTTGGGAACACCTCTGATCAGAGTTGTTCTGGAGTCGAAACTGCGGGATGCTGGTGAGGAGCAAGTCCCGACCTGATGATGCCAGGAAAAACAAACGAAAATAAAATACGTTCGACGCGGAGAAACTGATTCCGAAACGCATGAAATGCTGGAAGATTTCCGGAGGATATCAAATACTTTAAACCCATTCATTGATTCTCTCTTCGATTTTCCCCCGACTCTCTCCTGATTTTTGTCGATATTTTTAAGTGCGTGTTCTCTCTCTTTTTCTATTGGCGAAAAAAATTTTTTTCGATGATTCAAGTGTTTCTTGCCGTATTTAATCGAGTAAGATGCACATCTGGGTTTCTGTTCCTACCATTCGGCGAAAATTCTGTCCCCGAGTATGACGCCCTGTCCATGTTCAGTGACTGAGAAAGGGGGAAGTTTTGACTGAAAAAAGCATCTAAATTTTCATAGTTTTGACTAGAATTGAAGTCAGATTGAATCAATTTTTCATTGTTTCCATTGTAAATAAGTCTTTGATGAAAATTTTTTTGAAAATCTTTCATCAAGTATCGAATACTATGAGAACATGCACTTTCAATAATTTTGAAAATTTGTAAACCCGCCATCAAAATTTTGACTAGAATTGAACCCAAATTGGATTATTTCTTCATTGCTTCCCTTTGCAGTAATTCTTTGTTGAAACTCCTGTACTGTATAAGGATCGAGTACTATGAGCACAAACTTTTAATAGTTTTGAACATTTGTTCCGACGCCTCCTCTTTTTTCCCCACTCAATTTTGAAAACAAAAAGCGCGTGTTACTCAAGTAAATACGGTATAATGCTGAAAAAAATCCCTCTTGCCCAGAAAAGCTATGAGAGTATGCTTATTATTCTATGATAGTATTCTTGTGATTCAATGCATAGTATTAATTAAATGCGAAACTTTTAATTTAAAAGGGGACATTTTTGAACCACAAAAGTTTTTTTCTGTCTATTGTGGCCTGCAAGGACTCTCCACCTCTGCAATGTGGCCCCTTGGGCTCAGAAAATTTATTTATTTATAAAATGTATTTATAACATTTTATTTATTATTTATTTATATTTATTTATTTTCAGAAAATTTATTTATTATTTATTTATATTTATTCATTTTCAGAAAATTTATTTATTTATTCATTTAATATATATATTTTAATTTTCTATTTATTTATTCATTATTTATTTATTTATGTGGACCTTGGCCACGTCTGAGTTGGACAGCACTGCTCGAGATCAGTGATATATGGTTTGTATCGGTCAATAAGCAATCAAGACTTTTTGGGTTAACTAGCTGTCAATGACGAGGGAGTACAGTTATTGTGTCAACAGAGGCCTGACTGTTTGTCAAGTTTCTTCTTCCTCCCTATTTGTTTCCCCTCAAGATTCCGACATCCGTCGTGCAATAGACGTCCTGCGAGACGCGTTGGGCCTCAAGAAACGCGCCCCACGCACAGAAGACATAGTGTTCACCGTCGGGCCTTCGTTATCCCATTACCGTCAGTCTCGAGCCAGAGCAGCGGACGGCCGTTCAGGTTCCCCCGAAAACGGCGCCTCCGCCCCCGCGAGGACCGACGCGGAGTCGGGCCCGCAGCTGAACTCGGGCGTAGAGTCGCCTCATGGCGCCGGATCCTCATCGTCTGGATGGTACGCCACCGTGTGGATCCCGTTGTCGTGGCTCAAGCGGTTGTGGCCCTTGCGGAGTTCTTCTATGGAACCTGACGAGGGCGGCTCTAGGAACAGTAGCGAGGATTGATTGGCCGCCGTTTTCCGCGGAACGGGGATTTGTTGAGGGCGACGTGCAATGGCTGGGTGCTTTTCCTGAATCCGTCGCCACCATCTCTTCAAAGTGTATTATTTTTCTAATGCATTAGTACAGTACTGTACTGTTAAATCTCGTTACGACGAACTCTCAGGGACCTGTAAAAGAATCGTTTAAACAAAAAAATTCTTTACGAGGAGATTCATGGTTTTTGGTGAATGTGGATAGGACTAGAATTTTTTGTGAAATGAGTTGTATTCCATTTTTCAAAGTACAGCGCAGTAAAATTATCTCGCAAATAATCTCTTTATAGTAAGTTTTTTTTATTATAACGAATATTTTTAATTTTAACCAAGTTTTGCTCGGTCCCAGCAGTTTCTTCATAGAACAATGTTACTGTATAATGATATCGTTTTGACAAAGTAAATTTTTGCTAAAATCTCATTAGAATGTTTTTTCTGCCCTGCTGATATGAATAGCCCATGACGATTATTTCATCATTTGAAGAAAGTGGGAAAAATTCAACATTTGTATCATGAAAATTTTATTGAGAAAAATTGAAGCTTTTTGAAAATAAAATTCAGCACAGTCCAGTATTGCGAAAGATACATAGTATGATATTTTCTTAGTCTTATTAAATAAGCACTTGACCATGTTCATTGCTTATTTCGAACAGAATTTCGCCAATAAATGTCTTCAAAACCATGAATCTCTGTAAAAAAAAAAATTTGCATTGTGTCGCATTCTTCAGCATGTCCGTGGGAGTACGTTTTATGGAGATTTTACTGTACTTCACTGACGGATTTATGAAGAATTTTCATTATTTGCAACTCTTGCAAGAAATAAAGAGATCAAAGTAAAAATCCAAAGCTCACTTATGCTAATCCCACTGAACTATAAAATGAAAAAATGTGTAAGAGCAATTATTAATTTTCCCTGAATTATAGCTTAATTCTTTCGAACATTTTGTTCATTTGAAGAAAGTGAACATTTCGGACTCTAAAATATATTAAGAGAAATTCCGCTGAGATCATAATGCTTCATACTTCCTGTTATATTAAAGTATCTGCGCAAAAAGACTAGCATTCTTGTTTTTTGTGGGATTTTTTCAGTGCTGCTATCCTGCTAAACTTTGATTCTCACATTTACTCTACGCCAAATATTTGTTCTAAAGTACCGCACTGAGATTCCGAGTAAAAATTTGTTTGTTGAAAGTAAAGTTTTGTATTATGGTTCCAAAGAAGAAACTGCTGCGATTCGAAAAACAAAAAACGTTGAAATGATTTGATCGTCTTCTTTGTCAAAACCCATGGACTTGGTTTAGAGAAAACGAGTATTTTTGCTCTCACTTAAACATTTTAATATCTCGTCTTATTTTAAATCTCTAAAATAATATGTTTCTCCTTGGAAAAAGGTGGGGAATGAAGAAAAGTATCTTTACAAAATTACCTCTGAGCACTGTGTGGAATCATCTTCCAAACTTATTACGGAGAATTGTTTTTCTTTCGTTTTCAAATTTAAAGGGGATGGAAGGCTTCCGGAATTGTACCCAAGCGTGATTGTCAGAAACGGGCGATTTTTCGAAATTTCCAGTAGTGTGATTTCTGCCATGCTCTTCACGAGAGCTACTGTTTTTTTATGATAGGCAATGTTGGGTATTGACATTCTTGCCACTTGGACATACTTTTCTCCCTCTCTCTCTCTCGCAAACTTCGTGCTTTCGCCGACGTTTGTTCTCTATCAACTCTGAGTTACCGATTAATTTTCCGAATTTCTTGGGGAAACAATTTCCGATGCGTGTTCTTCGGTGTTCTATGGATTCACGGGGTGATTCTGCATATTTCTGTTAGGATTCAGTGTAGGAGGGGACGACGGCAGGCGTGGGGGAAACATTGGTTGAAGAAAGAGGGGAAATGGGTGCGTTGTCATTTGAAGAATTGCGTGGAAATACGAGGATGAAATTTTTTTCTACCATCCAAATCCCCGTCGTTTTCCTTCAAATTTTGTTGTTTAAAAAAATTCGTGTGATTTTCTGAAAAATGTGTCTTCTGAAAAATTTGGAGATTCCCTTGCCATCTTGTCTTTGAAGATAATCCGTGAAATGAGGAATTTTAAAAATAATATACTTTTTTCTCCATCCCAGGAATTGCCTTGAAGAAAAATATAGAACATATTACGTGAAATCTTGCTAAAACAAGTACCGTTACAACAAATTTTCCATTGTAACAAACTTGTTCTCACTATTCCTTGCAGAAAGCCAATAGGGTACGTAATAAAAATTTCATTATAACAAATTCATCAATTTCAGTACAAAAAACTTTTTTAAGGAATGTTAAATAGATTTCACAGGTAGAGATTTTCTAAGGCGGACAAAGTCTAAAATTTATGATCCCAAATTTGACCAACTGGTTCTTATAGCATGGATAGAAGCTGTAATCACTGACAAACATGCTTAGAAGTGGCTCCACACATTCAAAGAGATTAGTGCAACTGATGGATGTATGCTTGAGGCAGATTCAATTTTTAAAAATATTCAGAAACATTTTTATGTGAGATCCACAATTTTGTTATGCAGACTTTCCATTGAACTTTTCCTCTTATTAAGCCCTGGTATAGTTTTGAAAATGGTTTATGGAGTTTTTTTCTTATTCTTTGAGGAACTGCACTGGCCATGATTCATTTTTCAGCATTTATTTTGCCTGAGCAATATTTTCAGGAATAAAATGCAGGAAAACAGATTGCATTCTGAAAGTGTGAGTGACCTCAGTGGACAGGAATTGCTTCAAAAATGTTTACTCCCTTTGGACAAGCAGCTGATGCAGTTGAGCCATTCTTTGGCAAAGGTCAGGTTTTTTTCATTCAATATTGGTGCCTTGGTTAAACTTGTCCAATAACCTTTCAATTTTGTCATTCATGGACCCACTGTGGATTAAGTTGGATATTTTTGGATTTACTGTGTGTTATTGGATATTAGTTAATGAGCTCATCAAGTTTATCTGCCGTCTGAATAATACATCAATTGCAGAATGGCTCAGAAACAAAATAAATTTTCAATAACAATCCAAAGAAAATTTCAAAAAGCTATTATTCCTTATTTTACTATAGTTGGGACATGCAAACTCAAATTTCCCCAAGTCAAAAACCTTCCCATATTACATTTTTGTTCAGTCCCTATTGCAAACAATTCCTTTGCAAACAATGTAATTTACACCTTATCCTTAACTCAAACCTCTTTAACTAAAATTTTTGAGATCTTTTTATTATTATTCTGGGGATTCTGGATAGAGAGAATCAGTATAGATGTTATTGGATGCTTTTCAAAAAGAGAGTTAATTGCTAATTATGCAAATGCAACCTTTTCTCCAAGTTCAGCATCTCATTTGTGCAGCAGTTCAAGACCCAAAAGATTACCAATTTAAGCTTCTGCATTAGTTGTTCTTCATTCTTTTCTGCAGCAAAAATGCTGGAGTTTGTAAGTTGCATTTATGGGCCCCTCTGAGTTTGACTTGAAGAGATTTGACTGTATTTCCCTTCCTTGTAGGATTAAAACCCTTTACTGTATGTAATTCTTTGTTTTTTTTTAGGATTTGGGATGAAGTATAAATTCCATGTAATGGACAAAACTTTGATATGACTCAGTTAACAGACTTTTTCACATAACAGACTTCCCATTAGAATTGGTTGTCTGTTAACCAAGGTACCACTTGACCGTGCTTTCCTAATTTATTTTTTTGTTCAGAGAAATCATAGACTTTTTATATTCTGGGTGTTCTTGGAAAAGGTTTCTGTTTGCACAACCGTCAAAGAGATGATTGGAGACTCTGATGACCTTACCATGCTGAGGACTGCTCTTCTTGGACTCGAACTCCGTCGCATTGCCAGAATTATTTGTCAGAAGGAGGATTGTGTGGAGGAGGAACGATTCCTGATTAAGGAAGGCATTCGACTGAATCCTTGCAATGGGTAAAAAAAATATATTGAAGTTTTTTATTGGCTGGTGTCATTTTTAGAAGTTCATTAACTGAGTTATTTACTAATGTACTGTACAATAATGTATGAAGTTTACAATTGGTTTGAATTTCCCCAGGAAGTCTCTGAAGAGCTTCAAGGATTGACTGATGCGTTATTATTCGAGATCCATGGAAAATTTCATTCAATTCATCTGCCTTTCATATTGCAGTAAAATCTTTATGCGAAAATTCGGTTAAAATTTTTCAGTAAAACTAACTTTTTCTTGAGTCAAAGCAGAAAACCCATAGAGTAAATATTTAAAAATTCCCATTATGAAAAGCTTCCCAGTTCCAGTATGATTCACTTTTCCAAAGAATGTTCAATAGATTCTCCAACTAGAAATTTCCCAACTGAGGCAGGCACAGTCTGAAATTTTAGATCCCAAATGTGAATGGTTCTTGTAGTATGGATGGAAGCTGTAATCAATGACAAACATGCTTCTGAGTGGTTCCACTCATCTGCCTCACATCATTGTCCCATGATGGAGAGGTTGGTGTAACTGATGGAATGCATGATTGAAGCCAATGTACTTCAGAAGATCACACAGTTTTTCCAACAATAAAAAAACAATCTGAAAGTGCCAGAAAAGCAATATCAAATTGATCATTGGTAGGGGTTTGATGTGGAAATTTTTTCCAGCCTTTATTTTTGAAAATCTTTTAACAAATTATTCAGTACAACAAACATTTTCTGAAATCCCCAGCAGTTTGTTTTAACAGAATTTTACCTCATTAGAATCATGTTATGCATTGTTTGTCTAAGGTGTTGGAATTCCATCAACATTCAGGCCTTGCTCGCATATGACATGGCAAAAAATATTTTGTCCTGTGGACTTACAAGTTTACCTGACGTGAAGCCAAAGTCTGGGTCTGAGAAATTAGATTTCAGAAACACTGAATGTATGATGATGACCCTCGATTTATATGTGACAAAAAAGGATTGAACATCGATTCAAGTGGTTTAATTCCTATCGTGTTTCTTTCTTTTTTTTCAGAGCAGGAAATGCTGAGACTTGTCCGGAGAAACATTACTCGTCTGTCTGTCTGAGCTTCATTGATGCTGATGATGCAGAAAGGAGAGTTGTACACGTGTTGCCTCAGCCGGTCTTGAGCTTTTCGTTTTCAAATTTAAAGGGGATGGAAGGCTTCCGGAATTGTACCCAAGCGTGATTGTCAGAAACGGGCGATTTTTCGAAATTTCCAGTAGTGTGATTTCTGCCATGCTCTTCACGAGAGCTACTTTTTTTTTTATGATAGGCAATGTTGGGTATTGACATTCTTGCCACTTGGACATACTTTTCTCCCTCTCTCTCTCTCAAACTTCATGCTTTCGCGGACTTTCTTTCTCTATCAACTCTGAGTTTCCTATTAATTTCCCGAATTTCTTGAGGAAACAATTTCCGATGCGTGTTCTTCGGTGTTCTATGGATTCACGGGGTGATTCTGCATATTTCTGTTAGGATTCAGTGTAGGAGGGGACGACGGCAGGCGTGGTGGGAAACATTGGTTGAAGAAAGAGGGGAAATGGGTGCGTTGTCATTTGAAGAATTGCGTGGAAATACGAGGATGAAATTTTTTTCTACCATCCAAATCCCCGTCGTTTTCCTTCAAATTTTGCTGTTTAAAAAAATTCGTGTGATTTCCTGAAAAATGTGTCTTCTGAAAAATTTGGAGATTCCCTTGCCATATTGTCTTTGAAGATAATCCGTGAAATGAGGGATTTAAAAAATAATGTACTTTTTTCTCCATCCCTGGAGTTGCCTTGAAGAAAAAAATAGAACATACTGTATAATGTGGAATCTTGCTAAAACAAATATTGATACAACAAATTTTCCAGTGTAACAAACTTGTTCTCACGACTCCTCACAGAAAGCAAATAGGGTACGTAATAAAAATCTCATTATAATAAATTTATCAATTTCAGTACGAAAAACTTTTTTGAGGAATGTTCAATAGATTTCCCAGGTAGAGATTTTCTAAGGCCGACAAAGTCTAAAATTTATGATCCCAAATTTGACCAACTGGTTCTTATAGCATGGATAGAAGCTGTAATCACTGACAAACATGCTTAGAAGTGGCTCCACACTTTCAAATAGATGAGTGCAACTGATGGATGTATGCTTGAGGCAGATTTAATTTTTAAAAATATTCAGAAACATTTTTATGTGAGATCCACAATTTTGTCATGCAGACTTTCCATAGAACTTTTCCTCTTATTAAGCCCTAGTATATTTTTGAACATAGTTTATGGAGTATTGGTCTTATTCTTTGAGGAGGCCATGATTCATTTTTCAGCATTCATTTGGCCTGAGCAATATTTTCAGGAATAAAATGCAGAAAAACAGATTGCATTCTGAAAGTGTGAGTGACCTCAGTGGACAGGAATTGCTTCAAAAATGTTTACTCCCTTTGGACAAGCAGCTGATGCAGTTGAGCCATTCTTTGGCAAAGGTCAGGTTTTTTTCATTGAATATTGGTGCCTTGGTTAAACTTGTCCAATAACCTTTCAATTTTGTCATTTATTGACCCTCTGTGGATTAAGTTGGATATTTTTGGATGTACTGTGTGGTATTGGATATTAGTTAATGAGCTCATCAAGTTTCTCTGCAGTCTGAATAATACTGTACATCAATTGCAGAATGGCTCAGGAACAAAAGAATGAACGTTCATTGACAATCCAAAGAAAATTTCTAAAAGCTATTACAGTATTCCTTATTGAACTACAGATGGGCCATGCAAACTCAAACCTCCCTAACTTAAAAACCTTCCCATATTACTTTTTTGTTCAGTCCCTATTGCAAACCATTCCTGTGCAAACAATGTAATTTAAACGTTTATGCATAACTCAAACCTCTTTAACTAAAATATTTTTCGATCTTTATATTATTATTTTGGATAGAGAGAATCAGTACAGATGATATTGGATGCTTTTCAAAAGAAAGGTAATCACTAATTATGCAAATGCAACCTTTTCTCCAAGTTCAGCATCCTGTCAACTCATTTATGCAGCAGGTCAAGACCCAAAAGATTATCAATTTAACCTTCTGCATAAGTTATTCTTCATTCTTTTCTGCAGCAAAAATTCTGGATTTTGTAAGTTGCATTTATGGGCCCTCTGAGTTTGACTTGAAGAGATTTAACTGTATTTCCATTCCTTGTAGGATTAAAACCCTGTACCGTACGTAATTCTTTGTTTTTTTAGGATTTGGGATGAAGTATAAATTCCATGTACAGTAATGGAAAAAACTTTGATATGACTCAGTTAACAGACTTTTTCACATAACGGACTCCCCATTAGAACTGGTTGTCTGTTAACCAAGGTACCACTTGACCGTGCTTTCCTAATTTATTTTTTTTTTTTGTTCAGAGCAATCATAGACTTTTTATATTCTGGGTGTTCTTGGAAAAGGTTTCTGTTTGCACAACCGTCAAAGAGATGATTGGAGACTCTGATGACCTTACCATGCTGAGGACTGCTCTTCTTGGACTCGAACTCCGTCGCATTGCCAGACTTATTTGTCAGAAGGAGGAGTGTGTGGAGGAGGAACGATTCCTGATAAATGAAGGCATTCGACTGAATCCTTGCCATGGGTAAAAAAAATTGAAGCTTTGCTTTGGTTGGTGTCATTTTTAGAAGTTCATCAACTGAGTTATTTACCAATGTACTGTACAATAATGTATGAAGTTTACAATTGGTTTGAATTTCCCCAGGAAGTCCCTGAAGAGCTTTAAGGATTGACTGATGCGTTATTATTCGAGATCCATGGAAAATTTCATTCAATTCATCTGCCTTTCATATTGAAGTAAAATATTCATGCAAAAATTCGTTTAAAATTTTTCAGTAGTACAAACTTATTCTTGAGTCAAAGCATAAAACTTACCCATTATGAGAAGTTTCCCAGTTCCATAGAAATTATTGTCTCATCATGGAGAGGTTGGTGTAACTGATGGAATGCATGATCGAAGTATGATTCACTTTTCTAAAGAATGTTCAATAGATTCTCCAACTAGAAATTTCCTGACTGAGGCATGCACAGTCTGAAATTGTAGATCCCAAATGCAAATGGTTCTTGTAGTATGGAATCAATGACTCTGTAATCAATGACAAGCATGCTTCTGAGTGGTTCCACTCATGTGCGTCACACCATTGTCACATGATGGAGAGGTTGGTGTAACTGATGGAATGCATGATTGAAGCCAATGTATTTCAGAAGATCACTCAGTTTTTCCAACAATGAGAAAAAAATCTGAAAGTGCCAGAAAAGCAATATCAAATTGATCATGGGTAGGGGTGTGATGTGGACATTTTTTCCAGTCTTTATTTTTGAAAATCTTGTTGTTCAGTGCAACAAACATTTTCTGAAATCCCCAGCATTTTGTTGTAACAGAATTTTACCTCATTAGAATCATGTTGGGCATTGTTTTGTCTAAGGTTTTTGAATTTCATCAAGACTCAGGCCTTGCTCACATATGACATGGCAAAAAATATTCTGTCCTGTGGAATTATAAGTTAAGTTTACCTGATGTGAAGCCCTCAAGATTGACGAGCCCAAGTCTGGGTCTGAGAAATTAGATTTCAGAAACTCTGAATGTATGGATGATGACCCTCGATTTAAATGTGACCAAAAAAAGATTGAACATTGATTCAAGTGGTTTCATTCCTCGTGTTTCTTTTCGTTTTTTCAGAGCAGGAAATGCTGAGACTTGTCCGGAGAAACATTACTCGTCTGTCTGTCTGAGCTTCATTGATGCTGATGATGCAGAAAGGAGAGTTGTACACGTGTTGCCTCAGCCGGTCTTGAGCAAGGAAACGCGGAAGAAAGGAGATTGTCCCACACTGCAAGAATACCTTAGGTTGGTCAAGAGCCTCATCTTTTTTATTTTAAGTTGAGTTAAAATACTCGAGGGATTATTCTTCATTGATTAATGTACTATTTTTTGACACTTGTCAGCATTCATAAAAATGTTCACCAACCCCCCTAATAATGATGAATTATGTAAAAGTAATACTAGGCAGTGATCCTAGAGTTGTGTCAAGTATAATGATCATGCCTCTTGCATAAGTGAGTTGGGGCAGCAACAATGTTTCTGTTGCCTTTTCTGAGAATTTTATGTCTTCTACTCAGTATACAGAAGGTGACCACAATCAGTGTAGCTCATGAGTGAAACTTTTGCGGAAAAGGCTGATCGCACCTCTCAGCCTACAGCAGTACATACATTTATGTTTGTTTTAGACTTGATTGTATTTGAACATCGTAATTCGAAGTTCTGGTCATTGTGTACTCATAGGATAGCCAAGGAGGCAGTGTTTGCCAATGCCGAAGGAAGATTGGAGGAGGCACCTGAGGATGCAGTGAACCTTGTTGATGCTGCCATAAAGTTTCAGATAATGAGTGTCCGGTGGAACAGTTGTGTCAAGTTGTCCCATGAACCTACATGCTCTACATACAAAGGTTGGTAAACATTGAGATTTTGGAATTGCATCATTTGAAAAATATCTGAGTAATGGAAAGCTATTCAGAATTTCCGATTGCTCTAGAATCGAATAATTTCACCCTAATATTGAAAGGCAAATTCAGTCTGTTTACTTGAAATTTGACTGTTCTCTCCTGAGCTCGGGAAGAAATGTCACACAATTTAGAAAAAACCATTACATGCTTTGGGCTGAATATTTTGTGGGACTTAAATTGCAGTATTTTATTTGAAGAACTACTGCTGTTCGCACGGATGATGATTTAAATCAGGGTCCACAATGTCAAGCCAAACTTTTGGCATACGGAGTCTATTGTGCAAAAATTTCATTATGCGAGGTGTCCAGAGTGAAATCCTTTGGTGCTGCAGCTAACCGTCATTTGGTATTCTAAATTCTATACGTTCTACAGAAGGTGTGTCTGTGGTGTACAATCACGTACGGTTGCAGCACATTGTGAGGCGGTACTTGGATCAAGCAGAACTTGGAAAATATTTACCTCTGGGAGATGCTTCAACAGGAGATCTTTCAGTTCTTGATGGCAAGGTAGTAAGCTCATTTTCTTGTTCGGGTCTTTAACTGACTTGATGTCTGTACATTACGTGATTTGTTTGATAACATTTACACATTACATTCATGTTGCTTCAGTGTAAATTCACTTCAAAAGCATTTGTAAAATGGAGTTGTCAGTCTCAAAAACTTCACAAGTCTTTTCAATTATTTCATTTACCAGTAATCCCAAATCAAATGTGTATTTCTCCTGTGTTTCAGAGAGAGAAAGCCCTTCTATTGGAAGCCTCTCACTTGCCCTTAGTGGTCGACTTCAGTACACCTGAGGACCCACGAGTCCTTGGCTCTGGACTAGAGGAAGGGACAAAAGACCACTTTAACCGATCCTTTGAATCGTAAAAGATGTCCTTACAGGTTTAAGAGTTTCGTTCATAAATGATTGAAAATGTTTCCGTAATCTCCAAAACCATTTACGTCGTGTGACTAATAGGTTCCAGAGCCGCATCTATTACAAGAAATCCGTTCACGGACCCTTCTGGCAAAGGCTGTTCTACATCAACTCGGAGAAGGCCTGGACCTTTTCGACATTTCTCCTCCTCGCAAAATGTGATATCTTGAAGATAACCCCAGAAGAAAATTGGCCTTATAAATTCGGGAAGAAATTGTGCAAATTTTCTTTCAGTTCTCCGATACAATTTCCCACAATCCGCTCGGTAAACGAATTTGTCATCTTCCTTCCCGTTCAAGTAGTAGTAGTAGTAGTATTGGCAGACGAGGAGGAGAAGGGCGAGGACCTTTTTTGTTTTACAGGCACAGAGCTGCACCGAAAGGACAATGCGGAACTTTTACATCCCCCGCCCAAAGTCCGAGGCACTTGGTCGCTCCCCGTCACGAGCGAGGAGTGATCACCCGTTTGGTAGAGCAAAGCAAGGGGGGACTATTGTTGGAAGGCGGCGAACGGCGGTGCTGCTCGCGCCCAGTCGAATCCGGCGCCGGGCGGAGAGACGTACGCCGTCACTGAGTGCAAGTTCCCGCCGCGGTCTCGGGTCGGGTGCCCGTGCTTTCGAAAAGGCTCTAGTTCCCCAGGAAGGTAACAAGGACAATTAATTAAGCATTAGTAAATAAATAAATAAAGCGAGCCATCTTGTATATGCAAGTCTTCTCTACTTAAAGCTGCGGCGAATTCATAAACGGAGATAAAACCAACAGGAAGATTGAATGATTCACTACAGGCCAGAATAAGACTATCCAATAAAATTAAGTTTGAAACAATTTGAAATCTTTCAAGTCATGGAAGTAGCACACATGGTAAAAGGACTATGGACTCAAATTTCCACAGAAAAAGTTCAAATTTACGCTCTTTCATTACTTTACGTGTATTCACAGGAAATACGCATAGTCTCAAAATTTCATTGTTGTAACATTTCCAACCATGCATGACCAATTAATCCAAACATGTCTGAATTGAAAAAATATCCAAGTGAATTTTAAAGCCTAATTCATAATTTTGATTTTGCACTCTTTAATTTCAATTTAAAATACAGAATGGAGATTTTTTTAAAACAAGGCTCACCTTGGAAAGGCAGGACAGGCTCGTAGGGGCGAAGCTCAGCGACGGACTGTTCGTAACATCGCAGGTCCAGTCCGCGCGGTTCGTTTTCCAAAGCGAATTGTCCACTCCGGACAGCACCGGGTGTTGGCTGGAACGCCGACGTCTTCAGGGAGAAATCCAATGCCCCGCTCTGACTCTGATACCTGAAGAACGAAAATTGAAAACTTCAATTTTAAAATTGTCCTTTTGGGATATTTTCTCAGTCAAGACACAACCGTCACACACCAGCAGCAATAAATCCAAAATACCCACAGTCACGTCTATAGGAAAGGATGCGCAATGAGAAGTTATCGTATCAGTCTATTTCTCTACCAAATGGTTCACCAAGAGGTTCAAGAGGGGGGAGGGGGGATATTTTCACTCCATAGAGGGGGATCTCTCTACAACAATCCGGTCTACAACAGTCTTCTGTGTAATCACGTCATGATGTATTGTTTAAAAGAGACGCCGGAGAAAGGTACAATATTTTGAGGTATTGGTTTAAGAGAAGTGTTGTTTAAAAAGAGATTAGGGAGCTTAAAGTCAGTTGAGAGAGACGAAAGATGCAGAGCCAGGAACAATCCTGCGCACAGGCAGGATTATCCTTTGTTTACAGCCAAAAAAGCCAGTTTGCATTGATTTAAGCAACACCTGTCTGATAATCTAGAACAGTGTTCCCCAACCAGTGGGAAATTTTTTGCCGGTCTGCGAGAAATTTTCAGCAAAACACTTGATAAAAGTAGCAATGAAATATTTCATCATTACCTAAACCTTTGGAAAGACAGGCAGTTGAAAGCATTCGATGAAACATGAAAGTTGGCTTTTATACTAATAACAGTACCTCAGACACAATTTTACCTGCTGGAATAGATTATCTTCATGTTCACCCTTCTAAGTTATTGATGACATTCAGCTATGCTTCATAGGTGCTCAACTTAATTTTTGAAAGAAGCAACAACTTTTATAAACCTGCCATAGAGTCAATCAAGCAAAATTTGTTCCAGTCTCTAAACATTTTATGAAACTTGGCTGGTCCGCAGAAAATTTTTTGGGAATTTTCCAGTCTGTCAAAAATTTCATGGAAATTTGCTGGTCCAAGGGCACAAATAGGTTGGGTACCACTGATCTAGAAGGTGAGTCCCAGAGGTTGAGGGAGGTCAGGCCTATACACTACTTCTTTACATCATCACTCCTTCCAATAAAGATGATAATAAAAATTGGTATGACCCCCTCCCATCGTCCTCCCTTAGTCACTTTCAAATGAAAATGTTTTCCAAACGTTTCTTTCCCTTGCAATTTTACACAAGCAACAGTTCCCTAATAACAATAACAAGACCACAAAAAAAAAAAAAAACAATGCTGACCCTTGAGAGTTGGACGGGGTGTCGGGCCGAGATCCGATGGAGGGGCTGTAAGAAGAGCCGCGCGATGAGTAGGCCGACGACGTGGCCGACGTGGACCGTGCGGAACTCAGACTGTCGGCATAGGCGCCGCCACCACCACCACCACCACCACCACCTGCAGTAGTGCCAGTCGCGGGGTCCGCCGGGTTCCGGAAGCTCGTCCCGGGTTCCAGAGGTTCCCCATTGCCCTGCACCAGTCCATCTGAGCGTCTGTCAACGGCCTTGGCCTACCATTCGTCAAGGGCGAAGAGCCAGTCCGAGAGGAACCACAAGTGCATAACGGCGAGGAAGAGGAGCTCTAAGACGCCTTCTCTGCTCCCAATTAACAGAAAATTCAAAGTTATAAACGTCGTGTCTCGGATAATGGACTTGACCAATCATGAACATTGTCCGTTAACTGATTCGTGTACAGAGTTCCTTGGAAATTCCCTTTCATGAACTCCTACTGAAATAAAGGTGGACTTTCTCTAAATATAATGAAATTCAATGGACCAGAAAAAAGAAAAAAAAACGCGTGGCGCAGAGAACCCTTATAACATGGGGTAAAAGGGACCACAAAAAAATGTGTTATGCAAGAACTCTGTTTTTTTTTTTACCAGAACCTTATAGAAAAATTACTTTATAATAGAACTGAACCTTCATAACTCAAACCTTTTCAAGTCTAATACCTGCCTATGCCAAATACTGTATCTTCCAAGTTACAATGTCTGAATTTGCCTAAAAGCAATGCATTAAAAATAGCCCCAATTTAAGGATTTTCCTTCTCAAACCTCTAAAACTCATATTTCCTAGATACCCTTTGGTTATTATTTCATCAATACAGAAGACAAAAGCAATAAAAATGCAACTTGATGTGTTTTGAAAATAATTGAAACACTAATTGGGCAAATAAACCCTTGCCTTCAAGATCAGAATCCTGTCAACTCATTTAAGGATAAATTCAAGGTGTAGAATACTGTATCACCAATTACAATTTCTTGAAATTCCTCTTTCTCTCTCCAAACAAAAATGGTTGTTTCCCAAACTCAAAACCTCCTTAACTTGATTTGTTTTCTTCTTTTTCTGTCTGGTCCCTTGAATTTTAACTCATGAACATTCAATTGTAAATACAGTCAAGCCTCAATCTAGTGCTACCCTTGCACAGTGCCACAAATTTCCTTGGAACAAATCTCAATTACGTTCTTGAGGGAAACCCTGATTTAGTGCCAACTCACTTGGTGGCAAAAATGTCCTGTCCTTAATGAAAAATAGGCCAAAATCAGAGAAATTTAGGCAAATTTCCAGGGATATTATATGGTGATTACTGAAAATCACATGCCCATATTCAGGATAAGTAAAAAAGAGTTATTTCAGAATTCACATGAAATTGGGTATCTTAATTTGAATGCCCTCGAAAACAAAGAGCCTCTAAAAAAAAGGAATAGTTGCTTTAAAAACAATTTCAAAATCACCAAGCCTGATCTTGGAACTGTGATTTTATTGAAAGCTTGATGAAAAAAAAACTGCAAGAAACAGTTCCACTGTTTTACTTGGCCCACTACCAAAAAAAGTCTAATGCATTTTATTCTGCTCTATAAAATAAATTTGAATGCAATACATTCAAAAAAAGTTCATTTGAGCCTCAAATTATTTTGTACGGCTTTCTCTTTCATAGAACAGACTCAATAGCCAAAAATTTCTGCATTTTTTCAGAGAAAATGGTTATAACCTTCATAAGTTTACTTTACAGAAAGGTATGTTATGGTAGTTAAGTCCCGGTGGGAACGAATCATCTAGTTTTACACGGTCCTGTTTACTACGGTGACTTAGTGGGTTTGACTTTACAGTACCATAATTTTTCACACTCCAACGGAATTCTTGTAACCCTAATCACTCAATGAAGAGGCCCTTTCTGAAATCTTAATGGATCAAGATAAACTGTAGGCTTTATATGATTTCTCATCAAAGATTCTCTGCAATTTGTTCATTCAACTAAACCTCATACAGAAACAAGCTGAAGACCTTGTGCTTTAAAGTAATTTTTACATATATATTTTTTTACCAATGTCAGGGAATGAATGGGTGTATGCATACATGCCAGATGTTCCAGTTGTATTTCATTTTGTATTGTATTTTATTTTATTTTCGTTATCAATTTGTGCTTTCCTGCTATGAAGTGATTTAAATGTCATTGAGTGGATTTGGGTTGGATGGGAAGGGGGTAACAAACACCTTTAGAACTAACTTGGAACACTTACGACTTTTCGCCGTTTATTTCAAGACAAGTAAGTAAGTAAGAGCATTATTAGTATTTGCTACGGGCCATGTCATAGTAAAAGGGGTTCGTGTGTACCTTGATGTAAGCCTTGGCACGTCTCAGGAGCCCAAGGGTCGTGTGTCGCGTCGAATCTGGTCCCAAAGGTACCATTTCCTTCAGCCTCTCCAGACACGTCTTGAGATGTGCTCTCCTGTTTATAAAGAACAAGAGAAGGAAAATGGTCAAAAAACCTCCTGCGAAACCAGACACGCACATATTTTGCCAAAATTGCAGATGCAGTACTCGTTAAGAGACCAAAGGCCTTTGTCATCCATTCAAAATTCGAAAACAAGGGACAATTTTTGCATCAGACTTGAATCAAGCCGGAAAATACTGTACATTATTTCCTTTATGGTTTGTTATCCGAATCCAGGGTCTGGTTTTTATCCGAAACACACGCAATAAAAAAGTGTGACAGCCCGTGAAGCGTCTTTTCGAACGGAAATGCCACGTCGATTTTACCCAAAACTTTCCTCCCGCAATTTTTTTCGAGTGATTCACAAGAACGTCTGAGAAACCCGACCCGAAACACGGACAGGAGAGAGCTTGTGTGTGTGTGTGTGTGTGTGTGGAGGACAATAGAGCCCAGAACCCGTCTTTTCTTAGGGTTCAAGG